ATGTAAAGCAGTAGTCTGATATCTAGTCAGACATTCGAGTCCCGTCTGCTCGGATGTTGCGGCTGGTCTCTTATTAATTTTTTCTTTCTTTTAACTTAGCTCCGTAGTTTGACTAGTTTGATGGAGGGCGTGCCTATTTAGTTTTGGAGACCCGGGATTGGGGTGGGCGATGATGCTGGTGATTGAGGGCCATGGTCAGGAATCCGAGCCCCTACGGAATATCCCTGATTCCCTACGGACTCTGGGAGGGTGATACCAGTCAGTCGAGTATGGTCTTGTACTGCCCTCCATGACTGCTAGGAGCTCTGGGAATATCATGATATCCGTAGTATTGATTTGGACGCTGCCTGAGGGGGCAACTGAACTGAACAGTCAGAAAGGACTGAACAGCAGCAGCAGCAGCAGGAGACGAATTACTTAATTGTTTGGGTGTATCTGATTGGATCAACGACATAAAAGATCTCCACCAATACCAAATTACCTGTTATGACCATACCAAACCCATTTCCTGACCACGGACGGTGAGTCTTTCTCCCCTTCCCGTTTCACTCACCTTACCCACCTGGAATTATTGAGAGAAAAGGGAATCGAAAAAAGAAAATTCTACAAAAATCGAAGAACAAAAAAAAAAGGGAAGAAAGAAAGTGGTTAGTCAGGCAGGCCCATTGAGCCGGGGATCGTCACTTTCTTTTCCACACCCTCTGACACCTCTTCTTTGCCCACTGACCACTCATCACTATTCCCAACTAGTCCCAATTCCGCTCTCTGCTTTGCTCTCATTGCTTGCCTGTTGCCTCTCTCTCTTCTCTTCTCTCCGCCGGGCCAGGCTACTTTTTACTATTACTGTATTCACTCTATTCTCTCTCTCTTTTTTGCTCTCCTGTTCCTCCTTCCTCTCTTCTCTTCCTCTCCTCTCTCTCTTCTACTTCCCCCTCCCCCCATCCTCCCCTCTCCTTCTGTTCTTCTCCTCATCTCTCCTCCACCCTTCTCCCTTTTGCTTTCACATCATCAACCTATATTCCCTCTTCTCCCACCCCCCTCCTCCCTCCTTTGTCCACCTTTTCGAAAATCTCCATCTCCCTCTACTTTATCTTCAACGAGCTTTTCACTAAGTATCGTTGTCACCGTGGATTGGGAATACTCCCTTTGACGCGAGAACTAGTGTTTACCGTTTCTATTTCTTATTGAAAAGCGCAAAAACACATATAAAAAGATCTCCACCGTCCCTTGCCCCATCCGCACCCTCCCCCTAACACATCCCTTGACCCCATCGGTTATTCCTGTTACTCGTTCGGTTACGGAACAAAAAAACAAAAATCACAATCGATTAGCTCGCCCGATTTTTGACTGCCTCGTGTTCGATCAATTGTCCGCTCAGTCAGCTCCTTAAGCGATTGTCCAACTCGTGCAGTAGCAACTTCCAAAAGTACATTGCGCGAATCACTTCAGTCACGATCATCTTTTCGCCGCTTTCTCTGCCCCGTGCTTCGAATCTCGCCATTCCTCTCATGTTATTCAACTAAGAAGATACAACACATCGAAACACAGAGCCGCGGCTCGTCGAGCATCCGCTCTCCCTCCTTCTCCCTCCACCCAGGATCAGGGCGTGGTGGACGTGTAGACGGTTCGTATCTATACCTTTTCGGTCTCGATTGTTTGTTACTCATTGGATTCCCCTGCTTGCCATTGGAACCAATTTGCTAACACGGTTGTTGATTAGAGCATTCCGGTCTACCCTCCCCCTCCTGAACTGGTGTTATCCTTTCTCCCTCTTCCCTCGTCATGCCGTCTTTCTTCACCCATGGCCTGCAGGGCCTACCTCCAACTCCGCCTCATCTCGTGAGCGGTGGCCGCATGGAGCACGAGCAGCCCTTCTATGTCCTGGGTCCCTCCGCTGCATTCCCGCCTCGCTACTCCCAGAACGGCTGCGAGTTCATCGAGCAATACTCGCAGGCCCATTGCTATCCTAAGTCAGCTATCAACATGAACGCACAGTCCCGCGCTGGAGTCCGCAATAGCCGCGAGATGACCGCCGCCCACTCTGCAATGAGCCAGCCCATGTACGGTCCCATGGCCACCGCCAACGTTCTGCCGCCGCTCCGCAACAACGTTCAGCTGCCCCCGATGGACAATGGCATCCTGCCCCAGTATCGCCGCCAAGACATGATGGTGCAAGAGCAACCGCGCAAGGAGGAAAAGGCTACCGGAGGCGTTGCGGCGCACTTGGATTATGAGATGGACCAGATGTCCGACTACGTGGCTGAAATGGCCCAGGGAATGTATGCTTTGTACATCACCAAGATCAACCTAGCAGATATTGACTTCGCGCGAAGCGTCTACCCAGGATCGTCGGTCACCCCCCAGTTTCGAAAATACGTCTACCAGATCTTGTCGTCGACCAGGCTCCCGAGCTCGACCATCCTCCTGGGTCTCTACTACCTCTCGAGCCGGATGCGCATGCTGTCATCGGCCAAGGTGTTCCACTCTGGGAGTGGCCAGGTGTACCGCATGCTCACTGTCGCCCTCCTGCTGGGAAGCAAGTTTTTGGATGACAACACCTTCCAGAACAAGTCGTGGGCCGAAGTCAGCAACATCCCGGTGAGCGAGCTCAACTCGATGGAACTGGATTGGCTCTTTGCCTTCGAGTGGAAGATCCACGATCGTATCTACGACAAGCAGGATGGTTTTGCCTCGTGGCTCAAGCACTGGGAAAACTGGCGTGCCAAGACGGTCGCCCGTGCCCAGGAGTCTCGCCACGCTCTGGCTCCCCTCGATACGAACGTTCCCCGGCCCCATCGCGTCTCGAAGCCGCTGCTTTCCCCTGAAGGTCCTATCCCTCCACAGTACCAGCGCAGTTCTACCTTCGAGAATTCGTGGCTGAACCCGACCGCTTCCGAGTATTCGCCCCCCTCCGCACCACACAGCGGCCCCAACACACCCGACTATTTCGCTGTTGGGCCCTGGGCGTACACCAACCCTCCTCCGCCGTACACGCGTACCTGGGTGCCCACTCCACAACAGTACATCCCTACGGCCCCGCCATCACAGCCGCCGTCGTACCATCACACCCCGGCCTACGCCCTGCCCTTCGCGCAAAGTGTGTGGACTGGTCATGGCTCGTCGTGTGGCTGTCTTTACTGCGCCAAACCTGCGGACCATTATATGTGCGCCAACCCCTTTGGCTCGATGCAACCGATTGTCGCTTAGGCTGTTCACGAACTCGCCCGTCAAGTGTTGCGACGCTGGGAAAAAGTTATCTGTTTCCTACTTCGACTATCGCCTTCGCCTTCGCTTTCTCACTAGACCTTTTGATTCCCATTGTTCAACTTTCCCGCTAATGATACCGTGTTTTATTCGTGTTGATTGCATGATTACCCGTTTTCTCAAAGTCTGTTTCGGTTATGTTATTCGCTGAAAAGTATCCGCCGCCATTCCTGGCTTTTGCCTCAAAAGCGAAAATCGAAAAAAAGGTGTCCAGCTGGAGCGTTGACGACCGTTTGCATCATCATCATCGCTCTTGCCTTTCAAGATACGGCACACTTCCTTTTGTTCCAAATCATCATTTCTCTTTCCCTCAATACGGCCACGTTCTGGATGATCACTGGACCGCCGATTCTTTCATCTTACTGCTCCAGGGGTATTCTTGGATCAGAACCCCGGAGTAAGGAGTCACGACAATTATGATTGTTTATTGTCCGCGTTCGCACGTGTTTTGTGCCTTATTACCGCCTTCGCGTTTCTTTGATCTCTTACTCATCTTCTTCGGATCTGCGCATTTTACCTGGCAATGCTCCTCATAGATTGTTTTTTTATTTTCATTTGACCCTGGTTGAGTTGGGATACTGGCACTTCGTTATTCTTTTTTGTCCATGTCATGCTTGACTCCCGGGGGTGTTAATACCTTATCTTCGTTCGGTTTTATTCTTTTGACTACTCCTTGCATTGCTCTGCTCTGGTCGATCGGATTCTTCGAGTCATTTGTTCTTCTGCTGAGACCAGAGGCAGATATTTCAAGCCGTTGTGGCGCGTTTTCGGCTGCGAGGTTTGACTGCTCTTGGTTGTACATTATACCATGTTCATCTTCTCATTTCTCTTCTTTCCATGACCTTTCTTACACATTGAATGTCCAACCCCCCCCCTTCACCTCCAAGAAGGAAATCGAAAAAAAGTGATACTCTCCCCATTACGCCTTGTTTCTTTGTTCCCCACCATTTTTTTTCTTGTTCACGGTGCCCGCGCCGCTTATGTGTTTGTCTCACTTCTCATTCGTCCTTGATTGTAAGTTAGATCAACTACTTTCATACCAGCCATATGAAATCTGGGAATAACAACATACTCTTGAATTTCCGGATTGACAAAAAAAACCTGGAAATATCATCACAAGAACATCTCTCCTGCTCTTAGTATGTCAACTAGTCCGGCTCGTATTCTTCAAAGTGCTTGGCTATTTCCTCCCGCAGCAGTTGAGGCACTCACATGACCCTTAAACGGTCCCAGCCGTCCTTACCACCATCAAGAGTAGGTAGGATATCTAGCCCTATAGCTTCATGTCATGGTAATGGATAGCTAGCAAGGATCAGCAGACCTGCCTGAGTAGATAGCATGGGATATGAAGTATCCATAGAAAGGGGGCAGGTAGGCAGGCAGGCTGATGCATGATTCATCTCCCGGATTCGAATCCCCATTTAACTGACACCATCGCGTAGCCAAGTAGATCCATCAATCGTTTATTCTGACTGCGAGCCCTATCTACATCACCAGGTAACCTTTTATGTGTTCATCGATTTTACTCTCCAATCCCTATTACAGTGAAAAATCTTTGCCGGGTTGTAGAGTGATTTTGAATCTACTTCATAACATTACACTAAACCATGGGGTAGAACCCCAATGGATAAACAGCCGGCCAGGTAGATTTGACGCGCCAGCCATCCAGCTAAGTTCTGAATCAAGGGAGACTGGAACTTAGCAGAAGCGGGAAGCAAGAAGAAAGCGGTATTCGTATCTCTTTCAATCATGAGGCTTTATTTCTTCTCTTGTTCTTTCTATAGAATAGCGAAAAGAGGAAGAGAGAGAGAGAGAGAGAGAGAGAGAGAGGTAAACGGTAGCATATACGGCATCAAGGACATAAAGTGGAGTCTATTTCTTTTTCTTGTGGGGGTTAGGTGTTGTTGTTCTTCATTCGTCATCAAAGATTTGGACTCGGTCGGCGTATTCCCGGATTCGAGAGACGAAGGTTTCTTCGATGTGGTCGCCTTGGCCGCTGGCGACGCGGAGGATCAGATCGTTGAGCGAGGCGCGCCCGAGGATGTCGACGTGGTCTCCTATCTTTTCTTTTAGTTTTGTTCAAGGGGGAGGAGGGGTGTTCGTTTGGGAAGGGAGAGAGGGGTTGGGTTTGTGTGTCTGGCTGATGGATAGGGAAGGAGAAAGAATAGGACGAACCAGTATTAGGCCCGCCTCTGGGCGAGAAACGGTCGGGCTCATGGGGCATCTCGAAGACCTTGATCTTGACGCCGGCGGGGTTGTAGCGTTTGATATGCCAGCCCTTGGCGCACATGTAGCCCGTACTCAGCAAGTTGACGGTGCCGTCGCCCTCGCCCATGTGGACGCCGTGGTCGACGCCGTCGTTGTTGGTGACGGTGGTGTCAATGCTGACGTTAAGGTTGACGAGGGGGTCGCGCTCCTCCTGGTAGAAGTAGCTGCGCTCGGTGGGTTTGCCGACGCCGTAGAAGCAGTAGATCTTCATGTCCGGGGCGAGCGGCAGGCGGGCCTCGAGCGGGTTCAGCCAGGTGCGCGGGTTGTGCTCGTTGGCCTCGACCTCGCGCGCCGTGTGGGCGACCCCGTGCGAGTAGCTGGCCAGCACCTGGTGCCGGTACCAGTCCTCGCCCTCGTCGAGGAGGTAATTCAGACTCTCGGTGATGGTCATGTTCTTGATGATGCGGCTGGTGCCGCTCTCGCGGAAATTGAGCAGGTTGCCGAAGGTCAGGTTCTGGAACGGCTGGTCGTCGGGCGCCCAGGTCGAGTTGCCCCAGACGGCTTCGCCGCCCTTGGGCAGCATGCTGGAGATGCCCGGCATGGCGCGGAAGATCTCGGCGCGCTCCTCCTTCGACAGGAACTTCTCCAGCCCGTAGACGGCGAAGGCGTTCAGCTGCGCGGTGTCGCGCATCTCGCCGGACAGCACGGCCGTAAGTCCCTTGACGGCGCCGAGCATGCAGCCGCTGATGTTGATCCAGTTGGCGACGTGCCGGTTGACCCAGTCCGATCCGCCCTTGCCGTGCTCAGGGTTCTCCACCCATTTGAAGAAGTAGAGCACGACCTGCGAGCCCATACTGTGGGAGGCGAGGGTGACCTTCTCGCCCTTGACCTGTACGGCGGTCTCGATGTACGACTTCAGGCGGCTGAAGTACTGGTCGCGGACCTCCATGTTCGGGTACGACAGCCGCCAGTCATAGGCCGCTGTGAAGGCGTTGGTGGGATCGTAGCCGATGGTCGCGAGGTTCTCGAGGATCTTGTTCCAGATCCAGTAGCCCGTGATGAAGAAATCCGTGGCATCGAAGCCCTGCGCCGCCCGCAATTTGATCCCCGGGGGGTCGAGCCCCGTCTCCTTGTCCAGCATGACATGGTTCTTCCATCCCGCCTTGTCAAGCACTAGAGCCCGCATCATGCTCCAACTGCCCCAGAGTCGCTTGCGGAAGTACTGCCGGGACGCCGGCTCGGTGCCCCAACTTTCTAACCCGGTCGAGATCACGCCAGGGATCATGACCATCGGATGTTTCGCTTGGAAACCTTGCGCTTGCAGATGTAGTCCGACGGCGAACGGGTCGTAGTTCACTGTGTCGCGCTCATGTTGCTAGAAATGCGATGCAGTCAGTATCCATCACTCATACCCCTCCACTGCATGCATCCACGGGCAAGCGGGCAGGCTTACTTTTGTCTGCCTAATATCCCCCGACCGGGGATCCCGGAATGGAAAAGAAGTAACGTACCGTGAATTCCCTCGCATCGTTTAAGAATCCATGCGGCATGACATCCATCAAGGACTCGATGTTGAAGTCCATCAGACTGTCCAGACTGATCACATCCTGCTGGTTGGCGAACAGCACGGCGATTAAGACCCCGAAGAGGCCGCCTAAAGCGAAGATCAAGCCATTGCGCCGTTTACTGCGCGGCTTGTGAATAAAGGACTCGGATCGTTTGGATTGAACAGGACGGGCAGACGCAGCAGGCGCCAGCGAGTCGGCACCGGACTTGTTGGAGTGGTTGGGGGACGACGAGTCGGAGGCAGGCCGGATCTCGTCGTCGTGGTCCTCGTCTTTGCCCAGGCGACGGCGGAGCATATCACCGCCAGATGAAACCAGGTAGATTCAGCTCTCCTTGCAATTAGAAGTCTCTCCCGGTCAGGACAGCAGCAATGACATCGACAGAAGAGTAACAAGGATAACCAGGACCAAAAGCTAACAACAAAATTGGGTAGAAAAAAAAAAGAGGAGAAAGTGCGAAAGCCTGCGGTCAAAGCAAGCCAAACGAACCCCCAGGGGAAAAAGGATGTAAAATCACATGTTTGGGAGGGAAACAAAAAAAGCCCGCCGCGCGGGAAAACTAACAAGAAGTCGGACGTCATCCCGATTGCTTTTCGGCTGGCTCTTTTGCAATCTCATTTCTCCTTCTCCTCTAAAGGAAACACATTCAATCAATTACACACACACAATCACACAGTATCTCATTCTGGCAGGGAAATCCTGACGCATATTCCAACCTCCGATCAATTCAATGCCACCCCATCATCCACCGCTCCAATGAACCCCAATCCTCCACCCCCCGCATCCTCCTCCACCACAACGACAACACCACCAACAACAACAAGCACCACCACCCCAAACCTAACAAATACCCCCCTCCGCTACGTCCGCTACGATGGCGCCCGCGAAGACGAATACGTCCCCGCGATGCGGCAACTAATCTCGAAAGACCTGTCGGAGCCCTACAGCATCTACGTGTACCGATACTTCCTATACCAATGGGGGGAGCTGTGCTTCATGGCGATGGACGATGACCACACGTCCCCAGAAGAAGCTACCCCGCGCATGGTCGGTGTCGTGGTCTCGAAGCTGGAGCCCCACCGCGGCGGGCCTCTGCGCGGGTACATCGCCATGCTGGCCGTGAAGGAGGAGTACCGGGGCCGCGGCATCGCGACCAAGCTTGCGCGGATGGCGATCGATGCGATGATTGAGCGGGATGCGGATGAGGTTTGTTTGTTCCCTTCTCCACCGCTTGCCCTCTTTTAAAGCTCTGTGGACTGCGGTCTTTCAATTTACACAAGGAAACAAAGGAGGAAGAGGAAGGAAGAAAGAAAGAAATAAAGAAAGAAAGAAAGAAACTAACACATCCCCGCATCCACAGATCGTCCTCGAAACCGAAATCACGAATACAGCAGCCATAAAACTCTATGAACGGCTGGGGTTCCTGCGCAGCAAGCGGCTACATCGGTACTATCTGAACGGCAACTCCGCCTATCGGCTCGTGCTATACCTCAAGGAAGGCGTGGGATCGATGCGCACCGCCGGGGCGCTGGATCCTTATTACGCTGCCGGTGTTGCGCCCCTTCCATCCGGCGGCGATCCTTACGGTGTGGCGGAGATGACGGGCGCGCTGGCGGCGCCGGAACCGGCCTTGCTACATGAGAATGGTAGTGGAGGGTGGTGACGCGAATCCGAAAAGGAAATAGAAAGAATACAGATGGGGATGGAAGAAGCGGCCATCAGTTGAGGTGGTAGGGAAGGATCTCTTGTCCCCTCGCTTTCCTTTTGGAAACCTCCATATTGGACATATTAGAACGACCTACCTTTCTATTTCCCCATGACTGACTAATGATTATTTGTATGTATGTGATGAATGAGTGATGTGCTTTGCTTGAATATCGGTTGTTAATGGGCGGTAGAGAGGGAAGAGGGGCCTACAGCAATCTTGCAGCATCAGTGGGATCTGGATTGCGCTTTGTTATTAGATCTGATCTTCATTTCAATATGACTACCCAAGGCTTAGTTTGGAATGTGCATGGTCTTGGCTTTCTCCGTCTGTGTCTCTATATCTATTTCTATTTCCGATTATAATGGCAACGGTGTCGCTAATCTGTACAGTGAAGTGCATATATACATGGTCGCTAAAGGCCAAGCAAGAGAAGGTGAGTGAGGAGGTCTGGGAGGAAGGGGTATGATAACAGGACAGGTATTCGTAAGGGAGGAGGAAGAGGGAAATATTGATACAGGCATCAAGCTAGCACCGTACTGCGTATCCTCAAGATACGAAGCATATCGACCGGCTCAAGGTCATCGCAACCGCAGAAGGCGGCTCAGAAAACAGAATTCCACAGAAGGATGCAGCACTGGCCGGGAGTCACGAAGCTCCTCCTATCGCCACTGCTGCTTCTTCTTGTTGGTCTTGGGGAGCACCTCGACCGAAATGATGTGGTCTTGCATCCATCCAAGGTCCAGAGGAGCCTTGCGAGCCAATGCCTTCCATTCAAGATCCACGATAGCCGCCGCCTCGAGCATCGTATGTAATGGTATGTGAGGCTTGTAAGATTGCGCAACTCGTTGATCGCGCAGCATAATCGCTTCGCTTACGCTGAGCTGGCTGTTACGCCCCTGAGGGTCAACCTTGACGCACAAGTACTTCATGGGGTCTTGAGCATATTCAGCTGGTAGTCCCCGGAATCCAACGCTCTTTGCGGCTTGGGCGGGTCTGGACGGCCCCAGATCAATGCCAAGGATGACCCTCGCCGCGATGGCCTTGCGGAAGGTCGTCTCCGGGCCAGCTTCGTGCAACAGGGATTCATAGACCTTGTCGGTAATCCGACGGCTTACATGTCCTCTCATGCAGGCATACCGCCATAGGACACGGCAGATGTTGTAGTATCCGCCGTGCCATGCGTGCAGAAAAAGTCGCGTCCACCCAGACATATCAAGATCTCTCATCGGATCATCCATGGTCTGGTACAAGTATCGCAAAGCCTGGATGATATTACCCTTGTTGCATGAACCCACAAGGAGAAGGAAAGTGTAAGGCTCAATATGTATTCCATTCTGCCTGCAGAACCTGAACAGTTGGTCTCTAGCCTTCCAGTTCTTCGCGTGTATGATGGCGCACATCATCTGATTGACCAAGCTCGGGCTCCACCACGCGCTGTCATAGTCCCTGGCTATCATTTGCAGGAAAGAATCCATGTCTCCGCCGTCTTGAAGATGATCCACCAACAGTTCGTGGACCACCAGTCGTAACGCTGTCCGCGCACGCGTTGTTTCTTTTAACATCCCCCGCTGTCGTAGACTTTTCACTACTGCCATCTTCGCGGCGGGGTAAATAAAAGTATCAGCAAACGCAAGCCAGGTCTCCACATCGGGGCGGATGCCCAGTTTTTCCATAACATGCAGGCTTTGCCGGAACCGCTTCGGGTTTTGCTCGAGGGCCGTTGACTTGAGCATGATGTTAAAGGTTTCCACAGTCGCAACATGTCTGGTGTTGTGGAAAATACTAAGTGCGATCCAGTATTGCTTGCATCGTACCAAAAATGACAGAGCTTGGCTCAATGCGGCGGTGGACATGAACTTCCGGGAGGCGCTTTTCAGAAAAAGCTCCTCGAGAGCATCAGCCACATCCGCAGCGTGCTGAGCCGGTTTTGCCCTGGATTTGGGTCGAGCCGTTATGAGGTCCTCCACATGATGGGTAAAGTCCCTCACAGAGGCTATAAGCTCTCCCTGCTGTGCAATCTGTTCCACCGTGAACTCAGTGATCCTTTGGCGCATATCCCAGGCGCCGCGAATTAAGGGGATATCTTTGTGTTTGCGTCTATCGACGGAAGGGTAAATAGGAACCGATGGCTTAGGCATGTCGACAACCGGATCCGATTCGTCTTGTAACGTTCTGGTCTCGAGAAGTTCATTTTTGACATCCTCCACAGACGCCGCCGTCCCCTCCAGAATCACCCGGCGATACAACCCGACGCTCTCCGACGGCGGCAGAACGTGTACCCTGCACCCGTGATACACATAACGGTAGAAGATGTTCTCGCCCTTGGACACCATGCCGGCGACCGCTGCAATCGTGTCCTCGCGCACATGTACCTCGAGCTGGTCGGGCTTCAGCGGAACAGTTGCCGGCATTACCCGATCCATCCTGAGTAACCTCTCGAAAACAGCACCCTGCTCTTTTCTTTCCTTTTGTCTCTCCGAAACATCGGTGCGAGGCTTTATATATCGGTGCAAAAGCTTCTTTTTATCGCGGGGCGAGGTCGACGGTAACGCGATGAGGCCTCTCAGCTGGGACCCCTCCCACTTCGAGGAGCCATCGGGCCTTGGTCGATGGGAGGATGGCCGCCGCGCAGCTTGAGGCTCAGCTGTAGTCTCTGTGGCAGTTTTCTTCGAAGTATGTCTTGCGGCGGCGGTAGGGGAAGAAGCGGATAGTTGTCTAGACGAATTGCCAGTCGAGGGCCCTGGGGGTAGTCGAGGCGCGTTTGGTCCACGCTTGCCAGGACGCGAGCGTTGTCTCAGGGGATTAGGAGCAGGATTCGTAGCCGAGAAAGATCTCCGATGCGTGAGTATAGAGGTAAACCAGGAAGGGTAGAGGAAGAGGAGTGGCTCATCGGGGGCAGTCGCGACGTGCTCCAGGGCGGCAGAAATTCTGCGCCTTGTGAGATACGGGCGACTGCGTGAGAGCATTGAAGAGGACCCGAGGGGATGACCCTGGGCAAGAAGGGGAGCGGGAGAACAGGGGGTGGGAGAAATTCAAGTAGCTGTTTTGCAATAGTAAGGTGAAAGGCAAGATCAAAGCTCCGGTGGCCGCTCCGCTGCGGTACTTTCAAAAATGTTTTGTCGGCTAAGGCGGTCAGCGCTCGTCCGAGGTTTTATGCCCGTCACCCACACTCACTCTCCGCAATCACCCCGAGGGAGACCACTTACAAACAAAGGGAGATGGACAGACAATTGAGGTTCAGGTTTCTCTCGAACAGTTGATACTGGGACATTGATAATATAACAGTCAAATCAAAATAAGAATAACACAATCATGCGCCGTGAACACCCAGCTAATCCAAGATATTGACTCCCAAAAGGACACCATGCTACCCATGCAAACAAAGACCAAGCCACTAAGAGGTATACTGGTAAATATGGCCTTCGCGGCCAACCTCGGCTGCTTGGGGAATTCCCTTGATCTCTCCACCATCATCCATGGGACGGAACGAGGCCTTTCCTGAGTACTTTGCCAATAGACCACCCTTCTTTTGGGCTGGAGTCAAGTCCAACATATCCGCCTCGAGGTGCCGATCATCGGCATGGAGCACTTCAGGTCCCGTGAGGTGACGCCGTGCAACCTCCGCAGCTTTCTGGAGATGATCGCGCTTGCGCTGCAGCTCTGCAGCCTCCTTCCCAGTCGCCTCGGAGGTCTCCCGGGACAAATCCTCGGCAACGTCGGACAAGCGGGTGAAGTATTGCCAGCGAGAAGCTTGAAAGACAAACATAGACATGATCTCCGGTATCTGTCATCGACTGAAGTCAGTACACTGGAAAGCAGAAGTAAAGTAGGTCAGAACTCACCTTTCCATCCAAGTAGAAGAGCTCGTCGCCGCCCTCCTGCAAGAACTGCTCTAGGGCGTCCATCTTCTCCCGGTCCACTCTGGCCACTCGCAACGCATGCATCAACGCAGGGATATTGGCGATCTCCTCCACGGGCGCCTCCTCTACCTTCGTGGCGGCCCGACTGAGGTACCCGGACGTCACGCGCGACCTACCATCCACGCTGGACGCCCTCGTCTTCGCCTTACCGGAATGAATCGTAAAGTAATCCTCGTTGAGCATATGAGCCACTTCGATACCCGTGCGGCCACGACGGCTGCGCTCCGACACGCGCTTGACCCGGAGCCGAACCCACCGTCGCCTGCGCACGTACGAATGATACCAGGGGTGGGAGCCATGCCAGGCCGAGGAGCCGAACGAGAACGAGTACTGCCACCCCTGATCATCGACGTCGCCCGACATGTCCACATACCACGTCTTCCAGACCCATTCCCAGCTGGGGTCCGGCAGCTGGGCGTTCGTGATGTTGACGGCACTGTCCCGCCCGTCGGGGGTCGTCCAGGCGGCCGGGTCGAAGTTGAGCAGGGAGCTGTGCGAGTAAAGCGGGATGCCGAAGAAGAACCAGCCGCGCTGGTTCTCGTAGACGATGTCCAGCTCGGTGCCCGGCTTCAGCCCCGTGAGCTTTGGGTGGTTGTGACCCTGATGATCGTCATCCTCGAGGGTGGTGTTACGGGCGCCCGGGTCGAAATCCGCCGACTCAACACCCGGCTGGTCCTCCGGGGAGGATTGCGACGAAGGGCCCGTCGTCAAGCGACTCTCGCCGGCCTGGGTGTCGGTTCTGGTCTCGCTTGTGAACAGATCCCGCCCTTCCGAGGCGCGGCGGTCGGAATTGTCATCGTCGTCAGTGAGACCGAGGCGTTCGGGCTGCCATTTGGCGTATTTGCGCTTGGCGAGCTCGCTCCGGATCGAGGCGCGGGTGAACTTCCGCGAGATGTTTCGGGAGAGGTCCGTTGCGGTGTGCGTTTGCGCCAGCGCATCCTCGGATGGGCGACGGGGAGCAGTCTTGTCGACGAGGCTGATCTTGATAGTGTTTTCCATTGTTCGGCGGTTGGGTTTAGAAGATATTAGCTCAGATAATCACGGCCCAGCGTTGATCTCATTGCAGCAGTATGACTGGTTGCACCTGGAATTGATAGAACAAAAAGGGAAATTTAGGTGGAGCTGAAGTTCAGCAGTACAGCAAGGGGCCAACCCCAGATTCAAGCTCAGGCTTGTATATAATGATAAAGAGTTTTTAAAGAATGGGGTATCTTCCCATAAGGCCAGAGGGGAGAGGAGTGAAATGCAGGAGGATCGACGACCACATTCTGGAGAGATAGGAGTAGTTCTTGAGTGGTAATGTTTTAAGTGAAACCAAGCCAAGTTCCTCACTCACTGATCGATGACATCGTTGTGGGGGGCCGATCGGCACTAAAATTTTGCTGCTGTTGCCTGGCCGCAGCCTGAGGCTACCAACCCCTCCTCTCTCTTTGTTCATGCCTGAAGCTTAAGGCACCAATAAACAATGGCTTCTATCGCCCGCAGCGTGTATCCGTCGTATCTCCGGCATCACTCCATCCCTCCAAGATAAACCAAAACAATAACCCAACAAACGCTCCCGGCCTCCTGGTCTCAAGTAAACCACCTCCCACAAGCGCACACTGCATTCTCTCCCTCACAAGAGATACGCACCCACTCCCAAAACCCCTCGAAGAGAACCCCCCCTTCCTCCGGGAAAATGAACGACACGCACCACCGCAAAATCGAACTCCAATCCCCAGCGGACCTGACCTACCTATACGGCAACACAGTCGCGCTCAGCCGCCAAAAGCTGGACCTCCACCTGCCGCCATCCGCCAACCCAACAACCGACGGACCAGATCCGATGCGCGAACGAGTCCGAGAACTAGTAGACGAGGTACGCTTCTGACCTTCCTTGCCCTGCCCTTTATATCCCCATAATTGAACCAACCAAACCAAACCAAACCAAACCCAACACCAGCCCCCTCCCTTCCTTTTCATCACGAGAAACAAAAGAAAAAGAAAGAAACTAACACAAACCCCGGGGAACCAAAACGAAAAGTACATCCTCCGCACCTTCACAAGCGCATCGTCCTCGATCACAATCAACGGACTGGATTCCTCGTCGAAAGAATTCCCGTTCCCGGCATCGTTCACCGCGCCCTCGGAGCAGGTCGAGTACGAGGCGTATGATGCCAAGTTGGCGGCGCGAGTGACCTCGTTGTATGCGCAGCTGGAGTCGTTGACGACGACGGTGGCGCAGTTGCGGCGGGATGCGCCTGGACGGGCGGCGCGAGCGTATGCGGAGCAGCTGAGGCGGGTTATTGCGGAGGAAGAGGCTTTGGATCTTGAGATTGAGGGGCGAGAGGGGGAGGGACAGGAGGATGAGTTGAAGGTGGAGAGTGAGGGGTCAAATACTCAGGAATCTGCTGCTGCTGCTGCTGCTGCTGCTACTGTTGGTAATCAAAATGAAGATGGAGCAGCAGGGGAGAATCAGAATCAGGATCAGGAGATGACGGGCACGGAGAACGGAACAACGACTGCAGCTGCGAATCCGGATGGTGTGGCAGTCGGGGATACGGAGATGGTTGATGCACATGGAGATGCTGAGGTTGGAGCAACAACTACCACCAAAACAAGAAGGTCGGCTCGATTGGCGCGGCGGCGCGCAAAGCTGCAGCTTCCGCTGGGCACAGAGCATGAGGCGGAGCGCTGGCGCAGCGGGGAGATGGCCGAGGTCTACGAGGATGCCCTGCGCACGCTGCTTCGGCTACAGGGTGAAGCTCTGGCAGGGCAGGCCGCGACATCAGACGCTGAGGGCGCAGACGGGAACGCTCTGGCGTCGACGGTGGGAAAGGCCGAGCGCGCTGGTCGGGCGGTCGAGGTTGTGGAAAAGAAAACGAAGAAATAATGGACTACAATCAGTCGCGTCTCTGGATGTCTCGATTGACCTTTTATTCGCATCTCTCATTTCATTATTGTCGAACTTTCTTCATCATCGGGATTGGATTGGCGTCGGTGGCCTAGGTAGGCTTGGGATGATACCAGATTGGTTTAGGTGCATTGTGTTAACGGTACTGGATAGTCAACTTTTCTTATTGGGTTTGCGGATTTTGTGAATTGGAATGGAAGATACATAGCTATTGCCTGCTTGCAACGCTGGTCGTATAAATGCTGCGAATGTCTTATGTACTCCAAATCTACGTATCTCTATCCAACCCCCACGTATAAGACTTGTATCGTCCAATGTGGCATTGCTCCTCACCTGCACACCGATCCATAAAATGCACCCCGACACGCTTGGAAAGTGTTGAAATCTAAGCCCAAGAGACGACAAAAGAAATGAGATGATGAGACGAGCAGGAAAAGCAACTAACTAGGTCATGCTTCCAGAGCCACCATCAGTATCCCCATGTAATAAGCCCACAGAAATCAAGTCTGCAAGCAGTGTTATCTGATATTGAATAATGTTTGAGGTGGAACTGATAGGGCATTCGCATTGGAATCTTGCCCGGAAAAAAAAAACAAGAGGGAAGAAAAACAGCAGACCAAACAACTCTAGCAACAAAAGAAGGGATATAGATTGGCAAAATCGTGCCTGAAGCTTTTACCATATTGATCCAATATAACGAGGACAAGAAATGAAACCCCCATCGAGGGGGAAGAAAACAAAGACAAGGGCTCTATGCGCTAGGTTGGGGAACCGCAACAGCCGGCTCCTCGCTCTTGATCACATTCTGTTCCTCCTTGGGCGTAGCCCACTTGGGAGGCTTGGCCCACTCGGGTTCCTGCCAAGGTCCCATGTCACTGAGCTCGCAACCGCCGCTGCACTTGCAAGTACCTCCGAATTCTTCGGGGAGGTTTTCGATGGGGACCTGGGCCAACAGCTCCTTCTTGTAGTTGGAGCCCAGAATGTGGATCTTGTTCACGGTGACGGGGTCAAGGAACTTCTTCACAAAGCTGAACACGCCGCTGAAACCCCAAGGAGCGTTGATCAGATAGAGCTTACCCAGACGCTCGGGATAGTAGTTCTGGGAGATACCAGACGCCTGGGAGAGGTATCCGTACACCGACGGGGCGCTGGTGATTCCGACGCCCTTGAGGTCCATGATGGTGCAGCAGGTTTCCAGGAGCTTGCCGGCCTTGCGCGAGCAGGCGGGCAACCGGGGATCGGCGAGCTTCTCGTACTCAGTCACGAGATTCTGGAGCATGCGTTCTTCGGTGGTGATCTTGTGCAGGGCGTTAAGGTCAATCTTGCCCAGCTTCTCGATATAGACGGGCCGACCATCCTAGACGATACCAAACTCATTAGCGCCCGAGTACATCTCCTCGTAGAGAACACCTCGTTTGATCTCGGGATCATACCTTGTCCGTCTTGTGGTAGTATTGAGGGTAATATTCGAAGACCTTGGGCTTTTCCGCGTAATCGAAAGTGCGGACAAGCTCGTCGGTTCCGAATTCTTTCCGCCACTTCTCACTCTCGACGAACCTGATCACAGATGACGTTAGCTCGTTTGCACCTATCGGGTAGGAAGATCCAGCCGTCTGGGTGAAAATATCGAGACATGCCGATTGGAGGCATCGACAAACTTGTCTCCGTCGCTTCGAGCGGGGAATTGCTATCTAGGCACAAGCAGAGAACACGTACATAGCTTTAGCAGCGGCGACATCAAACTTCCGAGCTCTCAGAAAGCGCAGCAAGGTCAGAGTGTCCAGTCTATCGGTGTAGCCAAGCTGCTCCAGTTCGCTCCGGAGCTGTTCCACCTTAGCATCTTGCTCTGGAGTGGTGTGGCCGGGATGGCCTGGCTGAGCCTCCGGCGCGGTGATCGGGAAATCGTAGTTGTCGTATTTGGAAGGAGTAGCCATATTGAAGTTGTGTGCGGGAGGGGAGAGAGGTGTGAGGGAGAAAGAAATGGAGGAAAGGGAGGTAGGTGGAACGGAGGAGCGTCGTAAAGTCGGGTTTAAGAAAGGCTAAACTTCCGTCGAGGGCAGGAAAGGGGAGGGGAGCGGCGAGGATAAATTGGGCGGTGCAGGGGGGGGGGGGGGAGGAGGGAGAGGTGGGGGAGAGAGGGACCGTCTCTTTAAGCGGGAACGTCGCGGGTTGAGGAGGATCAAAAAGTAGAGTCCAAGGGGTAGTAGGGAGGGGGCAAATGAGAGAAATTATTGGTGGGGTATTGAGAAGAGATTCCGATTTAGAAATATGTGCAAATCGTTTGATTGCTTGGAAGATAGATCAGATTATAATCAGCAATCAAACAAGAGGAATGAAAAGGAAAGGAAAACAACATGGGAGAAAGAAGGAAAGCGTTGGCGGCCTAAATTGATTGCCTGATAAGGGAGGCCTCATCAACAGGCGGTCACCGAGTCTTTACTTCCTTAGCAAGCACCGCTCTTGACTCTCCATTCTGTTCTGATCAGCGGAGCTGTTTCCCCTCTGTCTTCCCTTTGCATTTCCATACCCATATTTCCGTCTGGATCTGCTGGGTGACGTAGGTGTGGCCTGTCTTCCGTTGGTTCGCGATCGGTGGCCGATCCGAGATCTTACTACGAGTACAGCGATTGATGGCCCAGTGTGCCCGTCCATCACATTCAAAAGATGGCCAAGTAAATATTCAACAGCACAGAGTCAAGTCGGAAAGATCTTCTTCATTAGGTGCCATATCGCGGCAAGGTAACGCTAATCCAAGGGTTATAGGTACATATATAGACAGTATGACATAATACGGCATAAAAATGAGTCAACAAGATACAAACGTGCACTGTAATCCTATTAAAGTGCAGTGGCCAAATCAAATCCAGACACAAATCATCTCAGGATATAACCGTCGCTAAATTGGACGGAAATAACAAAACGTGATCCAAGCCACGGCCGCTCGTCCTCGAACCAGCGAGGACAGATCCCCTTTGCCACCCTGGGATCGACGGGCGTGCTCACCATTATTACCGCCCTGTATAGGCAACAGTCCCCAACAGAAAGAGGGGAGGAATGGAACTAAAGTCGAAATCATCGCAAAGGTTTTCGATGATTGATCGTCAAACCCATCTTGGGAACGAGCGAGGACAATCGAAGAATGTAATGATCAGTCATCCATCCGTCTCTAATTCATGGCGTAAAACAAACAAACGAACCAGCAGCAGCAGCAGCTGTTCCGAGTATGAATACCCAAACATCAGGAGCTTGCCGCTAGTCGTACGCTTGAGTTCATTTAAATCGTCACGGTTATCGGCCGGGAAGCCGAAAACCGAGGGCTTCCTACCAGCCCTTCTTCCGTGCAAATCGTTTGTTCAGAAGTGCGAGGACCTTCGAAACATTAAATTGCACGTACTCCAGGTCCAGGTCTTCCTGGTTATCCTTCTGCATTTCAAGTAGATCGTCAAGCTTGAGATCAAGCTCCAGAAGGCCACGTGCACGACCTATGGTCACTCGGTGTTAGTATCATGTCTGCAGGCAGCCACGGGTGTGACATCCTTGAGCTTACCTTTATAGTGAAGGCTAATGACGAAGGTGCCTGGCAAGGGACTCTTGAACATGAAGTAGATGTTCGCCCTTCGGTTCTCAGGAACATTACTCTTCCGGATAACGCCTTCTTTCTCAAGTTGTTGATGGGTGAATTTGTAGGGTCCAAGCTCTTGGTGCTTCTGTTGTTTTCGCTGCTTGCCCTCCGATTGACTGCGGACGTTGTGCAAGTATGACTTGTATGTTTCAAGCTGACCCACCAAGTAGGCGTTGTGATCGCGGATGGTGGCGAAGACTTCTTCCAACTTCTTAGTTTCTTCCAATACCTTTTCTTTCAAGGACCCCAGATGCACCAGTTCCTGTTCCACTTCGTCGCGGAGAAGGCTGAAATCGTCCGATCGGTCGATCACTCCCATCTCTTGGAGTTGACTCAACAGCTCCATGGTGCGAATGCCCTTCTTGACCATGGCCGCGTCGCCAGTCTTCGAGGTCGCCGCTGCCTCTGCGATGCGGTAAAGGCGGAGAGGGCGTCTGGCAACTGGAGAGTCGGGGGGCAAAGAACGCAAGATGTGAACGAATGTGGATTTGGCTTCCATGAAGAACACTTCCTCTTGGGTGATATCAAGGGCCGAAGTCAAATCATCCAATGCAGTGGTTTCCCAGCGGCTGAACAGGGGAACTGTAATAGTCCTGTTCTCCTTGCGTGGAACCTGAGGCGGTGCTGTCCCGAGTTCCTGCAACAACACATGGAGATGAGAATGCTGATCTTGAGCCAAGGCCACATTGTGTTTCTCCAACAATGCATGCGTAGCATACATCTCATTGAGAGTGATCTGCAACTCCAAGTCACGCTTGGATAGAGCTATATAATTGTCCATCTCTAAGCTTTCGTAGAAATCCTGTACCTCGCACAGATCAAGCATGAATTTGTTGACTCGTTCCTTGTTCTGCTCGATGAAGGGTTGCAGTTTCGCCATGTAGGGCTCCTTTGCATAGGAGGGCTTATTTGCTAGATTTTGGAGCATCTTGGCGATCAATGTGAGCGTGCGGCGGGGCTTCTCCGTTGGCGTTGACTCTATCAACATGTACGACCTCGGAGTGACAATGGCGGGATTGATGAAGCGGAGGAAGAAGAATCCACCGATGAGGGTACAGATCGTCTGATCCTGCGCGTCTGGGTATTTGCGACGAGACAAACTTCGAATTTGCTTGCAGATCCACCGAATGCCATACGGGGCTTCGTCCACGTGATCTATGATCGTTGACAAGAATCTGTTTGCTAGCTCAGTGAGCATTTTCAGGCGCGGCTCAATGATGGCCTGTACTTGCTTGTTCTCCGCTGCGGCTTCCGCCGTAACAGACCTTGCAAGGTAATCAGGCAGTGATCCGTTCTCCTCTTCAATCTCCTTCACCATAGTCTCGTACACCTTCAGCGGGTTGATCTCCAAGTCGACATCACGTAGTTCGATTAGAGAATTGATTTGATCGGCTAGAACCTGCTTAAGATAGCTTTGACCAGGCCCACGTCGCGTATATGTAGTCATCATGCGTGAGACCGGAGTGTTCTGGCGCAAGAGGGACGAGTATTCCGGTGTATTATCAAATTGATAAGTAAGAACAGACTGAAACATGGTGAGAAGCAGGTGTTCTTCACGGCTCTCGTACTGATTTCCGTAGATTGTGAACATAACCGTTTGGAGAAGGGAGTCAATCTCGGACATGGAAACTAGTCGACAAAGATGGGCGATATGACGCGGCTCTGACTGAAGGAGAAATAGCAGATTGCCATACTTCTGAGTTTTGTCATCATTAGGGAAGAATCCTTCCTGAGGATCCAAGACTTCGTCGAGGTGATTGGCGACTTCGTTTTGCTGAAATCAAGTGAGATGTTAACACTGGAGGGAACCAATATCGGTGGCTGTCAAATGCGTACCTCTTCTAGCGCCATACGATTCTGGATCAACAGCGCTATACGAGAATCCAGGTACCGGACATCCTTTTCCAGAACAAAGTTCTTCTTCGATTGCGAGGAAATATTCGTCTTCAGCTCTTGCAAAAACTTCTGGGCTGTTTCAATCAATGTTAGGACAGCCAAGTGAGGGATCCGAGATCGCAACGGACTCACCTCTCGCTAGGTCATCCGAAATTTCCAAATCTCTATCCTTTGCCGACATCGACATGTATAGCGCATTCATGGACATCCGCTTCGATTGGCGGAGAGACCGCGTATCGTGGGACGACATAGTGTTCTGGCGCGTCATAGGTTGGAAAGAGGAGGACGAGGAGGTAGAAGTTCTGGAAGCGGGTTGTAGCATCGTTGCAACCGACATTGTGTGAGCAAAGGAGCGTGACAGTGCGCTGAAGAGAGGCACTCAAGATGGAGTGGGTCGCAATCGATACGCACAACCAGCTACCACACAGAGCCCTTTCAGCGTGTTGTTATTGACTGTCACGAATAGCGGTCTGTAAATCCTGAAAGGATCGAAAACCCGGGGTCATATGGCGCCGCGACGTTGAAGAAGCGCAACCAGGTAACGTTGCGCGTTCAGCGGTAGCCCCTAACAAATGCGGATGCGGAATCTGGCCGAAGACCAGGCAGGGAAAAAGTAAGCGACCGTCGAATTGGCGATTGAGGCCCTGACAGGTCTAAAAGTGGACGGGAGGGAAGGACAAATGTTGGAGAGAAGCAGACGAGGATTCGCTCGAAGTAAAGGATTGATGGGAGTGCGAGCGAAATGGGTCGCGATCAACAGGAGACGGTGATTCGAATACTCTCCGGCGGCTATGAGTCGGCTGGGAGAACGAGGGAGTCGGTGGGAATAACTCCGAAAGAACTTAGGAGAGACGAGAAATGGTAAAGGGATTGCGAGCTCCAGGATATGGGTGAGATGGAATGATAAGTATAAGCGAGCCCACTGCCGAATAGAAGAAGGGAGCGCAAGGCAAGGACGGGCAGGAATTAATTAATAGTAGATGGATGGAGAGAGGAGAAAGAGAGAGAGAGAGCGCGCGCGCGAGAGCAAAAAAGACTTGGGAAGTAGTGAGGGAGGAGGGGGGCAGGAGGAGAAAGATGCCGCCGGTCGGACGCAGATGGAAATCAGGGCCACCCGTCCCAAGTAGTACTAGTCAGTCGCAGTGCCGTCCTAGCTTGCACCGGCAAGTATAACACTGACAACAATTGAATAACCTCAATGTTGCTCTTTGATAATAGCCAGAGTCTTGAAAGAATGAAAACAATGGTCGGTAGGTTGAGTTAAGCTACAATGGATAATAAGTATAATGAGTGTGGTGGCAGGCTTCTAGTCAGATTGGCGAGAGGAAAGGAGTGTGTGCGCCAGTAGTGATCGTAAGAGGGAGGAGGAGAAAGAAGAATGGATGGCTGGATTTGGGGGGGGAAGAAGATCAGAGGAGGATGGATTGTTGGTTCTTAGGTCAGTTTGAGTTGAAAAAAGTGGGTAACCCCAAGACTAAGAGGGGAAAGGAACAGAGAGAGAGAGAGAATAAAAAAATAATAACACAAGAACTCGAATTGGAGAGGGGTGAAGGGGAAGGGCAAAAAGAAAAAAAAAAATAAATAAGGAAAAAGAGAGAGGTGGAGTTGGTCTCCGTGTCTTGCAGCAACAGTGAACGGGGTTGAAAGGAACCTGGAAGGGCCAAGCAGGTACGCAATGCGGTTGACTCGCTGAAAAAGGGTGTGAGTGGTGGTAGATATCTACTGGTGGGCGGTACTTTGCCAGGCACCGGCATGCATAAGCTCTCCTCCCTTTTGCCTTTTCTTCCTCTTTTCCCCTCTCCTTTTGAAGTTTCATGCTGGTCGGCAAAGACAGGCCGAAAAGAGGGGGACGGTGTGCATGAGGTGATGATACTGACTACTCCTAACTACTAAGTGTTAAAAGTAAATTGATTATTAGGATGGAGAGAGGTTGCTCCAGAGCTCTCCACTCTGCAATCAACACTCAACCCCTCCAGGACCCCAGCGCGAAGAACCATGCCCTGTTCTTCAACGCTCTTGTCCCCCCCTTCCCAAGCAACCAACGCTACCAATCCTGCTCCGACTCTCGGAAGTTTCCAACACAATTTGTGCATGATACACGCATAGAAGACTGAAGAATGATTGAAGTGATCATCATTATGTTCATGACGCTTCCCTGGTCAGACATTTAGACATTGTCTAAGAGATCCATGACTATCTGTTTTGGATATGCTGGCTGGCCATGAACGGTATCAGGCTGAGTGGTTTGCCATTTATCTTTTTCTTCCCGATCAAGTTTGAGGAATCCATCATGTCCCTCGTTTGGATTCCAAGTTGCCTTTAATCTCTACAGAATGCTTGCAAAGAAAAACAGTAATCTATGGATGGTCGGCAACCCACCAGTGACCACGCTCCCTTTCGTCAGGGACCTACAGTAAGCCGTCCGGAACGCGGGAGAGAAATGATCATGGGATGGGATTGTACCGCCCCATCCGTCATCTCGATGCCAATTGCGACACTCCATCCTCCCTCTCCGTGTCGCTGCGCCAATGATGATAATCGGATGATCGTCTCCCGAGAGTCATGATTCGACCGCTGGAACAAAGAGCCAGACGGTCGACATGCAACCAGACGCAAGGGGGAAACCTGGGCGGAGTTCCTATCTGTGGCACGTACGGAGTATCCAGTTAAGCAAAAGAACGAGCTAGTCCGGATGAGTGCTCAGAACGACACTTGCGTCGGGACTAGATGAGTTGATGTCCACCTTGACTATTCAAAAGTCCTTGGCGGATAGAACTTAGCACGAGACTAGTCTAAACGACGAGTGCGCATCGCATGAGCCTGTCGTCGGCGGTGCAGGAAGACCGGTCCCTTATTATCCGAGTTGGCTTTCCCCAACTCTTTACCCCTGGCCCAATGCGCCCATCCCATGGGTCGTGCCATCAGGAGTTCGGGACCTGCAGCGGAGAATGCTGCCACTTGCCACCACCGCCGTTCGGTCGGTCGGTCGGAAATGCCAGGGCAATGGAGGAAGAACTGAGGGGTTGACGATTCGACTGGACACGCAAGAGAGATACGAGTACTCGTACTATGTATGTAGCTTCACATCACCCGTATGTCCTATCACCGACGCAACGTGTCCGGAGAAAGGTCCAACTTTTGAGTCTCGTATGCGAGACTTGGGTGAGAACGTTGCCGTACGGAAACTCCCCGCCGAACTTTCTACGAGCGAGCCACGAAGATACAGGGCCGCGCGAAAGTCGCGGAGGATATGACAAATCCCCAGGTGATCTTCAATGGGCTGCGATTGAGTCCTACTTAGTAAGTTTGGTATCTTCCCGCCAATCTGAAAGGGAGGAAGCTGATGAACCCTTCCGTGAGCTGAGAGGGGCAAGCAAAAGTATGTATGGTACAGACTCGGAGTAAGTATACAGACAAGGGAGGCCCACCGTTCTTGTGCGTCCTTGTTCATCCTTTCTGCCCTTTGTGACCCAAGGATGGTCATGCGAAATAGCAATGCCACGCTAGACTCATACTTCATGTATTCCTCCAACCCATCGCTGTGTGACATGGACATTTGTAGGTAAGAATAGCCACGACCTGAAACCCCGTGGATTTTTTTTCACCCCCCTGGATTGTTCGTTTATTCATTAATTTCTGGTTTGCAGCAAGTGCCACCCACCCACATCCACACTTGGACTCCGGGTGTGACCCGTGACCACTGGGTACCACTTTTCACTACTAGAGAATTACTGAAGCAGTTAGCGTGGCAAGCTAAAAAGGTCCGCCTGATCAGATCGAAGGGGCCCAAGGCTGGTACCTGCGTCAATCCCGCTTGCTGACGGAGCTGACGCATTCAGGGCAAGGCTGGCATTGGTGCGTGGTTGCTGCCGCTGCCACCAACTGGTTACACTACTGCCGCCTGTTCTCAATTTACCTCGAGTCTAATTCCTCGTACTCCCGAGTCACAGTTCTTGATTTCTATATTTGTTGGCTTCTGTTTCCATGCTGCTCACGGTTTCACTTCTAATTCTATTTCTGACCACGTCGCCACGATCTCACTCTGGGGCTATTGTTGCGTTGCTGTTGCTTCTTTGACTTTTACGGCTCGTTACGGCTGAAGCTGAAGCTGGAGAATTACCGACACTCTGACCAGCACCGATTACATCATGACTCCAGCCGCCTAGAGAACAATGGAGTCTATATTAAGTGCGGATATAGGCGACTAGCACCTTCGTTCGTCGTATTCCATCAGACTAACCCTATATGTGTAAGGGCAGGCTCAGATGTCCCGAGGCAAACTTAAATAATGGACAGAACTGGGGTAGGCCAGACAGAGATGGCCCGGATACAGGGACACACTTTGTTTGTCATGCTGCACAGTAGCAAACAATCCACGATGGCGGATTCATCTTACTCACATTGATTGCCGGTCCGAGACTCTATTGGCACAGGCTGAAGCCCCCTACATTCGCCCATCGAAGCCAACAGAGACCTGACCATGCTGTGCAATGAGACTCCGCCTTGTATCTACCACTGCATGGGATCATCTGTCCATGCATCCAGGCCCTTCTTCAGTGCATCCCGCACTGTAGCACCACCAACAAACTGACTTCAGCGGGTCGGTTTATTGACTGATATCAGCGCCAACGTAGCAGTTGCGCATGGAGCCGGGGCCGGTCCCTCCAGCATGCACCCTAGTCTCCTCAACCAGCCTGACAAACTAGCATACCATGCAACCCACTCAGCACCCACTAGTAAATCAATCAGTAGGATGTCCACGATAACCCTCCCGGACAGACTCCGCCATCAGCACCCAAGAAACTTTATTTCTCAAAAGTTAAAACCTTCAGCAAGCGCAGCTGCAGCTGCAGGTGCCACAGCCGATGCGCAGCTGTGCATGTGTACGACTCGATTGACTTTCCTAGTGCCCCTCCCCCCACCTTGCGACGGCGCTGTCGTGGGTAAACAAGAGCTCAGGCCGCGCTGCTTGTCGTTGCTTTTGTTCATGCTCGCTATTGAACTCTCACATGAATCAGACGAGTGTCAGGACCGGAAAATCTGTTCACTTGAAAAGGGGCCAAGTGCATGGTGTTACACATGATGATTGATGTCTACTAGGGAGCGGGGATATGGCTCTTGGTGGCCAAGGGTACACTTGTATCCCGAGCTGGCAGCATACCTCAGAACAGTATTTGAGTTGAATAGAAGCATGATGCTGATCTGTTGTGTGGCGCACGGACTAGATGATCAGCCTTTTTCTGGCGCCCCTGCGTAGCATCTGACCGTGTATAGATGCCTTTCTTTAAATGTAGCATGCTACTTGGTATAACAAGCGTTTGATCTCTTGCACGACTGCAACGTGCTGGACTCTACAAACTGTCCTTGGGCAGGCTACTCCAGAAGAGCTTGAGCCTAACCATTACCTTGCCCAGCCTTTCACCTAGTCTCGACTACATAAATCTGCACGTCATTTAACCACTCTTTCACTGACTGAATACGCTCGCCCAGGCGAGAGGGATAGGCTCTATAGCCAACTGCTTTGGTCGCGAGACTTCCCTATCAGCATCCGCTCACTATACAGCCAGTCAGGTTTACAATGCATAGCACAGTGACACTGCAAACAGAACTCACTGCATCCACAAACAACGCGGAGGCATTCATAGGTATAGTTCCCTTATCCCGCTGAATCCAGAAGGCGGTTGACAAATTGAGTAACCAGCTGGGGCGGCAGTATGCAGGGCCACTAGACCCCTTCCAGAAATGTCCATTTGGGGCCCGGGGCGGTGACGGGCCCTGCCGAAGGCCACACGTGGTTGGCCTTCGGAAGTCAATTACCGACAGTCAGTCTATGCAAGTGGAAGTTCTGCAGCACTGAAGAAGTTAACTCAGATGGGAAGGCATTGGATTCTTGTGCCACTCATGATTACAACCGTCACTATCAAATACGCCGAAGCATCCAGCACAGTCGATGACTCGATAGCAGTTAACTTCAAGTGGAGACCAATCGAGCCATAAACTCAAAATCTGCTGAACAGAGCTATCATAAGCACAACACCATATAAAGAGAAAGAATCTATACAACCGACGCTGCAAAATATCCATCTACCAGAAACCCGCATCAGACAAACCCCGTTAGGCCACTCACGCAGTATTAGCCCGAAACCACCGGATCACATGCAAACAAACGAAAGCATCCACTGACAATCCCCACTAAAAACCAACCCACAACCCATCGTCTACATCAAAGCGAAGCCTTCATCTTCACATCCCCAAAACTTCCCACTCCCACATCCCCTCCCACTCTCAACCAACCCCTAAAACAACAACAATCAAGATGTCCCCAAAATCAACCTACCTAACAATCTACAACACAATCAACGCCCTCCTCTGGGCCCGCATCCTCCTCACCCTCCTCACCACCCTCCTCTCCCCGCACCCATCAACAACAACAAGAGTATACACAGCCCTCGAACCAACCACAAAATGGACCCAAACCCTCGCCAACCTCGAACTCCTGCACTCCGCTCTCGGTGCGATCCCCCAGCCCTCCCCTTATTTCCCTCACCCAGCCCCCAAGTCACTAACACATCAAAAAATAGGAATAACAAACTCCCCCCTCTTCACAACCTTCACGCAAAACTTCGCCCGAACCGTACAAGTCTGGGCCATAAACCACGCGTTCCCAGACGTCACCGCCAGCTCAGCGGCGTACGCAGCCATGGTGGGCGCGTGGTCGCTGGCTGATGCCACGCGGTATACGTATTTTGCGGTGCTGAGTTCGTCCACGACAAGCACCGGGAGAAAAGTACCCGGGTGGTTGAAGTGGTTGCGGTACTCGCTGTTTCTGGGGTTGTATCCCGTGGGGATTGCGGGGGAGTGGTGGTTGATGTTTCGGGCGTTGCGGGTGACGGGGAGTTGGTGGGTGGTTGCTCTGTTTGGGTTCTTTTTGGGGTTGTATTTGCCTGGTGAGTTCCTCTCTATCTTTTTGGGGGTGTTGGGTTTGGGGAAGAGGGGGGGAAGGGCAAGTTGCTAATTCTTTTGGCGTGGGTAGGCTCCGTCATGATGTATAAGTATATGGTTAGGCAGAGGCGGAAGGTTTTGGCTGCTACTGCTGCTGCTGCTGATTCTTCTTGAATAGCCGTTCGGATGGGGTGGGCTTGGGGGGTGTTGGTGGGTGGGTTACTTGGAGATGCTGACTACTTATTATGTATGGTGTACTACGGTAGGAATATCAAGACGATACCAAGACTATCGCACTGCACCTCTCTCAAAATAAATGCTCTGTAGAATTCATCTGCAAGAAAAAAACCCGGGTATCGCTATGCATACAATAGAATCTAGTTTACCCCCCATCCCCCCACCATCCACATTTAAAAACTTTTGTTTCTCGTGCACTATTCTCCCCCCCAAAAAAATCACCGGAAAGTAGCGGTCCGTCCGGCCATCTCGCGCTTCTGCTTGCGCACCCCAGACGGGGCCTCAAGCGCCTTGGCGTACGGGTTGAAAGGCTTCCGTCTCGACGGTCTCGAAGCCTGCTCGGCGGGGTTGGCGTTCAGCATGGAAGCGGCAGCTTCGTAGTCGAACGGCGCTTCGTCCTCTGCGGGTTTTTGCTGAGCCTGCGGGGTCTGCGAGGCGGCCTTGTCCTTGTTCTTCTTCTCCTTGCGTCGTTGCTTCTTCGATGGCTTGTCGTTCAAGTCCAGGTCTAGGTCCGGTGCGGAGGAGCTGATGTCGATGTTGACTCCCTCTGCTTCGGATTGCGGCTCGACGGGGGTGACCTTGCGCTTGCGCGGGCCGCCCTTCTCCTTGATGGTGAAGTACTTGTTGTCGTTGTCGCTCGCCTCGGCTTCTGGCTTCGGGGCTGCTGCTGGCGGGGCTGAGGCCACGGCTGGCTTGGGAGGGGCGGAGACGCCGAGCTTCTCGCGGGCTTCGGAGACTGTGCGGGGCATGGGTGGCAAGGGAAGTGAAAGACGGAGCGCTTCGGCAGAGGCAACCGCTGAGATTTTGGGGGACGGGAGTGAGGTCTGCGTGTCGAGCACGCCGCCCCAGAATTGGGAGACCTCATAGCGGGCCACCGTGGGGAGATCCGTGTCATCTCCCACGGGCTCGGGCAAGAAGCTTGCCACTCCTTCGGCGGAGGAGGTGGCTGCCGGTGTGCTCTTGGTAGGCTTGACATAGACGTCGCGCCACTCCGGTCCGTCGGCGCCCTCAAGCTTGGCCGCTATGATGACGTCCAGCAGGTCTCCAGCCCGGTCCTTGACGATCGGCGTTATAGGCGACAGGGTCCGGTACAGAGTGCCCAGGTCCGTCGGCATGGCCTGAGCCACCCTGAAGAGAACGTGCTTCGGAAACACGCACTGCACGCCCTCATCCTCCTCGCGCGCCACCTCGTCGCGCCACTGATGCACCGCCTTGAAGACGGCAAACTGCTCCTTATTGATAACGATCTGATTGCGAGATAGCATATCGTACCAGCCGCCGGGTCCCTGTCCGGTGGCCGCGTCGTAGACAGGACGCTCGTAAATCTGCAGAGCCTCCTTCTTAGACTGCTCCTGGACGTAGTCGACCAGGTTGTTATCAGGGGTGGAGTTCTCGACGAGCTCGTTGCGGATGTGGTCGTACACGTAAAGAAGATAGTGAGTATCTGAGCGGGCGTAGTCGAACATGCCCTCGGGGATCGGGCGGATTCTCCAGTCGGCCATTTGATATTTCTTGTCGGCTTCGAAGTTGACGAATTTCTGCAGCAGGAACTTGAGACTGCGCTTCGGGTAGTTCAACGCGCAGGCGGCGTGATACGTATCGAACATGTTGACAACATACAAGCCCAGATCACGCTGGAGCCAGATCATATCCATCGAGGAACCATGGAGGACCTTCAGGATCTTCGGGTCGGCAAAAACCTCGTTCAACACCTGAAGCTCCTCTCTCCACGGCTTGAGGGTGTCAACCACCCAGTCCTTGTCCCTCGTGCTGATCTGCATCAACGAAACCAGACCCTGATACGAGTGCACATCGTGATGTTCCAAATCAATCGCAATCTCCCGCGCAGCCTTGAGCTCCTCGAGCATCTCTCGCACCCCTTCGAAGGTATCCACGAACGTCGCGGTCGTCGACTCCCACGGCTGATAATCCACGGGCGGCGCCACCGCATAGGTCGAATCGGGGAACTTGGCGGCGCGAATCTCCGGTTCGTAGGGATGCACATACCCGGGCGCGCCGGTCTCACTCAACTCCAACGACTCCTCCAGCGGCACCAGGGCGTGGGGCTTGGATTTCAGCAGCGGCTTGAACGGCGAGGTATCGGTGTTATCAGGCAGGTGATCGAACAGCAGCTGGGGCTTAGGGATCTTGGACGGGCCGTAGTCGTAGACGGTAGGGAAACGGGCGGCGGCCTTGGTCTTCGCGGCTTTGGCGGCGGCGGCGGCGGCAGCCTGGTCTTGCTGCGAGGGGCTCAGCTTCTTGATGACCCCGGTGAATTCGTCCAGGCAGGCGTCCGCCTTCTCCAGGAGCGCATCGATCACGTCCACGACGCCGCGCCAGTTGTCCTCGAGGGCATCGTCGTCCTCCAGCGCCGGCGCGGAGATATCCGTGCCGGAGGTCGCCGCCTTCAGCAGCGACGAGGTCAGCGACAGGAGCCGGTTGCTCTGCTCATCCAGCGACTCCGATACCTCCGCGTTCGAGGAGCGGTGGAAATCGACATCTTCGGCGGAGAGCTGGCCGACGGTGCGCGTCACTTGCACCAGCGACGAGGTCAACCGCTGCTGGAACGGAGGGAAATCCGCGGCGGAGTTCATGGTTTTTGACGGGGAAGCGAGATCCAGACACCAAAGCAGATAGCAAAGCCAATGGTGTCGTCTCTCACGAAATTGATGTGGTTGCAACCTGAGTACTGACAGCAACTCAAGTCTTTTGTCCCGCGCTACAAAGAAAAAAAAGGCGCCGGTCGGTTCGGAGGTGGAGAAAATGCTTGAGCCGGCGGAATCTGACCGCCTACTGTTTCAGGATCATACATTGTACTCAGTCCGCCTCAACTGGATTACGTAATTATATGATAGAGGCACGAGATTAATTGACATTTGCCTCCCAGAGCAAGCAAGCCATATCAGATACAAGAGATCCTATAAATCACTTTCTTCTCATATCTCGGCACCTATATTCCCAGAGACCTACCCTTCAATAGAACCCAAAAATGGCAGCTTCCATCGCCCCCGAATGCAACGATATCAAAGAGTAAGTAAAGACACGACCCTACAAACCTACAAAAGCCTACAGTGTATATCAGAAACCCATGAACATGAACATGAACTAACCACCGAACCCAGAAAATACGACACCTGTTTCTTAAAATGGTACAGTGAGAGTAAGTCAATCCCCCCTCCTCAGCATCCCAACTATAAAACTATAAACTCACTGAACAAAGAATACCTTCGCGGCAACACCACCTCGAATGACTGCGAGGAGCTCTTCACAAAGTACAAGACCTGTCTGAACGTATGCTCTGCTCCCGCCCCATTCCGCTGCAGAAGTAGTAACCACTAACACCGAATCTCAAAGGTCGTGCTTAAGGAAAAAGGCATCGATTCGATGCTGGAAGATGCCCGGAAGAGCACGACCAAGGAGATTGACGCAGAGACGCTTCGTCGGGGCTGAGAGCATCATCTCCTGCTCGTGAGCTTGGGAACTTACTTGATCGATTCTTCTTTGTGGAGCAGTTTACTCTGCGCTCTATTTTCTTTTGTGCGCCAAAGGCTGGCGTTATTGAGGAGTTTGCTCTTGGCATATCTTCCTCTCTCTCCCTCTCAGGCTGGTTCTAGAACAGGGGTGCTTAATCCCAAAGAGCACACCACTGAGTCCAGTGGGACGCATAATCCCTCGCCTACCGCCTTCGAACATCTCATCTCGTTTGGACTTTACTGCTTTATCTGGCATGGTTCAGGGACTTATCGTGGTCCCTTTCTCGGAGAAATAGAGCGTCTACTTATGTGTATTATATGTTGGTTGTGACTACCGCTATGTGTGATATGACCTAGAGAGCATACCTTTTGTAATATATGTACCATCTTTATTTGAACTCAGTCAGGTAGCTCGAACAAGTAATATCTATTTACCATTTTACTGCTAAGAACATAACTCATGGCATCACCGATGGCCTCGTCTCCGCATGTCCGCCTGCCCAAATGTCCCCGGGACCTTGAGAATCCCATTTGCCGCGGTGCCTATCCCGCCACCCATGGATGAGGAACTGCTGCCCCCGCTACCTGTCTTGCGGGGTTGGGTCAACATTGACCACACCTCCATCATGGTTGCCCGGCGTGCAGGGAGCATGCTGTACTGCATGCCGTACAAATTGCGGCGGTGAATGGGAGGCACGAAACGGCCTGTGACGAGACAGAAGATGACCCGCGGAGCGAGATAGTGTTTCCGGAGCCGGTGGCCCAGTTGGAAGTATTGATCGAACATAGCACGGAGCGCGAGCGGGATAGACTCGAGATGGATGTAGGGCACGCTAGCGGCGGACTTGTTGGCTGTAGACTTGTCGTGCTCTTCTCGAAGTTCAAAGCGGATGCCGCCTGTTCATGTCATTGTGCGTCAGTTAGGAAGTCCAGGAGAACAAACGGAGTATAACGAACCGGGTAGTCGCCGCGAGTCTTTGACTCTCAGCATCAGCGCAAAGAGCGGGAAGTGGTTCAAGAAGGCTAAACAAGTGTCGAGCGCTGCCTTCAACGATATGATCAACATCCGCGCACTTGCAAAGGCAAGATAGAAGACGATGACAGTGGGTAGAAGAAAGAAGAGAACGGTAAATAGTATGGTCCCCAGCAGAAGCTGATCGAGATCATAATCGCACGAATCAATACGATTGCGAAGTACGTTTCGCTTCTTGCCGCGAAAAAGATGGAACAGCGAGATGATGATTGTCAGCTGCCAATTGAAGATCCGCGCCGACGCAATGTAGAACGAGTAGATGTGAACGGTCAGGATGGATACCAGATCGGAGAAAAGGGCAATGGGCATGCTTGCTCCGGCGAAGCTTGAACATCCCACCACATAGATCACATGTGGAAGGTAGGGCTGCAGGTTGGCAATGCAAGCTGAGACATAGTCAGTACGATTAACTCGCCATGCACGAATGGCGAAATGTCAAACTTACCTGCCCAGTTCTCTATCACCCATAAGAAGAGATCTCCAAGAAATGCAGCGAGCTCATTGTTCAGTTTCAGACCCGCCGGCCAGTCCATGAGCCAGGATATGGTTCGTTGCAAGCCCTCCACCGTCCAGCCCGTCAGTATGGAGTTGATCTGAAAAGCAACCCAATTGGCATTGTCGATGATGTACGACCCTAGCGCAATCCCGATGATCACATCATTAGCCACAAGCCACAGACTATTATAGAATCGAATATAGTCCGGATGGCTCGTCGTCACGCTCTCCCAATTATCCTTTCTTTGTCGCAGCTTCACATATTGGATGGGCCAATAGCAGAACTGTTGGAGGCGTATGTCCACCTGCTGGGCCGTAGCAGAGATATCCTTCAGCGCAGCAGCGTCGGGACGAGCGCGCCACTCCAAAATCTGCAGGACAATTTCTGCTATCGTACGGTGGAACACAAGACCGATGACAAAGATCCGGGTGATCACAGGCCATATCCACTGCCAAAAGACGTAGGACACGCCGAGAACGAACATGTCCCAAAGGGTTGTCGCAGACTCCACGACCCGCTCTCCAACGCTCATGCTTCTCTTGACCCGAATCCCGATCAAGTGGCTGTTCTTCTCCATGAGCTTCCCCATCTCATAGGCACAATTGACCTGATTGATAATGAGAGGTAAAGCTTGTTCCTTCGATGAAAGTACATGTTTCACGACCGTATGAAGCTTGAGCTTTTCCACCAACTTCCCCCCCTTGGCCTTATCGTGCTCCTCCTCGGTATCGATCTTACTCGACACCGCATCCGACTTATCAGCCGTAAACACCTTATCGCCCAAAGCCAGTGATATCGGATCCAGCGACATATATTCCATCCTAGTCGGATGCGGCCGGTGAAACATGATGACCTGAACGGAGAGATTCGTCTCCGGCGGACACCAAATCCGAGGCACCTTGCAGGGCGGGGTCGTAGTCACATAAAGATGCGATGGGTTAAACGCACTGGGCGGGTCCGGGGAATTCGTCGACCCCAAAACATGCATGGCAGATCGTCCACACAAGGTGAATATCCGCACAATCGGATGCGGGCTATTGCGAAAGAGGATTCCCGCGCGAAGCGCATTGTCGACATTCCGTGGCTATAGATACCAAAGAGGTCAGCTATCCCGGTCCCTCTCGCATATTGTGAACTACCCCAGCAAGGAACCTCCCCATCCACAAGAATGAGAACAACTCACCTCAACATCCTCCAGCACAGTTAACACAAACAAATCCAGCTCCGAGTTCCGCCACCCAACAATCACCCCCGGCGATGCCGACCGCGGCAGATCGTATGGCCAGAATACCCGTAACAGCCCATCGCTCATGAGCATGTTGTCATTTCCTCCGGCGCGCGCGGTTTAAAAGGAGCCTCGGCGGCGTAGTTGTTCTCGAGCGGAGACCCCCAGGTGGACGTAGCGCGGGTGCTAATAAAAACATGATACATCCTTGATCAGCCCTTGCCCTTTGACGACCCAAAGCGACGACGTCATTGTTCTTTTTTTTCGCGATAATCGATAACAAATCGGCTTCGGTGTTGAGATATGGGAGAGCATACCAATTCACCCTCAGTCGCAGCCAGATGATTGATTGGAAGGACAAGAAGGAAGAAAAAGACCGACAGCAACAGAAAGCCTTTCGCAGTACGTGTCTGGTCCAGCAGAGGGATACAATGTTAGCTAGTTGTTCGTTGGTTGCGACGCACGCGCCGCGCGGCTCGGGTCTTCCGAGGTAGAGTGCGCGTTGGGTGAATCCAGACAATGCAAGCATACCACTACACCGTGATCCCATGCAAAGATGGCTAGTTCGTACAGCCGGGTGACAAGATCCCACCGCGCGGTGATGTAGCCCGCTACAAAGATTCCGAGAGTGAGGATGGAAAAGGGGTGCATGAATCAAGTTGTTTCCGCGGGAGTGAGGATTCGCTTTAGGTTGCGCGCATCGCTGAGGAGAGTGGAAGGAGAGTAGCAGAGAACGAAAGTTCGAAAAGCCGGTAAGGAGCGATGGCCGCAGCAGGACAAACTGAAATCAAGCTTGAGAATGAATCGAATGTAGCCGAGGGTAGCAATGAATGTCTCTGGAAGCTTGTCTCCAGATACGACGTAGGAGTTCCCTGGGATCATCCCGCACAACCCTGCGGCATCCAGAATCTCCGCAATCACACGTGACCTGTAGATAGATTGCATACAAAGTGACACAAAGTGACTACATGCTGTAGAAACATACATCACTAACAAGTGATCATTCAAAGAATATCTACCCTAACATACAAGTATCCCATTTTCCGAAACTCCTAGCCGCTATAAACCCGACAACAAACAAGAACCGAGACATGTCCTGATGGCCATTGAACAGTTTTCTACAGAGCTTTGATGCCCTGGAACACCTTATTCGCCTGCAGCTTGGGCTCACTCTTTACCAAGTCGCGCATGATCTGCCGCTTCTCCTCCACCGTGAGATTCTGCCCAGGCGCCTCAACCGCCGCCTTCCATTTGAGCAGCATTTCCTTGAGAAGAGCGCTGCCCTCTTCGACTTCCTCCTGGGAATACTTGTCGATCAACATGGCCGACTCGTCGCCTTGGGCTCCGGCAGAGGTGAAGTCCTCCAACTCGTCTGCCTTCTGCCGCGCCATGTTGACGACCTTGTCGGGGAAGCGCACCAGCTCGGCGACGTGAATACCGAAGGACTGGTCGCAGATGCCGGGCTCGACCCGGTACAGCAGCGTGACCTGGTTGCGCTTGGCGTCTTTCTCGTCCTTCGCTTCGTCGGTCCCATCGCCGATGAAGGCCACAACGTGCAAGTTCTTGGCGGATTTGGGATACCGGTCCGCCAGGGCTGTCAGCTCGTGGAAGTGGGTTGCAAAGAGCCCGAAGCAACGAATCTCGGTGACAATATGCTCGGAGATCGCCCACGCCAGACCGAATCCATCATAGGTGCTCGTTCCACGACCCAGCTCGTCGATGATAATCAGGGACTCGGAGGTTGCGGACTTAAGGATGTTGGAGGTTTCAAGCATCTCGGCCATGAAAGTCGAGACGCCCTTCAGTTGCGAGTCACTAGCACCGACACGAGCGAGAATGCAGTCGAAAATGGTCAGCTCGGCCTCGCTGCACGGCACAAAGCACCCCGTCTGTGCCATAAGCGCAATGACACCGATCTGTCGAATATAGGTTGATTTACCGCCCATGTTGGGACCGGTGATGATAAGGAAAGACGACTCATCCCTGATTAGGGACACATCGTTGGTGATAAACGAGATGTCGTCCTGCATCTCCATGCAAGGGTGACGGGCTTCCTTGAGGATCGTATTTCCAGTGCCTCGTGGGTGGATCTTGGGACGAACATAGGGTGTCGGAGCATGTACAGCGGCATGCGCAAAGCTCACAACGACATCGAGGTGAGCAAGAATCCCTGCCAGCTGCTCCAGGACAGGGCAGTACGATGCAGCGACGTTGACCACCTCACCGACCAGACCAGTCTGAGTGCGGTTGTAGTTGGACGAAAGCTGGTCATGCTCGCGCCGCAGCGCCTGCATTGTCGACGTGGTGAAGTAGACGCCGTTCTTCTGCGTCGAACACTCCTGATACTCTCTCTTGTTTCGGATGCAGCCGGCCTCGTTACGAGTAAGCCGGAAGCACCAGCCATGCACTCGATGATTCTCCATGAACAGCTTCTTCTCCACTTCCTGGTCCAAGTCGCGTCCGACCCGGCGATGCTCCACGTCCATCTCATGTCGCAGCTTATCCAGCTTCTTGCGAATGATACGCAAGCTCTCGTCGAACTCCGGCTTGATGATGAACTCATGGTTCTCCAAAGCAGCCAGATCGACAGTCGTCTCCACCATCTCCTCCAACTTCACCAAGCTATCCGAGTAACTCCGCAGCTTGGCCGTATACTCCTTCTCAAGCGGCGTCTGGTACTGCTCATCCATCACATTCTCCAACGAAGCGACAATGCCCGGGAGACGAATAGCAACCTGGTACACGCGCACAACATCCTCCAAGGTGGCCTGCTTGCGCTGAAACCTCTTAGCAAGCCGATACAGATCAGGGATGGAGCGCAGATGCTCCTCCTGCATAGTCTGCCTCAGCTCAGTATCCACCACAAACGCCTCAACCAGCTGCTGGCGCTTCTCGATCTCCGCGCGATCCATCAGCGGCTGCTTCAGCCACTGGGCCAGCAAGCGGCTCCCGACGGGGGTCTTGCAATGATTCAGCAGACCAAACAAACTCATCGACTTGGACCCGTCCCGCGGACCCGGCATGAGGTTCAGGGCGCGCAACGCCGAGGCATCGAGCTTCATAAACTGGGCCAGATCATGCTGATACAGCTGATACTGGCCGAAATTAGACGCATCAGTCATAACCCCAAGATACTTAATCAAGGCAGCAGCAGCACCCATAGCCAACTTCCACTCAGTCTGCGGCAGCAACGAGCCAGCGGAGCGCTCATCGCGCAGCAAACGGGTCAAATCCTGCTCAATATCCCTAACCCCAAAGTCCGCAGCGGCGCGCTCCGACACCGCAATCCCACAACTATCCGCAATGGCGCGCACTTTCGCCAACTCAACATCCTTCCGCCCGGCATCCAGCTGCACAAGACACTCCTTGACCCCCAACTGAATCACGAGCGACTCAAAGTTCGAATACACATCATTATCAAGAAACTCACTAACGCCGAGTTCTCGCACGCTCGCATCCGCAAAACACACCCCCACACTGCGCGCCTCGCCCGCCTTCGCCGAGATCTTCACACTCAAGATGATCGGCGCCGCGGCGTCCAGACTCAGCGCACCCACACTGCCCAGCTCCTCCTCCACGTCCTGCAGGTTGCCGGGACTGGCCTGCTTGGTGCGTTTCCAGGCCCCGCGGCCACCGGAAGACGTCCAGATCTCGATACGCTTGTTCAGCCGGAAGAGCGCCTCGCGCAGGAAGTTGCGGAAGACCGTCACGCTCATCGTCACCGATGGGAGCCCGCCCGTCTCGCTGCGGCCTAGGTTGCGGAGCACAGACGTCGTCTTGTACACCGTCCGCGCGATGAACTCCGCGTCTGTCCCGTGCGCGGAGTACCAGTCGCCTCGGTCGAAGATGCGGATCGTGTCATTGTTGGTGTTGCTATCGTCCGAGGTGGAGGAGATCGAGCGGTAGAAGCGGATGAATCCGACTTCGTCGTCAACCTGCCATTATAGAGTGGTGGTGTTAGCTCTCTCCGGTGGGCTTGTTGTTTTTAATGCTGGCGAAATTTGTAGGTCTCGTAGAAAGGAAACTACCAGGTGTGTTCGCGGGGAATTGTCGAGAATGGGTGGAAGGATGGAGCACTTACCCTGAGATCTGGCCGTGAAGACATAATGCCAGAGACCCAACGAAAACAAAGGTGACTTTCGGAGCTCAGCCAGATTGTCTGTTGTTGTTGGGCGCAAAGGTCTGGTCAACTGCGGACGGCTATCTATCACTCCGAGACGCGGTCCGTGGCAACGCGGTCACGTGCATACGCGTTGCGCGGAAGTGGTTTTGAGCCAACCAGAGAAGTCAGCTGCATGTGCTCTGTTTGTCTCTCCATGTCAGGTAAATTGTACAGGTACAAGAAAATTAGTCACTGTGTGGCCTGAGTACTTGGACAAATATCTCAAAGTTGATACATAAATTATTTTATAGAATGAGGCTATGCTAGTAGTACACGAATAACAAATGCCGCTAACATACATGACACAGGCGATGCTCGAACAATGTAATCATAACGCCGGAACTGCATACCAGGCATTCCGGATGAGGTATCACAACATCCAAAACGAACGAGGGGTTTAAACCAAATCAACGCTCCACTTATCCCTGGGAGGACCATCAAATTACTCCCATCCTATCTTCAGCTGTAGAACTCGAGCCGCAATCTCCTTTGGCTGCACATCAGCACAGGACTTGAGCACCACGGACCTGAGCTGATTGACGGTGACGAGATTGACCCATTGGCCCGCAACATCCTCCCGAGCCAGGATCTCCAGGCAAATCTCAATCTCTCGATCCGCCACGGGATTGCGCAGCGAATCCTTCACGTTCTGTACAATCGTCTCCATTCGGAACGGCGTCCGCTGCGCCGTCATCACAGCCCTCGCACCATTCCCCGTGTATCCTCTGGGCCTCAGCAGAGCCAAGACACCTGCAACCTCCTCGATGCGCTCCGCCGCAGCCCGCTGGAGAAGCATATCCTTCGTCGGCGGCGGCGGCAACTTCGCCTGTCGCAGTTGCTTGTCCTTGATGCGATCCAGCAGGCCCTTCTTCCGCGTACTTGCCGCATCCAACGACTTATTGTTGGCTGGCACAGGGTCCTCCTGCCCATCGGCGCGCAGCTTCTCCGTCTTCAACTTGATCACCCCACCCTTCAAATCCTGCAACCGCTGCTGACCCTTCCGGAACGTTGTGAAGGGGACCAACGACTCATGAATTGACGATACGCCCAGCGTACCAAGGAAGTCCACCTTCTCCGCATCCCCGTCCGCAGCATCCAGCGCCTTCTCCCAGAGCAGATCGACCGTCTGCTCAAACCGCTCCTGCAAGTCACCATTGCCGTCCTCACTCCGCGATGACGATGATATAGTCACGCTATTAGCAGCAGCACCAGCCAGTTTCTCCAAACACACCCTTCCGAGCCCATAATTGGCAATCCGAAACGACGACGAAGACGACTGATCCTGCTCCATCACCCAGATCAACCTCTGCAGATCCTTGACAACGACCTTACGCTTCTTCCAGATCCGCTGAATGCTGGGCAGCAGTTCCCGCAGGTCCGCGGGACGATTCACCCCGTTGTGCATCATATGGATGGAGACCGCCTTCAGGAAGGCCGAGTGCAAGGCCACCAGGTCGTCAACGCACGCGGGGCGTTCAACGATCTGTGCCTCTACGACGGCAACACTCGCCTTCCGCGGGAGCGATACCGGGTTCCGCTTGTGCGTGGCCGCCCGCTTCGACGGCGAGGTCGGGATGTCGTCCTCTCCTTCCTGTGCGGAGGGGCGCGCATAGTGCCCGCTTCGTGGGGTCGAGAGGGCGAGTTCGCCGAGTCGGAGCGTCCGGGAGGGGGTAGCTGCCTCGGGTACGTTTGCGGCATCAGCAGGGTCGAGCTTGCCGCCGTCTTTGGTCTCGGCTTGTCCGGCGCCGCAGGAGACGTTCTGGAGTTCGTGCAGTTTCCTTTTCTTGGACGGGGAGACTGGAAGGCACGAGGGGGAGGAGGGGGAAGAGGAGGTCGTGATTGCCGTGGATGATGGCGGGGGCACCAGCTGCTGTTGTTGCTTTTTGAGGTCCGCGACCGACTGGCGGGTCGTGACGCCGGGCTTGATCGCTCTTGCAAAGGTCTGGATGCCAGCCTGCCCCCGGGGAAGGGCGGCCAGTCTCGAGGAGGTGCGCGGCATCGCGGCTTCCTTCGCTAAGGGAGGATAATATACGGAAGGTAAGAGATAAAGACGAAAGGGCAGGTGTTGTTGCGGCAACATGGAACAATTGGGAAGGTAGGAATGCAAATTTAGCAGTATAATATGCTCGAGCGTGGGTAGTGGGAGGAAGTGGGCTTATGGATGGGGTCTGGGGAAGTTTGACGGGCGAAGGAAAATTGCCGATGTTCTTTTAGGGGCGCTTGGATGCTTTTTCTTCGGGTGGAGCGCGTTCGACGCGGGTCGCGTGTTTCTTTGGCGTCCGAGCCGAATTCGGTAAGATTAAGTGCCCGCCGCGGCCATGGTCAGCAAAGGTAATTAACGAGAAGAAAAAAAGCTCAAGCCATCAACACCGATTATTACTTATAGACTATGAGGTGAACATATATCACTTGAAATTTTATCCAGTTGGGAATATCATGCACGGCAACCCGTCTCTACAGTAATTGTACCATCGGAATGCAGCATACCACGGCTCAGCTCTCTCTTCTCTACTGGACTCCACACTGCAGCTTTTCAAGATCCGCTCGAGTGTCATTTTGCTCGAGGCAGTCTAGGCCACTCCATAGTATTTATGATATTTAGGCGAGTGGTGAGGGCCTAGCTAGTATCTCTACATGCTTACATGCTTATATGCCCACTCCGCTCCTCCCCTTCAACCCCAGCAAGACAAGAGGACTTCCTTAAGTCTTTGAATGATACTTATAAGAAAGAGAAAAATGATATTAGGACCGACTTCGAGTATCAATCATAACACCTCGAACCATCATAACGGTAATAACATCATAATCACCATCATCATCATCAAAGACAGCTGCCAAAAAGACAGACAGACAGACAGATCCGCACGCAAGGCCCAGCCATAACATATGCATACCATCAATCCATCACTGACCTTTTCACTCACCCATCATGAGCACAACACGTCGAACCAAAAGGGATGGGATAAAATAAGAAGAAGAAAAAAAACAAATATCACAAATCACTCAACTCCCCCCCGGCCGCAAAGAAAACACATGAAAAATACGCAGTTCCCAACAAAGAAATGCACACGATCATGCATCACGCATTTATTTCTTGCCGAACCAGCCGGACAGCGCACCCTTAGCCTCGGAGGCCTTCTCCTCGACCTTGGACTCGATCTTGTCGGCGCCGGACTTCAGCTCGGCGGTGGTGTCCTGGCGGATCTGGTCGAAGCGGCTGGCTTGGTTCTTGGCTTCGGCGCGGGCGGCGTCGACCTATTTAGTGATGCGTTGTTAGTTGTGCAACTGGTTTGGATTATGGTGTGGGGTTCATTTCAAAGGGAGGGAAGAGGTGAGGAGGGAAGAGGATTGGGAAAAACGTACAGTCTGGTCAACGTTCAGACGAGCCTCGTAGGCGGCCTTCTCTCCGGCCTTCTCGGCTTGGTTGCCCGTGGGGGCGTTCAGACGGGCGAGGTGGGCGTCGTCTGCTATGAGTCAGTAATCATTGTCATGAAGGCAAGCAGAAATCCAGAAGGGAAAGGGAGAAGGGAAGTGCAGTGCGTACGCTTAACCTCCTGGGTAGCACCCTTGGGATCACCGCCAGCGCGGTACAGGTAGTAACCACCCAGACCGAGGGCGGCGAGACCGGCGTAAACTCCAGTGCGACTCTGAGCCATTGTGATAGGAATTGGATTGGATGTAGAAAACGGGTTGTGGTGGTAAGAAGTGGGTGGTGGTGGTGGTGGGTGGTTTGTTTGTTTTGGGTGTGTTGTTGTTGTTGGATTAGATTGTGAGTCGGAGGAAATGTATACGTTCGCAATCCAGGTGAGATGAGAGAAGTATTATATAGTCGTCGTGTGCGACCTGGAATCTTGGCTGGCTTGTTCTACTCTTCCTCTCATAGTCGTGGCTACTGCTGGGCGGGCGGGTAAGTTGTCACAGGGTATGACGTCGTCGTCGCCGTCGTCGTCGTCGTCGTCGTCCAGCTCGGGGACTAAACTGCCTTAGTCGGTTTCTTAGGTAGCACTTCAGGGCTGCAATTGACGGTGTTCTACAGGGCGGGGGAACCTCGGATTGTTGTTTGTCCTTTGATTTAGACTGGTACTTGCTTTGTTGGCCAGTGGTTGATTTTTCTACCACACAGAACGGACAAGCAATCTCTCATTTTTCAAAAGAGTTGCTCTATAGCCTCCAGTTACTCCTACAAAATAGGCCACTTCACTACAGTCTTCAGCACAAGTCGATAGATTGAGAGGACAGGGCCGAGTCGGGTGCGGCAGCCATCGGCCGATACTACGTCACCACCGAGTCATTGTCGTCCACTGGGACTCGTTCCATGGTGATCTAGTCCCCTCTTTTCTCGCAGCCACTGTCAGGAAAAGGTACCGTACCCAGTGAACTAGAGTACTTTGACGTTACTGAGTTTGCGGGGAGTTGAATCAACAACGTCATGATGGGTCCCTCTACTTTAAGCCAGCTTGAAGCTGCAGGGGAGAGAGAAAGACATGCTGTGGCTGGTCTACCCCCCGGGTCCAGGTCCGGCAAAACAACACTCTTGGCATCATCAATCTAAAAATGGTTTCGTTCTGGAATTGGCTCAATTACTATAACCCGCAAATGATTGCTGAATCCCTCGCAAAGAATAAACCACAAATGACGGAAAGAGAGAGAGCCCCACCGTCGCCAAAGAAATGACATACTAAAACACGATGGCCAGCTTCCACCCCACCTCCACCACCGAAAGAAGCAGAGAAACCTCGGTATAGACAACGTCAAATGGACAATCGAAGCCACACCGCGACCAGAGTAGGAAACTCCTTCCGTAACCTCGTAGCAGACACTCGAGATCAAGGCCGGGGGGGGTATCTTCATGCACTATAGACAGTATTCCGGAAGAACAAAGACGGAGAACGCCAGAGCATGCAGCAACAGAGACGAAAGGAGAGAAAGACCTGAGCGAAAGAAAAGGGGAAGAAAAGAAAAAAGAAGAAGAAGATAGTATTTGCGAAATCCCCATATTGTCCCAACCCGCCGATGCATTATTTCGTCATTCATCACTTCATAAAGATTCCCGCAGCCGAGCGGTGTGTGTAGCTTCGAGTTAACGAGAGGGCCAGGTTCTAAAACTCCGCGGCTATATCCAAAACAAAGAAAAGGTCGAGGAAACCCATAAGAAGAGGCCGACGCCCCATACTATACAACTCCCGCTCAAAACAAAAGTAAGGAGAAAGAGCGGCGAGCCCGAGCAAGGTCGGTTGAGGATGCGGAATCGCTGAGGATGTGATCACCGGATGAAAATAGGAAAAGACTCGTCAACCCCGGACACGAGGCCAATACCTCGGCCGTTCAGATAAAGAGCTTCGTTGCGCTCTTGTTCTCGCTGGTGGCAACGGCAACGAGAGCTTCCAGCCGTCCCATTCCAGGTTCCCGGACCGAATGAGGGAGGAACTCGGACCGAAGTTCACGTTTGCCGAAGTGGCTATCAGGTTGGGGGGCTAGAGGGGGGCAAGCCTGCATTCCAATCAGTGATCTGGCCCTCATCGATAGTTCTGGTAACGTGTGCGTACTGTCTGAGATGTCTCGGATGCAAAGGGAGGATGATGCTGCTCCACATATCCATTGTTATGCACAATTGCAGGATGATACTCCAGAGACGCAGTGGATGGGGTGTGAACTCCTTCGCTACTGCTGGAATCCTCAGGTGATGTGCGCGTCGCCTGGGAACCCATGGTAACGCTGCTAAACGACGGGGCATGCCCATGTCCACGAGATTCCTGAAGTTGCTGCTGATAAGATGAAGATGGCCGGGAACCGACATTTTGGAGTTCGGCGATGGTTTGCTGGCTCCAGTTTGCCGCGTCCCGATGAGATGGTTTGTCCCGAATATGCAATCCCGTAAGGTTCGTATGCAGCGACATATCCCACGAGACGTGGCCGCGCCGATGACCGGGACCAGAGATTGGTGGCGCTGGTCGGCTCGTCGGCTGCGTGTAGTTGAAGCCTCCCCCAAAGTTGTAATTCGGCGGTTGCTTGCTGGGGTTGTCCATTTGCATGGGACTCGGGCGGCGGACAGGCGGGGTCAAGGGCCGCTGAGCAACCACCTTATCGAAGCTTTCAATGCCTGGCAATCGCGGAGGCTGATCTGCCAACCCATTGGGTTTCGCCGACGGATGAAACACTTCTGGGGTCTGGTAGTTACTGAGGCCACTGGTGGCTGGCCGTTGAACCGCAGACCAAGTCGAAGGGTGCCATGTCCTTCTGCGTAGATCGGTATCCGAAGCTCCATGATTCATCTCATCGCGCGATAGCGAGTAGTTAGAGCTAACCGGGCTGGCATACACCCCTCCATGCGCAACATACGCTTGCGATGGAGCATAACCTGGTGGGTAGACGTTGCCATGCTGCGATGTAAATGGGTTTGCGCCCGACGGTACAGACAATCGACGAGCGGCTGTCTTGCCCTCCCAGAATCCCGACGCCTGTGAGGCTGTAGACATCGGTGAAGCAATGTGAGGGCTGCCATGGGGGCCGGCCGCAAAGACATGGTGTGAAGGTGTGTAAGGGGAACCACCCGCCTGTGGCCCTGGCAAGCACCGGCCTGGGGGAGTGCTGGGAGTATCCAGCGTATCCATCAATCGCGCTCGATCATTTGCCATCATCAGCGGTGCAGGTCGACGGCGAAGCTCCTGCGGTTGACTGAAAGTCGATGCAGTGGAGGTAATGCTTGATGCGGAAAGATTCCTACTGTGGCCCCTACTATGAGTACCTTGACTGCCCGCCGTGCCCGCTCTCGCGCGACCCGGGGGCCGCACACGATCCGTTCGGATTTGTCGTTGAAATCTGGTTCCTGTCGCTGCTAGTGAGTCGCCAGGGATCTCCTCATTGACATGCACAGTTTGAGCATGTTGTCGCAAGTTATCCAATCGAGAAAAGCGTCGGGAGCAATGACATTGAAAGGGGCGCTCGCCGGTATGTTTTCGAATGTGCCGGGCCAGATGCTCGCTCCGTGTGAAACTCAAGTTGCATGGTGGGAAGTCAGTGCAGTAGAAGCGTTGGCCCTTTTTCTTCTTCGAAGGGGGAGCATTGTCCTTGTTGTCTTCGTTGTCAGAACCTTCGCGATCGACATCCGAATCTCCATGGGCGGGCTCCTCTGACGTTAACGATGCGCTCGTTTGTGAGTCTATCGGGCGGGTTGAGTCTTCGGCGATATTTACATTCCGCGGGGTGCTCTCATTCGTCTTGGTGCCTAGTAATTGTGCGGTGTCAGAGCCGGGATGGGGGCGAGGGGTAGGTGATGTTGTCGCGTCCTCCATGACCCGGTCCTGTGGCGATGAAATAGTATTGACAGGTAAGAATGAAGACATATTGGCAGATGGACGACTGTGGATTGGGCCCACAGCTATGTACTTTGGTCGATAACAGGATGGTGGGACGATGGTCGACACACAAACTCGATCTGGTTCAAGGGAGAGGAACGGGGGTGGGTTTCAAAATGTCAAAAACGCGGTGTCGATCGCACGGTGCAGAGTAGTCCTAGACATCATTGCGCAGTCACGGTAAGCAGGTGATCCACGATAGGTTTGAGCGGTAATTAATTTTTGACGGTCCATAAATTTTTCACCTCCAAGATGCGGTAACTGAGACACGATGGAAGGAAAGAGGAACCGAGGGGTTGATCGGTGAGCAGCTGGGCTAGTCCGGAAAGACGAAGAAATAGAAGGAAAAAGCAAAAGGAACTTACACCGGAATGAAGAACAATTCACTTGCCTCCCTAACCAAAAAAAAAAAAAACCGAGCGAGGGGGGAGAGGGTAAGGAATGCTCAGAGAAGGATGGATGATGGCGATGACCTGTTTAACCGAATGCCCGACGGCGATGGCGAAGCAAGGGTAGCCAGGTGGTACACGATAGATGGAAAGGAACGACCATTAGGTGCGAGGACGCATCGCTTACAGATCGGCCTGACCAAGAAAGGGTCGGAAGCGGGCACTCAGTCACGGGTAGGTAGGCCGAAAAGATGGTTGAGAAAGAGAGGGACTGAGGAGGGAGGAGGAGGTAAGTGGAAAGATAGTGATGATGGGATAGAGTGGGTGGTGGTGAGAGAGAGAAAGAAAGAAAGAAAGAAAGAGTAGGAAGGGAGAGAGGCTGAGAGGAGTAAAAGTGGTGGTGGTGGTGGTGGTGGTGAATGGTTAAGTGTGGTAAGTGGTAAGTGGTAAGTGGTAAGTGGTAAGTGGTAAGAAGTTGGTAAGTGGTAAGTAGGTGTAAATGCAGTGTGGTAAATGGTGTAAGGTTCGTTCAGGTTGGCGGACTCGAGCGAGACTTTCCCGTTCGGCGTCAAGTCAATCCTGATGGCTGTGGGTATGACAGTCAGGACACCGACCCAGCCAAGACCTGGACTAGAGTGGAATAAAAATAGGAGGAATCGTGAACCGATCGGAGGCCCCTGGTTTACGGATCGTCCGGGGAGGGCAAATCAGCCAGAATAAAATATATAGGTAGGTCAATGGACAGGTCAAATGCGATTCTCCTAGACCAGTTCGAATATAGGGGATCGCAAATTGTGACCCGTTTGCAGGGAATCTGATTTGGAAGCTTCTTTGCTTTTTCCTTCTTCGCTCTTGTTTTTTAAGGGACGCCGATTAGTTATATTGAAAGGAGGAGACCCAGGCCCGCAACAGGTTTGAGGTTTACTAGGCGATGATGTACAGGCACCAGACCACGGGATTCGGTGGTTCGCTAGATTGCGGGACTGATGGGCGGGGAAGATCGTTAAGGATACAGAATAGAAGAAAGGGTGATGTGGATGGTTGGATCAAGGTGAAGAATGGAAGAATGAATAAGATTGATTATTCTTGGGACGGAGGGGTGTGTGGATAGTGGATGAGTGTAGAACGGAAGAAGAGAGGAAGGATGAGCAACAGGAAGAAGGGGTAGAAGGTAAGAGGAGGATGCTGATCAATCCGAAACCCAAGACAAGACGAGACAAGCAGACAGACGGCAGAGAAACGGGCGAAGAGATGCATACAAGTAGTAAGTAGGGTTGCCTGTAACCCGAGAGAAGGATGACGGCAACCCACTCAGGCCGAACAGATGAATGGTGAATGGTGACGACGATAGTGCCGGGCGTCAGGACCACCTCAGGACCAGAAGGCACCCTACAGGAGGATAGCAACTGGGAGGCTTATCGGAAACAACGGTCGACTGCGGCGAAACGAGGGGCAGGAGAGGGGAAGGGGAACCATGGACGGAGAAGTATGCGAAGTATACTTTGTGGAGGACAGAAGAAAGGGTCGTTGCAGTAGCCAGCCAGTCCCTCTCCTCTCTGTGTAAGAATAAGAAGATGAAGAAGAAGAAGATTATGGACTCACTCATGCTACAGGATCTGCATTGAGAATTCAAGATCGTTCCGGTAGGACGGCACCTTTCTTCCATTCAACACCAACAGCACTCATCGCCTGCCACGTTCTATGTATGGAAGGAATGGGAAGGAAGGCAATGAAGATCACCTACGCTGATAATCATGATGATGATGAAGCTGCTGCTGCTACGGATTCCATCTACATTAGGTTCAGGCGAATCAATTCACCCTAGGGGCGAAGGGGAGATTGCACGCTACTGAATAGTGAACTGACGGTCTGATAGGTAAACCCTCTCTAGCCCCAGGTACTGACGACTTGGTCCGGACCGACCAACACGAATCATCGACTGCGATCCCGGTGGAGTTCTCTCCAGCTGGATGAAATTCATGGGCCTCCTCTTGGCCCCATCGAGCCTTGGATGGGTGGTAAATTGGGTGGTTAGTGAGAGGGCAGTAACTGGACACTGATGTATGTTCTACTGAGGAACAACATTATCCATTCCCTTCAAACCCCCATTTAGCTGAAAGCAAACTCTCCCATCATTTGCAATAGGCGTGCTAGCAAGAGGCGGAGACAAGAGGATGTCTTGGGACAAAGCACGAAGAAAGTACATCCTTGTAACTGATTGATATCGGGCATACATTGCACCCGCTGAAGAGGATGAAGGGTGGGAATACAATACGCGCCGGTATGAAACCCGTCTCAGGAACCCAGCGCTTAGCACTTCTGCCCAGTCAGTCAGGGTAGTGATCACTATGGCAATCTCTTCCCCCACCCGTCTGGACTCTCCCTCCCAAATTGAATCAACCACTCAATGGAATTGGATAAGGAAATATAAGAAGAGGAGAGAAGCATATCGGGTACTCTTCGGATGAATAGGGATGGTTTTTACCATTCTTGTTCTTTTTGTTTCGATCAACAAGCCTAGAGGGGGAAAGAAGAGACAAACCCCCATCCCCGTAGCCTGCTGGAGGAAAAGAGAAAAATGAAAAAGAGAAAAGAGTCTCGACTCAAGTCCTTGATCTCGGCAACCGTGGTCCCATCTCCATCAAAGGGTCTTCGACTACCCATCATATCCGGGCAGCCTCCGTCCTTGTTGAGGCACCAGGTACGTTCAGGCGGCGGAGTGGGGCAGCGCAGAGGGGATCCGATCGGCTGCTATTTCCTGTCCCTCAGGGAATTCAGGGATCGACTGGGAGGATTATGGTTGGCATGATTTCATTTATGGGAACCCAGCTAGCTTGGATTCCAGGGCTGACCGGACAAGTGCTGGCGAAGATCCATGGACAGCAACCCTCAGTGACGTTAACCACTTGGAGCGAGCCGGGGGACCCTTTGTCCCCGTAACTTTTGCGATCATGGACAGAAAGTAAGGTAAGGTAGCCGGTTCCCCCTCCTTACCGATTATTTGGGTTCTGCAGAACCTTGTCGTTCGCTTTTGAGATCCGAACCTGGTCACTGGGAGGGTGTGCTATTTCAATCAAGGAGGGAGAGAAAAAGCTGGCACTGGCATCCACTGTCTGTCTGTCAGTCAGTCAGTCAGTCGGTCGGAGAGCTCGGGGAGGCGGGGGGGTGCAACTGCTTTCGGGGACCAAACCATAATTTCCTGTTCCACTTTCGGCGTCAGGGCAATATACTCTACCTACGCAGTATTCATTCATGAGATGCTGCTGCAGGCTGCAACATAGTTTGTTGTTGTCTTAGTAGTAGTAATAGTAGTCAACACACAGGCCCAGCGAAGAGGAGGGTCGAGGGCGAACGGAAGGGAAGGCAACCGCAGTGCAACAAATGTTGTAAGCCAGCGAGGAAACACACCCCGACTGCCAGGAATTACCATCCGACCCAAAAGGAGCGGCGGGCTTCAAGCATGGAATACGAACAGAAGGGTCACACTGGAAGCTCCGGAGCTTCCACTCCTGCAGTCAGGTGCAATTTTCCGGGCCGAACTCTGCAGTACCTTACATGGGGCCAGTCATCCAAACTTGTTAGTTACAAGTCAGTTTTTCTCGCTAGGGTTCATTTCCTGACATTGGTAAGGTATGTTAGCATAGAAAAAAAAAAGGGCTAGAACGAGACAGACCACAGACATCACCGGTACCTAGCCGTGACTTAGAATAATGTCATGACTATTGTATCTTTCTCCTCGATTCTCCTTCCCCGCGAATGTTACCTCTCCATGTGCACTCCCCAGAATCCCAACCCACCGAACATCATCTCCATCAGTAACATCACTACAATCGTCATCATCTACCCATATTTCAAGATTCATGATCGATCAGGTCCTCGGAAAAGCTTGTTCCTGGCCCCCAGAGACAGGAGCAGTCCAACCCACATATCATTGCCGTGTCCGGGGAACATCCTTCAAGCTTTTAACAACCCCAAGACCAAGATTTGCTGGGAGTTGGAGACAGTGGACTGAAATAAACTCGTTGACAGACCTGGAGCGAACTCAAAAAAAGAAAACCCAAAGACAAATCACTATTGCTAATGGCTCTGGCTACCTCAGTATGTAGTTTGCTTGCCACCTCCGCCTGGCTCTGCTCGCCGACTGCAAACGGTACACGGGATGCACTGGAAGCTTCTTCCTGTCTATGACATCTTGCGTGAACTGTATCTCAAACGCAAGTCTATCTTGCGCCACTTTCTCAGGTATGATGTGCTTCTTAGTCCCGAAACTTGGGGTGCGTCAAGTGACAGTGGCCGTATGAAATTCGTGGAGGTGAGCGGGGGAGGGAAGACGGGGGAGAGTAGTCTAGATTGGTGATGAGGGCAGACCGTTACTATCTACATGTATACAAACCATTTCCCCTCTTCCTCCTCCCCCACCAGCTAGATAACAGATAGCATACAGCGCTACGCCGCAGGATCCCGCTTGCCCTCTCTCCCTGGCGTGTCGCGAATCGTTGCTGTCAAACTCTAGTCCGGAAGGATGTAGGCCAGATGCAAAGGGTGCATTAGTCTCCCGCTTTGACGGTTTCGGGGGATCAGATCGTGGGTGTTGGGTGGCTCCCTCGAAGTTGTTCTCGCCTTCACCTGGCTCCTTTACAAACGAATGTCTAGACTCTCCAACAGACCTGCCAAAACTGTTTTCAGTAGCCGACCAGGCCAGAGCAAAACTATATCAGGCTTCGTTCCACTCCAACCTAGGGGAAGTATGTAAGGATGATGAAGGCACCTGTCCTTGATGGGCTGAGTTGCGAGCAATCTTTACCCCACCGGATTAGCTAGGTACGACTGACGTACCTCCTGGGGTGGCGGCAATGGTGCGGGCGAGAGAGAGTCGCTCCCCCCAGGTTTGATCCCATCATCCCAGTAGTGTCTAGTAGTACTGTCAAGGGACATTTTATTTGCGTGTGGTTCTTGCCAGTAGATGTGACTAAAGTGTTAGCTTCCGTTCAGTTTGTAATAGGCCTGGGCATTTGGTAGTATAACATCCATTCGTCAATATCACAAACGGTGTTCATAGTCCTACACAAGCTGCAACCTGCTAACTACAAGTCACCAGTTGCTCGACAATGAGAATCCCATCAATGAATATCCAGTTCAACAACCCATCGAATGGTCACGATATCGTGTACCACTCAATGCCCTGTTCAGGTAGACAATCGCCTATCATCAAACCAGATAGCATACAGTATACAGCCAAGCAAAGACCAGGCACCCTGGAAGACGTAAGATTAATCTACAGTTGAAGAATCTCGGTATAGAAATAGACCGAATATAGAAGAGGCAGACATTCTCAATTTATAGGAAGCATGTCAAAGGAGGTACCGGATCTAGCCAGCCAACCGTGCATAGAGATCATCCATCTTATCTCCAAAACCCCCGCCAAGGAAGCTGTACCCTCCACGCCAAACACCACGCACAAGCCATGCAGCCCGTGTCTCGACGCCAGCCCAACCCCCAGTTCGGGGTAAGAAAGTAGGTTGCCTAGTAGTAGTTAGCTGAACCGACTAGCTCAGTTGACTAGCATGATCACCGCGCCTGGATGATCGACGTGGCACAGTCATCGACCAATAAGCTAGGGTTCATCATCTACTAGATCAATCACTGCGGGAGGATAAACTGAAACGAAAGAAGTTTTTCGTTCGTGTCCAGCATTCCAGGAGCAATACCACAGGATTCCAGTTCCTAAGTGCTGCTGTCGGTTAGTTGGTTATCCAGCTGGAATACAATAACTACAACCGTGGCAGCCTAGTACACACAATAAATCTAACCATATACCATCACAATGGCGAAGCATCTATCTTATCACCCCGGATGTAAAAGACAATAGAACTACCCTAGCGAGTTACCACTTAGTACTGTACTTAGCTAAAACACTAAAGGATCATCCCCTCGCCCCCTCCTCAAACGAAACATACCTATGCAGAGCAGACCTTCCCACCTGCAGATAAGACTACCGAATCAAATCTCCGTTGCCCCTCCCACCGCGCCTGAAAGTTACAATCGTAGATGCACACATTACACACGCGCGCGCCCCCACCTTCCCGCCACTGAGGGGCAATAGCTCAATCAGGTTCACCCAAAGCCCTTTGCCCCTTATGCCAAGAAGTCCTGGGACTCGGTGTGGTGGTGGCTGTTGTCCAGGCTTACAGCTCTGATTAGGGAGGGCCAATTGGGAAGCCGAAGAGGGGAGGGGGTGTACGCGCGGTTGCAAGGCAGGCAACTCGAACTAGCAGCAGCCCAGCTAGATCAAAGGATTAATGGATGAATGGATGAATGGAAGGAGAGAAGGTCTAGCTTGGTACCGTACCGGAGCGAAGAAGGTACCGACTGATCCTCACTGCCAGCCTTCGTCCGACTGACTGACTTGACTAACTACTGTGCGAGTACTATACATATTCGAGGAGTTTCAGATTGAGCAGGGATTGTCGGCGCATCGACCTGTCAGGAGGGGAAGGTGTGTAAAGGGTGGACGCCGGCAGCCTTTTTCAACAGGTGTTCCTTCTAGCTTCCCCCTCCTCCAGCTTGCTTCCACCGGCCGAGAACGGGAATGGCGATTCTTTCTTCTTCGCTCCATCGCTTCTACTCTCCAGTGGAAAGGGTTCTTATCGCATCAAAGGGAAGTGGAAGGGAAGAAAGGAAGAGGAGGGAAGGGAAAAGCGGGGTTGGGGTTGGGGTTGACAGCAACTATACGGAGTAGTTCCTTGTCGCTTTTTCTTTTTGTTCAGTGGATTGATTGTTTGGGTGAGGCTTGATGGCTGCGCGCGTGCACAGGGTTTTTCCTCTTGTTTACATCTTTATCTCAGCTAGACTATTTCTACTTAAGGACCCCTTCAACTAGAATGATGAAGTGTTGCGATGCATAGATAAGCCCCTTCCCCTCCCACTTTCCCCCTCATCTCATCTCATCTCACCCCTTATCATCTCCCGTGTGACATAAGCCCCTCACCAAAAAAAAAAGCTCGGAGTACAAAGCAGGTACCTGCGTTGCGCGTGAAATGCTTGTATTTATGTACCTGGTAATAATCGTCCATCGAAATTTCCACTTTCCTTCTTTCTTTCCCCTTCACCTTACCTTACGAATCGAACCTCTCTTCGGTAGACTAGTATGAGTAAACTACACTACCTATCATGATAGTAAATAATCTAAGCAAATCCAGACAGACTACACCACCTTTGAAACAACCTACCTATACTCCATCCAGTAGGTATCGACCCCCAGCTTGGAGAATAACCAAGGTAAAATAAAAAGAAAAGAAAAGAAAAGAAAAGAAAAAAGAAACAGGAACAGAGACCGGTTTGGTGCCTTCACGCTTACGCGGTTTCGAGCCTCCCCGATCAGCACTGTTGTCTATTCAACGGGCGGGTCTCCGTCATTCGTTATGCTGACGTCTTGCATTGTGTGTCACTTCGTCGATCGGGTTTGAAACATTGCTTGAAGATTATCTTTCGATTCAGGGAAAATTTGGAATCGAAACCAAAATATTCTCTGAATCTTGCTGTTTCTTGCTATGGAGTAGATAGTAGGTAGTAAGGGATCTTTGCAGGTGTATAACAGTTCAAGGTTGTGAAAGGTTGGGAGGGGGGCGATGACAATAGCGATGGCGATTAGCTGGCAACTCAACCACCTGCAGTAAATGTTGTCAGCTTGACTTACTGCCGCTGCCCTGGAAAACCCCAAACAAGATGCATATCGCCTGTTCGGGATGACATGTGGCGAAAATATCGATCATACAGAGGGTGAGGCTACGTGCATCCGATACTAACCGGAGCAGGTTTGTCCGCCCTGGAATTAGTGAGACAATCAAGGTAGAAGAGAAGAAGGATTCGGGACATATCCACATTGACTGGATCTCCCTACCATCCACGTTGTGCAGTACCTATCGTAGTCTTGGAAGCCTACGATTGATCAAGAAAACGACCTTTCCTGGAGCCGAAAGAGGGAAGCGAGGGGCTATCAGCTGATGCAGGCGGTTGCAGGCTGGGCTTGATGCGCTGTACCTGAGCTGGATGATCCCTGCGTTTTCACATGCTTTTTCCTCCTTTGTTTGTTTTTTTCTTGTTCTTCTTATTGTGGTGTACACACCAACGAGATAAAGCTAGCTTGTGGTTTCCTGATAAAAGACATGTAATACTGTACACAATATGAAGGTGGCGAGGCGCAATCGTCCTTATATGCTACAACCCGCTAGATCTGGTATATGAACATGGAAAAAAAAAGACAAGATTATCATACAACCATTATCTTCCTCATTTATCCAACACACTGGCGATAGAACTGACCATGACCGCTGCCTCCCGCTCCCAATTCCTCTCCGTCCCTGACTCGCCCCCCAATCGCTTTTCGGTTCCCAGTACGGATGTGGGGAGCTGAGAGCCCCGCAAAACACATTCTTTGATCTCCTTCTTGATGCGATCGCGATTCGAGCGCAAGGTCCGAGCTGAGACGCCTCCACGATTGACGATTTCCTGTACCCGGGTCGTGAGATACGACGCCAGGGAGCGCCAGAAATAGGACGGGAGCGAAGATGTGTCGAGGGACGTGAGTAGTGGTTGAAGCAAGTTGTTCTTGCTGCTGATTGTTTGAAGCTGGGCTTCACCCTGGTCCTCGGTGCGGTTGGTGGGTGTGGCCGCCAACTGGGCTGGAGGGAAGAGTGGATGTGTCGGTGGGCGGAGATTGTTGAGTACGGCCTCCAGAGCGAAGATATCCTGGCATCGCGCGGACAGGTCGGCAAGAGTCCGCTCGAGGGTCGGCAGCATCGACAAGGACCGAGTGAGATTGCTCAGGGAGGTGGATATGGCCGTATGCATGTAGCCCTGCAGCGTAGAGAGGAGCAACTCTGGTTGGAAGTCTGCCGCAGAGCTCAACGTCTTGGGCACGGGCGATAGCAAATACAAGATGTTGACCGCAGAGACCAGCCGTGCCCTCGCGTCGCGCGCTTGCCTGTAGCCCGACTGTGTCTGGGAGCTTGCGCCGCCGGAGATGTTCGACATGGAGAACCGCGTAATGGCCTGCTGTGCCCGTGCCTTGACCATGTTCTCGGCCGGCATCACGAGCTCCGCGCGCAGGGTCCGGACGACCTTGACTTGGTCCAGTCCGTGACCTTCTTCGCCCGGGTCGGTATCAGAGAGCATCCGACGTAGACTGACTATGGTGGAGGCGGCACGCTCCAACGTCCGATAATCATCCCTGCCGGTGACCGGTGACGTCGTTCCTTCGATGCCACCTATCTCTGCAAGCTGACTTTCAAGCTGTCTGCCGAGAGACAGACAGCGCGCAACTGCTCGTGCGAGTCGCACGGTGGCCAAGGACTTTTCTGCAGCCATTCGGGCCTCGTCTGCCGCTTCCCACTTGCTGAAGACCTCTTTCTGGAGTCGCTCATACCCCTGCGTGACGGACGCGATCTGGTCCTCGGCCTCTTTGAGGATATGGCTGGCTGCAGCGGTCTGGTCGCGCGTGTGCGTCAGCAAGGGGAGAGCTGATTTGGTGGTCAGCGCATGGATGTGGGTGTCGATCTCCTGGAGATCGAACAGCACCCGAGAAAGCGGGGTAGACAGGTCCAGCGGTGTGTCTGTCGCATTGTTGGTGGCTACAACAAGGGAGTTGGCGAACGAGGCGGGTGAAAAGTCGGGGTCTAGAAAGGCCTCATAATCTATGTACGATGGTTCCGCGTCCGCCATGGTGGGTGTTGCTTTGACTCACCCACACTTTCGATAAGATCGGTGCTCAATGAGAAGAAGACAGATGACTCGAGAATTAAAGGGAACTTGATTGAAAGAAATATAAAGCGGGAAGGGGATCGAAACTCAAAAGAAGCTTGGGTATCACCGTATCAAACAAAGAAAGCAGGATTAGAGGTTCGCCGCGTGCTTCCTGGCGGTTTGGTTGAGCATGGAGTAAAAAGAGGTTTATGTGGTCGACCTGGCCATGTGAGATGCTCAATGGCAGGTATTATCAGCTCAATTTTTGTCTGTGGGAGGGAGAAAGCAACTGCAGCAGAAGTGATGGGTTGCTGCCATTCAAGCCATGTGTCTGTCGGAACAGGGACGGAGCTATGTACTATCGATTAGTCATACCGCATAGAGCCTTTTTATGCATCCATCCGAGATGTATACAGTTGCCAACTCAGGAATGCATCACTAAGGAGCAGCATTACTCCACTAAGTCCTCTCTTACAAGGGGAACCCGCTCCGGAAATTACTCAACACTACCTGTGCATTAGCATCGCCTGTCGGCAGGACCACAATGGCCATCTGCAGCCCAGTCATGATCCGTCAGCAGGGGAAAGGCTTCCAAGAATTGAACCAAGCAACAAGCATTAGGCAGCTGCGATAACATGTGCGCTGTCTTGTGCTATCCAGGACCTATGATTAATTTTGTTGGGTGGGATGATGACAGCATTGTTGGCATGTAAGACTTCCACATGATTTTGCGACATCTCTGCCACTTTCGCACCCGACCCTGTCACTGCCTGAGGAGTCGAACTCCTTCCCCGAAGCAAATGACCTGGGTATGTGTACAAGATGAAGAAACGAGGACTTCTGGCTTACTTAAGCCTTACTTGTGAGGGTTTTTGGTGATTATATGTGATAGTCCGATTCCACTCTTCCATCATTAGCCCATGACAAGCACTACTCTTCCCAGGCACCCAGGAACCAATTGATCCTTCATTTCAGCTCTACCCTCGCTGGACCTTCCTCAATGTGCCAGAGACCCTAGGCATCAGACTCCACTTCTCCCCTTCGTACCTCAGATCCACGATCTCCCAATCCGCCGACTTGAGCAGGATATTCATTATCGGGCGATCCAAAGAGCAGCCGTCCAACGCAAGGGGCCAGAGCAGATTCCACACTTCTATAGTCCATATCAGTTACTCTCTCATCCTTGGAGCCAATTCTTATATCAAGATCAGACGTACTCTGCACCACGAACGTAAGCCAGTCCGAGCTAGCACCGTGCTCCCATACAATCAACTCGCCTCCAGGCTTCAGCAACCGCCAGGCCTGAGCAACCACATCTTCCGGGTCATCAGCCGAGCAGAGCACCTGGAAGCTAGTCACGCAGTCGATGCTCCCTTCGACAATGCCATGCCTTTCGAGGGCCGCGGTGTCCCGGATGTCGCAGAAGACCGGAACATACTTGTCGCTTAGCTGGAGCTTCTCGATGCGAGCGTGTAGTGCATCCTCGAACGCCACGTTCGGCTCGACGCCATAGATCTTGGTGATGTTATCCATCTTATACCGTTGAAGCTGATTACCCGAGCCAGGGCCTAGCTCGAGGACGGTCCCGTGCGCGACCGCCGCGAGCGAGGGCAGCGAGGTCGTGTCTTCGTATGCAATGAAATTGGGCGCTTGATCGCAGCCCTGGTCAGAGTTGTCTACTATCTTGATCGGGCTTGTAGGGTGTTAACACCTACCAACCTTGCCATACCACTGTGCAAAGGCGCGGCTCCGAACCGGGCCCTCTGTTGCACGGTCATTGGAACTATAGACGGTCCAGATAGCTGGATGGACCGTCCCCAATATATGTGTTAGGCTTGCCTGTAATCGAAGGGGGGTGTCTTGGATAGACGTACACTTGAACGCATCGAGCAATAATTTGTACTTGTCGACGTAGCTGATGACGCGATTTTTGAGATCGATGCCCATCTTGACTTGTGTGTGCGATTGGCGGTTTAATTATCTTTGGGTCTGTCTAGTCGGGGTGCAGGATGCGCGGGCTTTATATTTGCGGGCTGGACGGGCTAGCACGGAATTGTATCATTTCGTCTTCTTATCAGCCACTTAATATATCTCGCAAGCGTAAGCACTTAACTTTTACTGTGCTGATCAGCGGGTTCTCTTTGGTCTTATGATATGTGGGGTAAGACGAGTGTTCCTATCTACTGCTCTTAGCTCTATGTTCGGCCACTTGATGGGAGCCATGGGATATATTAGTATATGCTCGTTGGCAGGTACTTGTATCTTGCTCTGAACTATACTAGCCCCTCCATCTAACACGAGGCCTGTCGGGTGCAGCTTCATGACGGTTTCCATATAATCTTAAAGGACAAGAACGTTTCTCACTCCGGTTCGATGTGGTTATATATCACAATCAAAACACCAGGAATTTTCGCAAGCCCAAAGGGAATACTTGCAAAAGAGAACGCAAAGCAGACCCAGCGTACTTAGATAACAACACTGTAGTACCCCTACTATTTGTACACACTTCCCCAATTCTACGTTGTCGAAGATGCCCTGCCAGCACCACTAACTATACCCAGCGTCACCTCGCTTCTTTCTGTTGCGGTTGATATATGCAAGAGTGGAGGTTCAAACATCAATCAAGGCAAGATGGCCGAGTTGGTCTAAGGCGTCAGGTTAAGGTTACCTTAACACCCAGCTTCACAAGCTTCCTGATCAACGTAAGTTGGCGTGGGTTCGAATCCCACTCTTGTCATGACTTTTTGATTTTTGCAACCTTCCTCCCTGTCAGAAACACAAATCCGCATACTATATGGCATACTACATGCGCAGACATAGGCGGAGATTGCGTAGTCTCGGCCACTTTGCTCAGCGGTCCTATCCAAACTGATCCAATTTCGTGTTTTCTCGACCACACAAGCACAGGTTTCTCATTGGATCCAATCCAGGTACTAAAAGACTTGTATCCTTACTGAAAAGCCCAATCTATCTTCATTTCAAGAAAAAAAAAAAAATAGAACCACTGCATCAAACCTAACCCCACTGAGAGAGTCTACTGCAAGACCCTCCCATCAGTCTCCTCAACAATCAACTCAAACTCCGGCTGAAACTCCGTGTAGAAGTTATGCTATACACGACCGACCATTAGCAACCCCTCTTCTCAAACCCACGCAAACCAAGAACCACCAAGAAAACTCACCGGACTCTGCACAGCATCAGCCGTATACTTAGCCACCTCATCCGAGATGATCTTCTTCGGGACCCCATTGGCAGCAGCGGCATCCGCCAACAGTTGCGAATGACAGGCATTATCCAAGCTGGAGAAGAGGAACGCCGCCTCGTCGACGGTGCGACCAACCGTCAGGAGACTGAGATGATGTGTTAGCCAGGCCTAGCCCTTGGCCCCTCGTAATAAACGGAGTAAAAGGAATAGACAAACCCATGATTCTGCAAAATACACGCCAAATTCTCCTTCCCCAACGCCTCGGCAATCTGCCTCCCCTCATCCTGAGCGAGGGCAATGCCCCCATGATCATCGTAGACACTAAGTCGGCCGAAGAAGTTACACGCATCTATCATCATTGAACATGGCAGTCAGCATTCGCACCACTCACCCCCGGGCCCCGTTCTCCCCCCAGCGCATGCCATGCCACCCAAAGGAAAACAGATACAGAACAGAGAGGAAGGAAGCAAACCAACCCTGCGTCAACATCTCAACAGGCCTCCCGAACGCACTCCACGTCTTCCCGTACACAGAATGCGTATGCGCCGCGGCGATCACATCCGGCCGCGCCCTGTGTATCTCCGAGTGGATCATGAACCCGGCCTCGTTGATGGGCAGCTGGGCGCCGCCCTCGGTGACGTAGCCGTCCGCATCGACGAGCACCAGGTCCGAGGCCTTGATGGTCGAGAAGTGTTTGGCGAAGGGGTTCATCCAGAAGTGGTCTGCTAGGATGGGGTCTATTCGGTAGTGGTTAGTGATCTGGATTTACTCCGCGCCACCGTCACCCAACTCCCGCACCCCGGGCATCCCGGATTGGAAAATGTGGTTGTTGGGGGTTGCTGCTGCTGTTGTTGTTGTTGTTGTTGTTGTTGTTGTTGACGGCCATGGTACTGAGGGTGATAATGATGATGATGGAAACCGCAACGCACCTCGCATCGAGATATGGCCGGACACACCCTCGCCATAGCCTTTCTTGCCGAAGTAGCGGAACGCAGCCGCCATATGCTCCTTCATCCATTGGCGTTGCGCATACACATCCGAGAAGGTGGGGATGCCCCGTAGCTTGAGGGTGCCGCTGCGAGTCCCCCGCGCCAGGGCCTGGAAGGGCTTATCGGCGGCGGCGTCGCCCGGGTGGAAGTTGTTGGGCTGGTTGGCGGCGACGACGGGGAGCGTTTGCGCCGCTTCTGGGCTTTGGGTGATTGTTGTCGACATTGTTGGCGGTTTATGGACTAAAATGATTCTGAATGACTTGAGAGGGGTTCGAGAGTATGGAAGGGCTTGACGAGGAATTAAAAGAGGGGCAATTGGATTGTCGGAAGGGGCTCCGAGCAGGTTTATCTACAAGATGGAGTATGTCTGCCCCGCTGTATGGATTTGGGTTATCGGCTGCTTATCTGCGGCACTTTAGATAGGCTCGTGTCGCCGATGCGCCTTCTAGAGACAATTCACTTACTCTTTTGGTTTGGTCGGCCCGGTGGGCTCTCAGACTTGCCTAAATCGACGCCCAGACACGGAACGTGACGATAAGGGATATACTTGCACTTTTTTTTTTTGCGAGAATACTGATAAATCTTCTTTATCAAATACGCCGTCATGTGTCTTCATGTGTTTCTAGCGTTGTCTGGACTGCGTCCTCAAACGAAAGTATATGAACCACTTGCTCCCACAGATGCCATATAACCGGACTGAATGCTTCAAACATCAAGAAGTAAAGTGTATATAAGACAAAGAAAAAATAGACAAATGCAAGAGACAGGAACCGCCACATCAACGCCATCTATACAGGTACCGGCCAGTTAGGGTATACACGAATGGCAAAGAAAAAGAAAACATCTGCTAGAGAATCGCTGAATATAACAGTGATGAGCACATGCACCCCCCCCTAAAGAGATAAAATGAAAGAAAGGAAAGCGACAGGCTACACGGCTTGATCACCAACAGTCTTCATCATTGAGGCCATCTCGTATTCATCGCCCCCATTCGGAAGGTTGCGTCCTCGTCCCCGACCGCGCGACAGAGAGAACGACTCGTCGGCGCCATCAGCTTGAGGTTGAGACGAGCCTGTCGTCGAACGCCCCGCGGTGTTACCCCCGAAACTAATCGGCTGCAGCTCCCGCCAGCGACACGCCCAGATTCCCAGAAATGTCATGAGGGTGGCGCTGGCGCACTGGAGACCCCACCAGAGCCAGTTTGAGGGCACTGAGCGAGTGTAGAGGACAGTGATCATCAGGTGTAGGAAGTGTATCGTGAGTGCAAAGTCGGGGATGAGTTTCGAGCGCGACACAAGTAAAAGAAGATAGATCACCCTGTAACCATGCGCAGAGACTGTTAGTGACTCTGATAGCTTTGCCCAGAAGTAGCGGAGGAGGATTCGAAGCGTACCCTATTCCACTATTCAACATCCACACCAACCCAAGCATCCACCCAACGGTAGTATCTCCCCGCAACGCACTCCAATTCAGGACCAGATCCAGTGAGAATGGGGTGCCGTAGACTAGCGTGGTGAACAGGATGAGCGCCGTTGCGGAGACATAGAAGGCACTTTGAAGCAGGGCGATCTTCCGGACAATCTTGAGAGGTGGGAGGTCAGTCCGGGCCCCCGCAGGAGGCGGACGTCGGCGCGGGGGCATGAGCCGCAGATGTGTTTTCGAAAAACGAGGTAGAGATACCCTGTTGGCTCTCCAATGACCGAGATACCGGACGAATTGGCGAGAAGTTGGTGAGAGACCCAATGCGTTCGGTGATGTCAATTGAGTGCTGGCTGCCGAAGCTTTGTTGTGGTGTAGAACTCGCACACCGCGCAATAATGTAAAGGTTCCCCTACCAGACGGTATATCTCGAGGCGATCACTATGACCGAGTTTCCAACCCTAAGCGACCGAAATAGCGACAAAGATAGCTCGAAACTTCGCCGCCAGGTGGCTGGAAAGTGGGAGGTTGTTTGTGAGGATGAAAGGGTGGACGGGATAGGCTAGCGCCACATGACCCGGCCGTCATTGCGGAGCGGCGGAGCGGGCAGTGCGAATTAACTAACTGCAGTCAGTTGCCCCATGCGAGCTTGCTGAAGGGCACCTCCAATTTCGCAATCACAACCGCTAATTCAGCCGGGTCTCAGCTTCTTCTCAAGGCTTGTTTCACCTTTTCGCGAGCGCACCTCTTTCCCAAACATATATCGCACAATGGGCTGGCTTCCCTGGTCTTCCGACTCCCCCTCCTCCAATGCCGCCTCCGACGGCGGCCGCATAGCCCCGGACCGAACCTCCCGGCAACGGTGCTACGAAGGTCGCGACCTGTTCTTCTCGTGTCTGGACAGGAACGACATCCTGGATGCTATCAAGAACGACAAGGATGCGCAGCGGAAGTGTGGAAAAGAACTCGCACAGTTTGAGACTGCTTGCTCGAGAGCTTGGGTGCGTGACGCGTGAAATTTCCCACTGTTATCATGGCACGCCGCGAATTTGTCGGCCTGGTTCAATTGGATACTCTGGCGATATACCATAAGATTGGTGCTGATTGATTCTCGAATAGGTCAAATACTTCAAAGAAAAGCGTGTCATGGAGTACAACCGGGACAAGACAATCGAGCGCATCAAGAAGGAAGATGCAGCCAAGGTCGAGGATCTAAAATCACAGGGATGGACTGCGCGGTAAAAATGAGCGCTCATATTGAAGCCCCCCCAAGGGGATCCAATATCGAATGGTAGGACAGTGCTATCAGCTCGATAATATATCAAACTGTACTATATCGACCCTACACCCCGCCCATGTATAATGACTCGCATACGGGCCAGGCCCCATCTGTCAAAGGTCTACATGCTCTCCACTTATGTCTCAAGAATACCACTCTATTGAAATTATCGTCTGCTTGCATTTCTCTAGCGAGACTAAATAAAAGACGCCCAGTATAGTGCACGAGATCATAGAAAATGAATACGGATGACCTTTGTAATACACCACGCCCTCCCTAATGCCCGACCAATTTTCCGAAGAATACTCAACCGATGCACTCCTGTAGCAGTTGCTCGCTGATTCAACCGATGCGAAAGAAAGAAAACCCAACAACCGAGCCATGATAATATATTCACAGATAAATTCCCATATCCGTTTCTCAACAGAACAATCAATCAACGCCCGAGTTCCTGAGATGCCACCAAAGAACGCGGGTCAGAGAAGCGAAAGGGGAAAAAATAGCAAGGAAAGGAAAGCGATCTCAGCCGAACGCACGCATCATTGCTTCCATTTGCCTAGCTGATGCATGATATTCTGTACCTGAGGCCCAACAGCAGCCTGGTTCTGCGGCTGCTGGCCCCCTAGGCCTTTTGCAAGCAATGAGATCAGATTAGGGTCTGAGACCACTGGAGCATTGGGCGTCTGTAAAGGGAAGGGCTGCGGGGCCAGTGGCTGCTGCGGATTTGCCGGAATGGGCTGTCGGGTCGCAGCGTTCAGCAAGCTGGCAAGGTCTGCGGTGGTGTGAGTGGCAGTGGCGGCGGCGGCAGCAGCAGGGGGAAACGCCTGCTGCGCGCTAGGAACAGTTGGCGGGCGTTGCTGCTGCTGCTGCTGTTGTAATACTCCAAGAAGCGATTGAAGTGTGGGCCCGTCGAGAGAGGTTATCAAATTGGCAATGTTCGGCTGATTTGGCATGGTAGGCAAAGGAGCCTGAGGGACCGATGCAGCTGGAGCGGGCAGAGGTGGAACACCAAACGCCGGGTTTGGTGTGAATGGATGAGGCCCGCCGCGATGTACGGATTGTGCATGGAACACGATCTCAGCGGCGATGCTGGGCTCGACATCAGGATATTCTGACACCATGTTAGATGGCACACATTCGTATAATGGCATCTAGAGCAACCGGGGACAGCCTACCATTTGACCGAACGTTGTCCAGACCTCCACTCCGATCGAATACCTGCAACGGAATCTTCCGCGAGAACTGGCTGGGTCGCGATAGTCTTACAATGGCAAGGACCCCCTCCTGAATTTGGCGTTGAACAGCAGCATTGAGCGGGATCCTTGGTCCGAGCACAAGGATGTCAACTCGGAGCCCACGATTGCGGAACGAGTTTTCAACGTGGAACAAGAAGTTGCTTGACAAGCATGTTAGCGAAACTGGTACTACCGAAAAATTGCGCAACGCCATGGTCTCTACTTACCGATCGACTTCCTCGAGAACTAGAAGCTGCACTTCTGGGACATCTCTTGGAGCTCGTCGAGGAACCGGTATGTCTGTCTCTGTTTCATAGACCCCACGGGCCCGCGGGCTTGGGCTGCGGTATCTCCTATCTCTAGCATACGGCGATCGAGAACGCCGCCTTTCTCGCCGGTCATATCGCTCGGGCGTCCGATCCCGAGATCGATACCCATCTCTGCCGCGAAAAGCACGCGGTGATGGTGACCGAGGAGGCCGATAGTCATCGCGCCTCCGATGGGTTGGCTCGTCCCTGAAGTCGCTGAATGGCACTCTACCTGATTCGTATGGTCGGTCATAACGCTCTGCTGGAGCTCGTGCGTTACGATTGCTAGATGAACCGCCTCGACTGTAATCGGGGGATCTTGATCGTCTGGACGGAGGCGCACGGGGCTGTTCTCCCGAAGCCGTCCCTGGCCTGGTGTTTCTTTGTGGCTTTGAAATCTCAAGGTCTAAGATAATTTCCAACATTAGCTTCTAATAGACGTTAGACCCGACCACCTATACTTACGGACTTTCCGCCCCCTAACGACGGCTCCTTGCTCAGAGTCCAATGCCTTTTTGCAGGCGGAAGAATCGAGGAACTGTATGAATCCGTAGGCCTGCTTAATCGAGATCTGGGCTAACTTGCCGAATCTGTGGAAAATGTGAAATAGGTCCCGTTTCGTGACTCGTTCCGTAGGTAAATTGCCTGCAGACATAGGAGGGGAACGAATTAGTCAAACAAGAAACCACACCAACAACGAAGGGTACTTACCAACGAACAACCTAGAGCCAGGTGGGAAGCGATCCCAAAGGCCTTCTGTAACATATATCCTCTCATCATGGAGAAACTCGTCGTATTTCTTTTGCACTTCGGGGCCCCAGGGAGTATCTTCATCGGCGCTTTTGGACTGCCGCGCACTTAGCCGCTCCGTGCGGCCATTCTTAGTGGCTGTTGCTGGAGCGGTGACGGTGGCACCAGCAGTGGTAGCGGTGGTGCCAGCAGGAGCAGGCTCCTGAGGCTCTGCATGCTGGAAGCTCGCCACCGGGGGCGGGGGCAGCGCGCTGACTCCCGAGGAGGTCCCCGGGGCGCCGGCTGCTGCCAATGACGATACTCCCAGATTGGACTGGTAATTATTACTTTGTTGGGCGGGATAGGAAGGGGAGGAGGGCTGTGCGGTGGAAGAATTAGGGGGAAGCTGGTGGTAGGAGCGGATGTCATCACTGGCATTGTAGTTGGGATGAATGGATGGCTTGTCTTGGGGCGGAGGGCGTGGCGGAAGCCCCAGGTCGTCTGTTCCGGCTTGAGGGAGCACAGAAGCATCGGCCGTGGAAGGCGCTGTTTCCGCAACAGTGGGGGCAGAGGGAGCGGTAGAGGAAGGGGGGAGATTATCGAGGAGGTTCTGGAAATCGACACCATCCTCACCGGCGTTATCAGCGGGTTTGTTCTGGGAGACTAGGCGATCGGATGGGGGGAACGAGGTCGTCCAGCTGGTAATAGCAGCGTTTACCTCGTTCGCACCGGGGTAACCGGGGGCGGCATGGGGAGAAGAGGTAGGGGCATCGGGCATAGGGTGAGCTAGGAGGGCAGCGGCATCTGAAGGAGGCAATGTGGTTAGAGAAGAGTTTGCGACTGTTGCTCCTAGGTTCATGGAAGAGTACGGATTCGGAGGTGCAGATCGATCTGATGGCAAAGACGCCTGGGCCATGGGAGCCTGAGCAGCGAGGTTGTGGTTGTTTCTGTTGTCCACCGATCTCTCATCCAGGGTGAAAGAGCCAGGTTGGAAGCTACCTTGTGTATGATGCGTATAGTGTGGCGGCGGTTGCTCCAATGCTTGTTGCGCGGAGCCGGTCGCGTTTCCCCTCATTGCTTCCAACCCAACATAGGAGCCTTGGGAAGAGAGGAAATTTGATCCATTATGATGCACCTGGGAGTTGGGTCCATGGAAATACTCGGAGGACTTTTCATAAGTCGAAGTGTCGTTGAAGACAGGATCCATTTGGTTTTGGAGCACCGGGATTTTGGCCGGCTCCGCGACGTGCAGCGGGCGAGGGCTTTCGGGAGTCAGGGTTTTGCCTCGGAAGTGAAGAGCTTCATCTGGGGAATTGGGCGTCATGTAGACCAAGGTCGAGAGGTCGAGTCATCTACAAAAAAGAAAGACACACGCAAAGGAGGACCGAAAGGACCACAGGAGAGATAGGGATTTTGGAAAATCGTCCAAGCTAAGGTGGGGCTATCTTGAAAAAAGAACCGGGCCGTTGGAGCCGGGGCGGTAAAGGAGGCGATGGGATGGCAAAAGACGACGGATGGACGGGCGGACGGAGGGGAGGAAGAGAGAGAGTTGGAGAAAGATGAGAGAGAAAGGAAGGAAGAGAAGTGTGTAAACTTAGAGTGTAGGTGGAGGTAGACGGAGTGATGGGTCACTCACACAGTCCCCCAACCCAGACAGAGTATAATGGAAGATGCCAACGAAGAGCTCAAGACTGGGAAGAAGAGAATCACTCCAAGTAATGATGTGATGAGCAAGAAAGTACAAGTACAGGAGGGAGGGAGAGAGGACGAGAGAGGGGTGAAATTGGAGGAGGGGGAGGAGGAAGGAAGCAACGGAGAAAGAATACCAGGCAGTGTGTATAGAAAGATCTAGTAGAACTGTAGAACAAACAGCAGGGAAAGGGTGAGAGACAATGCGGAGAACAAATTAGTTCACCAATACCGAAGGGTGACCATAATGTGAGGCGAAGTCAAAAAGAAAAACGGAAACTAGATCACGGTGATTGCGGTATGGGTGATGAGAATTAACCCCGATCGAAGTAAATATGCTACACCGGACCCACGGGGAGGAAGAGGAAAAGGGAAAAGGGAGATGTCGTTGTGAAGATGTGAAGTGTGAGTGAGTAACTAACTGAAGGAGTGGCAGGTCAGTCAGTTCAGTCAGGTAACATCCATCCATCCATGACGGGCAACAAGGTCAGAGTTTGCGCCAGTCAGCTTAACCACGCGTTTTGAATGGCCGGCATCATTACTAGCGGCGGGTCAAGGCGCGCCTGGATTCTCATGGCTGGAACTGCTGCAAACCTGCGATTCCCTCACACTATCTACTATCTTAGTCCATCAGCCTGTCACCGCGTCCAGATTCATCACCCGCCGACGGAGCCCTTCCGTGTAGATGTCTGGGTTGGGTAAAGGGTAAACGCCCCTCCCCCCCTTCAGCAAGTGGGCTTGTCAAGTGACTGGTCTTTCGTATTTCAGTCCACAGTAACAGTTGTGGCTCAACAAAGAGAAGGACTAAGTGACATATCAATACCTGATAGATCAGGCACTAAAGTGTTGCAGCGGTCATTGCCAAGGTTGAGTGAGCAGTTCGGTAAACCCGACACACTAAAACACTGGCGGAGGTCACTGCCACTAACCAAGCCTTACGGTATCTACCCGACCTTGCCGACCTTAAACCATGTTATGTTACCGTCATTACCCCTAGAAAACAGTAGTAATTCCGAAGTTGAACCTGCTGCTTGCTACCTAGCTCGGGTTCTGGAAGATCCTCCTCGTGCTTGTTACTGGTTAGGTTAGCATTTCGGCCTTAATTCAATGTCTTCCCGTTTACGTGCATTTGTTCCAACCTGCAAAATATCGGGCTTTCTATTGACATGCGCTAGAACGAATTGGCCGTTGAGACTGTCACTTTCCGCCATGGCTACCGCGCTCCTTCATAATTCTCCCCGTAGTCTTTGTCCTCCTCGTCGGGGTCTCCTCCTCCTTATTCCTCTTGTGAGCCCCACCATCGCAACAAGAACCTTCGCCTTCAGACGGTCCGCTGCTACCAGAGATGATGACCATGCATCGGAAGACGACTTGAGTGCCGCGCGCCAATGGCTGGCTAGCTTCAGCTCCAAGTCGATCCCGCGTGACATCTGTGAAATCTCCTTCAGTCGTTCCGGGGGTCCTGGGGGTCAAAACGTGAACAAGTCTGTTCCCGCCTCAAAGCCGACTCATCCCGGCATGGACTATGATTGAGCCTCCGAGTATTGTTTGACTAACGTATGCACTTCTATTGGATCCGAATAGGGTCAACTCGAAGGCCACCCTCAGAGTGCCGCTTGATGCTCTACTGCCTTTGGTGCCCAGGGTCTTGCATTCTCCGCTTCAAGCGACCCACTACATCGCACCCAGGACTCGCAGTCTGGTCATTCAATCAGAAGAATCACGGAAACGGACTGAAAACGTGGAGTCATGCTATGACAAGCTCCACCAGCTCATCAAACGAACCGGAATGGATGCTATTCCCGGAGAAACATCTCAAGAACAAAAGGACCGAGTACACAAATTGTATGCCAGTTTGGTCAACTGCGTTGTATTCGTACGACAATGCCCGCGGCTCTCAGCTAACACTGTACAGGCAGAAAGCCGCAAACGAGTCCCGCATCAAAACGAAGAAATTTCTCAGCAGCAAAAAAAGTAGCAGGAGAGGCAGTAGAGACGACTAATATGATGCTAACTTTTCCCTCACTGAAATATTTATAGCCCCTTCTTCTGCTTGCTAATGCAGCTTGCAAATGGTAGATCCCGTTAAACGCCTGCATAGAACTTGAATAGAGTTTGATTGAATTTACGCTCCCTGAACGACACGCTCTGCATTGCGAATAGTGGCAGAAATGGCTTTTTGCAGTGAAAGATCCAGGCCCTCGGTCTTCTCAATCGGTTGCAGCCAGCTAATAACTTCTTTGGCGACGGATGGATTCGTGCGATGAGCCGTGAGACGACCATATGACGCACCAAAGGCACGCGGAAATTCGGGGGAAGTGACTTGAATTCCCGCCGTAGGGAACTTGATGTAGCATACGTGTGTATGGTGACTGTCGGGCTTGGCTTTCTGCATGGATTCGACCACATGCCCCAGGACCTTGCGCAGACATGGCAAGTCGTCGAATTCGTTCACCATGTCATAAAACTCATGGCCGAACCTGTCATCGTTGTTGAAGTTCTTCATGGCTGTGTCGAAGATGGCAAGCGGAATAGCGCCACTCAATGCAGGTGTCGAGTTGAGAGCTTCAAGCGCCACTTCGTCCACGCCATTCTCATTCTCAGCGCTGGGATTGATATCTTCCCCAGTGATTGTCGGAAGCCTGATCATATCTGCATCCATATCGTCCAAAGGCTCCTGTTGTTTCGGGGCCTCAATCGGCTTGTCGAGCCCCAAGATTCGCTGTCGAGCGACGAGCTTGGCGATGTAGATCATCTCCAACTTCGCATAGGTAAGCCACAACTTCTTTGAGCTTTTGCAGAATCTCAGTCCTCGCTGCATGTAGCTCCGGGACTGTGTCATATCGGCGTGTTCCTCCACATTGTACTGCGCGGCGTAGATCCACAAATCCACATTGGTAGGGTGTAGTCGCAAAGCATCTGTAAGAATATTCGAGAGCTTCTTATAAGCCTTCTGTTGCCTGGCATACTCGATGTATTGAATCCACAAGCGGATATCACCGTGAAACTTCCGAGCCGCACGGTCGAGAATGAAGAAGATCCTCCTCTGCCCAGTATGGCCCGGCATCTTGATACCCAAGCGCTTCACTCTCTTCCGTCGCAAGGTGTCCAAGTTCATTTCGTATTGCGCATATCGTACAAAATCGGCTGGAATGGCCCCACGGGCGTTGAGTTTGTGCTCGAAGTCCGATCTCTTCTTGACGATCGCCGAGATTTCCTCCTATATTTCGATTGACAGTTTGCGTGAGTTCCGGGGTTGTGATCCGATTACTGAAGGACTGTAGGGGAGGGATGGTACCTTGGAGAAGATCTTTTTCCTCTCATACTCTCTGAGCTCTGGCACCGACTTCTCCAGATAGAAGCGCGCTTTGTCAGTGGCGTTAGACATGGTTGCGATGACCTAGAACCCAGTTGGGGTCTTCAGAAGCAGATCGCAGACTGGCAGAATGATCTGGCAAAAAAAAAGTGGTCGGCATCCCGCACGAGATCTCCGATTATCAACGTCCCTGGCCGCCTGCCTAACTTGGACTAGTGACGCTCGCGCGCCCGCGTGCTGCCGAGCCTCAGTGCGACGGTCATCCCATCCAATCCATCTCACCTCAGGGGGGTTCTTTTGGACTTACTTGTTGTTTCCATTCTTCGGTCGATATAATCTCTCTCTTTTCTTTTCTTTGTTCTTTCTATTTTCTTCTACTGCCACTCGTTTTCTTCTTTTAGCTTGGACTTGTGTAATTCTGCCTCAATTACCCCATTAACCGGAGGTCGAGCCCGGTGTCGCCTGTGCTATCATGGCACCCAGATTTAAGGATGGGGATGCCGTTGTGGCGGTTAGTCACCTATTCACACCTAAAGGAAGAATCGCGATCTGACTGAAGCATTGGCGCAGATAAATGGAAAATGGATCTCGTGGACTCATACCGCCGTCGCCTACACGGCCTTCTTTAGTGCCCTGATTGTGGGAATGTCACTGCATTTCCGCAAGATTGTCCAAAACGAACACTATGGCTACCCCGATGAATGGTTTCCTTCCGTCTCAGCAACTATCGGTGATCGCTATCCCGAACGGTCTTTCTTCCAAGTATTCATTGCCATCACTTCCGGACCTAGATTCGCCCTTGTTTTCCTATGGTATCTCCTCACGGCCCGCCCGAACTCCGCTCTACCCAAGCTGGTTGCTGGTGTCGGACTGTTCCGGACTTTCACATGCGGAGGTTGGACATATGTCACCTCCACTGACGATCACGACTGGCATGATATATTCATGATTTCGTATTTGGTGGCAACCCTGCCCTGGACTCTTGGCTGCCTTGCTCTCAGCCCGAACAACCGCCGGGCCGTCAAATATCGGAAGATCTTCGCCAGTCTGTTCTTCGGCACCCTCGTGCCGTTGATCTACTTCTTCATTCAACATAAAGTGCACAAGGTTCCTGGAGGTAAGTCTTATGTGGACGCGGAATGTACTCGGCCTATGTCTGACCTTGCCAAGCCTACACGAAATACGCCTTCTTCGAGTGGTCGCTTATTTTGTTTGACGTGGGTTTCGACGCGGTCACTGCATTTGACTTTGAAGCGTTCGAGATTGTTGTGAGAGATGTCAAGGGGGTTAGCAGAGGGTATGTACAGTGGCTTCCAAAATGATTCATGAGGGGAAGAGGGAGAGAGAAATGTACAGTTGCCAAACGACGTCGGTGGATGGTGTGCTTGATCGACGTGATCTAAGATTTTTTGGAAACATCTAGGCAGTTGAAGACCACTGCGGACTCCGTTCTCGAAAAAGAGTGTGTATAGCCTTTTCTCCAACAATTTCACGGAGCATTGCAGTTAACTCGTAGTTAGGAAGGGCAAGCCGGTCGGCAACACCTTTGGAGAGGGATTTTTCTGGACAGAAGTCCTTGATGCGGCTGCAGAAGTCTACAATGGGGTAAATTTCCTTGTTCTTGAATCTCGCTTCGAAATCATTACTGACGAAGTGTAGTTCGTCTTTTGGACCCTTTGCACTGCCCTTCCTGTTCTCGTCTGGTGTGAGTGACCGTTTTCTGAGCACCCTAACCGTGCATAGCTGATGATTGTAGACTTCCCTCTCTGGCATATGGGTATCTCCGGATACGAGGCTGCCATTGTCTCATATCTCTCACCTATCCTTCTCGCTATCCCAGCCCTCAAATCCGCTGTGGTTAAGAATCCTCGACTTTTCCATCTCCTTTCGTTGTCCGGACTGCTAGCATACAAGATCCAGGACCCTGCCAACCGGCTCTTTTTGACCTCTTTCAGCGTTGTTTGCAGTTGTATGACATGGGCCGCTACTCTCTACGCTGAGCGTGGCAACAATGCCAGGCTGGAGTCGCGAGTTTTCGCGTGGGGCACCGGTTTGATCATGTCGAGCATTGCCAAGTTCGCCTGCACTACAAACAACCCGGTCTGGCCCATTATGCATGCAGAGAATGGTGGTTGGAACAAGGTTGGGCTTCTGCTCGCCATCCTGGCTGTTCTGCGATCTTACAGAAGGCCCGCGACAAGTGGAGGAGACTATCTGCCATCCAGCGGCAAGAAAGGCTCCTGGCTTCCTGCCGGGTTGGGTATTGGAGCGTTAGTCTTCGCGATGCACTACCTTCTTTCTGATTCCAGTACCATGATTGCTTGGGTTTGGGAGGGATATCCCGTGAGAGGGCCAATCGCTGCACCTCACGGTGCCCTCACCATCTTCGCCATGGGCGCCGGTCTTGTATTTGGTCTTTTCTATCCTGCCGCTGCCGGAAGCTGGACAGCGTTCGGAATGGGTTCCGTTGGTGCGGCATTCCTTACCTGCTACAGCCACTGGACTGGCTTCTACGGTGCCCTTGTCCTTGCTTTCTACCTTCTTGCAGTAGCCCCGGTCCTGATCTCCTCCGCTGTTCGGCACTCCCCAGCGGCCACATTTGGACTCGGTTTCTTCGTCTATATGATTCTTGTGTTGTTCCACGTCTGGGTTGTTGCCTACGCATTTGTTCCCGGTGGCTACCTTGTGAGAGAACACACTGACTGGATCATGATTACCACTATGTTGTGTATTGGCGCTGGAGTCTTTTCTGCGGCAGTTTCAAACTCTCACAACTCCAGGAGCAAGATTGTCAGCCCCAACAGCAAGAGACAACGCTCCTACTTTATTTATGTCCTCGCCGCTCTCCAGCTTCTGTCTATCTCCATCGCCTACCTTCGGTTCCCCACCAATGACTACACCCCCTATCACAAGGAAGATAAGGTTGCCACCCTCGGAATCTGGACTGTGCACTTTGGCTTGGATAATGACATGTGGGCGTCTGAGCGACGCATGCGCGATGTCATCCAAGAGCTGGAACTTGACGTGATTGGTTTGCTCGAGTCTGACAACCAACGTATCATCATGGGCAACCGTGATATCACGCAATTCCTGGCAGATGACCTAGGCATGTACGCTGATTTCGGACCCGGTCCCAACAAACACACGTGGGGTTCTGCGCTGCTGTCCAAGTTTCCGATTATTAACTCCACCCATCACCTTCTTCCCTCTCCTGTTGGCGAGCTTGCTCCTGCTATTCACGCCACGCTGGACATGTACGGAGAGTTGGTCGACGTTGTAGTTTTCCACTCGGGCCAAGAAGAGGACCCCGAAGATCGTCGCCTGCAATCTGAATATTTGTCTAACCTGATGGGCTCATCGGACCGCCCCATGGTCCTATTGAGTTATCTCGTCACAAAGCCGCTGGAGGGCAACTACAACACATATGTTAGCGAGACGAGCGGCATGAAGGACATTGACCCCACCGACTGGGACAGATGGTGCGAATACATCCTCTATAAGAAATTGAAGAGAACAGGCTACGCCCGTGTCAGTCGGGACTCCATCACCGACACAGAGATTCAGGTAAACTTCCTTCAATCGCAATCATGTTTCATCAGCTCTAACAGATATTGCGACAGGTCGGAAAATTTGTCATTGGCGAGCCTGAGCCTGAGAACGAAATGCGTATCCCTGAGGAGATGGTTCCTCAGGGCCGTCAATTCCCGACATTGTTCCGTGGGCAGGGTGTACGCGGCCATCGGTACCATGTCTTTGATGAACCTAGATACTGGCAATAAGCGTGTGCCTTCACCCCGAGGCCATGCCTTAGTTGCTGTACCAGGGGGAGTGAATCATTCTATATGTTCTTGAGTATACTTCCATGGGACAATCATGCCGCCAATCTGTAGCCGAGTGCTACTGGCGGTTGCTATAACTTTGTACTGTCAATTGAACTGCAAATAATGTACTTTTACCCCTTACTGTGACGCTTCGAGTCGATCAACGTGATCAGCTTCTGAGGACGTAGGCGAGGTCCGTGCTTGACGCCGAAGAGCAGCGAGAGTTCACGCAGATCTGCTGTGCAACTGACTCTCTGATCTCTCTTTCAATGTAACGTAGTTATCAGTGGCTCTTTCCACCAGACTTCATTCACACAAGCGAGTTCGTCACTTTACAGCTGGAGCTGTGGAATGTGAGCAAACATGTTCGCCAGAATCGGGGTGACATAACGTATATGACAAAAACGAGGCAGGAGGTGGGATGGGCTCTTTGCCTCTCAGAACTCCTCCCACATGGTTCAATGATTTTTTTTTCCCTCTCCGGTCCCACCCTCGTGGGTTGTCGACAAAAATGGCTGAACTGATGGCGAAGCGCTGCTTTTCGCTCTATCCCCAACCCCGTTGCTTCTTCTCCCCCTTCAAACCACCGCTCACAGCTAAAATGAAATGACAAATCATGTCTTCCCATCCCAACGCGAAAGCCTATTTCGACACAGTACATAAAAGTACATGTATCTGTCAAGCCACATTGAAACAGTCGCGTTACAACTACGATTCCAGCAAGCAAGTCAAACTGACCGATGATGATGAGCCTACATTCCAGACGCCGCAGAGTCAACGGCGCACCGGGACAGATGCGCGGATCCAGCTGAGGAAGTATCCAATCGTGCGATGGGAAATTCCCCGAAGAATGCATTCGTACACGCTCTTTGTTGATCTTTCCCTTTTTTTCTTTTTCTCTTATTTCTCTTTTCTCTACTGCCTAACCTTTCTAACACGATGGTCGAATCATCGATCCAACCACGGTAACGACGCACGAGAGAAGGATTCGCGTTCGATAACTCTTCTAGGGCAGGAATTCCACGAAGACAGAACACACAATCCCCGAGAAGGAGATCAAAGCTAGAATCCAAAGTGATCGGATACCGGACAAGCAAGAATAATCGTGATATCTCCGAGGGGAACCAAGGAAGGAGGCTCTTTTCCTGGCGTTATCAACTCCCTCTAGTGCTTCGCGTGTTTCCCTTTCCCCCCGCCTCTCTCGACATCGGACAATCTTTTCTTCAAAAGTACCTCTGAACCCTCTAGTTCTGGTATTGGGAAGGGCTGATTACGCGTGTTGGTCTCTACGTTACTGTTTTCTTTTTGTTTCTTATTACTGGTGTTGCCGTTCAGCAGGGACTGGGTATGCATTGGGCTCTGACCAAAGCGTTGCGGCCTCCTGTATTGTGTTTTCATACACGTGCTGCACACACTGATTTCTGACATGGGAGAAGACTCGGGGTAAGTGCCTGGGAACTTGTTGATAGATTGTTGGTCTGAACTGACATGGCGAAAGCACAGATCAAGATAGCTTTGTGTGATTCCATTCTAAGCAGATCCAGACTGTCCCAGTTGGTACCCTGAGGCACGACCTTCAAAGCCCCAACAAAGAAAACTCAGAGTGTAGCGGATTACACTCATCCGTTTGTCAACCTTGGATGAATCAACCACTGGAAATTGAAAGGGTTTCGGGAGTCGTTCTTTGTTGAAGGCAAACACGCTGTCCCGCTCTGAGGGCAACTCACGCAAACAGGCAAAGAAAGGAGGTCCTTCCATTCATAAACAAGGTATCTTGCTGACCCTGGAGGGTGGTTGAATCTGAACCTTTCGAAGGTCTGGTTATGCAGACTATACTAATTGATTCTCACAGACACCGCATCGCCAGCCCTCTCCATCTGTGCTAATTCCTCTAGTCTCATCACTGCAAACGAATATTTTCTGATGTAAGTCTTAAACTGACTATCCGTTAAAGCGTGATACACTGCCCTCGTTTGTGTTGGCTTTGGAACTGATCCAATCTAGGGCCACGATGGCGGACAGGCCACCCAGACAGGCGGGAGGACTCTTGCCGCCTTCGAGTCCTGCCTGGAGATATGATGCAGTGAATGGCAAACCTCTCAATCCAGAGCCCAGAGAACTGCCGGGATTAAATGTCAATATCTACTTCGGCAGACGAAACAATCGTCCGCGCTGGTTGATAACACCTGTGCCATCAATAGACATTTCTGACGGCGGACCCCTTGGCGAGAAAGGCCCCCAGGAGAACAGTCCTGACTCCCAGAGCCCTAAAACAAACGATACCGATGATCCGCGGAGGCCCGAGGTCCTTTGTTGGAAATTCGATCCTCCCCCCGAGCAGCAGAACGACCAGGAGCTGTACAGACATGCCTATTCCACCCTCCAAGAAGCACTCAAAGTACCTAGTTTCAAGGAAGAAGCGCGAGCCTATATCCGGCGACTGTACCCGAACGAAACAGCACAAATAGAGGATCCGCTCCCGAGGCTCCCCACGTTTCCCAACCCTCGGCCTCCCCTCAAGAGACAATCACCAATCCCCGGTACTGGCGGCCCTAAGTACAATTGGTACGATCGTCCAATGCTGTTCTCCAAAGTTGGATCGGCGGTTTCCGCTGGCAATTCAGTCACTACCATCCGAGACGAAGCATCTGTTGCTCCCACTCCAGAGGAAGGAATACCACTCTCCGCTGGTGAGTACAAATGGCTCTGGTTTGTCGTCATCATTCTGCTTGTGGCAATGTTTCTTTGTCTGTTTCTGTACGCATTCAAGATTCTGAGATAGTGTTGCGTGTATATGAGGTACTTCTTTCTGGTCCACCGGAACCCTCCTCTCCGTGGCTCAGACATCGGTAGCGAAGCTAAGCTCCTGCGTGGTTGATTCTGTGTCTGCTTGTCCAACTCTGGTGTTTGTATTCGATAAATTGCCCGTGAAGCAAACGAGAGCATCTGGCCTTGGCCGTCTGTTCACATTCCGCGTGTACATCCCTTGCATCCTGCATTCCTTTCTCCATACTTGCTTGTACCCCGTGCCAAGCTAATTGCTGCCAATACATAGATCTCAGAATGGCCGCCAATCAAAGTCCGTTGCCACCCATACCTTTAGAAGGTGTTGACGAAGATGTGGTTCTCAAGGGCGGCCTGCACCGGGATCCAAAACGTAAGGCGCAATCGACCACACGCATGTTTGCGCGGAAATATAGATAGATTCAGCTGACTTCCGAGGTGATCCACAGTTGCTCTAATCGACGACACAGGCCAAATCAAATTCATGCACCCCCCTAAGGAGGAACCGTTTCAACCGGCGACCACCAAGGAGGTTCCGCGGCCCGTGACTGTGCAGGGCATAGGGAAGTATGAACAAGAGAGTGTCGGGGCACAAACCCACGCGAACGGCCAGAGCACCACGGACAAGGAAAACAACCCGCTCAAGCAAACCGCAAACCCAGGCGACAAAAGAGGCCGAGGGATCGGCCGAGGGATCGGCGAAGGAGGCGGCAAGGAAACGCACAGCAGAGTCCCCACACCCTCCTTCGCCGACCCTAGGCTTGACGAGAAGCGAAAACTGTCGTGGGAACGTGATGGGTACATCGAGGAGGAGGTTCAGGCCAAGGTCCGATATCTCCGGGAGAACCGCGAATTGTATTACCCCAACCGTATCTTCCGCCGCATGAGAATGTGGTCTGGGTGCGATCGAGATCGATCCACGATTGGGATCAACGGCCAGATCGATCAGCTGCCTCCATTTCCCGGGAAGCTGATGGTGGCCGACTCGGAGGCGTCGCCATCCCACAAGAGAAAGCGTGGGAGGGCGCCTGCTACGACGAAGAAATCTAGGGCCGCCGCCGCGAAGGAGAAGACGAGGGCTCCGAAGAGAGCGACTAAGAAGAAGGCTGCGAAGAGTACTACTCCTCCGGCCGATGATACCACCCAGCTGGGTAGTTCGCCGAAGACGGCTACACGACCTAGAAGGAGTAAGAGGATCAGTGGTAGAAGCCAAAGTGGCACGAAACAGTCTGCTAGTCGGGGTCACTGAGGTTGAAAACTGGGGCTGAGATCTGGGGAAGGTGTAGGGTTACTGATTGATTGCAAATATGGCTTTGTTTCTGGTTGGATTGTATTGTATGGATAATCGGTTCATCTTTGCGTTTACTAGTAATGTCATTTGTAGTATATAGCTCTTATTCAGGGGACTATATATAGATACTGTACAGATCCAGCCGCCATCTAGTAAACCGCGAACGAACGAGCCACGAACGCTTCTATCTCGGAGTGCAAGACAATGACTACTACCGGTATGGTCTCCGACGCTTCTATAAACAGCAGCTACTCTATATACAGATATTGATCCTAACGCCCATCAACATGCCAAGATATCAAGTACCAAACCCAGACTCGCTCCGACACTCAGTAACCACGTCCCCATGGTGGATGTGATGGCTCCTAATGTTGTTACAGGGAGAAGGGGGTTGGTGATGGTGGTGCTGTTGTTTGTGTGGTTGGGTTGGCTGGAGAACGCCGACTGGATGGTCTTTGCTTTTCCTCAGCCGCGCGGAAACAGATTTGACGAAGTCAAAGGTGCATCGATGACCTAAACGATTGCAACTTGTACCGACACGTCCGTCGCCATCATTGGTATGTGGCGGCAAAACGCATCGCCGCTTCAAGCGCCGACAGGGGTCGCAACTTGTGTTTTGGCGATGCCGGGGGGTGGGAGACGACGGTTTCACCACCCGTGAAGATTGCACGTGGGACATTCGAATGCAGCTTTAGTGGGATGGAGAGGCTGAGGTAGATTCGATAGGACGAGCCCATCTTTAACAGCAAGAATGGCTCACACAAAGGAGTTTGGCTCAGAGGTGCATTGCAGGTATAGTTCGGAAAGAGAGTCATAATCTCAGTGACCATGACAGCAATTACCCTTTCGGGAGGAACCGGCGGCCATTTCTCGATAAGCTGACTCATTTCTCTGTCATGGCTTCGCCGCTTGTTGCCCAATTAAATCCATTCTAGCCAGCTATATGCTTCTGTCGAAGATTCTCACACGAAAACTTGCATCCACGACGCATCAAGATCGTTATCAATTTAACCCATTATCCAGCCTGAGGAGCGGGGTATTATTATACATTCTGATATACAGACAAGGACCATGGCGCGGAATAGCCTAGACATTCTCCCCAGCAGCCCTGCGAACGCAGTCCACGATGAAGCGCGGATCGCTCAAGAACGGCGAGTGACCTTCCTGGCACCGTTCAACCTTCAGCGCCCCTTCACTCTGCGCAATCATCCGTTCCTGCACCAATGACGGCAAGGCCCGATCGTTCTCGCAGACGATATACGTACTGGGAATCTCGCAATATGCCGTGTAAGTCACCGGCACGGACAACGGGCCCACGGGGTACGAGCCCAGCAGCCCAACCGCTTCGTCCACATCGGCAGGGTCGCACCGGTTATAAAAGACCTCTCGGATTGCATTGCCATCCAGAATCATCGCTCCATCCTAGGGTATGAGGTCAGCTTACTCGGGGGCGTCGTGCTTGTGGCAAACAACCAAAAAAATCACACAGACACACACACACACCCCCCTCAGTGAAGCGCATGCCGCCATGCTCGGCCAAGTATTCCTGCCGTTGCCGTTCGAGCTCCTCCTCTTCCGGTGTCTGGGGCTTCACTTGTCCGATGTGGTTTTGGCCTTCGGGAAGCGCCATGGCGCACATATACATCAAGTGGAGCACGCCGCTCTGAAGCCCTTGCTTTTCGCGCGCGCTCTTGCCCAGGCCCTTGACTGCTTCCGACATGGGGATGCCGCTGAATGAATGGGCGATGGTGATCACGTCACGCCCGGCGTCGAGGTAGCTTAGGATGACCTTGCGCACGGCCTCGGCGTCTGGGATCCAGCTGGTGGAGGGAGGGCTAGAGTCTACCGAGGGCATTGTCACGCCTACAGCTTGGTAGTTGGCTTTCGCGAACTCGTCGATCAGGCGCTGGTAATGCTGTGGTCGGTGCCACGAGCCGGGGACGATGACAACGGCTGGTCTGAGCATACTGATGTTGGTTTAAGAGGAGAAGGAAAGGGAAAACAGTAAGTGATTGTGATGTGCAGAGGAATGCGATGCACAGAATGAAAGAGATTCTCAAGTGTTGCTTAGTAGCTTGGTAGGTTTTAGGCCACGGAGGCAGAAGGTCAAAGTATCATATACCTACTATGCGGTGGGCCTGATAGAATTCTGCACGATCGTCGGAGCCGCAACAAGACGATAGATAGTACAACAATACAAGAATGGCGTAGCTCTGAAGTAAGGCCAGGTGGTACAGCCCTGAAGAATCAATCCTCCCCGCGTTGGCCCCTCGATCCTGTTGGAGGTTGCCATTGAAGAGAGCTCAGCATCAGAGGTAGGCTGTGAATGCATCTCACTCTCCCGAAACAAACAGCTAGCAGGCGATAAACACCCCTGTCCAGATGGTAGATTAAGGGAAAGAGCGCACAGCGGAATTCTGCCAGTGTTCTACTGTCCCAGTCAGCATGTGAAATCAATGACGACTAAGACCACGAGAGGGACATATTCATGTGATATGGTTTCGGGCCCAAGGATGGCTCTACGGGAGGGAATCCTGTCCATGAAGTTACTGTGAAAGCCTAAGTGTTATGAACATTGGCTTTTCCGCAAGTTGCTTCCGATCGTATCGTGTCAATTTCATATGAGGGGGTCCGGAATCTAGATTAGTGCGATACTCTAAAACGATGGAAAGGTTTTCCGGAGTCAAATGAAGCTGCTCCGGATCAAACAACTTCACTTTAAATCAATAAGCGCTGGAAGCTTGTCTAATATCTTCTTTATTGATTAGAGCGTGCAAGCAAGGCGCGTGGAAAGAAACCAATGCTGCGGAACAGAAGCAACTCGCAATGCACGGCATGCCCGCGGGCATAAAGCGATGATACCCGAATAGGTATAGATGCAAACAAAGCAAACCACGATCCGCGATGGCTTCATCACTCCACGCTCCGTTGAAAGCGACAACATTCGCCTAGCACAAGGTCCCATCGCTTCGCCAGGTGTGTCTTTTTCGTCGACTCACTCGAGCATGCCATTGACTCGCTATTTTTAGTTTGCCTCTTTCAAGATTTGCTCGTATCGATGCCTTGATCGGAAGCGGTTCCGCCGTCCTCGCGACAAGACTATCTCACCTATACAGTCCGAAGCTCTCCCCAAGGAGCGCGTGACGACGACCGATCGAGATGTTCACCTTCACCCCGTTGCTCGGTGCTCAGTCATCCGCCTCAAAGGCATCGCAATCGATCTTGGAGCTTGAAGGAGGGATAAAGATTCTGGTGGATGTCGGCTGGGATGACACCTTCGATCCTCTTGATCTGCAGGAATTGGAAAAGTGAGCCATACTTCTTTCTGGGAGAGTTCGCGCACTGCGATCACCAAACGACTTCCTCTAATCGAATGTGCTCGATGAAATAGACATGTTCCTACTCTATCGTTGATCCTTCTAACCCACGCGACTCCTGCCCACATCGGTGCCTTCGCCCATTGCTGCAAGACCTTCCCTTTGTTCACCCAGATTCCCGTCTACGCCACGAGTCCCGTGATCGCCCTCGGCCGCACGCTTCTACAGGACTTATACGCGTCTTCGCCTCTCGCCGCGACCTTCCTACCCAAAGCCTCGATCTCCGAACCCGGGGCATCCACCTCCGCCGCGTCGGCCGCAGCATCTGTTGCACAAGGCGACGAGAGCCCAGAGGCCACGCACGCTGGTCGCATCCTGCTTCAGCCCCCCACCAACGAGGAGATCGCGCGATACTTCTCGCTGATCCACCCCCTGAAATACTCGCAACCTCATCAACCGCTTTGTTCCCCTTTCTCCCCTCCTTTGGACGGCCTGACATTGACTGCCTACAATGCTGGACACACGGTTGGTGGTACGATATGGCATATTCAACATGGGATGGAATCGATCGTCTACGCGGTCGACTGGAACCAGGCCCGCGAGAGTGTCGTCGCGGGAGCGGCGTGGTTTGGCGGCTCCGGCGCGAGCGGGACTGAGGTCATCGAGCAGCTGCGCAAGCCAACAGCGCTCGTGTGCAGTACCAGGGGTGGTGAAAAGTTCGCCCTCCCTGGTGGAAGGAAGAAGCGCGATGATCTGCTGCTCGACATGATCCGAAGTACGGTCGCCAAGGGAGGTACTGTCCTGATCCCGACGGATACGAGCGCTCGCGTCCTGGAACTGGCCTATGCATTGGAGCACGCCTGGCGCGATGCAGCGCAAAATGGTCAGGGTGATGATGTGCTGAAGACCGCGGGACTTTATATGGCCGGCAGGAAGGCCAACACGACCATGAGACTTGCCAGGAGTATGCTGGAATGGATGGATGAGAATATTGTACGTGAGTTCGAGGCTGCAGAGGGTGCCGATGCGACGACCGGCCAAGCGCAGTCAAACAACGACGGCCCGCGGTCCGGAGGCCAGGGCAAGACTGAAGGCAAGGGAGTGGGCCCATTCACATTCAAGCACCTGAAGCTTGTTGAGAAGCGGAAGAGTTTGGAGAGGATTCTCGCCGATCAAAAACCAAAAGTCATCTTGGCTTCTGACGCATCATTGGATTGGGGATTCGCAAAGGAGTCGCTCCGCCTGGTGGCCGAGGGCGCCAACAACCTGCTTCTTCTTACAGAGCCTCTGCACAAGGAGAACGTTTCCGACGGTCATCGCGAAAGCCGCTATAGGAAGACTCTGGGCGGCATGATCTGGGAATGGTATGAGGAAAGAAAGGACGGGGTCGCTCTCGAGAAGAGCTCGGACGGCGAGATGCTGGAACAAGTGCACAGCGGCGGAAGGGAGCTCTCATGGTCTGAAGTGCGCCGCGCGCCTCTCGACGCCGGCGAGCAACTGCTCTACCAACAATATCTCGCTACGAAAAGACAACTCCAGGATACCTCTCAAACAAGAGGACAGGAAAACCTTGACACTGCCGCAGACGCGCTGGACGACCGGTCTAGTTCTACGTCTGAAGATTCCGAGACCGAACAACAGGGAAGAGTGTTGAACTTCTCCACCTCCCTGGCCCATGCCAACCGCAACAAGCTGGGGCTCAGCGATGAAGATCTCGGCGTTAATATTCTCCTGCGGCGGAAGAACGTCTATGATTGGGATGTTCGCGGCAAGAAGGGCCGCGAGCGAATGTTCCCCTACGTGGCTCCCCGCAAGCGGGGAGATGAGTACGGCGAATTCATTAGACCCGAGGAGTATCTCCGTGCGGAGGAGCGCGAAGAGGCCGATATGCAACAGCGTCGGACCGACTCACAAATGAGGCTGGGACAAAAACGGAGATGGGACGAGAGCGGACCCAACGGACGCCGGCTGTCTGGTAGTGGAGGAAAGCGCCACCAAGGGCCGGGCGGTGCAGCGAAGAAAGATCTTAGCACAGCTGATGAGCTGAGCGTGATGGAGGACGGTGAGGGCGCCGATGCCGCTGCCTCCTCTGATGACGAGCAGGAAAGCCAGGCGTTCGAAGGACCGGCCAAGGCGGTTTACGAGAAGGCGAGCCTGACCATCAACGCGCGCCTTGCTTTTGTTGACTTTACGGGCCTGCACGACAAACGAAGCTTGGAGATGCTCATTCCACTCATCCAGCCCCGGAAACTGATCCTGATCGGAGGCATGAAGCAGGAAACGACGGCGTTGGCCGACGAGTGCCAGAAGCTTCTGGCAGCCAAGGTCGGCGTCGACGTGCCGGCATCCGCGGATTCGGCGGTTATCTTCACTCCTGCCAACGGCGAGATGGTCGACGCCAGTGTTGACACGAACGCTTGGATGGTCAAGTTGAGCAATAACCTGGTCCGACGATTGAAGTGGCAGCATGTGCGCAGCCTGGGGGTGGTCACACTGACGGGCCAGCTCCGGGGACCTGAGCCCTCTCCTCAAGCGGAACAGGATCCGGAAGGTCCCCACAAGAAACAGAAAGTGCTGCTGCAGGACGAAGCCACGCCGGCCACGGATTCGGAAGCAGAATCGACGAAACAGCAGCAGCAGCAGCAGCCGCAGCCGCCACCGCCACCGTCACCAGAACCAGCTCCGCCGACCGACAAAACCGATGTCTACCCCTTGCTGGATGTCCTGCCGGCCAACATGGCGGCGGGAACGCGATCCATGACCCGGCCTCTCCACGTGGGCGACCTCCGGTTGGCGGACTTGCGCAAGCTCATGCAGGGGGCCGGCCACACCGCGGAGTTCAGGGGTGAAGGAACACTGCTGATTGATGGGATGGTGGCGGTGCGCAAGTCGGCGACGGGCCGGATTGAGATCGAAGCGTCGGCGCAGTCAGCAGCGATGGTGCCCGGTCGTAAAGGGGCGGGGAGTTTCCTGGCCGTGAAGCAGAAGATCTATGAGGGATTGGCAGTTGTGTCGGGGAGTTGAGCGAGTTGGTCGGATCGAGAATATGTACTGTACCATCTGTGTGTATGTCTGTGTGTAGCTTGTAGCTTGAATCAAGACGAGGGTCGATCTAGTCTCTCACGAGACCTGAGAAGCTCGGGCACTCCATTCGGATCATGCATGCATGTAGGGTAGGTCAGCAATTGCTGGTCATAGTGATTAGAAGTATACGAGACCTCCAACTACACCTACACAAGTAAGTACTGTACATGTAGCTACCGAACCCAAGCTCTTTCTGAGACATATGACTACAAGCACTTAATTATTGCCATATCAATCCAGCCCAGCGAATATGACGCCCTGTCTCAACATCAATCCAATCTTCCCACGGTCATCTCCGAGACCTACTGTACTTCCCAATCTACACCCAAATCCGCAACAAACCTCAAGGTATACCCCTCATGACCTGCGACCAACAGAATGAATGTAACCCACTGGTACACGTCACACCATAACCAGGCGCAGCACCTCATAACAGACCATTCCAATACCTCCTAACCAACCAGCCCGCATCTCTACCACAATAACACAGAGCTATATTCGAAGCAGCCCACACATATACCCCCTCTTCCTCAAATCGATATCATTCCTAAATCCGGATACGGGGTTATACTCACTTCCTTCCTGTTCTGTAGTGTACAGTACAATATTCCAACGAAAGCGTCGATCATTGATCCACTAGGATGAATCGAGTGTAGCTGAGCGATTGAGGCTGAGACTATTGAAGAATATCGATTGGTGACAGGTCCAATCCGGGAGGAAGATAAGTATACGGTGGTTGGTGTTTCATCCCGTCTGCTAGGGAGTTTACCTGTCTGTTACCTTGGACTTGCGCCCTGGGGTTTGTAGTGTCGACACACTTGGACATGACCATGAGTCCCTACAATAGATACTAACAGGCTCAATGTGAGGTCCATGCGCCGATAATACCAGCCAATATAGAAAGCTTAAGCTCCTGCACATGAAACCGGGAACTCCGCGCGGGCTCGGGAAATGGAGATTATGGAGGCGATATGACAGCAGTCGCTGTGGATTCCTGCACGGGGTTATTGTGGGTGTACATATGTATTTCATCTGGTGATTGTTTGGACGTGGAGCTGTTTTGCTGGATATTTGTGCTACTTGCACTATGTGCTATGTCCTATGTGCTATGTACTCGGTATGAAGGTATAGTAAGTATCGTGTCTGTTGCCAAATCCGACGAGTAAACTACAGCAACCCGCCCGCACGCACGCACGAAGGCCCGGGTCTTCAATGAAATGTTAGTAATACGACATAACCAATCCAACCAACATCCCGGCAACAACAAAAGAAAGTCGAAGTACTACTCGTAGTAAAGTAAATAAGAAGTGAAAAGAATGACGAACACTCGGGTAAGTTCCTCCCCTGTATCGCCGGCCTACAACCGCGGACAAGAGATTAAAAAGTCGCCACCTCGGAAGAAAAATCCTCATCCTCGGGATGGCGACGCGGCAACAGCAGCAGATTTGAGCAATCCAGCCATCGAAGCCCGAACCTTGGAACGCAGCCAGTCAGACACTGACAAGGGTCCATTGTCCCATGTTCGCGGCTTTCGGAAAATGGCGGGTATAACAGATGTTCATGGCTGATTGCCGGGGTTCGGCGGAGTTGTATCCACCAGTACTGGATGAGTAAAGTACAGTTGGATTGGCTTGACTTTCCCTGTTCGTGACTTCCAAGTTCTCTTCTTGATCGCCTTGAAAGACAGTAAGTAGAAAGAGAGGTAGAACAGGATCAAACACGTCTTTGCGACTATCTACGTCAGGGCGACGACGTTTGTTGACCCCTCTCTCGTGCATTAGTCGGTAGCCCTAGGCACGCCCTAGGTCGTTAGTGAGGGTAACAATGAGCAGTACCTGACTAATCCAGATTCAACAATGGTCGTGGGGACTTTTGAGTTTGAGGTCCTGTTCCGCGACTGGTTGCGCGAATGATAAGAGAGCATTGGGGATAGAGTTAGGCGTCGATTCGTGGGAACCGGTTGGCGTCGGTTGACTCGGTTCGGCGTGGCCTTCGTGTGGACGGCTGTGAGATCCACAGCATCACTGCCAGTGAGTGAGTCAGTAGTATGAAGCTGGCGGTCTTCAACTTATCGTTTTCAGACACCCAGCGCCGACGTCCCCACTTACTTGAGATTCCTTGAGATTCAAGCCCAAGTGCTCATCTCTACGTAGGGTACTTGATAGATAAAGGAAAGAAAACCGAGACAGAAAAGAGTAGACAACAACAACAAACCCCATAATCCGTGCAGTGAAACAAGTTCAACCCAATCACAAACCCAGCAATCAATCAACCACACACCAAAACACCCCCCCCAAAACAAAGCCAACAAGAAAACCCACAAAATCTAGAACATTCATCCATTCACCCGGAGTAAAATCGGATTAAGAACACCTCACTCAAAGGGGAAGAACCCAATTATCTAAGCCCCTCTGCTCCAGACTAAAGTGGACCCCCGTCCCTAGCAATGATAAACAATGAGGCGTGAATGGGTCGATAGATCCCCAGCCCCACCATTCTCTTTTCAGACCAAAATCCCAATTTCTGAATCAATTTCTTCTTTCTCTTTCGGTCCTTGACGGGACTTGGCTTTGGAGAGGTGGGGAGGGCAGGAGAAAGGGTAGAGGGTCCAGGCGCGAGTCTTCTCTCTTTGCCCCTCCTTTCTTGCCTGTCGCTGTGTTCGGTCGTTAGTTTGTTTGTCTGGTGTCGTCATTGCCCTTCCTGCCTTCTCCTCTGCCCGGTGTAAGTGAATGAGTGAGTGTAAATGAGTGTGTCCCAACTTGGAACCCACTCTCTTTGCCCAAGACATAGACAGTCATAGTCATCCATCGAGAAGGGTCTAAACCTCCCGAATAGCCTACTGTGTGACGAGTACCTGCATAGCGCTCCGTACCTGCATCAAATCGGGCAATACATCATTGGCATGGCACCATGGCGTGTGACTTGTCCGATCCTGCGTTTTTACTTCTCTGTGATTTTTTGACTTTGTTGTTGGTCGTGCCGTGATCAATGTGCTGTACGCCCCTGTTGTTTGAATGCGTAGGTCGAGAATTGTTGCCTGATGGTACAGTACGTGTCAGGTTGCGGATGGACGGTTCCAGCCACAAAGTACTGTACACAAGGGCCAAAGCCACAAATGATCACAAAGGGAGGAGTGTAATGTTTATGTGGATGGTTTGTGGCTTGCGTTGCAGAGTTTCATGGGTTAGTTGTCTTGGGTTCTTTTCTTTCTTTCGATTTCTTTCTGTGAGGTTACATAATTCATCCCCCTGGTTTCGGCGAGGTCAAAAGGAATGAGATAGTATGTCTGGAAGTTGCATCAGTACGAGGAACGCAGAGAATTTGCAGTGTGAGGTCGGAGTGTAGAGATTCGAAGGAGTTAAATGCCTAGAATGATGAGTAGGAAATCTATGTAATGAAATCGAAGAGTAGAATATCTAAAGGTGAGAAAAATCCAAAATCAAAATCAAGAATCATTCTTTTCGATCTATAGATCTATAAGTCTATCCGTCATTCATGTGATGTCAAATCACTACATACATCGTAGAAGACATGAGCGTAGCACAGCAATGCCAATTCCTTTTCTTTTTCTCTCGCAGAAAAAACTGGCCCCCCAAAAGGATGGGAGAAAGTGGGAATCAAAAAAAGAGAGCAAAAGAAGAGTGAAAGAGTCACACTCAACCAGAAAGTTCAGCAAGATCAAACAAATCGAACTAGCCGACTCAACTCAACTCACTGCATCTGGAAGAGAGGAAAGAGAAGTGGGAATCTTTGTAAAAAAGAAGCCAAGAAGCAAAAAGAAAGAGAGAGGAAGAAGCCAGTCAAAGCGAATCCTCCACCGTTGAAACTCCACATCCTAGAAAGAAGAAAAGCCAAGTGGCTAGGATGTCACCAGAAACCCCAAAACCCCAATTGAACACCGGATTCACACCTGCTGTCATTCCTTACGCGGAACCCAGGGTAAGGGTGAAGGTGGTGTCAATGGGACAACCGTGAGTAGCGTGGTTGTCGTCGGGCTGCTGGTAGGCCTCGGAGCAGTTGATGTCGCCCGGAGCGCAAGTCACGGTGGGGCAGTTCTCCGCAGACTGCGAAGGGATGACGCTGAATCCGTACTTGACGAACTCGGACTCGGCGCTCAGGTTGATGGACGACATATCCCAAAAGATGGTGTCGCCCGCCTTGGTGTATTCAAACTGGAGCACGTCGGCCTGGGTTTGGCTGGTGGAGAGCTTGACGGAAATGCCGCCACCGTTATCGTTGGTTTCCCACCCAGTGGTGTAGGAACCACCGCCCGCAGAAAGGGTCGACATGTCACTGACTCTATCAGAAACAGACCACGCGTAGACGGTAGCACCCATGCTGTTGACAATCGTGACTCCACCACCAGTGGAGCGGCGAGAAGGAAGGGCCGAAGCGAGGCCAGCCAGGAGGGAGGCAGCGAAGACAGACTTGAAAAGCATCTTGACTGTTAAGAGAGAAAGAGAGAGAGAGAGAAAGCAGAGGCTGCTGATGGGATGTTGATGATGTCTTGTCGACGACGGAGAGATGGATGTTCCTTGAAAAGGAATGTAGAAGAAGTCAAGCCCTATAAAGAGAGAAGGACTGAAGCAGTGGAAAGAAGGACGCAGTAAGCTGATCTACAGACAGACCACAAGTGAATGACAGGGCAGACAAAGCCAACCCAAAGAGAACGTCGATAAAAGATCGATAGTAGCGTGGTTGGGAAAGAGACGATCATAGTCGTGCGCATGGGCTATACTTATACCTTTGGGGAAGGGCTCATCGAACCAGCGGCAAATCACCCACCCATTCTGTCATTGCCGGCGAGTGCCTGGCGGTTACGGTGTACCAAACCATTCAAAGGCCCGCCATGAGGCAGGGGTAAAACTCTGTTTTACCGAATAATAGGACGAAAAAAAGAGAGAAGAAAAAAGAGGCAAAGAGAACGAAGAAAAAAAAAGAACCAGAAAAGGGAGTGACGTGGATTGGGTCAGTCCCCAAAAGTGGAGAGGGAGAGAGTGTAAAAGTTCCTGAACGCCACGAGATGCAGTGGGGCTTGAAGAAAGTCAAGCAGTCAAGACAGAATGGAGAGACAGACCCATAACTAGCCATTCAGGATGAAAAGCTGACAGGTGCTGCAGCCTGTACGAAGTCAAGCCCATTGCGGTGTACATGAATACAGTAGATACATGTATCTGTTGTAGTTACCTGGCTATCGGTAGGACAATCAATCAAATCTCGAGCAATGAGATCAATCCAAATACGAAGTGTGACTCGTCGATTACAGCAGTACCGATGTGATCATTGAATGTCAGTCAATCTTCCTGAATACCCAGGAACTTCCATGTACAGTTACAATGATTGAAGCCCAAAAATAGGCGTCATTCACACCCTCATTCTCTGCGGTTTCCGTTTCCCACCCTTTCGATGAGGGATAGACTTGTAAAGGGTGCGTAGCCAGCCTCATTCTGGTGGTAATACCCTTTTCCGGGACTTGGGGCGGTGGCAATAGCGGGTCTTTCCCGCCAGGCACCGCGTGGCAGTACTAACTAGTCTACCGCCGCACCACAGCCGATGAAAAGGACTTCCGGTCTGGTTCCGACCAAATTCAGTGAATTCGGGTTCTTGGCCTTTGCCTCAAAAAGTTGAAAGAACAGCCCAAGAACAATTGTACCATGGCTCCTCTTCCTTTTGCCTTCCCTTCCCTTCCCTTCCTTCCTTCCTTTCCGCTCGTCTGGCAGTGAACAATTGGAGTGCCTGAACCCCATCTATGTCGCTTGTCGTGCATTCTCCCCTCCCATTGTCGATGGAAAGTGAAAGTGGAGCCCGTGAGCTGCAAGTGCAAGACTTTTCATCCGGACATCACATCTCTTCTTTCTTCAATGGCTCACCGTCCACTAAATTCTAGTCTCCGTGCCTTAATTCGCACTTAAACCCGCCCTACCTAGTAGTACCGAACCCGGGCCGGGTTCTAGGCTTCCGCTCTTTCTCCCTGTCGTCTGCCTTGCCTGACAGGGTTGCGAATCCAGCAGCTCACTGACTACCGGGGAAAACCAGCCCATGAGAACGGAGATCCGTCCCTACCCTACACTACATCATTCGTCGCTGACGCTTAACCTGCCTGTTCCTGAGGGATTTTCCAACGGAAAAAAAGTCAAAAAGAGAAGAAGAACCTTCTCGTTGGGTTCTCTCTTTGGATGTGAGTGGTTCAAACGCTTAACCGTGGTATACTGGAATGATCACTGCTGCATGTGTAAATGAGAATTCGCCATCGCTTCCCTCTCTCCCCCCTCCCCCCTTCCTCGTTTACCCCTCCCAAACAACTTTCCCCTCATCCTTGTCGGACATGGACCAATTTCAATCTCTTTGCCCCCCTCCGTCGGGTCGTAGATACTACCCCTCGGGTGCTTTACCAATAAGGCGTTCGTAAGCCTGCCAGACTGGTCAAACCACCCTCTCCCACGGCATCGTCGCGTTTGCGTTGCCCCGCCAGCTCCAAGTTGATTTGTCGATGGATGTGTACCAGCCAGTCTACGTAGCTCTGTGCCTCGTTGTTGCGGTCTTCCACCAACATCCGAGCGAACTCGTATTCAGCACCGTCGAGTCCTTGGCGGGCCAACTGGATGGTCACCGCCTTCGAGCCCCGAATGGTTGAAAAGTACTGGAGCAGGTTGCGCACTTGGGCATTCAGGTGCGTTTCCAGCACGGGAATCGTCGACGTTTGGGGACTCAACCCTTGCAGCGAGTTCTGGCCCTCACCGAACAGATCTTCCAGGAGGTTGGGTGACACCTGCGAATGCAGCCACAGCAGACACTGCTGGCCATTGTCCACCAGGTACGCCCCGCCCTCCTCGATTTTCGAGAAGCTGGCCCGCAGTGAGGGGGGCACTTGGAGTTGACCCTGTTCGTTGGGGAACCCATCCGTCGGCTGCATGTTGTGGATGGGGACGATGCGGGGGTACAGGTACAAAGACATCTCCGTGCAGCCGATGGATCGGAGCATCCGCATGTCATGAATCCGCCGATCAGACGCCTCTTGGCCCCCTGCTTGAAAGTTAGTGTTTGTCTCTTCATTTTCGGCACGGCAAACGCGGCCTTACCTTTAACGGCGCGTGACTTGAGGAGACTTAGCATGTACATCGAGAACTCCTTCAAGTTTTCCGGCAGCACCAGCTGACCCGGAGGATGCGAGCCGGAGAAGATCTTGCGGTATCCGCTGAAAATGTCGACTGTCTTCTCCGTAATGCTGGCCCGGATATCCTTGAGGGGTTTGTCCACCGTTTTCGAGGCCGCTGGAAACCATCATCAGTACTGATCGTCACTCACAAGTTAAGAAAGAGAGAGCGAGAGTAATCTTACCCTCTTTAGCCATCATGCTCACTACCGCGTCCTGGTCTATAAATTTCATGGTGTCTAGCCCACCCTCATTGACTGCCGCTACAGTGTTGATACACCGCACCCGACGCTGACCATTAGCTGAGGTGTATAGAAGAGCAGCCTGGAAATGAGCATCCAGCTTCGGATTAAGCTTGCCGTCGTAGCTGAATGTGACGCCAATCGCCTTGTCGGCGTCGATTGCACCGATCTCGAGGTCGGCACCAAACGTGTGTTGCACAAAATTGCCATGATATCCAGACACCTGAAGGCCATTGGAGCACCGGACCTTCATCAGAGCCTGGTATCCTGTCTCGCGCGTGACCGTATGGGTCAATTCCTGAGACAGCTTGCGGATGTCGCGGGGCGCATGGAAGTTGGGGTAGAAGAATGTTTCTCCACCTGTCACCTCGGGAACATGACCTTTTGAAACAGTTAGCCGTCGATCGTGGGGCACTTGGTTATTAGAACTTACCGATCGTCGCAACATCCATATACGTGCCACTCGGCGCTGCAATGAACATGTCGACGCCAATACCCGCCTCAGCCAAATGGCCTGCGGTTTCTCTCCATCCCGTATGTTCCGTCGTATACAGCTTTCTCTCACCGTCGGTTCCATGAACCTTGGGGTCATCACGGAGTGACAGGGCGCCAGGGCCCCATGTAGGGAGGCTGGCAATTGTGCCGATTATCTTACCGCCAGTAGGTCGCAATGCAGAGAGTGCGGCATTCAAGGCAGGAAGCAACGCTGGCTGTGGGTTCTTCACTCGGGAGAAAATGGTGGGTATCCGCTGCAACAGAGAGGTGATGACATTCCTGCATCTCGTATTAGCGACGAATAATTGAATTACAAGAACCGAGCGGGGCGTACTTGGACTCGTATGGGTCAACAAACAAACCCTCGCTGAGAGGGACGAAGGGCTCTTCCAGATCCGTCATCACCATCATCTGGGCTTGATCGAGTTGTGCCTGAGCGACTGTGAGCATGAAGTTCGACCCGCATTGTGGGAATCGAGGACATACACTCAGATTGTAAAAATGAACTTCCTTGTCGTAGGTGACAATGCCAACCTTTGCGCCTTCAGGGATTCTTCGCCCCGAAGACTCGTCTTCAGGGTTTTCCGAAGGCTCTTCGCTGTACAAAGCTTCCATTATTCCCTTGCAAACGCCCTTCAAGAAGCCCCGGTTGACTGATTCCATGCTGACGTCAATCAAAAAGAGCCACTGGAGACCGACGGGTTCCTTGTTCCAGTAATCCTTGGGGACCAGGAACTCGACAGTCCCCATCATCAACTCCGGACGCTGCATGCGATCAACACGAGACCCGGAGGGATCGATAGGCGCGAAATAGTCCGCTGTTACGTCGTTGGGGAATGTGCACATGTTACAGACAAACTTATTGCCTCCAGACCTGAACGACATGAACGGGTTGATATATGTTCTGCACCGACGGCATCGCGGCGGTCCGGCATCGCCAAAATCTAACACGGGGATCGGTTGCTCGCCGGGGTCGAGACGGGCTAGTGGTTGCAGGATCATGCCCAGGGGCAGTGCGGTGGAAGAGAGGAAATCAGATGTTGAAGGAATGTTGTTCAATGTGAGACGAGCATACTTCGGGGAGGAATTGCCCTGGTCGTGCGCCACGAAAGGAACTGCTGCCGGAGGAGGAAGGTGCCGTTCCATCGTCGGGTACACGTGGTTGAAGTAATATTGAGCCGGAAGGTCGCGAGATCGAGGGATGCTTGGGATCTGCTCTGGGTCAATCTTGCCCTGCGTGGGCACAGCGCCGACACCAGCATCCCCCAATGCCGGGTTCACCGGCGCAGGGATACTGGCTGCCGGGGAAATAGGACGTTGGGTTTGGTTCAACCCCGTGTTCAAGAATTGCGATGTCGGGGGAATTCCAGCCTGGGGCACTGCGCCGAGCGGTTGCGAAACCGAAGCCGAAGCTCCTGCGATCTCATGATGTGCGTGACGGTGCTTCTTCTTCGATGTCCGAGCCCCTCCATCACTCCCCATTATGCCCAACCCACTCATCTGCGATGCTAGTCCAGCCATCGCTGGGTCTGGAGAGACCCCTCTAGCAGCCATCGGATCTGCTTGGTAAGGGAATTGAGCGTGAGCCGGTTGCAGGGGCTGCTGTGTCGGCGGCGGAGCTCCGTATCCGGACCATTGTTGTTGTTGAGGGGCTCCGTACATAGCACCAGGTTGAGGAGGGGAAGGACCAGGAGGAACACCGGCAGCAGAATAGCCTTGTGGTGGAAGCTGATGAGCCGTACGGTTGGGATCTGTCGAGGTGTCACCAGGCACCGAGCCTTGGCCGAGAGAGTTATACATGCTCGGGTCGGCCATGGTGCTTCATAACGCGGGGGAAGACGAATACTCGGGGCGGGGTGTGGATGAGGAGGGATCGATCATCAACGGGGGAAATCTGATCGTCAGGGGCGGAGCACCACCTACTGCTCCACGGATATCAACAGAGGTCACAATGATATCAAAGGCGAGGAGCGAAAAAGGGACAAGGAGATCTTGAAGCCGCACCGCATCGCAATTGACCACCTAATACAAACAACCTCCCCCGGCCCATCATTGTTCCGGCCCTGTCCGCCTTACTCTTTTTGGCCAGGGGCTCGATCTATATCCCCACTCATATCAAAGTATACAATCCGTGAAACGAGCAGAATCCCTTTTCTCTATTCATATTTTGCAATAATATTGCTTTTACAGACTGCTATACATTGTTTGCGATAGCTGTTTGGCATGATGGCTTCTCTCCCTTGCTGCTCTTATCAAGTCTCTCCCCGATAAGCTGCGTGATGCATGCAATGGAAGGACAAACAACCGCCACCCATCCAGCCACTTGATACCCTTGGCCGCAACATCTTGCTCTGACTCAGGACTTCCATCAGCTCCGCCTATCTTTACACCTCTAAAACTCCAGCCCAGTGTTCATTCATTCTCGAACTGACTTCATGCTCGCTGAATCTGGTCGCTACCGACTCCAGAACAAGCGGGGTTCCTTCACCGTCTTTTAGCGCCCAGTCTGAATTCCAGTGAGTAACTACTCAATCAAAGTGAATTCATCAAGAATCTCACAGTTTCTGTCACTAGCAGGACAATCGATGGCCAGAGCTCTCTGATACGAGTTGTCATTTCCTGCTTCACAACTATATGAAGAGCCAAGCAGAAGGATATAGAGCAGTAGCGTGATACCATGACCGGTATCCAGGATAACGACGAGCTCTTGTTGGCTCGAATTGGTTATCAACAGGTACCCTTACACCAACTGTCCTGGCTTTGGACCTTAGCATCTAAGGACCCTAGGAATTACGACGCGAGTTCTCGAAATGGTCCACCATCTCCTACGCTATCTCCATCCTAGGAATCCTCGGCTCTGTGCCAGCGACCTTTGGTGCACCCCTGGCCGCAGGGGGACCGGCCACAGCTGTATGGTGCTGGCTTGTGGGATCTTGCATGGCTCTATGCATCGGCAGCTCTGTAGCGGAGCTTGTGTCGGCGTACCCCACAGCTGGAGGCATGTACTTCGTCACCAAGCACGTGGTGCCGGAAGAATACGTGCCCATCTTCTCCTGGGTCCAAGGTTGGTGTAACCTCCTGGGACAAACAGCGGGAGTTGCTAGTGTGGTCTATACCGTTAGTCAGATGCTGCTCGCTTGCGCCAGCATGAACTCGGCATTGATCGATGGCAAATACTCCTACTCGCCGTAAGTAGCCTTTTGTCGTCACTGCCAAATCATGAGCTGACACGCCCTAGATCTGCTTCCGATACCGTGCTCCTGTCTGTTATCCTCCTTTGTATACTAGGGATTGTCTGCTCGATGACCACCAAAGCATTGCACCGTATCATCGCCTGGTTTGCTCCGATCAATAGTACGTCTACACAATGCTTTTTCTCAACCAATTCTAACAAGATAGTCACCGCAACCGTCTGTATCTGCCTCGCGTTATTATGGTTCACGCCCAACAAACAACCCGCCAGCTGGGTATTCACCCATTTCACCGACGGATCCGGCTGGGGGTCCAAAGTCTTCTCTTTCCTGTTAGGCTTCATCTCCGTTGCATGGACGATGACCGACTACGACGGGACGACGCAGTAAGTCCACCATGATCCTCTGCAGATACCATACTTACCTTCATCCTCCACCCAGCATGTCCGAAGAGACCCACGATGCAGCTACTCTCGGGCCGATCGCCATCCAAACGGCCGTGCTCGTCTCCGGCGCGCTCGGCTGGCTGCTGACGATCTGCCTCTGCTTCTGCCTCACCGACTACGAGGGCATCCTCAACACACCCACCGGCCTGCCCGCAGCACAAATCTTCTTGAACGCCGGCGGGCCCATCGGCGGCTCGATCATGTGGGGCTTCGCTATCCTCGTGCAGCTGTTCACCGGTTGCTCAGCCATGCTGGCGGATACCCGAATGGCGTATGCATTCGCCCGCGACGAAGCCCTCCCCTTCTCATCGTACGTACATACCCTACATTCCCCCTTCGAATCTCATCCTTAAGCCCACACAACACTCAGCCCAAACTAACCCCAACCACCCGAACAAAAGCTTCCTCTCCCGCATCAACACCACCACCCAAACCCCGCTCAACGCCGTCTGGTTCGTCGTCCTCTTCAGCATAAGCCTAACCTGTATCGCAATCGGCTCCACGCAAACCGCAACCGCAATATTCAGCATCACCGCGCCAGCCCTCGACCTATCGTACGTATCGGTGATCCTAGCGCACCAACTCTACCGCCACCGGCTGGAATTCGTCCAAGGGCCCTTCACGCTGGGGAGATGGGGCGCGTACGTGAACTGGGTGTCCATACTGTGGGTGACGTTCATCAGCGCGGTGCTGTTCTTCCCGCCGAAAGTGCCGGTCACGATTGAGAATATGTATGCCTGCCCCCAAACACACCCACCAACGCACACAACAAGAAAGAATATCCAAGAACTAACAGAGGTATCGGAACCAGGAACTACGGGATCTTCGTGGGGATGTTCATCGCGGCTTTCGCATTGGTTTGGTGGTGGGGTGCAGCTAGGGGGTGAGCTTTCCTGCGTAACTAGCCCACGAGCAGCGATGGTAACTAACATCCGCATGACTACGTAGACGATACAAAGGACCTCGAATCAACGAGCACTTTAAGCCTGTTCCCTCTACCGACGCGAGCTTATTTGGAGGTGAATACGGGACGTTCGACGCTGAGGCGGCGGAGTGAACCGTCTTCTTCGTGCCAACCCTCCATTTCATACAGAGAGAGAAAGAAAGAGAGAGAGAGAGAGAGAGAGAGAGAGAGAGAGAAAGCGGCCCTGGAGCGACAAGCCCCCGAATTTCAACCTTAATGGTGGAAAACAACAGGGGAGAATCCCCGGTCCAGATGAATTCGGGGATGAACAAAAGGCAGAAGAACAATAAGTGGTTGTAACTGAGAAAACATCGATGCAATATCAACACCTGCGTACATCAATAAGGATAATCAAAATTGCGCAAATGGTTATATCCCGGGCTATCGCGTATTCACGTTCTCTAGGTTTGAATAGCTACCTACTATACACATCTAAAAACCTCTACCCGCCATTGAAGCTAGATTCTAAGAATCACTAAACCGCACTAAGAATCCATTACAATATCTAGATCTGACCCAACATATGCACAGCCACGGACCTAAGGAAGAAAGGAAAGAAGGGAGAAAGAGCGAGTATGGATTGAAGAAGATCGACATTGCAAGAGCAAGCACCATAAGCCTACCACGAGTTCAATCCGAAACTACAACCAAGCACGTTCAGACAAAGAAACACACAAAAAGAAAACAAAGAAGAAACGCAGTCATGACGCAGGTACACCTAGAGCCTAGAGCAGATCCCGTCAAACCTAATCTTAACGCTGATTGATTGCCCAGGTACGGCTTACGCCTGCTAAACAAGCAATGAGAGGAATGGGCGTGGTGGCTTGATGGGAGTGAGGTACAGTAGCTTAGCGATTGGTGGCTGGTATGCTACTGATGCAAGGAAACACGCATGACGTTGCGATACCCTGAATTAATGAAGATGGAGATGCAGATCCACAGGGGAAAAAAATAAAAAATAAGAAACAAAACAGCAAAAACCGTTGTTGGGAAAGAAGAAATGGAGACCTTGACTGTACAATTCATCGGGTCCCCCCTATACATGGCTCATATATCACCATATGGCTTATCGTCACGACTCATCAGCAAATTCATAAGAAAGAAGAAAACCCGAACTCCTTCAACAAGATAAAAGTACATCTACCCACACGTTTCCCTGTTCTAGTCTTTCCCATGATGGACCAGACCAGGTTTCGTTCAGGTAGAATGGTATATGTGAAATTAATATGTCCCCCTTGTCCTCCTTCCGACGCCGTTCCAAAATTCATGTGCTAGCCCTGTGTCATCTGTTCATTTTGAGGGCGATCCGTCCCAACTGTCCAATTGTCCTATTCGCCAGCCATAATCGTGAAAAAAAGAAAAGTAAAAAAAAGAAAAAAAAAAGAATAAGGAAATAAGGCCGCGAGATGTACACGCATGCGTTGCCGACTTGCGCAGAAGGATGGCCAGTGTACCCGTTCAGGCCAGCGAACGAATGCTAGGATGTCGGAAGAGATCATACTCAAGTGATCAGGAAGTCCATCTTCATGTCCTTGATGATCTTCTCCCAGTCCCAACTCTCTTCCGAGTTGGTATCCATGACATCCCATACCCGTTTCACGACCTTGAAGGCGGGCTCGATGTTGCGGAGGTTAGAATAGGCTTTGAGAGAGTCAAAGCCCTTCTTGATCCGCTCGCGTTGGCGTGGCAGGAATGCTGAGCAGCCCAGCAGAAACAACGGCATTAGCACAATACACAACGCCCCCGCATCCTGGGGAATCTGATCGAGATATGACAGGCCATCGTCCACCACCTGAGCGATTTTTTCGCTCGGTCGGGATGGCCGGATAGTGCGGTAAAGATATACCCAGGTTGACTGCCGATAGAGCTGTGCGAGGTAGTAGTTGGGAGTGTTGGCAGCATACGATGTCTCCCAGGTTCGAATAGCGGAGTCGATCGAGACGGCGTCTCCCAGGATCTGATAGTCCACTGCAGGCTCGTAGCCCTCGTTGAACCGCTGTCGGATGCGATCCCGTAGCCGGGTCACTTCGGAGATGTAATTGAACAGGCCATCGAAGACACCCAAAAACATCCCCGCTTGAGCATGGGGTACAAAGTCGGGGAGGCGTAGGTCGCCCTGCAGGTGAGCGGGCCGACGATCGAGCGAGGTGATGGAGTTGGATACATCATGGTACTGGAAGAATTCGACGATAAATTGTCGAAACTTCTCGTTCCGTGGCTGTTGTGTCACCAGGAGATATCGCGCGGCGTCCATATGTGGTCGATACTCGCCGTTGGTTTCTCCTTCACAGATTGTATTCAAGCTGAGAGCGATTGTGGATGCAATGATGGGGTCCTCCACCAGGAGCTCGGGCTCTACCGGTCCGCCGGAGGAGGCATTGATATTATCCTTGAGATCTCGAATGGCACGGTGAAAGTGGTAGTATTTCCTCTCCTTCAGCTTTGGCTCCGGATCGAGGGCCGAAAGATGTGAACCCGATAAACACATGAGGGAATGCATCAGTCCACGATGTTGGGTAGCCATGGGCAAGAGGATTTCCTTGAACGGGTTGGAATCATCGTTGATCAAGGTCAGAACCCGGCTGAATCCGTAGACGAAGTGATCTAAGAAGCGACGATCGATCTCAGTCTCGATGCCATCGACCAGCAACGGGAGGCTACGAGCGACCATGGAATGGGTGCGAGCTGTTGTCAACCCAACCGAGTTAGAAGAGAGGTCTGAGATGTCGTATAATGTCTCGGGTAAATCAGGGGGTGGAAACTTTAAAAGGGTCGGAACAAAAGAGATCGATGATCCTTACCATCCTCGAGCTTTTGCTTGCCACTTTTCCAGATCTCTTTGGGAGGATAGCCCTCGCACACGACGGCGTTCTTCTGACAGTTGAGGCACCTGTGACCGGAGTCAATACTAACCAGAGGCGGCCGAAGCAATCACGGGAGCAGCGAAGACTTACGCTGGCTTCGTCTCATCGCACTTTTTCTTGCGACGACGACAAGTGATGCAGCCAGTTTTGGATCGACCTTTGGTGATCTTGACCTGACCCCCGGGCGCTGGCAGCGGATGTTTGCGCGGTCGTCCACGTTTCCGTGGGACATTGACGGGAACAGCCGTGGAATCCGAATGACTAGAGCTCGCATTGGCCATCGAGGTTGTTGTCGTCTCCACCCCCACAGGTTTAATACTTTGCAAGTCGTCCACGTCGTCCAACTCCTCGATCTTGGGCGTGACCTCAGTCATGGTCGGGTCGGCATAATGTGAGGCGAAGATGTTGAGTCGGAAGGCTTTGGCGGAGGTCATTGCGGTCGCAGCAAACGGGTGGTGGTGGTGTGACCCATCGTGGATTTTAAAATCCAGTTCGGCGGTGGGCGAGCTGTCGGACGGACCTTCTCCATCCCAGGAAATCGGCGAGTCATTGGAAAGATCGTCAGTGGTGCTGATACTGGTGCGATGGGAAAGTGAGGAGTCGTCTACTAATGGGCAGTCGATGAAGGCGGGGATGTCGGAAAAATGCACCGAGCGGGCGGAGTCGCGACGGGCAGCAATCGGGTGGGCGGACGAGAGAACATGAGAGAGGTTATTGCTATTGCTGTCGGAGGATGAGGAGGAGGATGAGGACGAAGAGGAAGCAGCGGTAGACGGAGAAGAGGAGGGGAGGGCAAAGAGGGAGGTTTTCTGCATGGACAACATTGCACCACACAGCCACCTCGGACGAGAGGTGCGATCGAGACCGTACACACAAAGACTGGATGTATATATAGATCGAGATTGAATCAGTGTATAGAGTGTATTAGAGTGGACCCGAAAAGGGAAGATCAAAGAAAAGCCTTAAGCAAGCAAGCAAGCAGGTGATGTAAGAAGCAAGGAGAACGAGCGAACAAGAGAAGAGAGCCACAGGCCGGGTCGGTCTGTGACGAGGGAGGAGGGGTCTTTAAGAAAAGAGTAGGGGGTGTGTATGTAAGAGAGAGAAGAAGAGAGAGAGATCGAGAGAGAGAGAGAGAGAAAGAGGGTGTGTGTGAGTGTGAGTGGGTGGGTGGGTGGGTGTGATAATAGTAGTTAGTGGTTAAATGATTAGTGTTAGTGTTCAGCAGGTGGTGTAGTATTATTAGTAGTAGTAGATAAGTAGGTAGTGGGTAAGTGAGTAGGTAGGTAGTAGTAGTAGTAGTAGTAGCAGTTAACAGTAAGTACTCAAGTTGAATAACAGTCATAAAAATAATAATGATAATAAAAATAATACTGGTGGACGGGAAAAACGGAGGAGATGAAAGAGGAGGGGAAGATCGGACAGACAGAGAAGGACGATGAGGGATGGGAAAAGTGGGGAGGAACAACAAGACTTGGCTGAGATTGACTGGTTGCGCGGAAGATGGAATCAAGACGGTGGGGGCAAAGAAAGAAAGTACAGCGTAGAAAAGCAGCAGACTTGAGAGTTAGTGCGTCACAGAGAGGAGAGCTTGGGATGTGGATGTGGTGGCGGTGGTCTAATTACTGGGAAGGAGAAATAGTTAGTTAATAGTAAGTCGAGGATAAATGAGACTAAACTCCCACAAGCTTAGAGTAACGAGAGAGGAGGGAGAGGAAGAGGGGAGAGAGAGGGAGAAGAAGAGAAGAAGAAGAGAGAGTGTCAGAGTGTCAGATCAGAGTGAGGGAAAGACTGTCTGTCTGTCTGTCTGCCGCCTACTTCTTCATGAAACGAGGCTGGGGATGTCGATCGATAGGGAACAGACCACAATCCTCATGGAGTAGAACCCCAGGACTGCCCGTGAGCAATTAGGACCAACAACATCCAAGTGGGCAGGAGATTCAATGGCCTTCCATTGAGTTCGGAGTCATCGCATCGCAAGAATGAATGCGATGGATGAATGAGGCAATGAGAGAGTCGGCACCACCCGTATTGTCTGGATGGACCAAAGAGGGAAAGACACCTGAGCACCGTACTGAACACATGAACTTTTTGAGCCTTGAAGCTGGAGGGATAAAAAGACTACCAGGTTTAGATTAACCAATCCCGAATGGGCAAATCGAGGAAGGTCAAGCTGGAGCTGAATTGACCCTCGAAGGTCTCGGGGCTCTTGTTGACCAGTGCGTCGCGATGCTGGAGGAAGCGTCAAGTAGGTACAGACAGTACAAACGGCCATCAAAGCTGTAACTGAGAACTCTGACTGACTGACTCGCTCTTCAGCCAGTGAGGCTTCAGCATTCATTGTCAAAACGCATGAATAGCTGGGGAGTGCGACTGAAAATTCAGATGGATCGCAAGTGGGCAAACTTTATGATTGATAATTCCGGTTTGGGGTGAATCGTATCCATCATAAAGGCCCCGAGCCCACTTTAAATTGGGATGAACGAGGTACATTGTTTATTGCCTGGCGATGTGTCTGAACAATGGATAATGGGGTGGTGATGAAGTACCGCTCTTGATGGCTGGATTTCCATGATGGTAGATAGTCATATATACCTACGGTAGTGCGCGTGGTAGGATCACCGAGGAATATTCCCTGCCCAGAAGAGGCAGACCAACTTGTCAGATTCCATCATCTTTCAGCAACATTCCAGATGCGGGGAGGGAGGGAATAACGATTGAAGATTGGAAAGAGCACTAAAACTCCACAGGGCACTGACTGAGTGGAACTGCCAAGCCGGTTGCTGCACAGACCTTGATTGGCCTATTTGCGCACGGAGAAAAACGACAGGTGGTGAGGGAGAAACTTCACTAGGGAAGAGCAGGAGAGAGACTGTGTATGTGTGAAAGTAAGAAGCTGCAATGTTTTTGCTTTTGTCAACCTTCCACACTACCTATTCAGTAGGTAAACTAGATTTTTACCTGCAATTACAGCTTACAAGTACCAGAACCATTGCTTTACCCCCTTCTTCTTGCTTTCCCCCCCTAAACACACCCCTCCCCCCCCCTCCCCACGCTTACCCTCACTACTGTACTCTGTACTGTATCTACTGTATGGACTTGCATACACACGTACATGCACACACTTCGGAAACCGGTGGATGCACCCAAAAAGCAATGTGCACGAATCAAAGTCTCCACGCATGGGACCCTGTTGACCATCGCGGATGATCCTCGTTGCTTCCTCCCATTTGGGCAGGGAAGCTCCCTCTTCGGCTGGCCACTGACCGGGGTTTGTGTACGTGTTGAGCGTGTTGTGCGTGTGTGGTGGGTGTGGGTGTGTCTGTGAGTGGGTGGATGGATGCCTGGATGGATGATTCCTCCTCAAACCCACCATCCCCCATCCCCCCCCCGTCCGAAATACAATTCCTGGCGATGCGTCGTCGGGGGTTTAGCTGCCTCGCTTTGCTCTTCTCGGCGCCAAAATATGGTTCTTTTTCCACCCCCTCTTCGTCCTCTTTCTCTTGCAGACTCAGCACAAACACCAATATGTGCTAGAAGCTGATCGACGGACTAGTTACATACACCTAGGCTTAGCTAGTCTTTCCACCAGCACTGACAGAAGGGACTGTACTGTAGGTATACTGTTTGACCCGTTGAGGCTCTCGGTTGGTTTCCCCTATGGCCTGGACAAAAAGAGAAAACCACCGAAGATCAACGTGGTACAGGTCTTTCGCCAGTCTTTCGCAGGACCATCAACACACACACACACAGACACACACCTCATCTCCATCAGCTTGCGATTACGAACTACCGTCCCCGTCGGAACTTTTCTCCCCGAAGCTGTCGTCTTCTAATGACACATTCCCCACCTCCCTCCCTCCCTTCCCCCAGACACATCAGGATCCGTTCGAGAAAGGATTCGCTATGAGTGGGGGTCCATTGCCCGCGCCGTGCACATCCTGATCACTGGTCATGGGGAAGGGTTAGAGGCATGATACAAGGACTCCTGACGAGAAGGAAGCTCGTATAGATAACACGCCTGTAGCCCACATAGCTTACACAAGCAGAAAGTCAAAATTCTCTCTTGCTTGCAGCAGCAGCAGAGGCGGCGCCGCCCCTCCGACTTTTTCGATAATCCCCTTCATTCAATTTTAAGTCGAGATCTATCGGGCCGTGGGATCTATCTCAGGCAACATTGAATCTTATATGCTCCCCGGAAAACTGGACACGTCGGAAGCATGCCATATGGTCCGGTGCGAGGCGTCCGCTGTACCCCTCCCCTCCTTTTCCACACCAATTCGATGGTCGACAGCAGGAGTGACAGCAGTACAATGACCAGATACGGGGAGGAAGGCATAGAACCGTGGCTTCTTGTTTACTGCAAGCAGCAATTCACAAAGATGACGGGGTGGAAGGCGGACCGAACGTAGGTAAGGTAGTGTTCCCAGTCGGGGTCTTATGTAGTGAGCGTATTACTTGCATGCCGGGATGACACGGCTCAGGCTCAGCTGGACGCCACACCCCACGCTACTAGTCTTCTTTGTGTTGCATCAAATGCGGAGAGCAAAGAAAGAGACAGAGAGAGACAGAAAGAAAGAAGAGAAAGAGACAGAGAAGGCCAGAAGCTCGGGCAGTGATCTTACCGGCCACTTGCCTTGCTCGGGAAATCCAGCCACTTCCTGCACCGCACCGCACGCTTGAGACTGATCGATCAGTCTGACCATGAACTTTCTCCTTTCCTTGATGAAGCGGAGAAGAATGACGTCGCAGGGATCGGATCGGAGGGGGAAAGGAAATCCCCCCTCCTCCTCCATGGCGCAGCATCCGAACATCCTCCGCAAGGGGAAGGAAATGAGTGGACGGAAAAGCAAAGACGCAACCGCGAGAATCATTGGGAGAAAAAAAAGCCCTCATTATCCGGACAATCTGGGGAAAAGTGGGCCAGATCTTCCCTCTTGTGCTCCCCAGCACGGACATTCGGGTGCTGCTGCTGCTGCAAAGCATCGATCAAGCCCCAGCAGTAGATAATTTATCATATCCGATTTTTATGCTCGGTTCTCGGTGCGAGCACACACCTTAGCCACCTTTTCTCCTCGCCCACTGCGGAACATGCTCCTACTGTAGGTACATACATACATGATCAGATGAGACTGAGGAGACCGATCTGAACCGGGATTCCACTTCCAGGAGTACAGTAATCTGGAGAACTGAAGTCCGGTGATTCTAGCCAATAGTCAGCAAAAACTACGAGTAAAACAGAAGGAGTGATCGGCCACCAAGCTAGGTACAGTACTACTAAATAGCACGGCGCCTGAGCTCCAGCTACTACTGGCATGTAGCTAGTTTCGTGTACTGTACCTACAGTAAACCACCATTCCGTACCTTTTCACCTCTCCTAACCCAGAACACCAGCTATAGCTAGCTATCTGGGGTGGCAACACAGCCACTCACTCAACCTTCACCATCAGGAATTACCATTAGTCAGTCACCCACCATGCAAATCGCTTAAAGGCAATCGACTCCAAGAGAGTAAGCAGGGCGGGGAACCTCCAGTTAGTAACCCACCGAAAACGCCTCAATTTCTATGTCTACCATTGGATGGCTTTTTCTCCGAGTGCTCGGACCTCTTCACTTCCAAGTCCGGTCAGTCGGCCACTGCACGGTCCACGGTGATTCGAAACGGCTCGGGATGATGGAGGAGGAGAAGGAGGGAAGGGGAGAAGTGGAGTGAGTGAGTCCGCGCGGGCGCGCCCCATCATCGATCTGCCAGGCGACGAATTGGGAAATCAGCATGTTGGGTAGGAAACTGAAACTAAGGTACCGGTTTACATACCTACACTACTGTCTGGTTCTATTCTTCTAGAGTCCCATTTTTCTTTCTTTCCTTTGTTTGTTTGTTTGCTCTTGCTCTCCAATTATCACTCAAGGAAAAAGATAGTCGGGCTGGAACTGGGCGGGCCTGGACTGGACTAAAGAGTGTAAATCAGATGGGATGGCTCGGACTGTTATACGGTCCTAAGCGAGATCGGGTATTGACGGGATAATGACTTCCGAACTGAAGGTACTCTGGCTGTTTGCCATTTTGCTTAGCAATATGATAAGTTAACTATGATGGCAGGTGGGCAGACCAGCATGAACATACAATAATATAGAACTTTCTCTAATTTCTACTCAACTATTGAATCATCTACCTATTTCTCTGTCAATTAGAACTCCGTAATTATCCAAAACCTCAAAAATGAGCCCTCAACTCAACCCTCTCTCCCCAACTCGATCACCAAGTCAATCTCAAATTGTAACCAAACCCATCCCAACAACAACAGGATCCAAGCCCAGCCTGCACATCCACAACCAATTCAACCCTCACACCTACTGGCAACAACCCGATCCTTCCTAAAAGAAATCCCGATTCAGCTACAGTAGACCGCGATCCCGCATGCACTCCACAGTGTCCACTGTCCGCACACCTCCAGGGAATCATAACTAGGACCTACATACCTACAGTACGAGGGCATCGGGTATACGTACATCACGCACCGACCAACCCAACCCGACCTTGGTTTTTCTCTTTGCCTGTGTTCTGGCTCCCGGGAGAGTCCAGGCGTATGCTACTAGTCTACTAGGTTACAAAGTGGAAAAGAAGTGCCCCGCCCGCCCGCTGCATGTGGATGGAAGAAGCCTCTGGGCTCAATCTATGGCTTGGCCGCTTTACCCTATTTTGATGGACCTACATACACACAGTATGCTAGTCCGTCTGGAACAGAGTTTGGCTTGGGTTCAATGGCGGTGGATGCTGGTGGGCTAAGGCTGGTTGGTTCAGGTCTTGGGGGAGGGGACGGGGGTCGGGCACGTGGATGGATGGATGGGGTAAATGCTGGGCTAGACCCAGTACCTACTCGGTTGTTAGCTACCTAGTTTGAGGGTTGTGTGTTGCTTGGGGCAGCATGGGATGTGGTTTATTCTAGAAAGTACTTGGGATGCGACAGCGTGAGGCGAGATGAAAGGCTGGCATTCTAGTCCTAGACTCTTGAACGATAGATTTCCTCCTCTGACAGACTATTCAGGTGCCGGAGTGGGCACGCACTTAGCCAAGCGATTGCAGCTCGTCGCTGACGACGGTTGCCTCGTCGTCGGAGAAAGAAGGAGACGCAGCGGCAGATGCATCCTGGTACTGCTGATACTCCGCGATCAGGTCATGCAGATTGCTTTCCGCCTCGGTGAACTCCATCTCCTCCATTCCTTCCACCGTGTACCAGTGTAGGAGCACCTTGGGGCGGAACAGCTTCGCAAAGTCCGTGCCCACCCGGTGGAAGATTTCCTGGATCGCGGTGGAATTGCCCAGGAACGTCGCCGACATCCGGAGACCCTGCGGCGGCACGGAGCAGTGGGCCGTCTGCACGCTGTTCGGGATCCATTCGACGAAGGCTCCGGCGTGTTTGTTCTGGACCTGGTTCATCTGGTCCTCGATTTCACGCATGGAGATCCGGCCGCGACTGGCGTAGAGAGTCAGCGCTACAGTTTTCTCAAATCGGATGGGGCTCAGGGGACTCACAATAGAGCCGAGCACGTCAGAAAGCGGCCATGATTGAAATTGCAGGAAACCATCATATTGTTCGGACTGAACATCTGGGACGTGAGTTCCGGGACGGTGACTGCCCGGAAGGATGAGCCCCGCGGCTGGTCAACGGTGCAAAGCCTACCATGAAGAAATGCAAGCGTGGGAATGAGACCATGTTCACAGCCAATTTACGCAGGTCGGAGTTGAGTTGGCCAGGGAATCGAAGACATACCGAGATGCCGGACATAACTGCTGAGACCAAGTGGTTGAGATCGTTATAGCTAGGGCAGTCCAGCTTCAACGTGCGCGTACAGATATCGTAGAGACCCTATGGCTGTCAGCCTGCTTGACGTACACTAAAGGCACTTTTCATCTCACCTCCTTATCCAGACAAAAGGTTTCGTCCACATGCTCGATCAACTGATGGACCGAGAGAATAGCGTTATACGGCTCGACGACAGCATCAGACACTTTGGGGGAAGGCATCACAGAGAATGTGACCATCATCCGATCGGGAAATTCTTCTTTGATTTTTGAGATCAAGAGGGTGCCCATACCGGACCCTGTACCGCCACCCAGCGAGTGGGAGACCTGGAAGCCTTGGACGCACCCGCACGCTTCTGCTTCTCTGCGAATAACATCGACGACTTGATCCACTAACTCTGCACCGTCGGTATATTGGCCTTTGGCCCAGTTGTTTCCCGCGCCAGACTGCCCAAATATAAAGTTGTCGGGCCGAAACAGAGAACCGATGGGACCGGATCGAATTGCATCCATGGTTCCTGGCTCCAAGTCGACGAGGACCGCGCGGGGAACATACTTTCTGCCGGCGACTTCATTGAAATAGACGTTCATCCTCTCCAGCTTCAAAGCAGATGCACCGCGGTACCTAGCTTGTTGTCAGGAAGGTAGTTTCACAAAGAAACCGAGTATGTTTGCTTACACGCCGGTGGCATCCAAGCCATGTTCGCGGGAGATCGTTTGCCTTAGGGAATGTCAGACATCAAGAGTGTCAGAGATAGAGCGTAAGACTTACCAGAAGGAACTGCCGATCTGATTACCCTGATCGGGGGATGTTAGTCAAGCAATGTATCGTGTCCCGACTCAGTTAGTGACTTACACACTGGCCAGTTTGGATATAAATCTTCCATGGCTCGAGTTAGCATGGTATATTGACCAACACTTTGACACAATCTGTGAAGGGTAAACTAACAATCTCGCGCATCTTGCGGATACGATGGTATAAGCGATTGATGATATACGAGTGGAAGGATGCGGTGCGAATGCTGATGCTTCTTCATACCAGCGGGCCGATGGGCTGATAAGTATGAGAGCAACTCGCGACATCTTCCCCAGAAAGCGACGGGCTTAGTACGCCGAGTTCTCCTTGCAAGCCAGATGTAGCGACTAGTCATGGATACTAACACAATATCGCATGCTGTCGAAATCTTTAGATCCCATCCAGGCACTCAGAGTCACAGTTTCCGAGTGTCCTGGCATTGTCTCCAGCTGCAGCCCGCAAACGAACGAGCATACTTTTGCTCCTACCTGCTGCGCACCCTCACAAAACAGCTCTGGCTCTGGTTGCACGGTAAGGAGTGGTGTCACCCTCCGGCTAAGACAGAGCCACTGATTGACTCCATAGACAGCCGCGGGCATTCAGCTGATCCCCGAGCATGTGTTACATCCATACCTAGGCAGTCAGACTCTGAGGCCAATAGCAGTGAAAAAGCGTATAGACGAGGGACAGGAAGATTGCAGAGACCAGCGGAGGTCTTAGATCTGACTGGTTGGGTATGAGCCGGAAATTGTCTCAGTATGCGGTTCTGTGTTTGCAGTATCCGATGGTCATCAAGAATTGAATTGAGGGAGCTGCTGCTGCTTACCGAGGACTGAAACCCTCAGAGCTCCGGCCTCCCTCCGTCTTCTGCAACTGCAAGAAGGTCTTTGAAGTGAAGCATCGATAAATAGCCTGTGCAAACTAAACTGGAGTAAAGAGACTTGGCAGTGGGTGAAGAAGACAAGAGAAATGACGGGAAGGAAGGCGATGATTGCGCCCACTCGGAAGCGGCCCGCGTCCCCGCAGCCTTGCCGGCCGACCCGCTTGACATTCAGGCACCCAGGCACCAGCATTACTAGTAGGTACAGTACCACTAAGCCCGTACTTATCACCTCCTCTTAGCAAATACGCCACCTCCGATCCTGTCATCCCTTTTCATTTGATCATCCCATAGCCAAGCATCCGACTCAGATGGCAGACCAAGCGAGACAGAAACAACTCACTCGCAGATCCCGGAACGGATGTCGAACCTGTCGGTTTGTATCCACCTTTCAACCCAGAACTACAATCAAACCAATCATGCCGCCCACCCTCACTGACTCACGGTTGTTTGTGATCGACACAGAGCCAGACATGTCAAATGTGACGAGACACCGGGGGCGTGCAAACGATGCACCTCCACCGGCCGCCAGTGCGAATACGATGCGATCCGACTGCCACGCGCCTCGGGGGCCATCGCCAAAGCCATCTGGTCCCAACTCGCGGGTGTCCCAGTCGCTGCCCCCAGCAGCCGCCCAGATACCAACACCGACGAACGCCGCTGCTTCAACAGCTTCTTCAACCACACGGTGCCGCTGCAGGCCAGCCGATTCGACTTCACGGAAGTCTGGCAGCGGGACGTGCTCCAGGTGAGCAATGCGGAGCCGGCGGCTTATCACGCCATCGTGGCCCTGGGCGTGCTTCAGGAGAACGTCGAGACGCGCGGCATGGCCGTCTGCAAGACGATGGCATTGCATGACCCGTTTATTCGATTCGCGTTCGAGCAGTACGGCAAGGCGATGGCCTTGCTGCGCCGACGCTTGGCGTCTAATGATCCGCAGGTCCGGACGCTGGCGCTGCTCTGCAGTATTAATTTCACCTGCATCGAGCTGTTCCAGGGAAACTACACGACTGCACGCATGCATCTGCGGCGGGGAATCCAGTTCGCCGCGCAGCACGATCAGTATTTGGCGCAGCATACCACAAGACAGCACTCGCCGCCGCCGCCGCCTACTGCGCCGCTCCATCCCGGGGCCGCGTTGGAGGGGGCGGTGGTCCAAGTATTCATGCTAATTGATGAGAAGCTGGCAATGTTCGAGAAATTCATGACCCTGCCGGAGGCGCAGTCAACGATAGATCAATATACCCCGACCGATGTCACGAGCCCTGGCAGTAGCAGCAGTAGCAGCAGCATTAACATGGACCTTGAAAGCATCGCAGAAGCCTCATTTCTGATGACCACCCTCATAAACAAGATGTTGTCGATATCTATGAGCCTATATAACTAGGTCATGTGGCAGGCGGAAGCATCAGTATAAATTTATATAACTAGCTATTTTAACCATGGAATCAAAGATTTCTACAATATATAAGCCTTTTCCTTTATACTTATACGTTCTTAAGCGGCACAATCGCATGTAAGTTATGATGGGATAGTGTCGGCTGATGTACATATTTGATTGGAAAACACCCAATATTAAGGATGCAAATGTAGTTTCCAACCCCCCTGAGCTCGTACACTCCTACTTACAGTACAATGCAGGTGTGTCATACCAAATCTCACCTGGTCATTGCAAGTGCCCTTCACTTGCTCGCTTATCAAGGTGCTCTAATAAAACGCACGACATACCGTATACGTTAACCATATGCTTCTGAACAAGTGCACAGAAACACCGCACACATCAAGCCGCCGTGTGCCGCTGTGTTCCCAACATGGAGCTTCTGCTAATGACAGGCGAAGCCAATAACCGTCACCAAGCTTGAAGCAACCACAGCAATTAAAAACACCGCCGTCGGACCATCCATGTATGCATACAGGAGCACGGAGATCCGCTGAGCCGAGAACAAGGCCCGCAGCTCGGTAGCCCTGGTCGTGGTCACCCGGAGAGAACCGATTTCGAAGGAGGATTGAAAAAGCTGGCTTGGAGAACATTATAGAGAGCTGATAGACCTGAAGACACAAAAACTGCTCTTCTGATTGTCTAGACGGGTACACGAAAAGGTGAAATATACCTCAGTACGTGAACATGCGGATACGCCCGACACGAGTTGAAAATAGGTGCGAAGGTAGTAGACGAGCAGGGAAAAGTCTCCACTAGGAGATTAATGTACATGTACACCATTTCCATGACGACGCTGCGGGTGAATAGACGCCCGATTATCACAGGTCCGTGTAAGCGCTGGCTGTATATGCTCACTTCGAACAGAAGAATAAACACCAGGAAGGAAGGCTTCAGCAAAGAGAATTTGTACACGTTCCCCAAGGGAGCTCGAAGCCACCAAGGTTAATTAGGAGCGCAGATGCATACCACCCCTTGAGTTCGATGTCTCCGAACTTGTTCTCCATCATGGGAACGGCTGTCGTGACGATGTCTGTGTCGGTCAGCATTGATGGGGAGGCGATGATGGCATTCTCCAGCGAAATCTTTCTAAAACGGCACCAGTCAGCCAAAAGAAAGATTAGCTCATTCAGAATTGACTCACAAAGAACATGCTGAGGACCAAGGGCGTAACAGTCATGGGCAAAGTGAACCCGTTCGTGTCTCCGTCCACAGTAATCGCGCCTCCGGCCTCATCTTCACGTAAAACGTCCTGTTCGCCTTTTCCAAAAACGTCGCCGATGATGTATCTACCTGTGTCATGCCGTCAATTGAGGATGTGAACGGATAGCATGCATGTTGGGAGGGCTCATAATATTTGCAGGGCCATCTGTTCGCCGCGACTGGCACAACAGCCACACGTCACTGGTACGAAGAATATATTCAGTACAGCAACTGCCTGCCCTCCGATTTCATACTATCATGGGCACCGTCCCCTTGCATTCGTCTCTTTATGCGAATCTGAACATAGTAGCAGAGGCTTGTGTGGTCTGCTTTGGCATTTATCTATGTCATGGCCGTAGTAAATACCTACCAGCCTACAGGCAGACTCGCCAAAATTAACAGCAGATCAGCCGGAATAGCATGATAACGTAGCCTACAATTACACCTATCTAATCAATCTTCCTCCGGAAGTCCGTCACTATCTGCTGCATTCAAGTCAATCGCGTATTCTCCGCTCCAAACCACTGCTGCCGCAGATCCGCAGTCGCCTCCTCCAACTCCGTGTAGTTCTCACCCAATGTCAAAATGACTCGTCCGTTCCACCGGCCAGGACACGCCTCTACCGAGCTCCCGGGATCCTTCCCATATAACTCCACCTGACGAGCCTGCTGCGCAGTGGCCGAGTGGGCGATCGCTAGCCCCCACGAACTCCGACGAGCTGGTCGGCAGCCCCGCTGCGATGATGGGCGCCGCGAGGTGCGGGGGCAGAAGGCCCGTGATGGTTGTCGCGGGGGCGACGGCGTTGATAGTGATGTTGTCCAGAGGAAGCGTACTGCGTAACGCGCGCACCAATCCGATCAACTGGCAGGATATCGTTAGCATTGCTGTACTGTACGTACCGAGTCTTAGAATCAACACGCAGGAGAAGAACGAACCCCGAGCTTGGAAGCACTGTATATCGGTAACGAATGCTCAGGGGAGTAAGCCGTCGCGCTGGAAGTGATCATAATGCTCTCCGCCGTCTTGGTGCGTCGCATCATGCTAAGTGCGACCTTGATGACATTCAGCGTGCCGCGAAGGCCGTGATGGACTTCCAATGCGTGATATCGCAGGAGATATATGCGGTATTCTTTGACAGCTTCTCGTGAGGAGCATGTCAGTCCAGGAGATAGACCAACGCCCTGTGCGTCTGGAAGATTCGACCGGCGACCCATCCGACCCGGAACTGCCGCCTATCAACTAATTATTAGCCATCGGACATCGACGTATTTGAAGTGCAGAAGCATACCCGTGATAACGACAGTCTTGCTGGAGCAATCAGGGATATCGTGGTCAGCAATAGTTAGAGAAGTCATTATGCCAGCTTCAGGCGACAATTTAATACAGAGGGAGATAATAAGCAATTTGATCCCAAAGTAGAATGAAAGGAAGCCATATACCGCCGCATTAATATGGTAGGATCGCACCCTCAGCGGCGGCTGCCAGACTTGGACCAGGCTGAGTAGAGAGTGTCTCGTATAAGATAAAGAGCCAAGCCACTCTAGCGCTGGCGGTTCCAGCTGTCCAGTCCCGCCAAATTTTGTCTAGTAACTGGTAGTAGCAATGCTATATCTCATGGCTTCCCTTCCATTTCGTCTTCAGGCTTGTACGTGTTGGTTTTGCAATCAATGGTCTGACCCTCCACCGCTGGCCAGGTTTTCCGAGCCTCAGATTAGCAGCCATCATCAGCACCTACGAGTTCTGTTGACGTGGTTGAAAGCGATCAGTACACTGGAGATTGGCGGCTTTCCGATAGGTATGGTCCAGGTCCGCATCAGCTCCATATCAATGAGCCTTATTTCATCAGGGAACTGTATCCGGGCCCTGGGAAGATGCGCGATGGGTATGCGTACAGGACGGGGCAGTTAGGGTAGGCGTATATTCCAGCTTATCTCTAATCTATACCCGAAACTGTTAAATGAGATATGTGCGAAGCAGATCCCCAACGCAGGCAGTCTTCGTTAATAATGTAAATATGCTGAGAAAGCAGTTCAGAGCATCTTCGGTGCCGTCCTACATCAGCTCCATCGAACGCACCATAGCACTGAACCAATTTTTCTCCAAGTCTTTCGTCGTCAAGCTCGAGCCAGTCATATATGCGGCTGTCGACAAGCTCTGCCGGTGGCTGGCAACAAGCTGCGCCTAGCTGGGTCCACGGCAAGTTTGGCGACTGTAGTCATATCTCTCTGACTTCCCGGATGCCAATATCAGAGGTAGATGCAGCCACGCAGTCAGCTGGTGTTGTCACATCTGCGTCATGAGGTTCGCATAGCATGTAGCACGTTCTCATGTCTTTACTGATGCCAGAATTCGATGCACATTTGTAAGAGAGTTCGTGAGTCCCAACCCGAAATCAAATGTCTGCGTTGCGTGTATCATTGCAAAAATGGCCGTATGAAAAGCCTTGATCGCGTTCGATGATCGAGCCGGCAAGGCAGGCAAGGTGGCCCATGGCCATAACTTCGTCGCAAGCCGTCTACAGCAGCATCACTAACATCGCGATACAATCCTAACACGAGCGAGAGATATCGATCCGCGTAAATGATGCGTTTCCAGATGGTTGCGCACGCCGCAGAGACTGTAGCCGTTCTTGCGACGCTGGGGCAGGGAGGTGCAGGCCGATCATCTAACCTATATTCAAGGGCTTTAGTGTGAAAGCCATGCCTTTCGCAGCTCGCCATCATCGTTGTGAAAGCCACCGAGCAATGCTAGACATTAGCTCGATACGACTAGATGTCTCGTGTCCACCTATGAACGCGGCGGCAGAAGCAACATATCGCCATATGAGCTGCCTCGGAAAATCAGACAGGCCAAGTGTGCTGGCTTCGACCATTAACGGAAGCTGCCTCAAGAACCAACGTGGCGGAACTTTGACTGTCAGCCGCTATTAAGTAAATACTTAGTAATAATGATTGTTGTAAATCGAGGATGAGGTTTGAAAAAGCGGGCGTTTCGCCGCTCACAGTGAGGAGGATCTGATATCGAGTCATGTGCCCACCACTAGTCTAGTCTCTGGCAGTGCTGCGTTAAATACTTCTTTCTTCGTTCGTATTCAGATCCAGTCCAGGGCCTTGGTCTACCCAACATTTCGCCCGGACCTTTGTATCAGACATATGGAGCAAGCTATAACCACTAACATGCACGAGTCCCGGCCGTGGGCGGTTCGATCTGCGTTGCTAGTGAACTCCACCCGGGCAACTTATCTGGATACCTCAACCCATTAATTTCAATCCCGATACACTCCAATCAAGTGTTGCCCCAGGAGTCGGCAATGAAGGACGGACCAGATTACCGCCCAATTCACGACGCCACTCTGTCGTCGTGTAGTTATAGCATTGTATAGCGCATGTTGCAAACACATCTAGTATGCGCGATCCTGGATAATGCGTGTGCATTAACCCAGTCAACGTGCAGATGAGCCTGAGCTCTTAGTTGTCTGCTGTGCCAGGTGAGACAGCAGGTTGTAGAAATGCTGTACTAGGAAGCCGGGTTGAGTCAGGAATCCAGATTATTTAGTTAAAATGGATCGGTTACGATACGATGCCATCAAATGGCCTTGTTCGACGGTATAGATGTCTAGAAGGGATGATGGCATAGTCAAGTTGCTGCTTAATACTACGGCGACGTTTCTGAGTATTGCAGAAACGGTGTCGTGCTTGATTATATGGATTTGTGAAGTGAAATTGAAGATCTCTTTAAAAATTCAACTGTACCATCATAAACTTATCACCGGACTGACCGAACCCAATGCAATTCTCTTCCTCGATGCAGGTCTGAAATGTCACCCGTGACGTATAGAAAAACCCCGCCCATGCTGTATAGTAATGCACCTCTTTGTACAACGCCGATCCCGTGCAAAGTTGACCGGAAACCATGGATCAATGAAATCAAATGAAAAATAAAAACAAAGTCGTGGGGTGGGGGGACATGAACATCTCAATCTGGACTTACAAGGAGACACAAAATGCTAAATCGTATACAAGAAACAAAGGATATAGGGCAGATGTAAGAGAACCGACGCTGGCACATCGAAAGGGAGCAGCAGTCAGAGATTTTTGTGATCCATCATTCACCACAGACCGGCGTCTGATCGCTTAAGCAGTGAAAACTCGGTCGAGTTGCCTGAGTGCCCTCATATCTTCTCCGCCAAATCCGATCTTCTCGCTTGGGATGTCCTTGGGTCCCTCCGCCCGTCCCGTGGCCGGAACTGGGGCAGCGGTGATCGAGGGCAATCCGCCAGACGGTGCGCCGTTCATCAGAGCACCGATGCTAGGTACAGCGGAGCCGGCGCTGCTAGGCTCGAGAGGTTTGGAGACTATTGCGGTCGGGGGAGGAATGTGGATTGCGTTGGACGGAGGCTGGTTCAATAGTCGAGGGCTGCGCCCAGCGGGGCCAAGACCGTTGCTGTGCGATAGAGGATGCGGTTGCGTGCGTGGAGACGCCCGTCGAATGTCTGCATGGTGTGCGAGCTCCGAGGGGCTTCTATGCAGCATCTCGTGTGCTTCCACTGGTGTGCGTGGCGACCGGCTGGCAATGATCTGTACAGAAGGTGGCATATTCGGAGCCATAGCAACTTCAACCGCATGCACTGGTCTATCATGGGGCGTTTGCAGGCCAGGGGGTTGCGGAGGTGGCGGCAAAGGAGTACCAGGAGGTAAAGACGCAGGATGATGAGCGTATGCGACATGACTAGCGGCAGGAACCGGTGGTAGATATGAAGGATAGTGATGAACCGGGACGGGCGGGGTGGCCAGCGGCGTTGGTGGCCACGTATACGAAGCTGTATAAGACGGAGGATGCGTGGCAGCGGCGCGAGCATATGGTCCCATCGGATGAGGAGGTACGTAGGCAGCACCAGCCATGGGACCGCGAGTCACAACAGGAAGATTCTGCTGATCGTTGACCGTAGATTCTGGATAGAGTCCTTTTTGCGGTCGAACATGTCGCAAGGCCGGATCTGTGGAAGGCTGCTGGAGGTTGGCCGCAGACGGGTGCGATCTCGAATAGTAGCTGATGAGATGAAGATGTTGTCCAGTGGAAGTGGTGATGCTGAACGACTGCTTCATCAACCCGTCGGGCTTGTATCGGTAGCCGTCGGGCCCTTCGTCTACACCGTCCGCCCGGTCATCATCGCTGCCTCGCGCACTGTCAGGGGTTTTGCCACCTCTTGACATGGTCGACTGCGACACGCCCGTTCCTCCTCGCTTGCCCTCCATTTCGCGATAAGTCAAGAAACTGCCGGAAACCCGACTCGCGCTCCACGATTTGCCATCGGTCCATCTTCGCATGCCCGCTTCCCTTTCATCCCAGACAAAAACCGACCCGGAGCGAATCAACTGGCGCTCTTTTTCCGACAGTCGTCGTTGTACTCGGGGGAGAAGGCCAATGCGACAAGCTTCGAAGAGGATGATAGCGTCCGCTGGGGTGCGGACGTGGCCGTGATACGTCTCCATCCACCTTCGGTGATCTGTGTAGTGCCCCGTGATGACGGATGGTTTGAGCGCCAGGGCTGGGTGATTCGTAGGGTAGAGAATATTGAAAGCTGGGCAGCACCCGGGCTATTTAGTTCTGATTCCCCTGGTCGCAGAGGAATTTACTCTTCGCGCAGTGTTGCCTGTGCGTGGTTGAGCAGCAATCACGGGCACGGGGCGGATATTTCCCAAAGAGGGAACTTGACGCAGGTGATTTTGAGATTGACACACTACCCACGGGCAGTGAACGAAAATCTGACGAGAAGAGTGAGGTTAATTTCCTATCTATGTGTATTATGAAGGGAATGAGGGGATGTTCGAGGGGAGGGAGCAGAGGGGATGGAATGTAGAAGGAACCAAGGCAGCAAGGGGAAAGGAAAGTAGGGGAGTGGGGGTGGGCACAACGGATAGGAGAATAAAGAAGAATGCAGGCAAGCGGACCGAGTCAAGCGGCAAGTTATACAAAGGATGTTGAGACAAGGAGCTACATAATGCAGACAGTCAATTACTTACAGTAAGATGGGCGTGGGATAAAGTGTTGTTGCAGTCACAGATAGAATCTGGAGTTGGAGAGTGAGGGAAGGAGAGAGATGGTGGTTTGTGAAAATGGCAGCAGATTGTGGTAGGAGAGAAGAAAAGAGTAGGCAGAGGAATACCTGGAAAAAGGATTATTATAAACCGGATAACTAAGTTGAAATAAGATCAAATAAATTCCGACCAGAAAAATCAAAAAATAAAATAAAAATAAAATAAAAATGGAAATAAAAATAATAACTGAAGAATTAGTATCAGAGATAGGGTGGGGAACTAACCTAACTTTGAACCCCACAGGGTTAAGCAGTTGTGTTTTGGTCTATTGAAAGGAGATGAGATATTATTAAGAATATCTGTGTCGGATTTATTGCGTGTTTGGATCAGTATAAGCGTCGGCTAGAGTCAACCAAATAACTGGGACTGTCCGATATCATCCTGTAGGAGTATAAAGCACACTGAACAGCAACAGCATCTTTCCAATCCTCACGGTGTCCGCCTCTCTCTATTTCTGCTATTTTTGCCTCATAGTCTCCCGGGACCATGACTAGTGTAATACATACTAACCCATTCGTGATTCAGCCCCAGACAGGGTCAGAGGATGATGGCTTGGACCTCTTCTTGCTAGGCGCCATGCGCAAGATCAGCCAGCCAGATTGAACGGCCAAGAAAAGTGGGTACGAATTAAGAGGAGGCCGCAGCAAATGATTTCATCTGATATTTAGTTGCTGGATTTATCACAAACAAAGTGAACCTTGTTTTTAACCTTTTCTCTTTCGCCTGAGGGTCATCCATGGTACTGGGGAGCAAAGCTGGTGGGTGGGTTCGTTCGCTTCCTACCATTCCGCTATAGCTGAGAATCAGATTACTCCAGTCCTTCCAGTCCCTGTGATTAGCAGTCGCAGTCGTAGTCGCTTGGACATGGCGGTCGTGTTAGCTAAGCTCTAGGTAATCTATCTACCCTCTACCTGCGTTGCACCAAACCCTCGGTGATATCAGCCCAAGTTATACACTATCATAATAGTATAATAGTCAACATCAAAGTTAACAACAGGGAGCTTATCCACGGGTGGAGTCTAAGCCCAGACGGGCAATCTAGTACGACATGGCCTTAAATATCGTCATTCTCACCACGACCATCTTCTGAATTGCATGTATACTCCGTCTATTGACCGACATCTGGAGTAACCGTTTGCATACGTGATGGGTAGTACAAACTCCTGCCTACAGGGCTGTAGGATTTCCACATACCGAAGGTTCATTCCTCAGCAGGTTGAGATCGGATAACATCCAAGGATAATGATACCATAGCACCCGGGAAAGTTCTCCTTGCTCATAGTCTACCATGATAACCATCTTACCATCCTAGATGAGAGCCCACAGATCAAATCTCGGCTAGTCTCTCGGGGCGGGGGAGATTTGTCTTGGCCGTGGAAGTTCATGATTCAGAGAAACTGAGAATATAATCAGTAATCAAACACGGGAAATACACTAGTAAGATACCAGTGGCGCTCTGATCGCTTGAATCAAGCCAGAAACTGATTAGTGCGCGACTTTCTGAAGCTTAAGCTTAATCCGACACGAGGAACCTTAAGCTCGCTTAGAGAAAAATGAAAAACAGACAAGGTCTTTCCCTTCCACTTTTCCGTTTAATCCCACCCCCCCTTCTCTCGCTCTCTCTCCTCCACTGTGGCTGGGGATCCACTTGTTCCATGGCCGACTTTTTTTTTATGTAGTACCTGTCGTTGGATTGAGTTGTGTTATGAACTTATGAAGTCTTGTATAATTCCTGTCTTGATGATATGTCCATCTCACTGTTTGTTGCCTTGTTATTCTTGTCTTCATTGCATGCATCAAATCATCATCCTGCCGGCTAGTCGACTTTACTCCAGCTATCAAATCTCTTACCCACAGATTAGAAGGGAACCCGACTGTCAGACATGAATCAGTTTTATGACGGGTCAAGGTTCAACCCAAAGGCAATGAATGGACCATTCCTTCCATCCTTCTCGATAATAACACACCCGGACTTAGAGAGTTAGGTACATTCTCAATGAATTAGGGTTGAACCATTCCCCGAGTTACGCAGCGGTTCTGCCCGAACAGAAGTGACCATTTCTGGCCAAAGCTGACGACATTTTTTCCGCGCTTGGGTTTAGCCCGCCGGGCTAGCCGGTGTAATGTGTATATAATCCATCCAAGTCTGATTGCTTGACTCAGATTGAAATTGTCCATTCCCTCGGATTACCGGCTATCGGCAACCCAGTAACAGCCACTGTGGCGGTTCGTACTCGTATTACTTGGCCATCTGATCCCCAAGATCGGAGTCATTACTGCCTGTGTCTGCTGGGAATTGACTGAACGGTCAATAATAAATGAATTGGAACAAAGCGCGTGTGAGGGAGTGACCGATAGATTTAAAGGGGGCAATTTCTGTTTTTGCGCAACGACGGAACAGCGAGCTATACAGGACAGGACCCAGCGATCGCGAAGATCAGATTTGAATCCGCCATCACGGAGCTCCCGGACTCTAAACCCCATCGCGTCGCCAATTTTGCCCCCAGAGTGTCCGAAGCCACTCCTGAAACCATCCCCCCATCCTGGTAGAAAGCAGCCAAGTAGCAGGCAGGGGTCGATCGTTCGGCTGGAGCGAGCGGTAATTCGGCTACCTACCCTGGCACTTCCGATGTATAGTACTGCTTAACGAACTGTCCCAAGGCTGGGCTGCTTGCTGCCTTTGCACCTTCTCGCTCCTCTTGCCTTCTGCTGTAAATTTCTCCGCCGCTGGCAACCGGACAGCAAGAAAATTCCAATCCATGAAAAGCTTGACAAATCTTATCCAGAACACTGGTTCGCCTGACACCACTGTCTGATCAGTAAGATAGTGGATCCCAACGATAGCTGACCATGGTCAGACAGCAAGCAGGTACTATTAGACTTCGAATGGCGAAGTTAAACTCTCACGAAAACGACAATTTAAACTACCCTAGGATCAGTCATATGCACAGCGATCGGCCACGTAAGACCAAGCAAGAATCAAACCAAATGCTAATGCTCTCTTTCTTGCTGGGCTAGGCCACTTATCATTCTCACTCTCCTATCAACAGAACTAAACTCTACTTTGCTGCGCTGATTCCTCCCCGTCCTTTTTGACTTCTTTTTTTTTTCTTGCTGTTATTTTTATTATTATTATTTTTTTTCTAAATCTTACTTACTCATACCTCGGAAAATTTTCACCACATACGCCAGCCAGGCCCATCAAAAGCACTCGGAGCTTATTTGTCCAGTAATCTTAGCCCCCCCGGTGATAAAGTTGCGGGCGCAAGGTCGAGCTTTGGCCGTCCGTCCGTCCGTCGTCGCTTGGGCTTACTCTTTTCCTTTGGGTCTAAACTAAACTATACGGGAATAAGAAAAGCCATGGCATTGGAGACAATGATTAGTGTTAATCGTGTTCCTTGGGACATGCACAGCCATCATCAAGTCTATCTGCTCATCCGTCTCGGGGAGGATAAAGTGTGCAGACGGGGGGCGGGGGAGTGCCTCGGCCTATCAGGAAAGAAACATCATGTCGCATATGATGGGCCATACTCAAGAGAGACCAATACAAGAAATCGGCTCATTTGTTGTCGTTGTTGTTGTCGTTGTCACTGTCAGTGCGCCGACGCAAAGCAGTCTTGTCTAGGCTGCCAGATTGATTTGCATCGGTCGGACCATTGAGCCTGAAGTACTGTACTGTACATACATGATGGGTAATTCCATTGTAGCCTTGTCAAGTCCTCATCGTCTGGCTAAAATCCTTTTTTGCAGCCTCCCGGAAGACGTACGACCTCACAGCGCCACCCCCCATGTTTAATACTAAGTAAGAGCTAAGGCCGTGATTGATTTTAGTAGTGCAGCCGAACGGAGCACAGTCTAAGTTAGTACGTCGCACTCAGGATAAGCGTATCGCCAACAAAGTCGGTCGCATCCTGGCCCGGTTTCCTTGGCTCTCCTTGGCCTGGCCCACTTCAGGATTCGTAAGTTATTCGGGCCAAGCGATAGAGTGGGTTTTGGAGGGGGGAGGGGGAGTCAGGAGTCCTGATACTCGTACCTAGTAAAGTACTAAAATGCGACTAGTATGTACAGGGCTGGCCCTGTGCAGCTGATGTCTCACATGGCAAAAAGTGGGCGAGATAAATCGTGAGAGAAACTCCCTTTGGCAATCTTGAAAACTGGGTAAGATGGCAAACTAAGAAAAAAGCAAAGATAGACTATCCCCTCAAAATCTCAGGAAATCATCCGTAATAGATTAACTTAGATTAAATGTTATGATTACCTCGTTTGAAAAGGGCTAGGAAGGTGTCACCCGATCAGGTGCTTGTGGTTGATATCCGACACTCCGAGGTAGCATGGTTTTGCATTATCGATTTTCTGTCTCAGCTCGGACCTGGAACAATCTGTGACTACTACTCTCCTATAACAGAGGGCAACGCAACTTGGAAAAGCCTAGGCTAGGTACGAGGTAGATTGAGCTGATGAACTGGGCTATATCCACAGATCCCGTCATTCAGGGAGGCATATGGGGGCTTGTAAGCAGCTACTAATCACCCTCAGCCTCCGCAAGTTGGCTGTGCTCAGTGCTACATTCTATGTACCCTGCAATGCAGTAGTCCGTAGGACTGCACATTAGGGTCCGTACGTATGCACAAACTTATAGTGTCACTCTGCTGACTCAATTGCAGTCTGGACGTTCTCCATACGACACTGGCGGGTATGGCGGACAAGATGGATAGCACTCACATATCACCCGCATCGTCGATTGTCTCTCTCGGTTGTGAACCAGGAAATCTGGGCCATGTAAGGTGATGCAAAGTACGACCAGATCGGTCCACCATCAGCACCCGTTCACAACGGGCGACAGTGATATTAAGTATATTTAGATACCAAGTATTTCCTGTTGAGATTCTAAAGCATAATCGATCATATGAGCGAATGATGTCAATCAGCAGAGTTCGATTTCTTGAAAATAGTCCCCTCCTCCCTTACCCCTCAACCCTAACCTTCCTTGTGCGTCCGTATCACTTCTGTGCCCTGCTTGCTCCTGGTTCGCGACGCCAGGTAGAATGCTAAATTGCTACCTACCAAGTACTGGGAAAGTTACCGAGGCACCGTCGGATACATAAGCACAGTGTTCCCTATGGTTCGTCCCATAGGGCAGCCGATCAAGCTTTGGTCCCTACCGAAGAATGCAGCTAGTGAGTGTAATCTGTACAAGAACCTTGTTGCCGCCAGAGTAAGGTACCATGGCATTAGGGTCAAGTGTTGCGATCTTCCCCCAGGCAGCCAATCCCAATCGATTGAATTACCCTCCATTAAGGCCGACAACCGAACAAATACTAGACGATCGATCCCTGTCAATAGATTTGGATTATGGCCACAGCTACCCTAAATCATCCCAGGATGGTCAGACCGAAATATCACATTCGCTCTCGGTTTAGACTGTCAGCTAACCGCCGTGTGAGGGCAGGGGTCTATCACATTAGCTGAGCGATACAGTTAGAATGCGCCTTTGTTGCCAACATTCATAGGATGAGCGGATAGCGGATAAATAGGTAGATGTGATAGTTAGCAGAAGCAAATACATGTTAGATGTCATCGGACATAGTACCCGTTCTTTCTTCTCACCCTCCCTCTGGAAGCATTTCCCTTGGGACAAAAATCCCTTGCATGTTCAAGTCACACGGGGAAAAGAAAGAGATTACGCCTGGAATCTTTCGCGTCAAGATCTATTCAGGTTGCGACATCTGATGTCAACTGGTATGGTCATTCCTCAATGCAACCCTTGAATCGAGAAGATTTTCCAATCGCTCAAGGGGCGCCATTTTGTGAAACGTTACACGGGCTTATCTCCACTAGCATAATTGGTTTAAAGTAGATTGCAATGCGAAAAGTCCGACCAACTGCTTCATGGCCAACTTCCCAGTTTCCTTCCCCATTGGAAGTACATACAGTAAGAGTTGGGTCGATGAGTTCTGTGTTTTCTCTTGTCCGTTTCCTTCACTTTTTGGCTTTCAGCTGCATTTTGCCGTGCTGTACGTAGGGAATAAGTCAAGTGGCAAGATGTGTTTCTTCAGCATCCAGAGAGCAACTGCAAATCCAAATGGCAGGGTTTTCTTTCGTCGGTTCCATCTTGTCATAGTCGTCAAAGTCAAACCGACATTTCGCATTGATCGTTGCACTTCGCAGATCAACTACCCGAGTTAGATATTGCGGACTAGGATCTTCTTGCTCACCTTCCCCTCCCCATCTTGCAGGTCGATGAGTATTATTCTTTAGGCATAATGATCAATCATAGTGTGTTTGAATTAGGTTAAGGTACGGAGCAGCGAGGGGGTGACGCTCGAGAAGTCAAAAGTTAAACAAACACTAAGCAGAGCGACTAAAGACAAAAAAGCTTTGGTTTCTCCCTGCCAGCCATATGGGTTAGCATGACACTAAAGTCCAATAGTGCATCGTGGTAATCAAACGAACGGTCAAATAAAAACAACATATTTATAGCTTACTTCAATAACACTCCGAGGCCGTCGCTCTGGGCGCCCACCGTTGCAGCCTTAGTCTCCTGGACTATTGCCTGAGTCAGTGACATACTCCGTAGTCCGTACAAGCCCCAAGGCTTAGGGGAGGATGGGGGGTTAATCAAACCAAACTAACCACTTCTTAGGCTTTTTCATGTTCCCTGTTCCCTGTCTGTCCCCTGTCTAGTTCGCGCTCCTACTACTTATTTCGTATCTGTACAGTGTGTTCTTGCCTCCTGTGTAATCTCCGAGGCTATTGCCTATGAATTGACTGTTGTTTTTAGTAGTCATACCATCTCCAAGTCCAGTATTCGCCTCCGGAGGCATGCTGTATAAGATTTTAAGATGCCATAACCGAGAATCCCTTATCCTTGGTCAAACTTAAGCCCAAGCGTCAAAGCGCTGCAGAAGCCAAGCCATCCCCGCTGACTACCGTAGGCACTTGCTTGTGAGAGGTTGATGTAACACGAGTTTTCCGACTGGGGGTCCCTTTCCTCTACGCTTGGCTGGCTCGCTCTTCAATGTGGCTATAGGCTTAACTCTATAGTGGTAAGATAGTTAGGCCAAGGCTTAGCCAATCCCTATTAGCCCTCCTGTCTTGTGTCTGATATGTACTAATCATCAGGCTTCCCAGTTTTCTTACGCAAGAGAAAAAGAGGAAGCGTTGTGCTAAATCAGAAAGTGAAATAGGGTTCAACACTGTCATACATACTCCTTATTTCTCCTATCCAGGGTATGCATTATCACACACAATTGTTTGTTTGGAAGACGAACTGGGATCTGGGTTTTCGCAACCGTTATCCTACGACTCTCTCTCATATGGATCAAGGTGGCGACTTGATCGGCCATTTATCTGAAACTTTGACCTCTATTCACATCCCCGCCCTTTCAAATCGTCTTCTCTTACAAGCGAACGGAAAGATTCCAGGGTTAGGTGGGATGTGGACAGATGGGAAGGAAGCCCAGCGGTGCCGAGCCGACAGTCCCGTACCGCGGATGAGGGCCAAAAGGGGAAAGAAAATCGCAAGAAAAGGAAAGCAAGTGATTCGATTATGTAATTTCGGAGATTGGTGACAACCCAGCTGAAGGAGGAGGAGGTCAGAAAAGGGAAACTCGCATTTAAATCCGAACCCAATCTCTAAGCGTAAGTGTACAGGTGTCCTCATCATCGGGGAATTTTATTTTATTATTTCTTTTTATTTTAGGCTTTGCTGTTAGTCAGGTTGCCGAGCAAGTCCAGCCGATACGAAGAGGCGATCCACGGGTCTCCGTTCTAGGCAAAGAAATAAATCCTAACATGAGACAAACAATCCTCATCATCGTCCTTGTTTCTCTCCATCGGACTGCCTTTCTCAGTCATAGTGGCCAGGTCAAATGATTCGAGAGCCAAGGCTTTCGTGTCAGCGTCGTCGTCTATTATGGCCGAGATAGGGATCTCTGACTGATTGACCGACTGTCTGTTTTCGGTTTCCGTCTGACGCCCGGAGAAAGACCGAAGGGAATAAATATGCTTAACACCAGTAAGGTTGGCAACTTGGCATTTCTGCCCGGTCCCCTCAACCCCCTCCCCTCCAAGTGCCCCCTTCTCCCGCGTGGTCAATTTTGACTTGACCCTCTTCCCTCCCTTCTCCCCTCCTCCATTCGCAGTACTTGGTCTGCACATCTTTTCTTTTCTTTCCTCACCTTTCTCGGGCTCATCGTGTTGACAAGCTGTCGGGTCCTCGATGGTGCGCACGACTTCAGCCTGTCAGGGTATAGCCGAGTGAGTGTGGGGTCTCTATGTCAATCAAACTGTCCTAGATAGATTAATATAGATATACCTACCGTATGACCCGATGCTATGCGTGATCCCACTATCGATTGCTAAAAGTATATACTGCCTTATTAACTCTACACTTGTCTTATCACAGACCTATCTGTCAACCTAGGCGAAACCCAAGAGGACCCTGACTGTAATTCCGCGGCGATGGAACCTCGTGCCGAACCCGATGATCGAGCCCTCGTCTCATTTCGGTTGTAGAGAGACGTTTACTGAGTTTCTTGTTCTGCTCTAGACCAGTCTGAACTTATTGATTGATGACCCTTTCGGGAATCTGGTGACAAGAGCCCTGAGGTGACAAGCCCAAGTTAAGTTTGTGTCTGAAACCGCCTATTCAAAGTGTAAAAATGAGAGGGCGAAAGCCGCGGACATAACAGTTTCTGCCGAGCACCCAAGGAAATCCCATCGTAGACGAAGGGGAGGAGGGTGGACCGTGGCCCAGCGAGCCTGATTCGGGGAATGGGTTTGGGTTCCATTCAATCTGGTTCTGTTTTCGCAGTACTTAGCGAAGGGCTCCGCCCAGACCGCAGCTTGGAGGGAATAAAGTATCCGTTCGGAGTGGGGTCGACTGCTACAGAGCCAGAGGGAGCAAATGGATGCGCGCCAAATCATAATTACGGCTTTCTTTCCCTAGAGTTTCCCGGTCGGTTAGAGGCGCGCCTCTCCTATGTGCCCCTCTTATCCACTCCTCCCCTCTCTCGACATGAATCCCAGAGGTGTGGTAACTTTCTCTCTCAAGCCCTTGACTCATGGAGTTAACTCTATGTTGAGCGATGGAACCAAAGTCGTCGAGATGAAAAGGGGGAAAGGAAAGAGAAGGAGGGCACAGAAGCAAGAAGACAAGGAGGGGCCTTGTCCTCTCTCCATGAAAGGCGTTTGCCCTTGTGGATATCCTTGTCTTCAAAAAGGCATCCGCCGCTCCCGAGTGCCAGACTACCAAATCTAGGTCCCCCCTCTACCCCTCCTCGATTTCGATGGATCTCACAGAAAGACCTTCCAGAAATCGAATCTTCGACGAAAAGGATGGACTGGACATGCGCGCGCAACGCCCAGACCGGATCTTCCGACTGATCCGCCAACATGCCCACCCCCTCCTTCCGCTGTAAGCCGATACCAACTTACCAGGCACCAGTTCAGGGACGGTGATAATGTAACCACCCAGCCCACTTTGGCTGTTGTGCTGCATGTGGGTGTGGGTGTGCGTTTTCGGACTTAGCAGGCGAGGTTCTAAAATTGTATCACCCGTATTAGTAAGGAAGTAAGAGAGAGACATGGGGCGGAGAGAGGAGAGGAGAGGGGGGGGTAAGCAATTAGAGCAATTTGGCCCCCTTTGAGTGGATTGATGATCTTATGCTTCTTCTTCTCTTTCATGGCGTTTCGCAAGTCTTGCTTCTTTGGAACTGATCTGAAGGGCAGGTTCTGATGCCTGATGAGTGGGTGAAGCGGGAATCATGTGAACATGCGGCAGTATCTCACCGCTGATCCTCCCGCTTCGTGATTTCCCTCTCACGTGCACTTCAAAAGTGTCAGTGCCAGCCAGATCCACGAAGTATAAACTCCGCCCCCCTCTTATTGGGGTTCCGTGCTGTCGCGCTTTCTCCATCAGCTGATCGTCATATTGTCCTCTGATGTCGTGATTCACTGACTCTTGATACGTCGAGAAGGAGATTTATCACGACTTCACATTACGTTCTGGTCGATCAAACTGCAAAACAATGGGCTGAGGCAGAAGTTGGGGCAGAGCGTTGTGTAGCGCAGCCACCTCGCGCACCATGGCACTAACCTAGTTGCTGCTATGAAGTCTCGAGCAGTCTATTCCACCTTGGCGCTCACTATTACTCGCGCCATCCTAAGAGCAGGCAACTAAATGAGTCATGGCGTCTACGGGATTGGAACAACACCTACCGCCATCATTATGAGTAGCCATGACGGCTCAACGAGTTCGGATTCCTCGCAGCAAAAAACCACTCCAATATGGGGATGCATTCGAAAATAAAACGATGCGATGGGAGCGTGTATCGCGCCAAATACAAATGCGCCCGGTGCCTACGCTTTTTTAAGGATCCCTGCATCAAACAAGCCCAGAACCAATCACAATGGCGTCCCATGAAACCACGAGATTGACGTGCGAGAGGCTTTACCCAAACGCAAAGCTAAGCTCCGAGCGAATCGTGCCACTGTCTTTATTGGACGCCACCTCTGTGGGCTACTCCGCGACTTGCGCGGCCTGGCTTTTTGAGCGTCCTGCACGTGAACATCAACTCGATTTGGTGGACCATCTTCGTCAAACCCTTATCATCACTTTGGACGCTTATCCTCAATGGTGCGGGCAGCTGAAGGCAGTTACCACAGTCAACAACAGCTCAGATCGCGGTCGTCATCAAGCGTCTCACACCCAACGATTCGGTCGCGTGTCTGTTCATTATGGCACTCGTGATGACCCCGGCGTGGTGTTCATCACTGCACAGTCCACGACGACTTTAGATAAGCTCCACCCTGCCTTGCGGACATCCACGCAGCCCTTGTGGGATCGGAACACTACACATCTGACCGAGCATATTCCCTCTACGCAACTCGCTAATCCACTCAGCAAAGCTGCCATACACGATAGAAGCGCCTGTCTGCCCACGCTAGCTATCCAGCTCACTCAGCTCGCTTGCGGAGGCTTCGTCCTAGCAGTGAAGATCGCACATCCGCTGGCGGATGCACAAACTTTGGTACAATTTGCCAAGGACTGGGGCAGCATTAGCCGTGCGATACTGCGCAAGGATCCTCTACCTATCTTGACTCCGGTCTTCCGACCGGACCAGGTCGACGCTTTGGCTGCGGGAGACATCAACCGGGATGCGCCAGATGAGGCAATCATTTTACAAACCGAGGACCTGCCAATTCATCGCTATGACTGGTGGAATCCAGAGCCTGGATCTTCCCGGCCATCCGACGTTCCTGAAGCATTTCAGCGCGAGAAGATCATCCCGGCAGGCAAACACATCCCCTGGTCCGAATGGGACCGGGAGTCGCCCGTATCCCACTACGTCGTACATCTCACCCGACACCAGGTGGAGATCATCTTCGAGCAATTGAGGGACTCTAGCGATAGTCAACTCACTCGGCATGATGCCGTTTTGGCGCACCTCTGGTCGTGTATCAACCGCGCGCGGCAGATGCACGACGACAACGGACCGGTGCACTGTGATCTCGCATGTGGACTCCGGTCGGTGTTTCATCTGAGCGACGCTTTCCTGGGGTCACCCATCCTGATGGTGAACGTGGAGATGACCGGGAAAGAAGCGACGATGACAGCCGCCGCCGCCGCTGGTGGGCAGGAGATGCTTCCTCTCGGGCGCATTGCGCAGCGCATCCGCGAGACCATCACGCGTATCAATGACCCAGCAGGCCTGGGAGCTTATCTACACCGGCTGGCGTATGAGAAGTCTCCGCAGCGTATCTGGATGGGGTTCCTGGGTCAACGGCATATGATGGTCACGACTTGGGCACGTGCCGGCCTGTATGAGGTGGACTTCGGACTGGGACGGGGTGCAGAAAGGATAATTCGCTACGCTGAAGGTGTCCTTGAGAATCTGGATGGGCTTGTCTTGGTCAAAGAGGCACCGCCAGCTCGGGATTCGGAGATCGCAGATCCACCGTCGACGAGTGGTTGGACACAGCACGGGGTGGACATCTCCGTCCATCTTCGGACGGAGGATATGGAGCGGTTTCTTCGGGACCCATTGCTGTTTCCAGGACCGAAGAGGGGTGGCACTTAGTGCAATTTAGCAGAGATGGGTGATCACTGTTCCAACCCATGTACAGTACTCGTAGAGGCATCGAACCTCATTAACCGGCTGTAATTGCGCGCAGCATTGTTGACAAACACGCCTGGCTGTTCAAAAATGAAAACTTGACCTATTGTCAATGAACCAAAAACAATAGTCATTCCCATGCATTCCCATATAATCCAAGTCATCCATTCAAAATCATTACCGAGTCAATTGCCACTCGATTAGATATAATTTCCCGCCCCCACAGCCCTACAGCTATCACTGCATAATATAAATATTAGTGTAAATGAACGCCAGTAGGCAGCCCAACCAGCCATAACTGCCATTTTTATATTACCCTCCTAATCAAGATGCATAAGCTTTATTCTTGGCGTGGAATATCGCATAAACCAGGGGGGACGACACCACCACCACAATCACTTGAGACGAGATAGTGAGTATTGTTCCCTAGTTATATGAATCTATCTTAACTCATGGTTTATTTCACTAAGCCTCAAAGCGGGAACTTCTCGTCCCTTTACCTATGCTAATCTCACAGTCATCCAAAAATAAACGTTACGTGATGAGTCTAGTAAGCCCAACTGATCAAACGAGACACCTCCACAAACCCAAGGGCATGTATGTATGTCCACATTGCACGAAGTACACAATCAGCATGACGATAACTAATCATACCCAGCGACTTAATTCTCGAGCCCAAAGCGGAAATCCTTTCCCCGGGGCCAAAACGTGGACATGAAAAGACGTGGCGGTATCTTCCTCCCCAGAATACGAGAAACAGAAAAAACAAAACCACGCCGTCAAAACCAACTTTAAATCCCGTTAAGAAAATGTGTTGGATCTTTGCATGTTACACATCGATTAACTCGCTACCTTGGAGTGCTATTCGTTTCTTGGAAAGTTATTTTCCCTCCCCCCCCCCCCCCCCTCCCCCCCCCCTCGAAAGGTTATAGGTCAGTCAGTCAAGTCAAACAGTCAGGCTGGTAAGAACCTGTGGCGGGGATTTTCATTTCCCGTGGATTTGGGGGAGAGCAGGGGGGCCGTGGCTGAAGTCCTGTTCTATTTGGCTTGAGTTTCCTTGGTTAATCTTATAACTGGATAAGAATAAACGAGGAGGCCTAGGGGGGAGGGGGTTCGTAAAAGTAATATATGATCCGATCCTGCCGGGGGAAGAGGTTTCTTTGATTGAGGGTCCGGGGGGTTAAGGTTGGAAAAGGTGTTGCCTAGATGGGGATAGGGGGGTGCATGGTACTTTATTTGCTTTCTCTCTTTCTTTCTTTCTTTCTTTCTTTTTTTGGGAAGGGGTTGATCTTGGGTTGAGTCACTGTACTTACTTGAGGAACCTTGAGGACCAGTTACTTGATTTGGTTGCTTTGTAATGTGTTGTTGAATGCAGGTGGGGAGGTGCCAGATACAAGGATTGTATGGTTTAGTTATGTGGGCTATCTTCATAGGTGGTCAAATGTGGTTCTGCAGCTATCTGCCTACTTACCGTAATACTTATGCAAGTGCTTATTTGCTTTGCTTACGCTTATGTTTGTCATGCAGCATTCTTACTAGGATGTGTGGATGTGCGTACAGCCTTCTTCTGAAGAGGTAGAGGGAATTCTGAAGCCGCGTGGCCTCTTGGGATTTGCTGTGCATTCTCACTGGTGAGGGTCTTATTTCGTTCCTAGATACATACATCTATTTGCATTGGGGGGAAGAGGGAGAGAGGTGAAACGAACGAGGGCTAACAATCTGCTCGTCCAGTGTAGCGAGGAAACGCTACCACGTCTCGCACATTAGATACCCCGGCCAAGTAGCCCAAGAACCGATCAAAGCCCATTCCGAATCCGCCGTGCGGCGCCGTGCCCCAGCGCCGGAGGTCGGCGTACCATTCGAGGTGCGCTAGGCTTTCCCCGGATTGGAGATGAGGGTAAAGGTCTTTCGAAGGGGAGTTAAGCTGCTCGCCCTCCTCGGCAGCCGTGTGCTTGAGCAGGCCGTGGTCACGCATGTTCTGGATGAGCTCTGGGAGGCGGTGCTCGCGGAGGGACCCGCCTGCAACTTCGCTGACTTCCGGTAGAAGGAGGTCAAAGCACGCGACGGTTTCGCCGCTGCCACTCTCGGTGGCGGCACTGCTGCTGCTGCTGCTGCTGCTGCTGCTGCTGGACGGTGCCATGTAAAACGGCTTGATGGCTTTCGGGTAGTCTGTTACAAAGACCGGCTGACCGTGGTTGAGCACATCTACGATGTATTTCTCGTGTTCGAGTTGGAGCCCCTTCGACCACGTGGGCGCGTGCGTGAATGAGGCGCCGCCCGTGGCGACAGCCTCCTGAAGCTTCTCGATCGCTTCGGTGTAGGTCATGCGTCGCCACTTGGGCCCGTCCATCAGGTCGCGCCAGCGCTGGCGGAGGTTGGGCGTGGTCGACCCCTCACCGGTCTCGCTCGGTCGCTTGTAGTCTAGGAGTTCTTGTCCGACGGGGGTGTCGTGAAGCCGGCGCACGAGGTCCCGGAGTGTGTGTTCGACGAGATCTGTCAGCGAGGCTAGGTCCTGCATGAAATACGCCTCTGCCTCCAACATGTAGAACTCGCTGAGGTGGCGCGGCGTATTGCTCTTCTCGGCCCGGAAACTGGGCGACAATGTCCACACGTTACCTAGCTCGGCTGCGTAGGCCTCCAGATGCAGCTGCGATGACACGGTAAGGTACTTGGGTGTGCGGAAGAAGTTTTCGCTGCCGGCTGGGTGTTCTGATCCTTTCAATGCCTCGCGTGGTATGACGGTGAACGTTTCCCCTGCGCCTTCGCAATCCGACGATGTAATAACTGGTGGCTGCACCTGCACGAATCCCCCATTCGGAGCACTGCGGAATACATTTGCAAGCTGGTATAGGACCTCTGACCGGAGCCGCGCGAGAAGGGAGTTGAAGGGCGTTCGCATACGGAGATGGGGTATTTGTCGGAGGAATTCGGCGGTCTGGAATTTCTTTTGGATAGGATAGGACTATATGTATATATGCATCGCGTGTTAACGGAGCTGTCCTGGACTCTAGACTCTCGCTGTCAGGAAGAACATGAACCTACCTCAGCAGACGTTTTGCCCACAACTTCTACCGACGTTGTTCGTAGCTCATGCGCCTGTAATTTGCCTTGAGGACATGCTTTCCACAATCCTGTAAGTTCCACTGTTGTTCCCCCGGTCAAACTATGCAGCCAGAACAAAATTGAGATTGATTAGCCCGTCGACTCGGAAGGAAAGGCAGAGCATACTTGGAGGCTTGTTCCGTGCTCATGATCGCCTGCACAGGCTCGGTCGTCGATCCATCGGCGATTTCTATGAAAGTAAAGCGCTTGTGGTGTCGGACATGATCGACATGTCCTTGAAGTCTGATTTCATGTTCTTCCACACTTTTGGGGCATGTGCGGCTCTTGTCGAGGAGTTGCGCGCACCGGAGGAGCGTGGGCCCGCACGCCGTCGTCGCAGGCCTGGAGTTTAGCCTTGCGACCGATGTGACAAAGGACCGACGCCAGATCTGCATCTTCGGGAAAGCCGTGGCTCCAGCTGTAGGAAGAGCGGAGCAGGTGCTGAGCTGTAGATTCTGAGCTGCGAGGCGCATCGCGGAGAAAGGCCGGAGGTCGCACGGCCCGGGTGATTCAGCTCCGCCCGCCGTGGCCGAAGGCTTCAACACCACCACCATATCTACACAAAACGGTATCGTGCAATATTAATTTCTGTTTCTCCCCCCCACAAAATGGTTTGATTTGAATGTTTCAGATAATTATGTACGAGCTTAAGATCCTTATTCGCTTGAGCAAGACACTGGGTATTCACTAAAATGTTTGTAGTACTGCTGAGAAGAGTGCGATCATCAGTCTTGAAATCCAAATCCCCAAAATACAAGTCCTCAGTCCAGCCGGAACACACATCCATTGCGAATCGCAGTCATATCAAAATAACACGAACCAGAAAATTGTTGCTAAATCATGGATCATTATTTCGTTGACCCCTGCTGTTCATAGGCTTTCCGTTCCTCCTCGATCATGTCAATAGCGTCGTGCACATTGCCGTCTGCAGCTGCAGCATACACGGCAATGCGCTGGAGACCGCCCTCGCTTGCACCGCCGTACCCTAGATCAACCAATGTAGCCATACATGCATCCACCATTTTTTGATGCATTTCGGGTGAAATTCGCTGAGAAGAAGAGCCTTCGGGATTACCGTGATGTTTGCCACGAAGATGGAATCCTGGCTTCAGGCGGCCCGATGGATGGCGAGACGGCCCGATTCCTGCGGAATTAGAAGCACCAAGTCCCTTCAAGGATGACCGATGGTGTTTCATGGATCCAGAGCGTCGCCCATTGCGATGAGGCCCAAGAGAAACCCCAGGCCCTTCTGACACACATTGATGATGGGAAGAAATGTCTGACGGCTTGGCAGTATCGTCGCTGGTTTCTTGGTGAAATGTACCCGGTATGTCCCAGGATGCGACATTCATTCCCGCTTCTAGATCTTCCGGACGTCCTTCAGGTGCTTTGCCACGAGCCGATGTGGTAGAATGATCCCGCATAGCACAGAACTCCGCTGATGTCTGTGAGACCGGCGGGAAGCGAAGTTGCTCAACCTCTGTGGTTAGACCTGGCAAAGTTGATGGGTTACTGTTTGAACTCGAAGGCTGCAAAGTCTCCTCGGACAGGTGCGGTGAACGGAAGGAGTCGAGCCGTTCAGCACCCTGATCTAATGACTTCTTCAAACCGTCCAAAGAGGACTCCCCATCGCCATGCTTGCGGTTGTCATTCTGGCAAAGGTCAGCCACCGTCAACGGCACAGCGCGCTTCAGAGAAGCCTCATTGGCGACGTTCCCTGCAGATGACGCTGCGGAACCCTGGGGTTCCGATGGCCGTATTGTATGGGCGGTGACGTTAGGCAGCGGATTGTTTGACTCGGGCTGCGACTGAGTTTTCTGTGGAGGCAATCCAAGGATAGGCGAATGATCACTAAACTCCAAATTGATGGCATGTCCGTCAATATGCTCTCCTTGTAGAGCATCCAAAGCTGCCCTTGCTGCGTGCATGGACGGAAGTTGCAGGTAACCAAACCCGGCATGTTTCCCAGTTCCAGACTCTTGTGGAAGGTGGACGTCAACCAAAAACCCTTTTGAGGCGAAGACATTCCTGATCATCCTTTCACTGACGCCGAATCCGACGTTGCCGATAAACAGAGTTGCAACCTCAGATGAACGCACATCACGAGCATTGGGCGCGATGGGAGAAACGTCCTGGGGGACCTTTGCATTGTGGGGCGGTGCATCCGCAGAGATCGTGCGACCGACACGGGGTCGGCCATGACGCGGACCTCGATGGGACTGTGACTGTGAGGGCAAGGAATGATTGATAAGAGTTTGTAAAGAAGGAGGTGATGGCGGTGCAGGAGGGTGAGCGAAAGTGTCGAGCCTCGAAGGCCCTGAAATCCCCCATGATGGACCTGCTAAGGGGTTTACTGGAAGCGGTGACCAATGAGGCGGGGGGTGATGAAAAAAAGGAGCATGATGATGGGCGTGGGAATAATGATGGTGATTGGGAGGTGGGCGAGGATGAGGGTGGCGTGGCGGATGATGCAGGGGATGCATTGAGAACTGGACATCAGGCAAGCGAACGGGTTGAGGATGGCTAGTAGACGGCTCTGATGTTTGACCACTCGTGTCGGGATCGCTAGGCATCCTATGCTGATTTGGATTTTCCAGTACTCCGGCATCTTTCGCTTCATTTTTCTCTTTCGTTGATGACTTCGCATTGTCAAGGTCTGTAGTCGATTCGCACGGTTCGGAACTGGCCTCCATGCTGTCTGCTTGCGTGGCATCCGGATCCCGGTCCGACTCCAAATTCTGTGGCCTGGTCCGATTGCATCCAAGTTCGGCCTCAAAAGCTTCAAACAAGGTGTGGCCAACGTTGCCGAGTTCGGACGCCATAGAGCGCAGGCTTTCAACCGTGCTTGCGGCCGTGGGAAGCTCACCCTCGAATATGTGAGCCGCCTGTGCACTCATTGCCGAAGACTTGTTCAGGGAACTGGTCACCTGTCTGAGCTGAGCTTCCAGAGTCGCAAGAGCGCCCTGCACGGAGGATCCAACATTTTCAGGTATGGCCCTCTGTGCGTGCTGCAGCTGTCTCTCAATTTCTGGGATCCTTGACATCACCCCGGAGCTGAGTAACTCGGCCCCGTCAACCAAGCTCTGCATTGCATGTGTGAATGCTTCAGTTGCATTCTGAGGTCTCGTCGGCCGTGAATCCGAGTTTGACTGGGAAGCGGTCGAGGCTTCTGCGGAAGGTGTGGATTCAGTAGTAGGCTGGGGAGTATTGAGGAACCTAGTCATCTCAGCTTCGAATGCAGCCAAAAGCGATTGAGATTCATCGGTCCCCGCTGAGTGCGCATTTTCCTGGGGAGAGTCGGAGCGTTCTTGTGCCTGGATAGTGGTTTTTGATGAGGCTTTTTCAGGTGTGGATTTATTTGGTCCATCGTCCGTCTCCACCGCCTCCTGTGTGTCTGGCTTGCATTCGTACTTCTTCCATAGCTCCGTGACTGAATTTGACCGTCGAATGTCGAAGATATGCATTGGTTCGGAGGCCGTTTGTGGAAGCAGCATAGTGTCGATCATTACATCAATAGGTTCATCGAGTCTTTGGGAGAGCTCAAGAGACGAGCCGACCTGCCATTACATGTCAGCAATCAGACCCAAACCAAGGAGTGTGAACGCATACCGTGATAATCTCTTCATCATCTTCGTCAAAATATGTCAAGCGGGCCCGCGGATGGCTGGACGATAGGTTATCATATTGAGAAGCCGACAACTGCACGATACCGCGACGCCTCGACGAAGTCAAGTGATCTGCGGCCTCGGTTGAAGACGAGGGTGACGGAGACCTATGGAGATCTCTGATCTGGAAAGGCTTCAACATTTCTGGGGCTAGTGAGCGGTCGCGGTATGGAGAAGCTTCAGTTCAAAGCCGCTAAAAAAGAAGATAAGAGTCAATGACGATGGAATAGTGTATTGCGGATAATCGCAAAAAAGCGATGTTGGTCGGTAGCTGAGGGGTTGACCGAACGGATAAGGCAACCAGAAACTAGATAAATGAAAGCTGAGAAGGTCGGAGTAGAAAAATGGCCAGGTGGAATAGACGTGTGGATAAAGATATGGAAAGCCTGGGGGAGGTGATAAGGAGGAGAAAGTCGAGAAGACGGAGGGGGCAAAGATAGAGGAAGCCAATAGTCGTCGCTATTGTTGCTGCCTATGAGCGGGCGATTAGTAGTAGTCGTAGTAGTAATAGTAGTTGTAGTATGTAACTGTAATGTAGTAGCTCGGATTTGCCTCAGTTGAGACAAAAGGAATCTGGTAACCGTGGGCCGATCATCGTCATACGAGGAGACAGGAGCAGTGTAACTCGATACGAGAACGAGCGAGCGAACGATGAAACAAGGCAACAGGATTCAGGCAGCGAGTTGTGTGAAAGACAAGAGGAGTGGTTGATTCCTTCGGAGTAGTGGTTGGGAAAGGAAGAGATGGGGAGAAAGTCTTCAATGAGGGGCGGGAGGCGGACAGCCCATGGAGAAGATAGACCATATGGAACTGGTGAACTTACTTGAACTCTTTCTTTGGTCCTTCAGCTAGTCAGTCAAAGTTAACAGTTAATCAGTCATTTTACGAGTAGTTGAAAGTTCACTGGGGAAAGCTCCGTTCTTTGTTCCAATTCACCCCCCGCCTTTGGGTCTGCTGATTGGTTGGGGGAAGGTCCATCAAATGACCCGTTCATCATGACTTTCTACTAAGTCACTACGTAACTTGTTCATACTAAGTATCAAAAGTATTACTACCAGGGTCTGGCTCATTTCAAGCATGTGCAGATATATTATATTTAAGACTATAGACAAAGGTACGACCAGCCAGGCGAACATTCGAATTGGGAAACACCCATGCGTGTTGGTTGAATAGGATTCAGTTCCTATTCAGGCTAATCAATCCATAACTTCCTGCCCCAGGCCTGGTATTGTACTTCTTACTACTACACCTACAGCCAAACGCCCATTCCAATGGCCAACCCACGGAAACACGTTCGCAATTCATTCTCACCAAAACAATAGGGGCCTTCCTTGCCCCTTTCTCAAGCACAATATTCTTCATCACCCTATCCCTACTCGATCTGGAATCGTTTGTCTTCAATGGCCGCCAACGATTCCGCGACGCGTGCTGAGCCGTCATCCTCCACCGACCGTAACGTGAAGCACGTCGTACTCGGTGACCTCCTCTTCCAGACCTGGTACCAGTCCATCTACCCGGAAGATCTGGTCAGCAAGGATACAGACAGGTTGTACGTCTGTCGCTGGTGCTTCCGGTACTCGTGCAACGCGCACGCCTACACGAAACACACGCGCCTCTGCCCGCAACGGAAATCACCGCCCGGGGTCAAGGTCTACGACCAGGGCGGATATTCAGTGTGGGAGCTGGACGGCGAACATCACAAGCTCTACGCGCAAAACCTGTCGTTGTTCGCGAAACTGTTCCTCGATCACAAGTCCGTCTTCTTCGACGTCGTGTCCTTCCTCTACTACCTCCTCGTCTTCACCGACCCCGACAACCCTAACGACTCCTACCATGTGCTGGGCTTCTTCTCGAAGGAGAAGCTCTCCTGGGACGCCAACAACCTTGCCTGTATCCTGGTTTTTCCCCCTTACCAACACAAGCAGCTCGGAAAACTGTTGATGGGCGTCAGCTATAAGATCAGCTCCTGGGAGCGCGACAGCGGGTTGATCGGCGGGCCGGAGCGACCGTTGAGTGAGATGGGCTGCAGGAGCTATGCGCGCTTCTGGGAGGAACGTGTGGCCAGACATTTGCTTTTACATGGCTGGAGGGCCGACGACGCAGAGGAAGCGGTAGTGTCACAGAAGTCCAAGTCTCCTAAAGGGTCGAAGAAGCGGCATGCCCATGAACTCATGACAGTGCAGGACATTGGATTAGCAACAGGCATGCTGACCGAGGACGTTATTACAGCTCTTAAGGGCTTGGGAGTAGTGCAGCCGGCCACGCCCGCCAAGAAGCGAAAGTCGAAGGACTCATCGGGAGCCGGGGATGGCGCCGTCGTAACAGTACGAAAGACAACCGTTCTCGAATGGGCTAGGCTTCATCACATGGCCTTATGGGACCCGGTCAAAGACGAGGGGTTCCATGGTAAATGGGCTCCGACTGATTCGGACGAAGAGAGCGATGGGGACAGCAGCGAAAGTGGTGATGGATAGAGGTCTCTTGTGCGGCTGCTAAAATCCCCTCTGTATGCGCGCTTGTGGAAGAGCGCCTTGTGTATTACTATCTACGTACGCTACTGACCGTATGGAAGCAACATCTATGACTGGATCCCAATTGAAAAACCCCAAGAGACAGGACTTACGTGTACATGAATCCTGGGGCCTGTGACCTTGTAGCAAGACACATCGCACGCGGCAAGAGAGAAACTCCGTGGGCAAATGAGCATATCCCTGCTGCCTAGCTCCTGTCAAACCTATATTGTAGCTTAAGGCAGCCATCGGGTGTTACCATCTGATGGAGTTGGGGCACTGCACTGTGAATTAGATTCAATTAGGATGTGCCAAAAGTCATTAGTATGGCCAATTTTGAGTATACTTTCGACGTAGAGTATTTTTCTAAACCTGCAGTCCGATGAATTTCACAGAAGTGCTTTACATAATCCGCCCTGAGTGTAGGAGCCACATTACTCGTCCATGCCGCCAGGTCCTGACTGTCTGCTCATTTGACGGGCCTTCAGCAGCTCATCGCAAAGTAGGAGATTCGAGGCGATGCCTGTGCTGGATGCAATGCAGTTGCGCAACACACGGAAGGAGTCAAACACACCCTCCTGCACAGGATCCATCGGTTCACCGGTGGTCAGGTCCAGACCGGCGTTGTTGCCGTTGGCAAGTTCGTCTTGCAGCATGGCCAAAGAATCCTGGATATCGTGGCCCGAGTTGGCTGCAAGAGTCTTGGGGATGACCAAAAGAGCGTCGGCAAAAGCTTGGACACCCCACTTGGCCTTGCCCTTAACGGTCTTCTTGAAAGCGTCGGACGACAGATGACCGGCACAAGCCACTTGGAACGCACCAGCACCGGGAATGACACATCCATCGACAATGGTGTTGTATACGGAGCGCAGACCGTCACGGACAGCATCCTTCACTTGTGCGATGGTGTGCTGGTTGGGTCCCTTGATAAGGATGGTCACAGACTTAGGATCCTTGACTTCCTCAACAAACGTGTACTTTTCCTCTCCGAGCTGGTGCTCATAGACCAGGCCAGCCCATCCGAGAACATCGGGGGTCATATCTTCCACGCTGTTCTGTGCAATACCGCCGCAAATAAGCTGGAGACGCTCCATGTTTCTCCGCTTGGCTCTCCGCAGAGCCAGGATGCCGTTCTTGACGAGGACATCCAAGCTCAGGGGATCGATACCCTTCTGGTTGATAACGACGAAGCTCTTCTTGGGGTCGTTGCCGCACACAAGCTTCTTCAATTCCACAATCTTCTGTAGTTTGGCGTCCACGAACTTGCGCTCACTCTCCACCAACTTGTCCCTCTGCTCGGCAGAAGAGTAGTAGAAACCGGAGTTGATTTCTGACTTCTCGTATTCCAAGCTGACGTTGAGCGTCAGGATGAAGGCATTCTCCACGCGTTTAGGCATGTCGGGATGTCTGGCGCCGTGGTCGAGAGCGAGACCACGGATGAGCTTGGTGTCGGAAGAGGTGCGATGTTGCATGGTCATGATCTCAACCATGTGCAAGTCAGGCTTCTCGGGAGCTCTGTGAATAGCGAGAACGGCATCGACGATATCAGGGGTGAGCTTCTCGGCAAGGGCGCTGTTCAGCTTTGTGCTCAAGGATGTCCGGGCGACGGAGAGAAGGAGTTCGCGATCGATAGTACGCTCGATCTTGAACTGGTCGAGGAACTGTATGCCATCGTACATCAGTATCATGACAACCAAAGAGTCCACTATACTGCATACCTTGAGAGTCTCGTTCTTTGCAATCTCATAACCATCCGTGATGACTCTAGGGTGCAGTCCCTCAGAGATGTAGCGGTCCGCCTGCTTCAACAGCTCTCCGACCGACAGGACGACAGACGTCGTTCCGTCACCGGTAATATCATCCTGAGCCGTTGCAGCACGAGCAATCATAACCTTTCCGCCGATTAATAACGGGTGGTCGAAACTTAGCGGGAAAGGTAGCTTACAGCCGTGGGGTTTTGAATTTGCTATTACAATCAGTCTCTGGCCGACCGGAGGATATATTGAGCAAGACTTACCATCTCACGAAGCAGAACATTGCCATCCTTGGTCAGTTTGATCTAATTGTAACTGAGTTAGCCCGAACACTCGACTGATAAAAAAAGTGATCAATCATACTCCGCCAGCACCGTCCACCAACCTATAATTCGTTAGCTCTTCATGGCTGTGACAGTTATCGAGGGACACCAAACGTACATCTTCAACGTTCCAGAGGGACCGAGGTTGGACTTCAAGACATCCTGGAGACCCTCACCAGCGCTGATGTTCACCTTCAAAGCCTCCGCTCTCCGCTGTGAACTGTTAGTCTCTGCTGGGTGACTGAGGGGCTAACTTTGGAGGGGAAGAACTGGATATCATACCCTCGACTCGGCCTTGGGGTTAAGTAATTGCGTCGCAGACATTTTCTGCAGAGGAAAGAATGACAAGCAACAAGAACCTAACGAGAGGACTTGAAATCAAACAAACTTGCTATTGCTTTGGGCCCGATCGAAGATGCCCGCGCTGCCAGAAACCTTAGTGGTGGTGTTTGCCGTGAATGCGGTGAGCCGTTGGTTTTGGCAAAAAGCCCGCCCACATTCTGTGTTCGCACTAGCGCCGCCGCTGCGAAAAAAAAGAGCTCCGACGGCTCCTCGACTCTGCAAATCTACCCTCCCAGGCTTTTCTCCAACTCCACGTCGCTCCACGCCCGGTCTACGGTCGCAAAATCCTGGGAAATTGAGAAGCGGGCTGAATTGCTCGCACGTGAAGGACCTTTTCTTACAATTTTTTGGACCTCGACCTCAATTTCGCAATGGCCGACTATCTTCTCTGGGAAAGCCCCATCGGCTACTCTCTTTTCAAGGTCGCCCACCAGGGCGACAGCGTCGGCAACCGTTTAAAGGAGGTTCAGGAAGGCGTTGATGACCTTGCTAAGTTCGGCAAGATGGTCGAGCTGGCCAGTTTTCTGCCTTTCGAGTACGTCGCTCGGGTCCCGGGGGGGATTTTCGCTTTTTTTTTTTTCGCCAGGATACTGACAAAACTCAGGAACAACAAGCAGGCCCTCAGTGAAATCAACGACATCTCGGAAGGTGTCGCCTCGGATACACTCGTTTCTTTCCTCGAATTGAATCTTCCCAAGCCCAACAAGAAGAAGAAGGTCGTTCTGGGTCTGTTGGATAAGGCTCTCGCTGGAAGCATCAAGTCTGCCTTCGACTTCGTTGACTGCGAAACCGGCGATACCAGCGAGGTCGTTCAGGATATGCTCCGTGGTATCAGACTGCACGCCACTAAGCTGCTCAAGCAACTCCGTGAGGGTGATATCGACACTGCCCAGCTTGGTCTTGGTCACGCATACTCGCGTGCCAAGGTCAAGTTCTCCGTTCAGCGCGACGACAACCACATTATCCAGGCCATTGCTATTCTCGACCAGCTCGACAAGGCCATCAACACTTTCTCCATGAGAGTGCGCGAATGGTACTCTTGGCACTTCCCCGAACTTATCAAGATTGTCTCGGACAACCAGCGCTACGCTCAGGTCGCGTTGTTCGTCAAGGATAAGAAGGATCTGACCGACGATAAGCTGCACGATGTTGCCGCTCTCGTTGAGGATGATGAGGGTGTTGCTCAGAGCATCATCGACGCTGCTAAGCACAGTATGGGTCAGGAGATCTCCGAGACTGACATGGAGAACGTCATCTCTTTCGCTCAGCGCGTTGTCAGCCTGTCCAAGTACCGCAAGTCTCTTCACGCCTACTTGGTCTCTAAGATGAGCGTTGTCGCGCCCAACCTTGCTGCTCTGATCGGCGAGATCGTTGGTGCTCGTCTCATCTCTCACGCCGGAAGCTTGACCAACCTTTCCAAGTACCCCGCCTCTACTGTTCAAATTCTCGGTGCTGAGAAGGCGCTCTTCAGAGCCCTGAAGACCAAGGGCAACACCCCCAAGTACGGTCTTCTTTACCACTCCTCCTTCATTGGACGGGCTGGTCCCAAGAACAAGGGTCGTATCTCGCGCTTCCTTGCCAACAAGTGCTCTATCGCCTCCAGAATTGATAACTTCTCTGAGGAGCCCTCTACGAAGTTCGGAGAGGCCCTGAAGGCGCAGGTTGAGGAGCGCCTGGAGTTCTACGCCACTGGTGCCGCACCTACCAAGAACGAAGTTGCCATGGTACGTTATACAGACAATGATACTCCTATAAGAAGCAAACTAATACTGACATCGCTTACAGAAAAACGCCATGGATGCTCTCCTGGCCGACATGGACATCAACGCTGAGCAGAGCGACGATGAAATGAAGGATGTTGAGTCCGACAAGGAGGACAAGAAGGCCAAGAAGGAGAAGAAGGACAAGAAGGAGAAGAAGGAAAAGAAGGAGAAGAAGGAGAAGGGCGAGAAGGAGGAGAAGAAGAAGAAGCGCAAGTCCGACGTTGGTGAGGGTGAGTCGGAAAAGAAGAAGCGGAAGCACGACAGCGATGCTGAGCCGTCCAAAAAGAAGAAGAAGGTCTAGAAGCACCACCAAGTCTTGGGACAGGAGGGCGTCATTCGAGGCGTTGTCGGGTTGAGTTATTCTTGCCATCTATGTTCTGTTTTCTCCTTCACGACGTGACGGGCTGGGTATTTGTAAATTATTCGATTGAGGCCTGTGTCGTTCTAAAATTTCCTTGTAGTTCTGCAAATCTAAATCGGGATTGTTCTAGCTTCCTCTCCGTCCTTAGTGCCAAACTGATCAAGTGTCAAGTGATTTGGTGACTGAACAGGTATCCATGCTTGACTGCTGGCAGCAGCAGCAGTAGCAGGACCAGCTGCAAGTTGACGTTTGCCCTGTCAGATAATGTTGCTTATTCAGTGTCTTTTTTCGGGGAAACTGCGTGCTATAATCTAGACCAACCAAGCAGTCCGGAAACCCCCTCACTTCACCTCAGCTCCAAGGATAATCCAACCCTGTTGTACTCTCTCCCCCTCCCCCTTTCTTCCCTCCATGACAACGGATCGTCCGCAACATTTCCGCCATAATGGCTTCTCATATCTCCACTGATCTCGATCGATAAAACGCTGATCTGCATCATCCCGAAGCCTTAAGATTTGCTGGATACTTCTTCCAACGCAATACTACTGGCGCCCGGGCGCTGTGATGCCCCCACATCCGTCTGCAGAATTAGCCCCGCGATGATGTCCTCGAGTTTGACGACGATGCCCTTCAACTCTTTCAAGCGCAAGAGGGCATCATCAGAAGATACCGATCAATACAGCCCGTCATCACCAACATCGACTGTCTCAATCCTGAGCCTCCAGGAGGCCCGACTCCGAGAAACAGAAGACTTAGGGAGGTATAGTCCCCGGGCGGTAGTCGCCGGTCGCCTAGGAGAACTGGCCATCCGTGGAGACAGTCTATCGACGCCCCCAATTCCATATGGGTTAGATCAAGGCACCGTCACGCATTCAGTGCAGTCGGGATGCTGGCCTACCCTATACGACTCGATTTTTGGGCCTCGCAAAATGCCCGAAACTGGTAGTCCCCTCGCAGGAAACCAGCCGAAGCCAGACGAGTCGTCGACGACGGTGAACACAGGCCATCTTCAGCCTGACAATCCTGAGACTAGTGTTTCTTCCGCATCGCCTAGGAAAAAGCCGCCGACCTCGAGTCCGCGCAAGAAGAAGAATCCATCGGTCACATCCAAAATGCGCAGCGCGGCGAGAAGCCCGCCGCCACGCACGGGCGATGCGCTTGAAAACCCGCTTACATGGCACGACTCGGAGATCACTGGACACGATCCCACAGACCCGAATGATGATGGGTATGGCATAAATGGCATTGGGTTCAAGCCCACTGCAGCGATGGCATGGGCCAGATCGCAGAAGAGGCAGAAGCAGGTTGCAGACTGGAAATCCCGCGAAGCAAGGGAAGCACGAGAAAAGCGGAGGGAACGACGCGATGGTGCTGATCTCGATAAAATCAGAAGCATTCAGAGTGGCGCTATCCAAAAAAGAGTCAAATTTAACATGTGATGACACAGGCTATGATGCGTACTTCGCGATTTCATGCATTTTCGCGACCACTGGGGAGTTAATCATTTCAACTCTATCTGAACGTTTTTGCACGGTGTGAGCATTGGCACAGAAATCACTGCTGCGTTGGAGTGGGGTATCGATCTGATGGGGCAAACGCAAGGACAAGGTTAGAGTCCTTGAATAGAGCAATATGTATGTACTTAACGTGCATGCCACATGACATATAATAAAATACAATGATATCCTGAAAACATACTCCAAGACTCCGCGCAATGGACTAATGAATCTACCAGAACTTATAGTTGGAAAGGTTGGTCCAACTCTTCCGTTGCCTCTCTGCTTCCGCGAGACGGGCGACCTCTTTTTCCTTCTGTTCCTTCTCACGCTGCTTCTTGAGCTTGAGCTCTTTCATAAGCTCGACAGCCTGTTTCATGCCGTCCAACTCCTGCACTCGACGTCGCTGGCAGATCTCATGTGCTGCGAGGGAAGTAATGGCAAACGCACCGACGGCCCAATTGCAGGCGGTCCAGATCTTGGGTAACCCTAAAAACAAGGAACAATGGCTTAGTCAATGCTCAGAAAATGGCTGGAGCGAACTGGTTATATGTATTTACCTCCAATGACACCCCTCACTCCACCGATACCGAACCCGGCTCCGATTCCGATGAGCAACGAATCCCGGGCACAAGGTGCTTTGTAAAAAGACGAAGCATTCTCCAGTGACATCGACTTCATAGCTTCGGTGACAGTGATGTCAGCATGCTTCTTTCCGGACTTGACACCAGCAGATGGGAGCATGTTGACAGGCTCCTCAGGGTTTCCAAATGCGTCCCATAGCTTTCCGACTTGTGATTGAGGGATCTCATGCTTCAACTTTTTTTGCGACGTAAACTCGGATGTGGTGTTCGGCGATTCTGGATTCCTTTGCTCGGGAGCAGATGTGGTGGCGCCCCGCGTATCGTCGGCCATGATGTGAAATATTCTCTATACTCCGCTTTGTGATATAGCAACAATCGACTCTCGAGATGTCGCGGCCAGAACTTCTTTGCAGGGAAACAATAATGCCGCGGGCAATCGGACGATTCCATGATCCGAAGATCTCTCCGGGGGTGCGGCTAAAGCGGATAGTTTCTCCGGATCAAAGCGGTCCCACCAATGGCACGCGTAAAGTAGAAACGCGAACGCGTCGGAATGGCGCAGGTCGAAATCTGGGCTCCTCAGCATAGAGTGGATCGGGGCCAATCCAGGTGCAATCGAGATATTCAACTTTACAGGGCAGTTCTTCAATTCTCCTTCAAGAAGTGTATTTTCATAGCAAGGCTGCGGAGTTATGTGCCATTCTGTCCTGTGCTGAATTCATATCGTCTTCTATTTTCCCATGTTCAATCGACAACCTCTCCGAACCCTGCAGTGATCCTCAGGCCCGGCCGGTGGGCGCGTCGTCGCAATGCCTTCAAGAAAACCCAGCAAGTTCGGCAACAAGTTTCGATCCGGTGGCGCTTCCTTCAATCCCAGACGAACCAAGACCGTCGAGTTCGCATCCCTCAGATCGACCGAGGCTACGTCTCAAGATGAGAAATTCGAGGCCATCCGGCTGGCAAACAGCATCGACGAGTCCCTGGGCTTCCCGCGCTTCGAGGCCGGCGAGAAGCGGGTGGGATGGCTCATCAACATGCACAGCACGTCGATCCAAGATCCGAATGTCCCCGGTGGACGCGCCGGTGTCGATTACTATTTCCTCGAGGACGGCGGTACCAGCTTCAAGGCGACGGTCGAATACGATCCTTACTTCCTAATTGCTGTGAAGAGGGGACATGAAACGGAAGTTGAGGAGTGGTGTCGAAGGATGTTCGAGGGGCTCATCAAGAAGGTGACGCGTGTGGAAAAGGAGGATCTTTCGCTGCCAAACCATCTACTTGGGCACCGCCGGAACTATCTTCAGTTGAATTTCGCCAATGTCAGCCACTTGTTGGAGGTACGGAGAACAATCTTGCCTCTGGCGGAGAAGAATAGGAAGAATGCAACGGCAATGGATGCTTATGTGGAAATGTCAAGGTATGGTCTGCCAACCCCGGCACCCAATGTATTCAAGCTAACCAAGTTTTGCAGCGAAAACGCTGGTTTCGATCTTTTTGATGATGAGCTAATTAATGAGTCACGATCTAATGTCAATATGAACGCGAGTGATTTTATTGTTGATATAAGGGAATACGATGTTCCTTATCATGTCAGAGTTTCTATTGACAAAGGTTTGTCGCTCGCACTGATTGAGGGAGCCCGGCTAATCCTGCCATAGACATCCGTATAGGAAAATGGTACACAGTAGAGTCGAGACACGGAGTTATTTCTCTGAGTTGTATAGAAGAGCGGCTTACTCGTGCCGATCCTGTTATCTTAGCGTTCGATATCGAAACAACAAAGTTACCGCTCAAATTTCCCGACTCGGTGATTGACCAGATTATGATGATATCTTACATGATCGACGGTCAGGGTTTCCTCATCACAAATCGAGAAATTGTTTCCGAAGACATCAACGACTTTGAGTACACGCCAAAGGCCGAATACAACGGGCCATTCATGATCTTCAACGAACCCGACGAACGGAGTGTCATCGAACGGTTTTTCGAGCACATCAAAGAAGCAAAGCCTACGGTCATCGCTACTTACAACGGTGACTTCTTCGATTGGCCTTTCGTTGAGGCGCGAGCAAGCGTTTTAGGGATCGACATGTACAAAGAGATCGGGTTTCGGAAGAACAGCGAAGACATCTACCAGGCCGACCACTGCGTGCACATGGACTGCTTTGCTTGGGTCAACCGTGACAGTTACCTTCCTCAAGGAAGTCGTGGCTTGAAAGCCGTCACCGTCGCGAAGCTCGGATACGACCCTGACGAGCTAGATCCGGAATTGATGACTCCATATGCGAGTGAGCGTCCGCAGACTTTGGCGGAATATTCGGTATCCGATGCCGTCGCGACCTACTACCTTTATATGAAATACGTTCACCCTTTCATCTTCTCTCTTTGCACAATTCTTCCTCTGAATCCGGACGACACTTTGCGGAAGGGAACCGGAACACTCTGCGAGATGCTTTTGATGGTGCAAGCATACCAGGGGAATATCGTATTACCCAACAAGCACAAAGATCCTCCGGAGGCTTTTTACGAAGGTCACCTGCTTGAATCAGAGACTTATGTTGGTGGACACGTCGAAAGTATCGAGGCTGGTGTTTTCCGAAGCGATATACCCGTCACATTCAAGGTGGACCCTACTGCTGTGGACGAGCTTCTCCGCGATCTTGATGCAGCTTTGAAGTTTAGCATCGAGGTCGAAGAGAAGAAATCTATGGATGATATCACCAACTACGACGAAGTCAAGAAACAGATTTCCGAAAAGCTGATCGGCCTCAAAGAAAAGCCTCATAGGGACGAGGTTCCGTTCATCTATCACTTGGACGTCGCCTCTATGTACCCGAATATCATGATCACCAACCGGTTACAACCAGACTCTATGATTGAAGAGTCAAACTGTGCTGCATGTGACTTCAATCGGCCTGGTAAGACTTGCGATAGACGAATGCCATGGGCATGGAGAGGTGAATTTCTTCCTGCCAAGCGCGACGAATACAACATGATTCGTCAGGCGGTGTCAAATGAGAAGTTTCCTGGAAGATACAAAAATAGCCCGATGAGGATGTTTGGTGATCTGAGTATCGAAGAGCAAGCCGGCATCGTCAAAAAGAGGCTTCAAGATTACAGCAAGAAGATCTACCACAAGATTCACGACAGCAAAACAATAGTCAGAGAGGCCATCATCTGTCAGCGAGAGAACCCATTCTATGTGGATACTGTTCGCAGTTTCCGTGATCGAAGATATGACTTCAAGGGGAAGCAGAAGGTTTGGAAAGGCAAGACTGAGGCTCTCAAATCGTCTGGCGCATCGAGCGCGGAGATTGACGAGGCGAAGAAAATGATCATTCTGTACGACTCCCTTCAGCTTGCTCACAAGGTCATCTTGAACAGTTTCTACGGTTATGTCATGAGAAAGGGTTCTCGATGGTATTCCATGGAGATGGCTGGCGTGACGTGTTTGACCGGAGCTCGAATTATTCAAATGGCACGAGAGTTGGTTGAACGAATTGGTCGCCCTCTTGAGCTGGATACTGACGGTATTTGGTGTATGCTTCCTGGGTCATTTCCCGAGAATTTTACCTTCACTCTCAAGAACGGCAAAAAGCTTGGTATCTCATACCCCTGTGTCATGCTCAATCATCTCGTCCACGGAAGCTACACCAATCACCAGTACCAGACCCTTGTCGACCCAGCCTCATTCAGGTATGAAACTCACAGTGACAACTCTATCTTTTTCGAGGTCGACGGGCCCTACAAAGCCATGATCTTGCCCACATCAAAGGAGGAAGACAAGAACTTGAAGAAACGTTATGCTGTCTTCAACCATGACGGGTCTTTGGCGGAACTGAAGGGCTTCGAGGTCAAGCGTCGAGGAGAGCTGAAGCTCATCAAGATCTTCCAAACCCAGATCTTCCGCTTCTTCCTGGAAGGAGCTACGCTTACCGAGACCTACGCTGCAGTAGCCAAAGTGGCTGATCGGTGGTTGGACGTGCTCTATGAGCATGGTGCAACTCTTGCGGATGAGGAACTGATTGATCTCATTTCTGAGAACAGAAGCATGACGAAGACTCTCGAGGAGTATGGGAACCAGAAGTCGACATCTATCACAACCGCTCGGCGACTTGCAGAATTCCTCGGAGAGCAAATGGTCAAAGACAAGGGTTTGAACTGCAAGTACATCATTTCTTCGAGACCGAGAAACACGCCTGTCACAGAACGAGCCATTCCGGTGGCCATCTTCTCGGCCGAGGAAAGCGTCAAGCGCTTCTTCTTGCGGAAGTGGCTGAAAGATGACCCTGGTGATATGGACCCTCGAACGGTGATTGACTGGGATTACTATCTCGAGCGCTTGGGATCCGTGGTACAGAAGCTCATCACTATTCCGGCTGCACTTCAAAAGATTCGTAATCCAGTGCCCCGAGTCGCCCATCCGGACTGGCTGCAAAGGCGTATCAATCAGAAGGATGACAAATTCAAGCAGACGAAAATGACGGACATGTTCACTAAATCAGAGAAGACCCCGTTGACCGACATTTCAGCCAATATCCTCGATCATCGCGTCCAGCATGCTGGTGACCTGGATGAGGTCATTGCCAGCTCAACACAGAAGCTGAAATCCTCACCTGAAAGCAAAGTTTCCCAGAAGAGAAAGCACCCTGAAGGTCTTCCTAAGACCTCGCTTGATCCGTTCGCTACTTTACCGGCAAAGATGCCATCGATTACAGATGATTACGTCGGATTTTTGAACTACCAGAAACAGAAATGGAAGATCCAGAAACAGGCTCGTATTCGTCGCCGTCAGCTGTTTGGAGAAAGGGTCAACGTGGCTACGGATTCTCTAAGCAATCACTTCCGAAACCAGGCAGAGCTGTTGTACATCAAGACATGGCAGGTTCTACAGCTTTCCGAAACATCGAGACCCGGCATAGTGCGAGCATTTGTCTTGATTGATCGGAAAGTCCACGCGCTCACCGTTAAAGTCCCCCGGCAAATATACGTCAACTTGAAACAGGATTCTCTTCCAGATGTGGACGTCCCTGATTGTGAAGTTGAAAAAGTCAATCATACTTTGCCGAACGGACATCCTTCAGTCCATCTGTTTAAGTTGACATTGTCGGAAGAAACCTATCTTCGCGAAGCCAATAAGATTGACATGCTTCTTCAACACCCGAGTGTTGAGGGTGTTTATGAGAGGAGCATTCCTCCCAATATCCGGGCCGTACTAAAGATTGGCAGTATTTGCACCTTCGATGAGCAACAGCGAGGTGTCCTCGGAGAGGGCTTGGACAAAGGGTTCGACCTTTCTACCCTTTGTCGTACAGATACAGAGCAGCCTTATCTTCTAGATGCTCCCATGGCATATCACTATCTGTATCATGTTGCTTCTGGCGACAGGCAGATATTTGCTATTTTCTCGACAACGAAAAATGAGGCCCACATCGTCATTCTTAATCGCACCCGGGATGTTCAAGGCCTTCCGAACGTCGACAAAATCTACGCGGAACTCCTTGCACGCAGATTGCAGAACTTGGCTGCGGATAATACGCAGAGTGCTTTTGAATACCAAGAGAAACTCCACTTCAAGACCACTCAGGTTACTACAAGAAGGAAAGCTCACTTGGAAGTGGGAGATTTGATTAAAAAGCTAAAATCCGAGGAGACTCAGCCCGCCATTATGGTAATTCAATCTCATCAGCGAAGCCGTCTGTGTCACGACGTGCCCATTTTGAGGGAATATCCTATCCTACCTGTGAAGCCAGAAGTGTCAGATATGGAGCTTCCGCCCTTGGGCTGGCAGTCATTTGTCGCACGTCGCTTGGTCACTCATTACCTCTATCTCTCTGCTTGGGTTCAGCACATGACTCTACTCGCGAGATATGGTGATGTTCCTCTCTGCAATCTGGAAAACGACGATCCTCGCTTCCTCATCGATATTTCCTATGCCAGACGTCTTCAGCAGAACAACGTTGTTCTCTGGTGGTCCTCGAACCCTAGACCAGACCATGCAGGCTATGAAAAGGACGACATAACAGGTCCTCTGGAAAAGGTTCCCATGCCGTCGGTTAACATGCCGAATGCGTACACAACTGTGTGCATTGAGCTGGAAGTGCGCAATCTCGCTATCAACACAATCTTGACGTCGTCCATCATCAACGAAATGGAGGGTGCAGATACGCTTCTAGCATCGTCCGGCACGTCAGCCGACGCAAATGGCGGCGTCCTCTACTCCGAGAAGGCGTTCACATCAGCCGGCGCCATTGTTCTGCGGGAAATGGTGAAGAATTGGTGGACCCAGGCCTGTGATGGGAACAACATGGCCGACATCATGGTTCAACACTTGATTCGATGGGTGGAAAGTCCTGCCTCCTGCCTATACGATCAATCACTGCACCATTACGTGCGCATGCTCTCACGGAAGTCGTTCCAGAGACTGATGGCCGAGTTCAGACGGGTCGGTTCGAACGTCATCTTCGCAAGCTCCACTCGCCTACTGCTTCATACGACGAAGACGGAAGTAGGCAATGCGTACGCATTTAGCCAATATGTCCTGAAATCGATTCGGGCGAACCCATCGTTCCACTTCATCGACCTGGAGATCAAGGAGTATTGGGACTACCTACTCTGGTATGATGAGTACAACTATGGCGGCAAAGGATGTCAGGAAGTGGTCGAATCCGACGAGCAGCCCTTAGAGACGGTAATGCACTGGCAACTTAGTCGCTTCCTACCCACGCCCATGCAGGCCATCTTCCATGACTGGGTAGTCGAGTACATCGAGTTGATGCATGGTCTCAAACGCCCTGATAACAACTCGTCCACTCCTCGGATGACACAAATCCCTATCGGCCGTCCGAGTGATGAGGAGAGTGAGGAGATTTCCGCTATTCTTTCCGAGAAATTTTCCAAGCCGTTGAAGAAGCAGATCACGGGTCTAATTCGCCGACAGCGGGATGAACTCCTACACCCAGAGCTGGCATCCGACTATGCGTTCCCTGTTCTCCCCGGTGTGCTTTCGGATCCTAATGAAGAGAAACGCAACCCTGTTTTGGAATTGGTCAAGCTGCTGATGCAGGTACTGAGTCTGTCCAAAACTACTACAATGGAGACACGACTGCTACGTCGCGAGCTACTTGCGCTTTTCGAGATCCGTGAGTTCAGCAAAGAGGGTCGGTTCGAGAACCCGGGTGCGAGCTTGAAACTTCCTGAGCTCACTTGCAACGCATGTTGCTTGATACGAGACCTGGACTTGTGCCGAGATGAAGATGTGCTTCCAGATCCTGGCACGGAGTCGAACAAGACCTCCACGAAAGCCTGGCGTTGTCCCTTCTGTCAAACTGAGTATGATCGGCTCGCGCAGGAAGAGATTCTCATTGGCCAGGTACATGGATTCATTGTTGGGTGGCAGACTCAGGACCTCAAGTGCTCCAAATGCGGGGGATTGAAGGTCAGTGATTTCATGGAGCATTGCTCGTGTAGTGGGGCGTGGGTGGAAACAATGAATCGCGGCGAGATCGAGAAGAAGCTGCGACTTCTAGACAGTGTCGCGAGGTTCCATAACCTGAAGTTGCTGGAGACGGTGGTGGGGGAGGTTCTAGAGCAGATTTGATATGGTCTTTGTGCTGAGCGTTTGCTGATGACTATACCCTGTTTGGAAAACGTTGATACGAGGATAATAGTTAGCTTTGGGTACCTTGGCGTTCAGGGGGGTTAGCATAGCCTTGCGCAAGACTTGAAAATGTATATAAGTATAAAATGCATAGTTACTGCATTATGAGTATGCTTAGAGTTGTTTGTTCTTCCTGGTGATTTGTAGTTGTAATTGAGCGTATCTGCCATTCGACGGAGAGGAGGGGTTCATTTGCACGTGCGCAACCAAAACAATCCGACCAAGTATGGATGTGGTCCTGATGTATTTCTCCGTCCTGCTACCTTACTTTCTCGCATGCTCGACATCAATCAGCAGATAACAGCTGTCCCTTTCGCTCTTTAGTCTATACATCACCTTTTTTTTTTTAATTGGTGTGTGCCTGAGCTGTCAGTGGTCAAGTTTCCACCGCGGACCCCGCAGTCGGACGCCCTCCCCACCAACTGACTCGATCGCGATAGGACGAAACTGTCCCTCCCTCTTGTTCACCCCTTTTCCCGGAGAGGTTGCCATTTCCCCCTGCTTGAACCAGAAGCTCGGAATCCTGTTCTCTCTGTACGCCGATCTTCCCAGTTCAAGCCGTTTCTTCAGGGTCGTGTTGCGGCTGTTGCCCGTTCATCTTAGCTGACTGCGGGGCCGCATTTCACAGGCACTTATCGGCTCGCTTTCTCCTCCTCCATCTCCGTTTAAACTCGTGGCAGCACCGGCTGTTGTCGCGTCTCGCTTATATATACACCCTCTTCCATCGGCTCTAGATCGCCTTAGACCCCTTGCGTCGCTCTAAATTAGAATGGCTTCCCAAGCGCAACCGGGGCAGCGCCCCAAGGTCCAGCCCTGTCGCTACAAGACTGGCAAGACGCTAGGCGCCGGTTCCTACTCCGTGGTCAAGGAATGCGTGCACATCGATACGGGTCGATACTATGCGGCAAAGGTGATCAATAAACGGTTGATGGCTGGCCGTGAGCACATGGTAATTCTTTCTGAGCTTGAAAAGACCATATATGGAGGGATCAAAACGCGATTGCACAGAGGCTAACCATGAGGGCATTTCATGCATCTTGACAGGTACGGAATGAGATCGCAGTGCTGAAGAGAGTATCAATGGGCCACCAGAACATCCTGACCCTGGTCGACTACTTCGAGACCATGAATAACTGTATGCAATAACCCCGGGTCCTGAAGTGGACAGCGCAGATTCCAGAATGCTAATCTGTGCTTCGGACGCGCAGTATACCTAGTCACCGACCTTGCACTCGGTGGAGAGCTCTTTGATCGCATCTGCCGCAAAGGCAGCTACTACGAGTCCGACGCAGCGGATCTTATCCGTGCGATCCTGTCCGCGGTTGCGTACCTGCATGATCACGGCATCGTGCATCGCGATCTCAAGCCGGAAAACCTTCTGTTCCGCACCCCCGAGGACAATGCGGATCTGTTGATCGCGGACTTTGGCCTGTCTCGGATTATGGACGAGGAGCAGTTCCACGTTCTCACCACGACGTGTGGTACACCCGGGTACATGGCCCCCGAGATCTTCAAGAAGAGCGGTCATGGCAAGCCAGTGTACGTCCTGACCCCCAGGAGCTATCTCCAATTCGAGACATTGCATTCATTCAGTTGTTGAATACATATCTGACCTTCTATTCTGCAGCGATATCTGGGCCATCGGTGTCATCACGTACTTCTTACTCTGCGGCTACACTCCCTTCGACCGCGATTCCAACCTGGAAGAGATGCAGGCCATCCTTGCAGCCGACTACTCCTTCACGCCTCTCGAATACTGGCGCGGTGTCTCGCACGACGCGCGGGACTTCATCAAACGCTGCCTGACCATCGACCCGGCCGCGCGGATGACGGCCCACGCCGCCCTCCAACATCCCTGGGTCAATCCCCCCTACGACATGGCGGCCGACAAGCTCGGCTCGGGCGAGGATCTCCTGCCAACTGTGAAGAAGAACTTCAACGCGCGGCGCACGCTCCACAAGGCCATCGACACCGTGCGCGCCATCAACAAGCTCCGCGAGGGCGGCGGCCTGATGATGGACGGTGTGATGAGCGTCGACCCCAAGCCCGAACGCGTCGTCGGGAACGACGTCTACGAGGAACAGCATCACCACCCTGATGATCAGGCCGATCACGACGGCGAGATGGAGATCGATGGCCGCGGTAACGCCCGTGGCCAGACAGAGGAGCAGATCCGCGCGCAGGAACGGAAGGTCAAGGAGATGGTGGCAGGGTTGTGGAGCAAGTCTGCGAAGAAATGATACCGATGACTGTTTTTGTTGTGCCAGTGGAATGAATGCTCAATACTAGCCTAGATACCTCTTTTTGTATGCTCTCGGTCTTTCCTTTTTCTCCTTCCCCGTCGGGTTGATATACTTTGGATGTCGAGCAACTGCCAGGAACAGTAGCAAGAGCTGGAGTGCACGGTGAGCAAAGTATTTCTATATAAATGTTGCTTATACATTATGGCTGTCTGCTTTGTACCAGCTCCATCGCTATAGAACTACATTCAGCCCCCTTCTCGCAGTCCATCCTATAACCCGGGCGTCATGATAAAGTGTATATGTTATTCCTATCCATAGATATCCATGATGTTGAACCCATTGTCCGAAAAATGATACCCCGCCCAATCTCCACCACATTAACCCCCATCATTATATCATCACGATCATCATCATCATTAAATCCGCCCCATATTCCATACCCCATAATTCCCTTGAACAGAACGACACAAAGTCTATTCACAAGAGAAACCACGCTCCCAGGCGGAGTGAGAACAAGATCAACCAACCAACAACTTCTCACTCCCATCACCCAAGCTCAAAACCCACCGCCGCCACTCCTGCCACTCCGCATATGTACAACTAGCTTTCAGACCCTGATACTTAACCGCTCGGAAGTCCGAGACCAGTTCCCATGGCGGCAACCTAACCGAAGTCCCGTCGCTGGAAGTACTACCGCCACCGCCTCGGAGGAACCGCCTCGCGGCGCTACCGCTACTGCTGCCGCCGCTATTACTGCTGCTTTCATCCCAGCCGGCTTTTTGCATCAGGCTCTTCACGGTCTCTTCCTTGGTCCAGCCTTGTTCGACGGCGACGTCCGGGAGGTAGGTGGCGCCGTAGCGGCGGCCGCGGTGGATGAAGGAGATGCGGAGGCCGTGGAGGCCTAGGATCCAGTCTAGGGCGTTGGTGCAGGGTTCGAAGGTGCCCAGGAGGGTGAGGGAGCAGGAGAGCGAGGGGAGGAGAGTCGATGGGATGGGTGCGAAGCGGGTGTCTTCGAATGCACTGTTTCATAGTTTGTTAGTTGGATGGTTTAATGGGGTTGGTTTGGAGGTGGGAGGGTTGTGTTGTGTTCATTCGGGGTGTAGAAGCGATTCTCTTGGGTGGAGGAGATGAAGGTGGCGGGCGGAGGGCGTGAAGGGGGAAAGGAGTGGTTGGCATACGAGGTTAGAGCGTAGTCTCTCAGGCCCTCCGACAGCTCCTGGGCTTCAAAGGTACCGATACAACCGCGTAGTGATTTGTGACCGTGTCGTGAGATGGTGTTCCAGGTTACGAAGAGCGGGTACTCCTGCTTCTCGGGCTCGCGGCGGGAGCGTCCGCTCGCGGTGTCGGATAGAGAGGACGACCCCGGTGTGGTTAACGTGGTCGATGTGGTCAGCGTCGAGTGGGAGGAGTTGAGGGAGGACGGTGTAGTGGTTGAAGTGGAGTCGGACTGCAGTCGGTTGACGCCGGGGAGTTTGATCTTCTGGGGCCGTCCATTACCCGTGGGCTCCTCATCGTCGTCTACGCTGAGTGATTCTGTCTCTTCGTTGTCCTGCAACACAGAGAGTCTTTTAAACTGCTCGTGGCATTCCCAGAGTTCCTCGACGGAGGCAAGGTCGATGGGTTTCCTGCGTTGGTAGGAGGCTGCGAGACTCTCGAAGCAGTAGTAGCAGTGAGCCGTGGTCGCCATCTTGCTTGCTTGCTTTCTTGCTTTTCACAAGGACTGCTGTGACACTTTTGAGATCTCGTTTGGAACAGACTAGGATGCTTTATCTCCTGTTCGATCTGGCCTCTGGATCAGGCGGGCTTTGCTCCTTTGTTTTCTCGGGAATTGAGTGTCGTGACGGAGTATAGTACGGCTACCAGTTCCGTCCGATGGGAATACGCCGGTGCTTGAGATATTTACCCGAATCAACGGTCTAATGAGTGGGTAAGTTCGGAATGTTGAGACGACCGCAGTTTGAAACGATCAGAGGAAAGACCAGAAAGCCCGTAAAGCCCAGCCCACAACCTAGAATCCGCCTGGGAATTGGGTCCGCTGGAGGCCAAAGGCGGGTCAGAGAGAGAGAGAGGGGAAAGAAGAGGGGGAAATCACCGGAACTGACGACAGGATTCCCGATAAGCCTCTATCCCACGTGATAGGAAGCGAGGCGGTGCTTATCATCCGTCCCGTGATTTGGCGCGGGTTTATCCGTCATTTGATCTCCTTTGCTGTCACTGACTGCTGTAACAGCTGAGAAGTACAGTACATGATGCGCAAGACTTGACTGGGGGATTGTTTGGTAGTTACTACTGTATCCTTATTAGTAAGTCCTAAGCTTGGTAGATAAATTAAGAGTGTCTTCAAAAATATGCCAACAAGCTTCATGTCGCGACGTGTGGGATATATACTGACAGCGTGGAGTGATATATTCCTCCGCACGCTTCAACCATTTGTTGTATTGCATGACCTCGTTTCTATTTACTTTTGCTGGAGCTTGTGTTGCTGTCTCCCACCAATCTAGGTTAAACAGCAATCGAAAGCAGTGGTAGAGCCAGTCGAATTCTCCGTCGCTCTCAACGCCTAGGTTTGGTGCATCGACACATGTATAGAAGGCCATCTCCTGGTACTGCTGAATAGTGTACCAATATATACTTGCAAGTATGCATGAAGGTCTTCCGACTCGATTCTGTTGCCAGAAGCTCACATGGCTGCCGTATAGGCATCTGCTCTCAGGCTTCGGCGGAGAGTTTCATTGTCGTGCCACAGGTATCTAGAGTCTCGAAGCCTCTCAGCGCTTTCCAAAATGGGCTTGTTTGTGTGTGTCACTCGAATTCTTTCCGTCAAGTTCTCAGCGATGGCGGTCATCCTTCGGCATTGTGAGGCCCATCATGGAGAGCATGTTCCCGGCGGGCCCGGCAGCACCAGCCTGACCATGGAGACTCTCCAGCAGATTTTTCGCAAGATTGATGTCGATGTCGCCCTCATCAAGATCCGGCATCTCATCCTCTTTTGCTTCAGCGGACTTGCCCTCTTCCATTATCCGTTTATCTTGGGCTGCTTTAGCTGGGCGATTCAAATCAAGAACTCCCGTGCCCCGAAGCTCCGCTTCCATCTGATTTGATAACTCTTTGATCTGCTCGGTGTCGTCCTCTGAGTCATTGTCCAGCTCCTGGACTCTGTTCTGGGGCGGGTGGCCAAACGCGCCCCTTTGACCGTGGCTGGCGCCAGAGCCAGACGGCATTCCCATCATTTCCGCCATCATCCTCGAGAATTCCTCTTCATTGAACGAAGCTTCTTTGTCCTCACCCTCGTCACTCAAGTCTTCTTCATCGTCGCCACCATCTTCGTCGGAGCTGAAGTCGTCGATGAATTCCGCGCCTTCAAAGCCAGCTGACTCGTCGTTCAAGAACTTTTCAAATTGCGCCACGATGCGCTGCAGGTTCTCCTGCGCATTAGAGTCTCCAAAGGCGCCTCCCGCACGCGGGTCGTTGTCCTTGCCCTTGCCTTTGCCCTTCAGTTCCTGGTCCAGGTCCTCAAAGCTTATGTCGAGCCACTTCTCGTCGTCTTCCCTTTGGTCCCAAGTCTGAATTTCTTCATCAGTCGGTAGCTGTTCATCTCCGGTTTCCAAATCCTCCAAGATGATTTGCATCTCTCGCACGTTAGCTTTGTCCTGGTTCTGAGGGTCGTTGAGTAGCATCTCAAACCCGCAAGCCAGCTTCATGCCTATCTCTGCCCTGTCATATGCTTTTTGGTCTTCCTTCGATGGCAGCTTATCCACCCAGGATTTAGGAATCGGGAAGTCCTGGCTCTTAAGTTGTGCGTAACCGACCCGCGTGAAGCGCACGCTGACCGTCACAAAGTCCTCCGGCTTGAAGATGAAATTGCTGATATCCTTCGAACGTAAGGGCCGCAACGCGATGGGATCTCGCAGGTAAAAGGCCTCGACAGCCGCGGATATGTAGGCAGGCTTTTGGTGTAGCAAGAAAGCGACCTTGCGGGGAAGGGTGACCAGTGCGGAATGGAGGTTCTCGTTTATTTGTTTAGGGTAGTTGCGTAGACGATAGAATGCCTCCTCTTGAATCATGGTTGAGCGCATGAGTCGTGCGGGCTCCTCGATGATGATCTTCTTCGCATCCGCAAACGACAGTTTCTCCGTCACTCTGTCCTTCTTATCGTTTTTCGGCTTGATGATAACGAGTTCGCCTTTGTTGATCCATACCTGAGGGGGACGCATGTATTAGCATGATATAACCGGTAAGGAAGAATAGCAGAGAGTAGCCAACCCTGTTCTCAGCGACCTCGGGCTCTAGCCACGCAGGCAGTGTAGCAGCGGCCTCCACCAGAAGGAACTGGCCATCACCATCGACAACCCTAGCCCAGATATCCTTGTGCTTCTTGGTTAATTCACGCAACATGTACACTATGACCCATTCGTCCTCAATAGAGTCTCCAAAGTTTGTGCGCCCGTGCAGAGACGTTACCCCTACAATGTAGTTAGTAGCGTGGCGCATTAGGTATGGATGGCTGGGCGTCGCATACCATCATCTTTAGTGATTTCCAACCGAAAACCTTCGCGCTGCCAAATGTAATCCTTCAACAAGTCTTTAGTCAATTCCGCAGCAGTCCGTTGTACCTCGACCAGTCGCGCTCGCGTTTCTGCGACCTCGTCGATAGTGGCGGGGGCGGGGCTGGAAGGGATATGATAGAGCGCATAATCAACGGTATCGTCCGGAATCTCTGGTTTGGGAATGGGGTGGAAAGTGGACTTGAACCACTCCAGGTCCTCCTGCGACATAGGTGCCATGCTGAATCACCAGTTCGCATGCGAGTTGTTCTCGTCTTCGTGAGCTATCAAGTTGTCTTCAGTCGGGGAAATGAGCCGTAGAATAAATTACAGTGAAACATGACTTCATACCTCTCGGGAACAGAAAAAGCAGCGGCAAATCCCCCGGCCCGGATTCTTGGGCTGTTGACACTAAGCCGGATTGGGCTAGATGTCAACAAGCACGAGACGTTGGGTCTTCACCGCCCAAAACACGTCCATTGCAAGTTCCCGTAGTTATCGCATCGTCGCATTCGCCCTCCCCCCGCGAACTTCGTCGCGTGTTTTTGGTTCCCCGAATGATTTTCCAGCCATCGGGGATGGTTGTTCCTTGAATGGCTCTCACTAGTACACCAGACCAGCTATTAATCCGTGCACTAATTGCGTGTTCTCACAGCCAACAACGCCAACAATGGCGTACCCGTACATCGATACTCCGCGCACCGAAGTGGACGGAAACGCGACATATCTCACCAACGGCTACCGCAGCGTAGGCCGACCGAATTTGACTGCCCTCGAATCGGTAGAAAATTCGTTTCACACCCCCTCGAAGGATGACGATGTGCTCAAGGGGTTCGGAGGAGGAGCAGGCGAGAACCGGAGACGCTCTTCCGCGGGCTTCAAGCTCAACACGCCGCGAGCGGGATCCGGGCCGAAGTCCAGCAGGAGCGCGTTGAACAGCCGACATGGTCTTCCAACGGCAGCGATCCCAAGGGGCGAGTTCACACCCCTCATGAGAAGCGCGACCAAGAACAATTACCTGAAGAATGTGTCCACAACGCGAGGGCATGGAAATCCGAAAACCCCCGGTTACACGCGAACGAGTTTTCTGAGCACCGCCAACACGCCCGGGCTGCCGGGGATGGAAATGACGGATATCGATGAAGAAGACGCGACGGATGACCAGCGGACCCCCATGCCTCAGGTAGCGAGCAGTAGCGTGCAAAGTACGCCGCTCCCGGGACTATCTAGGGAAGGAGGCATGGACGGCCAGAACATGATGTCGTTGAAGGAACAAGAAAAGGTAATTCCCCGCGTCTCAAATACAAAACGCGCTATCTTTTGCAAACGGAACGTTCACTGACCTTTCTTAGATGATTGATCAACTCGAGAAGGACAACTTCGGATTAAAACTGAAGATCCATTTTTTACAAGAACAGCTGGAGAAGGCGGGTCCCTCATATAACCAAGCAGCGCTCAAGGAGAACACCGAACTCAAAGTCTCGAAATTGACCATGCAACGCGACATTTCACGATACAAAAAGAACCTCCAACAGGCCGAACGCGAGCTTGAATCCCATCGTATTGAATTTCAAGAGCTCAAGGAAAAGGCACGGAGAAGACGGTCGGACGACACAATACAACGCGAGATGGACTTGATGAGGGAGGAGGTGGAAGCGAGGGACAACCAAGTAAGGGAGCTTGCAGATGAGCTGCGAGACATAAAGGACAAACAATCACGAGAAATGGAGAAACTTCGAGATGAGATCGAGGACCTTGAGGCGTCGCTAAGGCAGAAGGATCGCACTATCGACGAACGCGACGAGGAGATAGAGGAATTGAAGGACCGAGATAGCCAGGAGCGCGATGCACTCTCTGAGCTGGAAGCAGAACTCCATCGTGCAAAAGAGCAGATGGAAGAATTGCAAAACTCCCTGGACCAGGCGAAACAGGAAGCGAGAGATGCGAGAGATGCTAGGCTCGAGGCCGTCAAGGAGAAGGAGCAGGCCCAACACGACCTCCAGGAACTGCATGACGAAATGGCGAACAAATCCATCAGCACAAGCGGGTTAACTCGCCAGCTCGAAGAGAAGGCGAACAAGCTTGAGGAGGAGCTGCGGGCCATTCAGCAGGAGAACAGCACGCTCAAGAAAGAACTTGACAACAAGTCCCGAAATGAGGACCGACTCGAGGAGCAGTACCGGCAGGTCCAGCGAAGCTCAGATGACCAGGAGCGAAGAGTCCATGATGATATCGCTCAGGCGAGACGCGACCGTGACCTTTCTCGGCAGGAGCGTGATAATATGGCAGCCCAGTTGCAGAAAGCCCTTGACGAAATCCAGAGAAAGTCCGACGAGAAAGAGTTACTACAAACTCGACACCATGCCCTGACCGATGAATCTGGCGGTTTACAGCATGACTTGGCCAACGCACAAAACAAGGTTCGTGAGCTACAAAAGGCGGTCGAGGAGGAAAGGCATCGTGCGCTGGACGAAGCGACTACCATCCGCGCCCAGTATAAGGAAGAAGTCGAGAGGCTGCAAGAAGAGATCGAGGCTCTTCATCATGAGATCGAAGATAAAGAGGGGCAGTTTGCCCTCGAACAGGATAGATGGGAAAGCGCGAGGCGAACAATGCAACTACAGAAGGACAGGGCAGAAGACCAGGCGGCTGGCTTCAAGCGTACAATTGAGAAGCTTGAGCAACTGGAGCACACTCTGTCCGGCAAGGAGATGAAGCTTCAAGAAGTCATCGACAGCGAGAAGACGCGACACTTCAATTCGGAGGCTGTTCTGAGTCGACAGGTCAAGGAATTGAACGATGACTTGACATCGAAGCGAGAGATCATTGACGAACAGAGAAATGAGCTTATGTCTGCCAGGGAAGATCTGAGACTTGCACGACGCGCAGAGACAACCTTGAAAGAAAAGGTTCAAGCGTTGGAGGACGAAATCGTGGTCCTGCAAGCAAACTTGGAAGAACAGGAATATACCAAAGGTCGCACACAGAAAGGAGCTTTCGATCAAGATAGTCAACTGCAGAAGCTTATCACGGAGAAGCAAAGGCTTCGAGATCAGCTTGCCAATGCTCATGTAGAATTACATGATGTGCGTGCTTCGGTTGCTGAGATTGAGGCCGAACGTGATGAGCTTCAGAGCCAACTCGATCAAATGCAAAACCAGGCTGACACGACACGCTTTGACAAAGAAAAGATCGAGCTTCGAAAGTCCACTTTGCGTCTCGAAGGCGAGCTCAAAAGGCTCAAAGAAGACAGATCGTCTCTACTTGAGGCGAAGGAGACACTGGAGAAGCAACTCAGCACTGAAGTTGAGCGTGCAACGCTGGAAGAGAACCGTCTTTCATCTGAAATTGACCAACTTCAAGATAAACTCCACACGACATCTGGTGGCAGAGAACGTGAACTTGCTCTTGCCAAAAGCAAGGTACAACGCTACGAGAGACGTATCCAGGAACTGGAAACACTTCTCCAGGAGCACCCGCCATCCGAGCCTGAGCATTCAACCGCCAACGCAGACCTGTCGATGCTTCGTCATGGCCTTGATGAAGCACGGAAGCGCGAGAAGATCCTTCTCCAACGGGAGGCTGAGCAGAAGTCGTCTGTGCGCGCCTACAAGGCACGAATTGCCGAGCTCGAGAGGGAACTTCATGAGTCCTTGATGAAGAAGTTCGAAACTCAATCACCCTCGTCTTCTCCCTCAAACAAGCTCCATGACGAACTCCGCAGCATGCGGAAGCAATTGTCCGAAGCACACCGAACACTAAGAGAAGTGAAGCAGAAGAACCGCGACCTCGAGCGGGCAGTAATGAGAGAAGAAGACCAGCGTGACCTCCACGAACTACTCAAGTCATCCACTCTCGAGGCTGAGTCTCTCGCCCTCAAGGTATCGGAGCGTGACTCCCGCCTGAACGAGCTCAAAACCCAAATGCGCCGAATCCGCGACGAGCGGTCATTCTGCGCGCGTAAAGCCGAGACATCTCTCAAGGAACTCGAGGCTCTGCAGGATCGTTACGACCAGCTTGTCGAGAAGCTGGGAACCAGGACCGACAGCAAGACCCGGCACGATAAGGAGATTCTTGGTCTTGGCAAAGAAATCATCTGGCTCCGTGCTCGTCTGAAGCGAGAGGAGAAGTTCCGTCGCGATTTGGCTTGGAGTAAGGGGTTGATGGAGCTGGGCGAGCGCGTCCGGGTTGCATGGTTCGTATACACTTTTCACATATCCACGCTTTTCCGAACTCTGCAAATAACTAACTTGGTGATCTTCTTCATTTTAGCAACGAAGCCGACCTCCGCATGATCTCCGACATGGGCGTCAAACCCCGGGACCGCACCGCCCTTCGAACCCCCCAGGCGAAGCTCAAGACCGCCATCTCCATGGTCAAGGCCATCGTGCGCATGCAACGCATGAGCCAAGAATGGAAGAAGACAAAGAAGATCGGCGAAGGATTGCGACGGGCTAAGAACGATGTCATGAAGCGAAGGGAGTCTTCAAACAGATACTGAAGACAGGCTAGCTAGCCCGCTCGCTCGCTCGCTACCTTCCGGTAGAATCTTTGCATAGAACCCTTTTTGTTTCTTGTCTTTTGCTTAGCTCGCACCTGGGTCTTCTGGCGTAGCTCTTGTTGTCTCACCGCTCGTTCAAGCGTTTTGTTGCTTCACACTTCGTTTCTCATGTTCTCTCTGCCTTGACGTTCACCTTGCTTTTGCTGAACTCCCCAATTTTGGCACCTTTGATGATGAATAGATTCCCCGACGTGTTTAATCTCATGAAGTTTTTGTGGTCCCCTCCTGGCGTTTATTGCCCTTTACGCGCTTTTTACTCCTTCTTTTGCCATAGGATGGATGAATAGGTGTTGACAAACTGGTTGGTGTTTTGATCGAGTACATGGACTGCATTACATTTACCTCACTTAGACTGTACCGAGCTGTTGGTTGGTGCGTGCTTTAGCTCGGAACATCCTCCTCCAGCCTAATGCATATATGTCCGTACTGATTTGTTCGTTATGGGCTGGATTTCGACTGACTTCTGACTCTATTCGCTTCTGGAAATAACAAAGGTTAGAATTAAAAATCTGAGTATCCATGAGAAATGCTAGATAAAATGCTTTCTTGATATTTGAAACCATTAGTGGAAAGGAAACAATGGGAGGTATGCTTTTAGAGGCATCCAAGGAGAAGGAAGGGATATGATAGATCGTAGACAATAGAGTTTAGCTCGAATCGAAGTAACAGCATCAGGGTAACGCCTCGCCTTGCCACATGTTTCAGATCAGAAAAGTGAAAAACAACAGAAAAGAGCTCCTAACACCGAGGTCATGGTGAGAAGGGTCGCAGGATTTGCAGAGTGACATCATCGAAGGGCACAGATAGGGCAGAAAAACAGGTAGTGGAAAGTGTATGTATAGAAAACAAATAGCGAGCAAACAAAGCACGGGTCATTCCTTTCGTTCATCCAACTCGGGTCAGTAGAATAGATCAGAGGTTCAAATCAGCGTTTCAGTTGCAAAGCCAACGAAGAAGGGCAAGCTCATGTAAGCTTGACTCTATAGTGGGATCATGGTTTAGGAGAAATATAAAGGGAGATGTGGGGGGGGGGGGGTTTAAAGGCGGAAAGCATGAAAACATAACAGCTTATGCGCCCTCGCTGCCGAATTCTTGCGTCCATTCGGAGTTTCTTTGGAGATCCTCTTGGCTGACGGTTGGTCTGGAGTTGCGGACAGCCTTGATGAAGTCTTTGAGGACAAGTGGGGGTTCCAAGAGCTTCTCTGCGTCTACGCTTGTCCATGACATTTCGATGGCGCCCTGGTCGCCGGGCGAGCACGGGGTCAGCTTCTCCGCGCCGTCGAGGATGACCTAATTGCGATTTAGTCGGGCGCGTTCGATATGATAGATGTAGGGGGGAGGAAGTTACCTTCTTGTAGTGTGTCGCGGTTTGGATTTTTCGGATGGGTTGCATCAGCGCATCTTGTACGGCAATACTGATATCACTGCCCGAGTAGCCCTCGCTCATCTCAGCCAAGGTCCGATAATCGGCCTGCGTCATCTCACACGGCGTGGAGCCGACGGCCAGCATGAACATCTTCATACGGGCGTTGATATCGGGAAGACTGATATGCACTCGCCGTTGGAAACGACGACGGATGGCAGCATCCAGTTGCCAGGGAATGTTGGTTGCGCCTAGGATCAGGACACCCCTGGAATCCTTTCCGACACCGTCCATCTGCACGAGCAATTCGGTCTTGATACGGCGAGACGCCTCGGACTCGCCCTCTCCACGAGGACCGCAGAGGGCATCGACTTCGTCAATGAAGATAATGGCGGGCTTGTTCTCTCGGGCCATGTTGAACAACTGCTTCACGAGTCTGCAAGAGAAGAAGCACAGTTAGCCTCCAGATCTTGAACCGTCGACAATTGGGGAGCGCATCCATACCGTTCACTCTCACCCATCCACTTGGACACCAAGTCACTACTGCTGACACTGAAGAAGGTACTGTTCGCCTCCGTCGCAACCGCCTTGGCAAGATACGATTTACCCGTACCAGGTGGCCCATACAGCAAGATACCCTTCCACGGTTGTCTCTTCCCTGTAAACAAATGCGGAAATTTGATCGGCAAGATGACCGCCTCCTTCAATGCCTCCTTCGCGCTCTCGAGACCCGCGACATCCTCCCACTTGACGTTCGGCTTATCCGACAAGATCGCTCCGGCCAGAGCGGACCGCAACTTCTTCGCATCGGCGTCCTCACCATCGTCATCTTCTTTCCTATACAAAGAGAGCAAACGAGTGTCAGTACCAATCCAGCAACAGAAACAGCAAGCTACAAACTAGTAAAAGGCAGAGCGAGCGAGCGAGCGAGAGTGTGTATGTGTACAACTCCGCCCGTCCCTCTCCCGACCACCCCTTCTCTCCCAGTACAGCGGGTTTAGGGGGGAAAAAACATACCCTCCCTTCCCACTCCCCTGCGCCACTTTCCCATTGGCGCCCACCGCACTCGGCTTCTTGCGACCCTCCTGCGAGGCGAGATGGTTCTTGAGTTTCTCGGCCCGGTCCATATATTCGCCGGTCTTTGCGCGGATCATCTCCTTGGAGCGGGGGTTCTTCTCCCATTTCAGGGCCAGCATGAACAGCTCCAGTGCGGAGTAGTACAGCTGGTAGGCTTTCTCGTACTCGCCCTCATTGTCGTTCTCGATGGCCTTTTTGACGGTGTCAATTGCCCGGCCGAGGAAGTCGGTGTTGCTCATCGCTGGGAAGATTTGGGGCAAAGTGGAGGGCGCGGGGTTTTTGGGGGAGTGTCGTTTTGTTGTTTGGCGCTACGTAATTGTAGGGATGCTTGGGGAGGGGGGGGGGGATAGACAAGGAACGGAGAGCGAAAGGCGGGGAGAGAGTAGAGCGAGTCGGAGTGAGTGGCTGGTGCGGTTGGTTGCGTTGGCTTCAAATTGATGATTGGAGGGGAGTTCGCATGCGGATCGTTCACGGTAGTAGGAATAGAGAAAAATGTGAAGTGGATTGATTGTTTGTGTTTATCCGCAATCTATCGTGCTGAAGAGAAAACAATCTGAGCAGGAATGAATGAACAAGACAGAGAGAGAGAGTAGAGGTCGAGATGGCAACCACTCCATGACTGGCTTGTTTACCCGTTTTTTGGTTTTCTGCCGCTCCGCCTGGCCCATCAATCATTTTGCCCCTCCGAGCCGCCCGCCCTCAAATTACCTTATCCTCCCTCCCCTCCATATTTCACGAATCAAAGATCAATCGCGTGTAAATATGGCGGACGCTCAGAAGAAGATGCAGGCGCTCTCGGACGAGTTCCAGCAGTTGCAGACGGGTATGTCATGGAGCTCCCTCGTCCACTCCGCCCGCCCTTATGATCTCCCATCGCATCGCGTCATTTGCTTAGAGCTGCTTGCTAACGGACCCCTCACCCACTCAGAACTCGATGGTCTTGTCGATGCGCGCCAGAAGCTCGAGTCCCAGCAACAGGAGAACCTGGGTGTGCAAAAGGAATTCGACTCGCTCGATGATGACTCCAATATCTACAAGCTGGTCGGCCCCGTTCTGTTGAAGCAAGAGAAGACCGAGGCTGTCATGGCTGTCAATGGACGTCTGGAGTTCATTGAAAAGGAAATGTAGGCTTCTTGTTCCCTACACGTGGATCGATCAGAGACGGAGGTTCTAATGAATGTGCTGCAGTAAGCGGATCGAGGGGCAAATCAAGGAGAATCAGGACAAAGCGGATAAGAAGCGTACCGAGGTGAGCTTTGACCGTTGTTGGCGAAGATGTGACAAGTAATCTGATGGGTCGTGCAGATTGTTCAGTTCCAGACACAGATTCAGCAGCAGGCCGCCACCGCTTCTGCTTGATTGGTGATGGGAGATGTATTGGGTTCGATCTAGACGATGGACAGCGTTGATGCTCCCGAAGCATGGCAGGGGAATGTGCTTCAGTTCGACGAAGCCAACTGTACCCGCGATGTCGATGGCCTCGAGATGTCATGGCTGACACCTAAGCAACATAAATAGTTGCATAAGCCGATCTAGCGAGGGGACGAGACAACTGGTAAGGGATACAGTATAGGGTCTTTATCCACCTATTTGTTACGGTCGATGGGAGAAGTATGTGGTTTTAGATACCCTCGCAATGATTTAGTTTTGTGGTTTCTGCCTTCTCACCAATTGATCCATCAGTGGTCCCGTCACCCTGGGGACAGGGACGAGCAATCCATACCGACCGCTCGAAGTAACACTATCGGATCCATTGGGCATTTGTCTAGTCAGAACTAGTCGTTCACAGGTGCAATTTATGACGCTCTACGATTCGCTTGATGCCCCGTGGGCGCTCCATTAATATTCATCGCTTCATAAATAGCCGTATCTAGAAACCTCAAATATACTCTATACGCTAAATCTATGCCTTAACCAAAAGACTGCGTCCGGACATCTCCTCGGGCTGCTCAACGCCCAAAGCAGCCAGGATAGTAGGAGCGACATCACCGAGGACACCGTCCTCCTTCTCAAGGCTCCAGCCCTCGGGGGCGTTGGCCATGATGAAAGGAACCTTGTTGGTAGTGTGGGAGGTCTTAGGGGTACCCTTCTCGTTGAGCATCTCCTCAGCATTACTATAAAAATGATTTAGCTTAATTGTCACGATCATGGTTGCGAGCACAACTCACCCGTGATCAGCGGTGATGAACAAAACGTAACCGTTCTTCTTGCAGGCCTCGTAGATGACACCGATGGCCTTATCAGTGGCAGCAACACCCTGGATGGCAGCGTCATAGACACCGGTGTGGCCGACCATGTCGGGGGGAGCGAAGTTGTTCATGACAAACTCGAAGCTGCCCTCACCAAGGCGCTCAGCCATCTTCTCACCAACCTCCTTGGCGCTCATCTTGGGGTCCAGGTCGTAGGTGGCAACCTTGGGCGAGGGGATCATGTCGCGTACCTCACCCTCGAACTGCTTCTCGATACCGCCGTTGAAGAAGAAGGTGACGTGGGCGTACTTCTCGGTCTCGGCAACGTGGCACTGCTTGAGGTCCTTCTTGCTGAGCCACTCAGCCAGCACATTGCCCATGTGCTGAGGAGGGAAAGCAACGGGGAAGGTGTAGTCGGTCTTGTACTGGGTCATGGTGGTGATGTGGATGTCCTTGGGGTAGGGGAAATCGGCCTTAGGGGAGCGGTCGTAGTCACCCAACAACTGAGTGATCTCACGAACACGGTCGGAGCGGTAGTTGAAGAAGAATAGGGTGTCGTTGTCTATCGCACGTTATCCGTCAGTAAGTCTAAGCGTGTCTCGGAAATGTTGAATAAGGATCTTACCCTGAACGCGTCTGTCCTTGCCACCGACAATGATAGGCTTCAGGAACTCGTCGGTCTCCTTCTTCTCGTAGCGCTCGTTGATGGTCTTGACGGGGTCCTCGCTGTCCTCGCCCTCACCGGTGACAATACCCTTCATGGCGATCTCAACACGGTCCCAGCGCTTATCGCGGTCCATGGCCCAGTAGCGGCCAACAACGGTAGCGATCTCACCGATGCCAATCTCCTTGGTCGAATCAAGCAATTGTTGCATGTACTTGGCAGCGCTCTTGGGGTCGGTATCGCGACCATCACCGAAGAAGTGGATGAAGACTTGGGGGATCTCCATCTCCTTGGCGACCTTCAGCAGACCGACCAGGTGAGTGATGTTGGAGTGGACACCACCGTCCGAGACCAGACCCAACAGGTGCAGACGGCCATTGCCCTCCTTAGCCCGCTTGAAGGAGGCAACAATATTGTCGATCTTGTTGAGCTCACCCTTCTTGAGGGTCTGGTCAATGCGAACGCTGTCCTGCCAGACAACACGACCAGCACCGATGTTCAAGTGGCCCACCTCACTGTTACCCATGAGACCCTCGGGCAATCCGACGGCGAGAGAGGACGCATCCAGCTCGGTGTAACCCTGGGCAGTCTTGGAGTCGGCCTCAGCGAAGCCGGACATGAAGGGCGTCTCTGCGGCGAGGATAGCATCACCATCCTTGCGGGAGTCGGGGCCAGCGACACCCCAGCCATCGATAACGACTGAGCAAGTGTGTTAGATCGAAGGACCGAATAAGGACTTTTTCGATGATGACTTACTCAGCGCGACCTTCTGATCAACCTTGACCATGGTGAAGTAATGCTAAATGAGATCATGCGATTAGCAGAGTCGACGGCGGGGCAGGCAGAGCGTAGCGGGCAATGTATAGTTCCAAGCATTCTGATTGGGGTATAGTTGAGAACAAATACTTACTTCGAATTGAATGATTTGGAAAAGGGAATAAGAATTTGAGTGATGGGAAAGAGAATCAAGAGAGAGGAAGAAAGAGAAGGACGAAAGAGGAAGAGAAGGTGGAGAGAGTAAAAGGCTGGCCGGTGAAAACAATCGCTTGAGGTTGGATGAGGGGGAGGTCCGAGGAGGGGCCCTCCAGCTTTTCCTTTTTCTTCCCGGTGACGCTTTGGGGTTGTTTTTTCCCGACGTCACTTAACTCTTTCTTCATCTTGTTCTCTCTGCCGTTCTCATCCGCCCGCAACAAACCTCCACGGGCGCGTTCCGACTCTTCCCTAAACAATTACCCAGCAACCCGAAAATCAGGGGCCCCATAGTCTGCCGGGCTTGTCCAGTTCCCACTCACTCTCGTCACTCCTCAGATTGCTCACAGGAAAAGACTAAAGCGCCTCTTGCCGTCCCCAATCTCCCTTCCGATCATGGCGTCCAGATCCCCGACGGCCTTCACGCCCTTACCAAAACCGACCTCCGCGCCCGAGACCCCCGTCGTGAAGGACGCTCCCTTTACGCCTCAGGCGGTTCCTTTTCCTTCCCCGCAGACTTTCGACATCATCCCGCCTTTACACGGTCTTCTGCTTCGCCTGCTCGCATCGCCCAGCAATGCTGGCAATGGCGTCAGGGCCGCGGAGGATACCGGTGGAGGCTCGGCTTCCGTCGGACAACTCACCAGCGCTCCTGGTCAGCCTCACTCGCAACCCGGAACTGATAATCACGGCCATCCTGGAGTGTTGGTGACTGTCCCATCCGCAGGACCTGGCCCGGTTTCCGCGTCTGCGGAACTTGCAGCCTTGGGATCGAATGCACCCCCTCCACTTGATATCAAAGACCTTCCGACCGAGGTCAGCTCGATCAAAATTCGAATTCAGAAGGCGCAGGCAGTGGTGGAAAGCTTACCGGATGTTGATCGCTCGGTCGCAGAGCAAGAGATGGAGATCCAAGAGCTCGAAGACCGTATCGCCAAGCTCAAATCAGTCATCTCTGAATTTGGCCGGAGAGCCAGTCCTCGGAGCGTGGGAAGATCAAAGACCACTGAATCTTGAGAGCACGGAGATTTGGATACATGATCAGCAGTGATGGAGTAAGATACCGTGAACCCGGTTATTACCCAGCGGAGCAGGGCGCATTTTCTGAAAGGCGACTGGAATCAGGTATGGCCAGTCTTCCTTGGTCACACCGGAGCATCCAGGTACGGTTCATGTTGATTCTTGGATTGAGTACTATCAGAAGCTGGTATCAGTAGCGGCAACACACTGCAAAGTAGCGCGTTCTTCATGGAGTCCCTGGTTTTCTTCTGAGATGGTCACCTGGCTCAGTGTGCTGTTACTCGATTACCGGTGAGCTATGAAACGGCCCGCATACTCTGCGTGAAGCTGCAAAGATCTCAAGACGATAAGTCGTCATTGCTGTTGTTCAATAATTGCGACAGCTCGAGAGGACATGCCGCTCTGGCCGTCCTGTCCCTTACCTGCATTTTACGTGCTTGGTGACGTGTTCAACCGCTGCGCAATTAGCATGCAATTGGCAGAGCGTGGGTTCAAAAAAATTGCTATCAAGGAACCTTGCAGCTGGAGACTGCTGTCCATGTACGCTGGACAACCCCGCTTCGGCCCCCACGGTCCTCGTTGGGCTATGAGATTGAGAGATGCAAAGCCATAGATTCTATATGGGATTGACCTGCAAGGAAGGACTTCTGAGGTCATCTTGGACCGGTGCCCGACCATGGGGAAATTCAAGAATTCAAGAATTTCTTTTTGCGGTTTACGGGAGGCGGGTATACTCATCAATCTGGGGGGACAATTGATGAAGCTTTCTGATACTTCATGAGTGGTTCTCTCCCCTAACTGTAAGCCTTGTCTGTACGTTTCAAATTCCGATTTCAGTCTTTCTAGGAACATCATACAGTACTATGTAGCTCGATTTCATCATCTGTCAAAACTAGGCTGCTGCTGCTGCTTGCTTGCTTGCTTGCTTGCTCTCAGCTCTGGTGGATATCTGAGACTCTGAGTCAGACCTCGTACGTCGCTTTAACTGGCGGACCTTTTTTCTATTTGGTAAAACAGTTTTTTAGAGTCCAGACAATTTATTCTTTTCGTACTATCGTATTCGAGCACCAATCAGAGGGAAGTGATGCGCAATCATCCCCGGTAACTGAACCAAATCCCAAGGAAGGAGGCAAGCCGATGAATAATAACGGCGACTAACTAAAGGCAATACTAACGGAGTCGGCGGGTTTTCGCAGTACGGCTCCGATGTCGTCCCGGACTTGCGACCGCCTCCGTTTCTTCTTTTCTTTTGCCAACAACAGCGGGGCTGCGATGAGTGGTGGTGAAGAAGGTCCTGAGGCAACTTTTTCCCTTTCCGCCCGCCGCCCCCCCACCCCGCCAATTCCTCTCTCTCTCCCTCTTCCTCTTTTCTACTTCTTCTCTTCCTTCTGCTCTTCCTTCCAACCTCTCTCTTTCTTTCTTTTCTTCCTCATCCTATCATCCCCTTCCTCTCTTCCTCCTTATTCTGCCTATCCTCCATCCTCACATCACACACAATGGCCACCTACGCCCTTTCCCAGTCCCACCGGGAGGTAAGTTATTCCTCAAGTTTCTGGAACGAGTCGACCCCAGATCACTGACTCATCGCTACAGCAAATGGAGAAGTCTCTCGTCGAGACCGACCCTGAGATCGCCCAGATCATGGTACGTCCTGCCTTAGTCTACTATGCATAGCTCATCAACAATGTCAATACTAATATGCAATTCTGCAGGAAAAAGAGATCCAGCGTCAGCGTGAATCCATTGTCCTGATCGCCTCGGAGAACTTCACCTCCCACGCCGTTTTCAATGCTCTTGGTTCTCCCATGTCCAACAAGTACTCCGAGGGTTACCCCGGTGCTCGTTACTATGGTGGCAACCAGCACATTGATGCCATCGAGCTTACTTGCCAGGCTCGTGCCCTCAAGGCTTTCAACCTCGACTCCGAGAAGTGGGGTGTCAACGTTCAGTGCCTCAGTGGTAGCCCTGCCAACCTGCAGGTCTACCAGGCTCTGATGCGCCCCCACGACCGCCTCATGGGTCTCGACCTTCCCCACGGTGGTCACTTGAGTCACGGTTACCAGACTCCCGCTCGCAAGTACGTCTTCATTGTTCTTCAAAACCTTCCATGTGAAACCACTTGCTAACTTTGACTTTTGCAGGATCTCCGCTGTCTCCACCTACTTCGAGACTTTCCCCTACCGTGTCAACCTTGAGACTGGTATCATTGACTACGATACCCTCGAGGCCAACGCCGAGCTCTACCGCCCCAAGATCTTGGTCGCCGGTACCTCCGCCTACTGCCGTCTCATTGACTATGAGCGCATGCGCAAGATTGCCGACAAGGTCGGTGCCTACCTTGTCGTCGACATGGCCCACATCTCCGGTCTGATTGCTGCCGGTGTCATCCCCTCCCCCTTCGAGTACGCCGATGTTGTCACCACCACCACCCACAAGTCTCTCCGTGGTCCCCGTGGTGCCATGATCTTCTTCCGCAAGGGTGTCCGCAGCACCGACGCCAAGACTGGCAAGGACATCATGTACGACCTTGAGGGTCCCATCAACTTCTCCGTCTTCCCTGGTCACCAGGGTGGTCCCCACAACCACACCATCACTGCCCTTGCCGTGGCCCTCAAGCAGGCCGCCTCTCCTGAGTTCAAGCAGTACCAGGAGCAGGTCATCAAGAACGCCAAGGCTCTGGAGAACGAGTTCAAGGCCCTGGGCCACAAGCTCGTCTCTGACGGTACCGACAGCCACATGGTTCTTGTCGACCTCCGCCCCAAGAGCCTCGACGGTGCTCGTGTTGAGGCTGTCCTTGAGCAGATCAACATTGCCTGCAACAAGAACTCCATCCCCGGTGACAAGTCTGCTCTCACCCCCTGTGGTATCCGTATCGGTGCCCCCGCCATGACCACTCGTGGCATGTCCGAGGACGACTTCAAGCGCATTGCCCGCTACATTGATCAGTCCATCAACATCTGCAAGCAGGTCCAAAGCGAGCTGCCCCAGGGCGCCAACAAGCTCAAGGACTTCAAGGCTAAGGTCGCTTCCGAGACCGTGCCCGAGATCCTCGAGCTCCGCAAGGAGATCGCCCAGTGGGCCAGCACCTTCCCCCTCCCCGTCTAAGTGTGATCGCCACCCCGGGGTAGCCTTCAATATGATACCACATCTTTCTTTTTTCAGTTTATTTTTGGTTTTCTAGTTCAACATCTAGCCGGGTGTGTCGTTTTATACAGGGGTTTTATACAGGACTGCTTTTTCAACCTTACGCGGGTCATGGGACATGGATATGCAAGAGCATGTGTGAATGAATCGAAAAACATAAGCACCGGGATAGGGCTTACTTCAACACTTTCTTCAACAGGACCGGAAAAGTTCGTGGTTGAAATCAGAAGGGCTTTAACCGCCTTGATTGGGTTTAGTATCAGATAACTCAACGTTAATAATATATGAAGTTCAACTTCTCTACTTGCTTGCCTTCCGTAGTAATACTCCTAAGCAATAACTGCGCTCTTCCTTCGACACTTACAGTAAAGCATTTCTTATCCCGTCCCGCAGTATAATCTCGTGATCTTTCCCACTCCCACCCCTATTATCTCCAGCTCTGGGTGAATACCCTTACAACTCAACCCTACCATCATCCTCAAACTGCCTAAACCCCATCGACCCAACCATCGATACCGCCTCAGCCTTCTCCCTCTCCTCCTCCCACCCCTTCACCATCAACGCCGCCACATTCTTCCCCATCAACGCACTTGTCTCCATCGTCGAGATAAAACTCTCGATGGCCCCCGTATACCACACATGAGGCGCCAGCTCCACCTCCTCGAACGTCACCCGCGGATACACGAAGGGATACGGCCGCCAGACCTTCTCATGAAACCAGCTGACGTCCTCCCTGGGCAGGTCCTCGATAGATGAATTGGAAGTCCCATGTCCGGACGGTGGGCTCCTCGTTGTCTTGTCTTTCTGGTCTGCGAGCCCAAGGATCGAGCGGATGAAGGCCGCGGTTGGACGCTCGGGGGAGAAGATCTTGTAGACGTAGTGCTGTTGCTGCTCCTGCTGCTGCTCGCCGTCGGCTTCTTCAAGAGGAGAAGGAGGAGTCACGGTGCGGAGGGTGCTGATGCTCCAGAAGTTGGCGGGGCCGACGCCCTTCTCGGCTTTGCCGACGGTGGCATCGAGATCCAGGGGCAAGGTGGTGAGGATCGTTTCTGGGGTGGTGGGGCCGGGGAGGTTGAAATGTTCTGGGGAGAGGCGGTGCGGGGAGGAGAAGAGGGTTACGTGCAGGGTTACGAAGGGGATTTTGTCGGGGGTGGTTTCCAGGGGTCGGGTGGTGGTGAGCTCGGTGAAGTGGTAAGGGGCTGCGATGACGATCTCGTCGTAGTCTTCGACTTGTTCTGCGGAGGGGTTGTTGGGCTTGAATGTTAGGGTTGTTGGATGAGGGGGGGTTTTGTGGGCGTCATCGTCATCTGCGGCCCAGTTGAGCGATGTGACGGTGTGGTTTATGCGCACGTCCGCCCCGGAGGCCTTGAGCATGCCGTCGAAGATCTGCCAGTTGCCGCCTTCAATGGCCATGGCGCCGTCGGTGGCCAGGCAGACCATCGTCTCGAGGCCGTGAATTAGCCCCAGGTTCTGCCCGTAGTTGACGCGTGTGCTGGCTTGGATGATCTCGCGGGAGAAGAAGTCCGAGATGCCGTTGCGTCTGAGGTAGTCCAGCCCGGGGAGGGCGGTTGTGTCGAGGAGCCCGACGGCCTGCGTGGCGAGAGTGAGCGACTGGAATGGGAACATGGGTCCATCGTAGAGTTGCAGGAATTTATTGACGGTGGACTTCATCAAACGATAGGCGTTGACTGGCGCCATCCCGTAGCGCCAGAGCAACTTGGCGAGGTTCCACCAGCTAGAGCTGTCTGTGAACACGAATACCATCTGTTCGCCGTCCCAGATGCCGATGGTATCGTCAGTCTCTTTGGGTCGTGCATAGTCGGCGCTTCGGGCAATCAGACCCAAGTCTCTGGATGCGTTCACGAGGTTGTAGTTGACGCTGACAAAGATAGATGCACCCAGTTCAATCGGATAAATTGGGTTATCGAAGACATTGACCGTGGTGGAGCGGCCACCAATATACGAGGAACGCTCGAAGACAGTGATGTTAATAGGGATATGCTGGGCATCTGCATACTGGCGGAGAGAGTACGCAGTCGATGCTCCGGCGGCTCCGGCTCCTGTCTAACGTGTCAGCCATCAAAGACCTGGTTTACCAGGATTTGTGGTCATACCGATAATCGCCACTTTCTTTGGGGCTATCTCTTGGAGCGAGCTCAATGGCTTCTGTAGAGCGGCATTGCCGCCAGGAATCAAACACGCGAGATACACATAGTATATAAGGTGAGTATACATGAGACAATGGGTGAATAAAGATTTAGGAAGCAGATTCATGATTGCAGTATTCTTAATCGGTCAAAGTAGATGGGCTCCGTGCTTCCACTAGGGACCGGCTCCCTTGAGGTGCTCTGAGAGCAGACAATTAGACACGCTAAGCTACACAACAACAAAGAAGTCAATGGACCATTACAATGAGATGAGAAGCCTGTACTCAAACAGAAGCAATGATGGATGCTGGATGAGAAGAAGGAGAAGAAGGAAAAGAAGGAGAGGGAGACGATGGCAGTCGTAATAATAAGTAGTAGGTAGCTGATGCATCGAGCCAACCCATATGGCACTAAGCCCTATCGGGTATGGTGTATTCTGGGGCTCTATCGCTTATCGCCTTTTCTACTTTTTTCAACTGCCCGAAAAATCACCGCGTTGCTGTTCGGCCTCATACTGTACAAGACACTCAATCGCATTGTGCTTGAAGTCCAGTGCTTTGCCTCTTTGCAGCCGCGCATATCGTTTCTGATCAAATACAAGTTCAATCTAGCCAAGTTGACGTTCTGACCATGGACCCTTACGACAGCGACTCTTCTTTCGACGATGAGGGGGACTTCACCGAGACCGGCGTGCTGCTGGGCTACGCCGCAGACGAGATTGTAGACGACACAATCAGTCACCTTGGAGGGCGTCCGGTACGTACGCTCACTTACAGACCTCTTGAGGCTGCTACAAGATCACGCTTGCTAACCATCATGAACTTCCCAGACCTGGCTCGACGACGCTACCCCGCCCCCCGGCGAATTCGCTAAATGCAAAGTCTGCAACTCGACCATGCTCCTCCTTCTCGAACTGCACGGCGACCTCCCGGATGACTTCCCCGACAACGAAAGACGTCTGTACGTCTTTGCCTGCCCCAGGAAACCCTGCAACCGCAAGCCTGGTAGCATCAGAGCCCTGCGCGCTACCCGTAAGCTGAAGAGCGAACAACCCCGACCTGCTAAGGAGGAAGTCGAGGAGATCCCAACCGAGGCGCCCAAGAAGGAAGAAGAGAAGCCAAAGAACGAGGCCCCCAAACCAGATCTCGGCGCAAGCCTGTTCGGTTCCTCCTCCCTGATCGGCAGTGTCTCCGCCAACGCCAATCCCTTCTCCTCCGGTGGTGCAGGTGCAGGCGCTAGCAACCCATTCTCCAGCAACAGCAACAGCAACAGCAACCCCTTCGCCGCGCCCGCCCCATCTCCAGGTCTAGTCGCAAAACCAACCACCGCAGCACCATCATCCTCAACAACGGCCGCCACCGCCACCGCGGCGAACACACTCTCGGACTCCTTCGCCGACAAAGTCCGGGTCTCCTCCCCACCACCTCCCGCCGCCGCAGCAACATCAAACCCAACCCTAACACCGCCAGAAGAGAACGCAGGCCCTCAGACCCCCTGGCCTGCAGACTCCGACTTCCCAGCGCCGTACTCACAATTCTACCTGGACGCCGAATACGAGACACTCTCGCGGCCCTCGACGCCCACGATCCCAGACAACGTGACGATTGACAACACGGAGGACAACAGCGCTGGCGGTAGCGGCGGCGCGGACCTGAAAGACGCATTCGAGTCGGAGCTCGACAAAGCATTCATGCGCTTCTCGACGCGGCTGGCGCACAACCCGGAGCAGATCCTCCGGTACCAGTTCCGCGGCAACCCGTTGCTGTACTCGCACACGGACGCGATCGGCAAGCGCCTGCACGAGATCCTGGCGCACAAGCCGGCCAACGCGCACGTCGCGACGGCCACGGCCGGCGCCTCCGTCTCCAGCCGTCTCCCGCGCTGCGAGTACTGCGGGAGCGAGCGCGTGTTCGAGTTTCAGCTCGTGCCGCATGCGATCAGCGTGCTTGAGGACGGCTTGGAGGGCGTCGGGCTGGGCGATGCTGGCATGGAGTGGGGTACTATCATGCTGGCCGTGTGCAACCGGGACTGTGGACCGAAGGAAGTGGGCGTCGTGGGTTATCGTGAGGAATGGGCCGGTGTGCAGTGGGAGGAGGCTGCCAAATAGATACATCCATACCTACTTCTGTTGTCCCTCCTCTTTCCCCAGTGAGGGAGAAAAGGGCTTGAGTCCTCTACTACACACACACCTAATGCTCGACCCACGATGTTTGACGTTGATGATGACTACTTATATACACTCTACCATGTTCATAGACACCGCCTCTTGAGCTTTCCAATCAATATCACAAAAGTTTATACATACCTCTACCCAATTTCTTATTATCGTCGGGGGCCAACATCCCGGCTTACAATATACATGATTAACGTAGTAATCTCTTTTCTTTTTCGCTTCTTCTTCCATTCATCTCTACACTCACGGGATATCTTTGGGTTAAGGACTGAATGCTTTGGTTGACACCGTTGCGACGCGGGGGGGAGACATATTCATAATGGATGAGGATGGTGGTGGTCGTGGTGATGATGACGATTATGATAAAAAGCAGCGAAGCAAACTCAGAACGCCAATTTGCGCCAGATTCCTGACTTCCCAACCCGCTTTTCTCCCCTTGTTTCCCGCATGCTGGTCTATCTATCTCTCTCTCTCTCTCTCTCTCTCTCTCTTTCTCTCTCTCTTTCCTCCCAATCCCCTTCCCGGAGTTCGTCATCGACTTGTTTTGAGGGGGTGCTTCATGACTCATACGTCATTGGTTGAAGTTCGGACAAATGCCCTGTCTCTCCTATTCTTTGTTCCCCTCTCTTCTCCCGGATCATTCACATATCAACGGAGGAGAGAAGCGGATAGAAAAGGAGACCTAGAAAATAGGTCAACAGGACTAAAACTGAGAGTCCTGTAACATTTTTCAAGGCAGAAAAAAAGAAATAAGAACAAGTGAAAAAAAGTTATTAGCAAGAATCGGAAGGATGACAAAAATGCGGTTGGACGAGGAAAACGAGAAGGAAGACGCGATGAATGCGGGTTCGGGTTAATCTGAGGGGTAAAACAGATATCCGATTTTGAATCCTCAAGAATTTAATCAGGAACTCTCCGCTCATGCGGCCTGCTCGAACCCTCTGCGGATTACACGACCGAACATATCCACACCGACGCGCTCGCTCTTGACCTCGCTGCGGGCCTCGTTCTCCTTGTTGGTGGGCACCTTGATGACGGCACCGTCGACCTCCCAGCTGCAGACCTCGGCGACGAACTTCTCGAGAGCCTCGCGGCTGCGGAGGTCGAGCCACTGCTCCAAAACCTCGGCGTTGACCTCGCGGAAGGCCTTGCCGACCTCGACGGCGATGCGGATGCGGACCAGCTCCTCGAAGCCGGCGACGTCGGCGACCAAGTCGGCGTACAGGTCGTCCGAGTTCAGGGTGGACCAGAACTGGGCGTACTGGGCGGACTCCAGGAGGGTGGAGAGGCGGGCAAGCTTCTGAACGGACTCAACGAAGTCGGAGGTCTGAGCGGCGGCTTGGGCTTCGGGGTTGGAGGACTGGAAGGGCTGGGTGTGGGCGGGGAGCAACGCAAGGCAGAGGGAGAACGCGGGCGAGGGGAAGACGGTGAGAGCCTTGACGAGGACGTTGGTGACGGTCTCGGGCTGGAGGAGGTGGGGGTTGAACTGGTAGCTGTCGGGGTCCAAGACAATTTGAGAGATCGTATTAGCCATGACATATATCGCCAAAGGAGGAAGGTCGGTGTGGTATGCGACAATAGAAGCTTGAGTGGCTTTTATTTTCAGGAGAAATGAGATCTCGACATGCCCAATAATAGGGTGTCAGGTAATAGGAAACGTGATTGTAAATGAAGTTTTCTTCATCATATAAAAACCATTTATTCTTATTATCCTCGCGTCGGAGCGCTTGGTTCTCGGGAAAGAGGGGGCAGGTGATTGACAGCAGGTTCATGAAAGCGCACTTACAGCTTCAGCAAGGCCAGGTTGGCGTAGCAATCGAAGGTGCGGTCCTCGCACTGCTGGGTGACATAGTCCTGGAATACCGTGGTCGTCTCCGGGTTGTATCTGTCGAGGCCGTTGAGGATGGCATCAATGTTGGCCGGGCGAGTCTCGCACTTGTCGAAGGTGACACCCATTTTGACGAGAGGTTTGAGAGGGGGGGGTTGAGGTGAAATTGGAGGGGAGAAGAGAGGCGGAGTGGAGGAGGATCGAGATGTTGCGAAGTGCGGGATTGATTGAATCTGGCCTGGCTGGTGTGGCTTCCTTTCTGGCCCTTTCGGATTTTGGTGGGTTTTTCGCGCTTGTCTCGCTGTGCGGCATGCTCGGGAGGCACCGGAAACGGATAGTTTACCCGAGGAAGCATATACTCGTCTCAACCAGGACGCTCAATATGAAGCACAGGGTTCATGAGAAGTATGATAAGACATTTGAGGTAGTTCCAAGCAAGAAGAAAAAGAAGAACGACATCCATAAGTGGTTGTAGAAAGGCTTGGTGGGCAAAAACTGCTCCGAGGACAGACAAACAAAAAGATTTGACAAGAGTGGGATTCGAACCCACGCTCTTTCGAACTAGTGTTTCGGAATTTCCTAAAACTAGCGCCTTAGACCACTCGGCCATCTTGCCCTTTGATGTATTAAATTGCGTGGCTAAACAAATAATACTGTTATGCCTATCAAGCCCTTTTCTCAAGGGATGAGCAGATGCGTCGCAATGAGAAGGATATAGACCGACTGATCAATGTAACTATCACCGTGTAACCGCATGGCTTGTCTCTCATATGATAGATTAGGCCGAGGCTACGACTGTTGAAGCCAAGTGGATACATGCAGTCGAGGTACCTCGAATTTCCTAGCCAAATATACATGTGATCGCAGCCTAGTCACTTAACCCCATGAGTTAAGCACCCCCTTTAGTGTTATCATTAATCAAGGATAGTTTGATCCTATGCCGCCAAAACAATGCACATCATTATCACGCCACTACTTCATGGCCCCTGGACCCGAAAGTAAAATGTTGGTAGGCCAGTGGCCTGATTGGAAGAGCCGGCACCCGTAGTAGGGAATTCCCGCGGTAGGGAATCGCCGTGTAGGGATTCACCGAGTGTGGATAGCAAGTAGGTATACCCCGTATTTAAATACAAAGTACCCTGGACCTCTGTATGACCAAACCTGCAGGAGATCTCGTGTTGCTTCAACCTTAATGATATCATCTGCGTCTGCAAGGAACGAGTTTTCCCAAAACAGATCCTGTCCTATAAAGCCCAACATCATCCACCACACCTACCTGGTTTGAGCCAGCCCTAAAACCGCAAAGCGACAACAGCAACCACCCAACCGTCACCATGGACGTCCTTCTTGACATCCTCGACACGTTCGTCTTCGATCGGATCTACGCATCGGTACTTCCGAGTTATGAGATGTACTCCGGCAACGCGACCATGGAGAGCCAGTCGCTCTACAACCAGCACATTGGCCTTTATTATCCGCTGAAACCGTCTCAATATGCCAATGGGAGCCAGTGGAAGCGTGACTACCTCCCCAGACAGGCACTGTCACTATTCTTCCTGATGTGGTACGTCTTCCCCCTTTTGCGGTCAAATCAGAAACCACCCGTCCATGTACTGACCTGGATGGCCACTGCGCAACAGGGTATTCGGCCTCGTCATGTACCTCGTCGGCAGCACAATCCTGTACCACACCGTATTTGACAAGTCCCTGATGAAACACCCACGGATCCTGCACCAGCAGATCCGACAGGAGATCAAGCAGGGTCTCATCGCCATGCCGATCATGTCCATCCTCACCGTGCCGTTCTTCCTGCTCGAGATCCGCGGATGGTCCAAGCTGTACGACTTCTCAAGCCAGGAGCCCTTCCCCGGATACTCCTATCTCCAGTACCCACTTTTCATCTTCTTCACAGACACCGGCGTCTACTGGATCCACCGATGGGAGCACCACCCGGCCATCTACCGGTTCCTGCACAAGAAGCACCACAAGTGGATCGTGCCGACCCCGTACGCCAGCTATGCGTTCAACCCCGTGGACGGCTGGGCCCAGAGCCTGCCCTACCACATTTTCCCGTTGCTGTTCCCGCTGCAGAAGTGGGCGTATATCGGGCTGTTCGTCTTCGTCACCATGTGGACCCTTGCTATCCGTATGTGTTTCTTCCCCCTTTAGGTGTGAAATGTCACAGAATAGGTCGCTAATAGCTCGAATAGACGACGCTGAATGCCTTTCTCGGTCTGCAGTAATCAACGGACCCGAGTGTCATACGCTGCACCATCTGTACTTCAACTACAATTATGGTCAATTCACCACGTTCTGGGACCGATTGGGCGGCACATATCGCAAAGCCAAGGGCGACGAGTTGAAGCACAAGGGCGAGTAAGATGGGGGAGATTGGATGACTGGTCTGGAACTGGAGCATAAAGGCTAGGGCTGCCAAGGCGTTTCCGGCTGGATAATACGTGGCTTGATTGTATGATGTACTGTACATAACTGTATGATATGAGTAATTATTAATATGGGCAACCGCTATGGTGTCCTTTCTTCCGTCGCAACGTTCTGGATGAACTCGTTCAGCTTGCCCAAGTCGTCAGTAGCCGCGGTGTCTAAGTAGCCCAGACTCTTGTCGCGACCACCGGTGCGGTCAAGCGTGGCGTTCAGTAGCCACCAAAGCTCTTCCGCATGTTTGGGGTAGCCGAGGCTTTGTGTCTTCTCCTTGTCGGCAATATCGCCGATAGAATCCCAGATTCGTTTCCAATTGTCGGCAGCAAGCTTGATAGCGTTGGGAGATATCCATCCAAGCAGGCCAGTTCTCGCTTGAAATGCCAAGGAGTGCATTGCTAAACTCAACTCTTAGCAAGACAATCAGATCATAGTGTTTATCCTGGCATCTACATACCGTACATCAGCATCAGGAAATGCTCCGCCGCGAGTGACCGACTCCACGTTATCAAGTCGCCAATGTCCGTATCAAGCAAACGAGTGATAAATTGCCGCAAAGATGGAAGTGGCGGGCGTGTCATGCCAGCCGAGGAAACAATTTTATTGAATGCAGACGTGCTTTCAGCCTCGAACAGCGCAGAGTCCCACGGGAAGTCACAGTCCATCTCAAAGATTGACAATGCGGGATGGTTGTTGAAGCACACCGTAAGGAATCCATCCGCGAGGAAAGCCCAACAGGATACTCTGAAAATTCTCAATGAAATGACTTCGATAATGGCCAATGGCGACTACATACCGTACAAGAACTTCTTCTGCAATGAGTTGTCTCCAAGTAGGCTCATCAGAGACCTGAGGAGTCATACTTCGCTTGAATTGAAAGATACCCAGTGATCGTATCGTAGAGATGACGCAGGGATGTCTCATGATTCGGATACGTCGTCTTGTCTGCATTCCTCCCTGTCCGAACTGAAGCATCTCAATAATCAGAGCTGCCTGCACGACTTCCAGCTCTGGAAAGAATTGGGAAGGATGATTGTCACTGAGTGATGGCGTCGACAGATTCGCCATGCGCCGAAAGATGTACTCCTCAGCTACATCAAGCAGCCCGAGTGGCAGCACAGTCCCATCATGAGAAGTTGCATATGTTGCACCGGCAAGAAAGATCGATATGAGAAGGAAATTTGACACATTTCCTGGGTCGAATGTAGGGAAATGGACAATTGGCAAATGCCAGTGGAGAGATTGGAAGTAAGCAGAGATAAAAATCGAAAGATTAGGGGCCGTAAACAGTGGAACCAGATCGGATATATCAAGTCGCTTCTGGTGGCTTTCACTTTCAAAGCCCATGGAGTTTGACGTTTCCACTAAGTCTGCCATTAGGTCGTTGAGTTGCTTTGCAAGCCGGGAAGACAACGCCCCTTCAGACATGAAATCCATGGGATGATGTTGCCCAAGTGGAAAAGGGGGTTGAAAGAACATATCCACAGGTGCAAAAGAGTTCATGAATGACTGCATGGCGTAGAAAGGGCTGAGTGCATCTTCGAGGTTAAGGTTGAGGGCATCCAGGTTCCTTTTGGTGGAGCATCTTGCTGTCTCTGCGATTGCAAGCTTATCCTTCACCACGGATGGGTCTGTGAAGTGGGACAGGAAGAAGAAGGGCCTCTTGTTCGTGAGAGACGTGTGCGAGGGCGTCGGTGAGAGCGGCGCTGGTGTCAAGCACGGAGTGTCTGTAGGCGAAGACGCCTCACTTCCGAAAGAGCATTGTCGTCCCAGAGATTGACAACGTGAACATGGAGACTGCTTGTCACATGCTGTTTTCGCATAGGAGCACTCATCACAGGAGCGTTTTTTTCGGCCCGGTCTGGATGGTGGCGGAGGGGGTCGGTTGTACTTTTTGGCGCATAGCTTACTATGCCTTCGCGCAACCTCCCTAGGCGACGTCAGGAGGAAGTCATCACCATTGGTATTATTTAGCATGAATAGAAGCTCTTACTGTTTCAAGAATGCCTTGTTACAGAATGGACATATCGAAGACGAAGCCCCGGTATCTAAGCTTGTCAGCCTGCTTCTACTCTGAGCTGCCTAGCTGGGGGAGCGTACGTGTCGCCTCGTGCCGAAGCAAGTGGCTCTTTCTTTGATATGACTTGTCGCAATGAGAACACTGGAACATGATGCTGTTGCCACTAAGAGCTTAACGTGTCACATAGTCATCAAAGAGATCGATCGAGTGCGCATCATCACCCTGATGAAGAGTTGCAGATTGTTTGTAGAGATTGTAGAAAGGAGACGTCGGATCCAATCCGGGGTTGGAAGGCAGCCGTTGTCAGATTAGTCATCGCTCTAGCCTTTGGACGCCAGCAAGTATAAAACTTGGGAAAAATAGATGTACATTCACTTGCCGTCATGATGATTATCTTTCTTAGTTTTAAACTGCTGACCCGGATCCCGAGGGGGGCAGATCGGTGATACACAGCCATGCTTCTATATGCTATTTCAAGTGACACGAGCAAGTCTCAATCCCTGCCGGGATAGTCAGGCAATTTTCCTACAGGATAATGCGGGGAAGAGCAACAATAATTCTGGCACCTTCAACTTCATCCTTTTCCGCTCTTTCCGGTCCAGAGCAATGCCAACATCATTAGTGGCCAATAGCTGCAGCACGCCAGGGATGAAATGCAGGTGTCTCCGCGTTGATCTTTGGCATTCCCCTCCCCAGCGGGGGATAAAGGCAGCTCTACCCCACAGACCCCCCCCTCTTTTCAAGTCCATGATTCCTGCTGTAAGACAATTGAAGGCTCCTCGATATTATCCAGCTCAACATGCGATTATTATGCACACCCCCCAGGATCCACCTGATAGCTCTGCTATGTAGTCTGGTTCCAGCCATTGCTGCCACACAAGAAGACTACTCTCAGTATGTGAACGCCTTAATGGGCTCAGAAGGCCCCATGCCAGGCAAAGGCTACGGAGGAGGCGATATCTTTGTTGGGGGCGCTCGGCCATTTGGCGTGGCCAAGGTAGGTATCGACACAACAGCGGCGAATTGGAGCCTAGCGGTTCTCAACGGGGGCTGGACGCCAGATGGGAATGTCACGGCTATCAGTGAGTTGATTTGTCAAGCTGGATGAAAAAGTATCGGCCATTGATCAAGTCTATTCTACCTAGCGATGATGCATGAGAGCGGTACTGGAGGCGCACCGAAGTATGGAATCATACCCCAGATGCCGCTCACATCCATTGCGCCGCCAGTGAATCTTCTCGACAACTTGACGTACTCTCAGCCCAGAGTAAGCATGGCTATAATCACATAAGGAAGCATTGACACATTAGATCTTGAACGACACAGGTCGGTAATGACACAGCCAGCGTGGGCTACTTTGCGACAAACCTGCAGAACGGCGTTCGGGTCGAGCTCTCGGCTTCTCGCCACGCAGGGATCATGCAGTACAGCTTTCCCGAGGGTGAAAAGCATATACTGGTAGACATTTCGCATGTATGACACTTACGACGCATGTACCTTTCCAGGGAACTCAGACTTACTGTATCATATCCAAGTATCTTCCCGGGTCGCCCCATGACCCCAACGGCCAATTTTACGTTGCCGGCGAAATCCAGCTGGAGGACGACGGACAGGCATACACTGGCTACGGAACGTACATCGGTGGCTGGAACAATGGTGAGTAACATCCTGCAACATAGGTCCTTAGAGAACCTAAGTGGAGATCAGGCGCCCCGTTCACCGTGTACTTTTACGGCGAGTTCTCGACTGCCCCAGAAACAGCTCGTACCTTCTCAGGCAAGAATACCGAGCCCATGCCACGATACCAGAGCTTAGCCAATGGAGGCATCAGCCAGCCAGTATATGGCAACGTGACCCATAAGAAAGTTACATCGGGACCAATGAACGACCGCGTCGGGGCACTATTCAGTTGGAATTCTACCTCAGACGCTCAAATCACCTCAAGAGTCGGTATATCTTTTATCTCCGTAGAGAGAGCTCGCGCCTATATCGAGGCGGAGATCCCGTCGTGGGTTTTGAACGATACGGTGCAGTCTGCCGTGGAGGAGTGGAACCGGGATGTTTTCAGCAAGACCCGGGTTGCGCTGGACGAAACAGCAAATATGACGCATGTGCGGCTGCTCTACAGTTCTCTTTACTTTATGCACCTGATGCCCTCTGATCGGACGGGTGAGAACCCGCTATGGCAGTCGGACGAACCATATTGGGACGATTTCTATACAATGTGTCAGTTGAAGGTCCCCCTTCTTCGGGAATATCTTTTGATGAATGAGATCAGGGGACATTTTCCGCTGCACCGTCAGCTTTTACCAAATATATCAGCCTGAGTACTACGAGTCCATGATTCGAGGCCTGATCGACATATGGAGGTATGCTTCTAGAAAACGAGTAACGCTGACTGGCTGAAGAAGAGAATTATTAATGGCTCTGATTCGACAGACATCAAGGCTTCTTGCCAGACGGGCGCTCAGGGAACTGGAATGGGCTGGTGCAGGGCGGTTCTGATGCCGACAATGTCCTAGCGGATGCATACGTCAAGGGTCTCCGCGGCGCGATCAACTGGACCGACGGCTACGCTGCCATGAAGACCGATGCGGAGGTGATTCCATACAACACATGGGACCCGACGGACCCGTCGGCGAGCACAAAAGAAGGGCGCGGCGCTCTGGGCGATTGGCTTGAGCTCGGATACGTCTCGCAAGATCGCAATACGAGATGTATCTCAAGGACCGTCGAGTATAGCCTGAATGATTTCGCGCTCAGTCAGGTCGCCTCGGGAGAGATGCCCAGCGACCAGGAGAAGTACCTAAATCGATCGGCTGGGTGGCAGAACATATGGAATCCCGATGTCCGCAGCTTGAACTTCACAGGATTCATGGCACCCAGGTTCTCAAATGGCTCGTTCAACAGTAGTGCATATGACCCGCGCTACTGTGACAAGTGCGAGTGGTTAGACTATACATACGAAGCTGTGCCTTGGGGTGAGTGTCTCCAAAGTCATACAGAAGATTTACTTACGTGTACCACGTCTAGAATACTCCTTCGTTATCCCTCATGATATGCAGACATTAATTGATCTAATGGGCGGCGCGGACACGTTCGAGTCTCGGCTCGATCTGATGGTAAGTCTCTCAGGTCGCCAGACGGCTCTGTCTAACTTGGCTGGCAGTTCGCGCCAAATATGTCCGTTCAAGACCTTGGGCCCAATGGAGCTGGTATCACCACGATCCTCAACATAGGGTACGCATTCCGCCCTGCATTAGAAGCGGGAACAAAACTAATGACGGTGATCAAGGAACGAACCCGACTTCGCCACGCCGTACCTCTATAATTACATCAACAAGCAAGCAAAAAGTGTCCAGCAGTCGAGGGGGCTCGGATACCAATAGCAAGTACTCTCTGCCTTTGAATTCCCATACAGCACACTAATCGCGCGCACAGTTTCAACGACGCTCCATATGGGGTACCCGGCAACAGCGATGCGGGAGCAATGAATTCATGGCTGCTATGGCAGATGCTTGGGATCTACCCTGTAGTCACGCAGCCAGTGTACCTGATAGCGTCGCCCTGGTTCCCGGATCTCAACATGACCATCAATGGGAATCAGACACTGAGAATTATCGCGAACGGTCTGGACGAGGGCTACTTTGTGCAAAGCGTGAAGCTCAACGGGAAGCCCTGGACGAAGAACTGGTTCGAGCACGAGGATATCATGGCACGTGGCGGAACGATCGAATTCGAGCTGGGGCCCGACATGGCGGCGTGGGACACCGGCAGCGGGCCCCCGTCCCCGGGCCATCGGAGCCTGTAAGGGAAACTTTGTTTGTCAGGTTGGCTACTCGGCCACAATTACATCTCAAAGCTCGTGTTGATGCTATTCTCGAAGAGCCGAATTGGGCCAAAAAAAAATGCTTTGTATGAAAAGAACATCAACCACAAGCACTGACTAGCTGTCGATGGCGCACCTAGTTGGTGTTTTGGTCACCTAGTTGGGGCGTGTTGGAGAGCGTCCCCAAATGAAAGTACAGCCACTAGCTCCGTATGCTTTTGATGAACCGTCCTCAAAAATAGCTGAGCCAGTTGGACTGTTCTAGATCTATCAAGTCAATAATTGAATGTCCTACGACATATTAGGTGGGTAGCACATCGTAGCATCTCAACGACACGACGCTGGCCTGACGTGCACCGTATCTCATGCGGAGAACCACCCCAAAGGCCAAAAAAAAAATCGAGATGCAAGCCGGGGGTTTCCCCCTCCTCGACTGCGCGATTTACTCATAACTACCGAGTATGTTCTCAAAAACAGGGCTCAAAGCTGTAACCCATCCAATGAACCAAGCGAGATAATCCGTGCCATTCCCCACCGCACGTGAAGTAAGCTCACCGTCCGCGCAAGACACTTTTGGTCGTGGCATGCATACACATCTTCCGATTGGTAGGCGGTCGGACGGATAAGCATTCCCGGCATCAAGATCTGGAGCCAAGCGAGGTTTTTGTGTGAGGGCGGGAGGAGAGGAGTTTGTGTAGAGCCGAGAAGGATTCATGGTCGGAAAGACGTACGGTTGACGTCAATGAGGGGGAAATCCCAGCCGCCGCGGGATGACAGTATTGGTAAGAAGAAGTGGAAGCATGCTCACAAGAACAAGAAGAGAGAGTATGATGATGATGATATATGGTCAACTTCCCCTCCCCCCCTCCCTCACCCCCTCCTTCTCGTGAGTCGAGTTCTGTTTCCTCCCGGGAGAGTTGTTGTGCTGAAGACAACACAGACAAATAAGCATTGCTGGTGCACCATTGCCCATTGAACACCCTCACACACACCATGGTAAGTTGGCTCTTGTGTTCCGTGGATCGTGGGAGCGCGGCGGCCCGAGGCCTTCCGAGAAGTGAAAGAAAGAGAAAGCTCAGACTGAAAACTGACACCTGATTTTTTTCGTTTATGCCTTAGGCACCTGTTCACCTCCTTCAGAGTCGGGCGGACTCCAACTGCCCCAATTCCATCTCGGGCGGTGGCATCGCGGGAATCGTCCTGGGGACTATGGCTGGCACCCTGCTGCTGCTTTGGCTGTGGAAGTTATGTGCCATGAACCATGAGATGGAGAGCGAGCCTGACTATGGCGAGACCAATCTACCTACCAACCGAGCGCGCCATCGACACCGACAACGACGGAGCCCGTCATACTACTATGTGGAGAAGCCGAGGAGCTCGGTAAGGAGGCCAGCCAAAGTCTATCTCAGTTAATTGATGAGAGGGGGCAAAGAAGGAATGGAAGGGATGGAGAGAGGGAAATGGAAGAGAGAGGGAGAAGTTTGGGGACGTTTTTTGTTCGTCTAATCTCTAATCACGTATACATGTATGTAGTTATGACCTTTATGTAATCAATACCCTTTTTCATCGGACTTGATTCATGATCATCCTCAGAATCAATTTGATCTGCAAGCAGTTGTGGTGTTTGTTCTGTTCTTTGCGAAGTGGAACTGGAACGGTTCCATCTTTTCCATTTTTAGCTTGCTTGGTTCTCATGCAATTTCTATCTACCTTTCTAGGAATTAGGCAAAGGCAAGCCAAGTGGGTAATCTGCTGGTACTGGGAATTAGGCAAGACAGCCGCCGAGCATGTTCGTGTTGACGCTCGACACCGCTCCAATTCTCCCCGCGGGTTGTTTGTCATCCCCATCTGTAGGCAGTGACATTAATAGGTTGACTCCAACCATTCACTCCCTCAAAAAACGGCTGCTTGTCGCGGGGGATGGCTAGCTTGGCATGATCATGGATTCAGGCTACACGACCTCTCCATGTTTTGAATTTATCTGCGCTTACGTTCCCTTACCTTGGCTTTGGGACCTTCAAGCAAACCGTTGGCTGACTGCGGGGGTGGGAGAAGGATTGGCGAGTTGGAGGCGTGGTGATTGTGCTGTTCGACGCAACAATCTCAAACACTGTTGGGATTTTTTGCCCTTTGCCCCCCTTTTTTCCCACAACCCCCTCGCGGTGTTACAATCCCGATAGAGAATTTGCCGCAGACCTGAGCTAACTGACTTGCCACTAACCAATCACCGAACTCCAGTCGACTGCCATGGCATTGACCCTGTGTGCTGTGCTGAGACCAAGAATGGATCCTCACCAGCCGGTGCCGGAACTAGTCAGGAAGAGTGGAAATCCATACCACCAGTGGTGTTTGTCTCTTGGACAATCTCCTCAGGGTTGCGGAGTATGAATGCCTCAGCTGTCTGAAACGCAAAGATCATCCGATGGGCAATCATGAGAAGGAGTTCGACAGCGCTGCAGGTACACTGCATGAAACGATTGAGGAGATGTCAGTGCAATTGGTTCTTCCCGCGTAGTAAGGAGCACTAGTATGATAATATGATTCCTTGTTGAGGATCGATTCCTCGATTAGTTTCTATGCAGCGGCTTTATCCTTATCATCTTAACCATCCAGTCGAACAGGTTCTCATCCGCTGTCATACAGTGAACCCCTTGTTCCCCTGAGATGAAGACTTGATTGGTGTTCGGGTCTATCTTCAACCCCAACTCATCCAATCATGACCCGTCAATGGAACAATCCGAGCCCTCGACCGGCTGCAGGCGCCCTAAGCCTTTTCTGTGCTAGTCTCAGGGCCAGGGACTACGCTAGCCAACCGAACCAGGGTAAATTTGTAGCATACCAGTCCCCATCAGGACTAGTCTCCCCCTCATGAGTCGGTGATTTCCTGTTTGGAACAGCCCCTGAATTGATTAGGGCCAGAAAGCCCAAAACTAGTGGCATCGTCTGCAGACTTGAAGAGAGACATGCGTCTTGTCTGTGTCCATCTCGGATTTAAAATTAAGAATTACTATAATTCTAATTATTATGATCGGACCAGCAAGAGAAAGAGCGAGTGAGAAAAAAAAAACTAGCCTCGTAGCCATCGTGGTTGGGGTTAGTTAGTAGTTAATTAAAGCAAAAAGCACTCGCCGTCATGTCTCTTTTCTTCCCCTCTGACCATTCTTCCTTCCCCTCCGCATCACCTTCATCCCTCCTTCCTCTCATCCCTTCTTTTGGGTGGTCTTCAATTCCCTCGTGCGACTCGATCGCACTGCCATTCTTTTGAAACTTGACCCTCCCTCTTCCCCTCCACACGCCATCGGTCTCACTCCTTTTGACCGTTAGAGACTGGACCTGGAATCCGCGTGCACTGTCGGGAACCCCTTTATCGCGCCTTATCTTGCCAGGAAGCAAGCCTACCTGTGTGACCCGCAGTTGTCCTGACTCGCCTCCGCTCTCTTGGATACTATCTTGCCAAAAGCAAGAGAAAACTATTCTACAATCCCGGGGAGTGGTGACCCTGAAGGACTTTATCGCCCGTCATGTCTTTCCTTAACATCCTGGCCCTCATCGTGGCCCAAATCTACTTAGTGGCTGCTCAGACCTCGACCACTTGCAACCCCCTCAACACCACATGTCCTGCGGATCCCGCCTTGGGTACGACATTCTCCTGGCAATTCAACTCGACGCTCGACTCCAAGATTTGGGAAACCACCAACGGCGAGATCGCTATCACCGACGATGGCGCGAATTTCACCATCGCCAAGAAGATGGACTCCCCAACCATCAAGTCGACCTTTTATATCTTCTTCGGCGTCGTCGAGTCCTGGGTCAAGATGGCCAAAGGTGGCGGTGTGATCAGCAGTATCGTGTTGGAATCTGATGACCTGGATGAGATCGACTGGGAGTGGGTAGGCTACAACACTAGCTCGGTACAGTCCAACTACTTTGGCAAGGGTAACGACACGTCCTTTGACCGCGGAGGCTTCCACTACGTTCCCAATGCCGATACCGAATTTCACAACTACACCACCCACTGGACCTCTGAGAAACTGGAGTGGTGGATTGACGGGACATTGGTGCGAACACTGAAGTACGAAGATGCCTTGGACGGCAAGAACTATCCGCAAACCCCATGTAACCTCCGCTACGGTGTCTGGCCGGGTGGTGACCCGAGCGAGCCCAAGGGTACAATCGAATGGGCGGGTGGAGAGATTGACTACGGCGCCGGTCCATACAACATGGTCGTCCAGAAGGTCCGCGTGCAGGACTTCCATACCGGTAAGGAGTACCAATACACCAACCATACCGGCTCGTGGGAGAGCATCAAGGTCGTATCGTAAGTCCTCCTCCCTCCCCATTGGGACACTGAAGAGACGGATGACTGACTCTGAATTTCAAGGGGCAATTCTACGGCCGTGGAGGAATTGCACAAGGCTCCCAAGAAGACACTGTCTCAGAAATGGGCTGAATTGCCCAACGGCGCCAAGATTGGTGTTTATGCTGCCTCTGCAGCGGTCGGCGCCATGCTCCTTGCTGGCTTCATTCTCTTCTTCGTGCGCCAGCGCAAGAGGGGCCGTCTCGAACACGCATTGGATGACGCCAAGTGGAACACCGAGCGGACGGAGATGGACAACTTCCAATCAAATTGGAAACAGAGTGAATGGAGAAGTAGATCGGGCTACAAACCGGTAGCATAGCCGGGTTTCGGTCATCTAGACCGATGGGCCCCGCGTTCGACGATGAAAATGAAGGCTTTACTTACACACTCTGGTTGCGCAAGTCTCGATCTCTGGTTCCTTGCTGCCCCGGTCGGCACGGTATCGTTGGGACAAAACGGACCAGCCTCGCTCCTGCTTTGCTGGCCAAGGCTGCGCGCGAGCCGTTCTTGCCTCTTGAGCTTCTGGTGATCGTGCATCTGTTACTGCCACGAACTTCTTCTCTCGACCTTCCTTGGTCTTTTTTTGTTTCTTTCATCCTGTACACTTTTGCGACGGTTCACACTTCTTCCTTTTTTGTTTCATTCAAACTTCGCCCTCCCCCCCCCCCCCTTCTTTCAAATCTCCAAGGGCCTCGCGGCCAACCATTATCCTCTACTTCCTGTATATACGAATCTATGTTGCGTGTGGTCCGATAAAGCCACGCCATTACTTCGACTCATTCTCCAGAGTGGGCGCGCAGGAGTCCTTTTTGTTCACGGAATCGGGCGAGGTTGCTATATCGTACCACTTTTTCACATCCTGATAGATCTCAATAGACTTCCAACTCCTGTCAACTCTTTTCTATGTTAGGGTCTAAGCTGGCTCGGGACATCGGGCCATTTCTGAATATTCCCTTCTACGTCTGACTATTCTATTGCCGCCTCCGTTCTCAGTGGCATCGACCCACATATCGATCAATGGAATCTGCGCAGGATGTTCTCACAGAGGGGCCATACTGAGCCTTTCGCCGAGGTAAGCACAGCCGTGGGGTTCCGGGCTGGACCGCAGAGGATGAAGCAGAGGTGCGACGCTGGTGTGATGGATGCAGATTGGGGGCCGGCATGATAGATCGATAAGCGGGAAATCGCCCTCATCAGAAATGAACCATGGGCCCCCATGGGCACGGTTTGATAAAGTCATCACGCGTCATCATCCACTTCTTATATCAATATGGCTGGAGTTGGGCGCAGATAAAGATACCAACAAGGGATAAAAAATGTGTCGTTCGTGGAGCAACAAGAGAAGTTCGCACAGAGGCAAAAAACGATCCCGGTGCGACTCGAACGCACAACCTCTAGTACCGGAAACTAATGCGCTACCATTGCGCCACGAGACCAATTCTTGAATTTATATTTTGGCATTTTGTCATCATGACTGCATTTCAAACAGCTAGGAAGCTGCTCATCTTCCCTTCTTTTCATACTTCTCACGCTTTCTCCTTTGATTATCTCTCACGCTTGGCCGGATACTGCACGATATGCCACTATTTCCATGGTTCTGGGGGAATGATTACGACGCAGCACCGTGACTATAAGTTTAGAGGTCATCTAGGAGACTAGCATATATGTCTAGGATGCTATGAGCCAGTTCCTTCTCGCTGGGGAAGCAGACACATATTACGGAGCACCACTGGGTCACGAGATGTTTTAATATTAGTATAGGGAACTCTCTCTGGGTTACATTATAGAACATTGAGATCCTATGCTCCCGCAATATCATACCAAGCAAGTCCCCAAAAAGGCCAACACACCAAATCAACGACCCCACCGGCCTGTAGAGTCCGTGGCCATCATAGAGCAGGTCTGACTAGTCCGTTACAGACATGTTCTGCTTCGTGCATGTGGCACCAGTCTGTCTCGCGGACCACTGTCCGTTCGCTACCATTGATCCAAACCCGACGATAGACCTGTTGCCATCGACTCGAGGCCATTCACCGAGCTCCAAGTGGTAGGAAAATTCCAGCTTGGTTCATTCTGATCATTCAAAAACCCTCGTGTATTCCGAGGTAGGTGGGTTTGCTAGAGATGGAACTTGACTTTGAGTAGCTGCTGCCTTCAGGCCTTATGCCCCTCTTTCGGTCCAACAGTAATCGTCACGGGAAGTTGTGACGGATCTGGTGCCTACCATGTGGTACAGCAGCTAAGCCCTCAGCATCACGTCTGGCTCATTCTGGTCACGAGAGTTTCCCAACGGGGTAATTTGATATGAGGATAAGGGTGAGGGAGACCGCTGCCTATTGCATCCATAAGGAACAAAATAATAATTCCTTGACTTTGCCACCAAGCCCATCTGACAGCGAGCCATTCAACCTCCCTCAAAGAGACATTCATATTCAAAATAACGAACATGGCTGGCTTGCGAACTCGGCATGAACAATATGTCTCGTCTTCAACACATACAACCCATTCGCCGGGTAAACGGCAGCAGCAGCGCGGTCCCAATCAGGCCCGACGGAGTGGTACGCTCGCGCACGGACCATATCTTCCGAAGCCCCGCCGCAAAATTTCCATCCCCACCCACTATTCGCCTCGCAGGATGATCACGACAAAAAAGTACAAGCAAAAAATGAATTCCGATGCGGGGAATCGAACCCCGAGCTGCTGTGTGAGAGACAGCGATGTTGACCATTACACCACATCGGACTTTGTTGAAGTATAACATGAGCTTTGGCTTCATGATGCTACAATGAGGTCATTGAGCCTAGTGCCTAGCTTCAAATGGTGTTCGATGTGGTGTAATGGCTCATGGATGATAGTTGATATTGAATTTGGAAAATTGATCGATGATTCGGATCGCTTTCATACACAATTTAGCGTATTTATCTAGAGCTCAAGATTAGATAAATTGTGAGCAAGTTTGATAAGTAAGTGCGCTGTATGCCGCGTTTCCGAGTATTTAGGTTTATATAAATCTCCGGGTAAAGATGGGGTTGATAGCCTATTCTCGAATACTACTGACCTCAACAAAGATTTATTTCCCAAGATATATATATAGCCCGAGTATCCTCGAAGATGGGATCTGTTAGTTAAGTAACTCCAATACCGTTCGCTGTCACTGCGTGGGTTGAATTGAGGGGAAGAAGCGAGGTAGGGCTCCGAGCGGTATCAAACTGTGGGAATCATAAGGGCAAACCGTTAGGGAGAGCAGAATTGACAGGATGTGAGAAGATGACGTGATCAACCAAGATGTTAAAGGAAGAAGAGTCAAGATTTGTTTCAAGAGATGGTAGGCTAGGTTGGGCAAGTATACCAGTGGTCGAGGGAGTCGGGGATGAACTGGAACCTCCACTCCAGACCTACAATAAGGTAGAGTATATGGAGAGATTATCCCCGAGCACAACTGTTGGAACCATACAGTCTAAGCCTAGCTTAGTCGGTCATCGCCCTGAGAGATAGTGGTGATGGTGATCTTTTCAAGGGCAGCCAGAGGTCGCCCGCAGACAACAAGCATTGAACCTGCACTCCGACTGACGAGGGATTGTTTCACCTGGATCTGGAGAGCGAAAGCCAATTCGATTATACCCACTGTAGCATTTAAGCGTCCCAGGTGCAGTCCTCGAGTGCGTCCTGATATGCTACACGGGGATCTCCTCCGCGCTGTATGACAAAGACGCTGACGGGCGTCGAAGTACTCTTCCCAATAACGAAAAGGCCAGCCCAGTACTGTGTCACCATGTAGGCACAGTTCACCTCGGAAGGTAAAAGAGAAAAAAGAAAAACAAAAAGAAAAAGAAAATCCAATTCGTCTCACCTCCGAGGCGGGGCTCCCCTGTCATCCGCAATCCTCCTAGAGAGTTTTCCTCGAGAGCCACGATCGTAGGAAAACCCTGTCTAAGACTCAAAATTAGCTTGAGAAGGCTTGCAAGGCAGAGCTACGGTTGATTGCCGCCAAAATGGGGAGTATTCTATGTCATAGAAAATACTAGCTTGAGTCACTAACAAGCCAAACAGAAGGAAAACGAAAACGCAGATCGCTACGAAGCTATGGTACTGTACATGCGGCACAACAGCCAGACGGAGCTAAGGTCCTCGATGGGATTCTGCAAAATGCCACGGACGACATTGACTCCGAGACTGTTGGCAAACTGGCCGAAGCAGCTGCCGCTAATTTCACGAGTGGTGCCCAGATTATGGCCGTTCTGATACGGAGGTTGGGGAAGAAGCTCATTATCTCTGACTCAGTGGTCGAAATAACAGCACGAAGTCGGGGGAGTGGAGAAGATATCATGTCTTTTCTCCTCAAATTCCCGTCTGCACCCATTCCGGATGGCGCAGAGAGCACCTCCTGGCATCAAAGACTACCGATCAGCCCGCTGTACTCAAGATAGCGGCAGGCAGTAAGGGTACTGCATTGTTGCGCATGCTGCTACGCGAACGAAGAAATGGAATTCATAATGACCATGCTGTCCTTGAGACAGCGATCTCTAACCGATTGGCCGGCCTTGAGATACTGTCCCTGTTACTTCGCGAGCGAGGAAGTGAGATCAAGATTACTGAAGATTGGTCATGGCGGCAGTTCATAGTGGTAGAGATGAGATTCTGGAACTCTTGATCCGAGAAAGAAGAGATGAGATCAAGCCTAGCAAGCGCTTGGTCAGGGCGGTAATTTCTAACCCATACTCAAAGACAAATGTTTGTCTTACTGATTCGAGAACGAGGAGATGAGATCAGTAGCATCGAGGACTTACTCATGGTCGTTGTTTTATATGCGCAAAATAGCCGTCAAGTGTTGGATCTTCTCCTCAAAGACAGGTGGACCTGAATTTAAGCTCAGCGAGGCATCAAGGAGCGTCCTCTTTCGGATACACGGACACAAGTGGCGGATCACAGAGAATGTGGTAAAGGCCGCAGCGACAAAAGATAAAAGGGAGCTACTGTACGCCCTGCTGGAAGATAAGGAAGTCATGACAAGTGACGAGTACGCCTGAGTCCGACAACTCCAGGCTGTTGGGTACAGCTTGGACGAATTGACTGATCTTCTTATTGAGAGTGTGAGCGACTCACCCTGGATTTACTTTGAGCCCAGCCCCAAACCCACATTCGATATTCGACCTGATCGTCATATTCCTCGGTGTTGTCATGGTGCCTGTTTACCATAACAATTGGGCTCCTACCCGAGTCGTCAGACATCGTTCCCAACCGGGAGCTTGACTCAGATAATGCTATCGATACTATGCAAGAGCTGTGTGGTATCGCAGGAATTATTCCAACCACTCGGATAGAAGGCAACTGGAACGGACATGCTGAATTCGACAAGGATGGTCGAAACGTCTCGATATCTTATAAACTCCCCACGGATTGCTCAACTGAAGACAGCCACTTCGAACAAACGTTTGCCCACCTAGAACTTCGGTCTCATCGGGATTCACCCGACGAAAGAGACACCTCATCTGGTCGAAGCAATACCATTCAAATAGGCCACTATGCGAGATATGAAGCGTGCAGTGATAATAGCGACGCTGAGGCAGCGGCAGGCCTCATGATGTTGAAAATGGCAACTGATGAAGACAGTGCCTAAGCAGAGCAGTCTCAAGACCGCCTCCAGCGAGAAACTATTGCATCACCTATCAGTGCTTATGGAGGCGATCGCACACACACGCAACACCTCTAACTGACTATGTAGCCAGAATACTAAAAGCATTTCGAGGCTTGGGTTCCGCCGTCGGATTCGCACAGGCGCATAACATGCGCTGCGACTGCTTCACAGTCATCAAGTCGGATCTTCGAATCATGAGGCTCAGGCCGCATTCCAAGGAGAGTTGATCCAGGTGAATTTGAAGCTGGTCATTGCCCTAGCTGATGCTTTAGCGTCGGTAGAGCGCGGTTCATGGGAAGAGAATTGCACCGGATTGAGTGAGCTTTTCGAGCCGAGCCCTCCAAGGCGATATTGGATTATGTCTCGCCTAGCGGGACCGAGACTGCAATCAACGGACACATAATATGGTTTCTTCATATTTGCCCCCTAGCAGTCCAGTCCCTTTGCCTGGGTTTCATATCCTATGTTCAAGCTCATGTTGGCCCTATACGTCCTTTTTTTCCTGGACGCGCCATTGAGGCAAGTGAGGCTAAGAGGTCTAGGTAAGGAAGACTGTTTCCCTTATTTTATAGCTGATCTCTTTGATCTCACCTGTTTCGGCGATATGAGGCGTGGCCCAGTACTGATGCTTCATGCGTCCAGACACCCACAGTGGTCAAACTATGGGAATGCAGTTGAATAATTTGACATCCTCGGTCACGTCCAGGCCATACTAGATACATGGGGCCCAGGCAATGTGATCTATTGCCGGACGCCGTCCATGTCAGTGAACAGTGGTTCTCATAGACCACCTGTTCCATTTGCTGTCAGAGATGTGGACGCATTATCTACAGGCTCAGAGGTCAGACGTTTCATTGGTTTTCAAATTGTTGACGGCGCCGTCGATCTGGACGCCATAGATCTCGAGCGACCACTTTTGATTGGTGCTCTGGCCAAGGAGAATACTAAATGCAGCTTAAGCGAAACGAAGTACCTTGAGCTTTCAGTCAATGCTATGGAGTACCTAGGAACGAGTCAATCTACCTGGTTAATGTCACAGCGACAATTCGCTTTTCAGGGAGGTCAATACGTGGTTGGCCAGTGGTCTGAACCTGGAACAAGCAGAGGCGTATACCGGTCAAAGATGTAGCCTTCACAAGTTCGGATCAACAGCTTGTCTTCCAGTTCATCGACGAGTACTGGGGGTTCAAGTAAGCTATTGCACAGGCATGGCTAGGAGGGTGCCCTTACGAGCCGCTTGGGACAGGCCTCGTGTGGTAATTCTCTATTGGCTTGGGTATCGACACAAACTGTGGTGTTGTGCAGAGACTCAGGGACGGGGTCTCCAAGCCGTATGAGTTTCAAAATTAGTTCAAGACGTTGGGAGAAGCTTCAGGGGCAAAGTTATCAGGCTTGATCCGGAGAATAATTGAGACCCTGAGGCCCACAGGCTTGGATCCAACGGGAAAATATGTCTGTATAGCGTGGCCGTTCGACGGCTATCTGACTCGTTGCTTGAAAATTTCCCTCGACGGACAAAAGTTCTTGGGCTAATATACTGGCTGACTCGCATGATTCCGCGACCTTTGCGTATATCACGATGAAATGCCTGGAGACAGAGAACGTTAAATGCAACGCAACTGGGGAAACGCGCCACCATGGCCTATACTTGCTTGAACCAGCCGTCACTGGTACGACACACGGGAAAGCCTCAAACGCATGGGTCTTGCTTCACGATGATATCTGCTACTTTTCGAAGTTAGACAACACGTTCTGTGTCAAGGTAAGAAAACGATTTACAGGTGAATCGACAAGTCTTGTTGAGTTGCTAGCCCTTCAGTCTTTACTGTACAACTCCCGGCAGAGACTGCATGTAACTGAAAAGAAAAAAAAACGGGCTCAATTGCGTGAGCATGCTATGACGTCGCGTCAGGCGGGAATTGTCTTCGTGACTTCCGTTGATCCTTGATGAGTCGATGGATGTGGATGGGCTCTGTAGAGTTGATGGAGACTGAGGGAGGAGAAACGGGGATATTGACGAAGTTCCAAGTTCAAGGTTCAAGTTCCGAGTAGCACCTACTGAGTTCAGATGCTCCCAGAGTCGCCTGAGGCATCATCGTACCTTCCTATGAGCAGATTGCAGTGCACTGTACGTATACTGAACTTAAGAAAAACAGGGTATCTTCATTTCAATACAGCAAATGTTATAATTCAATCACGTTCAACAAGCAAGGGTATATGGCTATAGTGGCTTAAAGACCAATCGACAAACCAGGTTCCCCATCTTCTTTCATGTACTCTCTCTTCTACCTATAAATCCCCTAACTGAAACTTGCGCGAATTAAGCTCTTTCCACGTGGACGCACTCAAATCAAACCCGTTCAGCCATCGGAGGAGCTCTCTAGCGACTTTAGCCGCAGATGCCCCACCGAAGTTTACAAATTTGAATGTCACCCCCTGATGATCTCAAGGTGGGCTTCCGATGTGGAGGGCTGCGAGTTCCCCTGCTGCAGACTGTGAATGGTTTGCTTCATATCGTGCAGTTCGCTCCACAAAGAGGTGAGCCCCAACTGCTGGTTGGTGGGATCAATGGTGAGGCGGGTGATGTCCTGCGTGACAATGTTGATCTCCTGCATGATGGAGTTGATGTAGATGGCTATCTGCTCATGCAGGACATTAAGCTGTTGGCGGATGGAATAGAGTTCCGTGTTGAATTGTCTTTGCATGGTGTCCATTTGAACATATACGTGGTTCAGACACTGGCTGTTTAAGGCTTGACGGCGGTTTTGAGATGAATTCCGACGCGTGTTTTGGGACCGAGCAGACATTGTATTGGTGATGATGAAGAGAGTTGCTGATGAAGAGAGTTGATGATGCAGTAGATGGTGATGCGGTAAATGATGATGAGGGAGATGATGCGGGAGACGATGATGATAGTGGTGATAACGATAGTGATAATGAGAAGTGCTTGGATGGAAGTGTAGGATCTGGAAAATTGGAAAAGGGCACTTGGGAAAAGGTAGTGTTGGGATGGAACAGATACGGAAGGGGTGGAGGGTAAACCCAGGGCCACAATATCATTAGGAGCTGATTTCTCTTATGATTTTACTAGCTTTGAGGATTGCAAATCAATGGTCCTATGAGTTCATTTCCACACTACAGTAGGGTCTCTTTTCAGTAGGTAGAACGATGATGACTAGAACTAGACGAATGTGACTCATACACAGTGTTGACCGACGATGATGTAGCGGAATGGAGGTATATTTAAAGGCTCTCAGGCCTTCAGGCTGCCAGATGATGACAAAATGGGCAGTGTTGGAACGAGACGGTCACACCTATTGCGCCAATGCGTCTTCATCGAAATACGAAATGAAATACGGTGACCCTCTACTCGAGTCTGCCTTTTTAAATCACAAGCACTGGCATGGCTATATGGCGTTCATTCAATGAGTGATCCCTAACAAGGTATGCATCTGAAAGTTCAATCAAAGCCTTATTCATTCCCTCCTGACAATGGATATGCTAGCTGCCTCTTGAAAAGTCGGTGCTCTTTTCTCAGCTATACCTCTCACCGTGCAATACACAGTTTCATCTATCCCTCAAATGGAGTTTCGTAAGGCGCTTCAGCCTGTGGCGTGATTCTAGCGAGGTGTCGTCTCTGACCATCCTCCCAATCGAAGAGGGCACTATGCGCCGCCACCCGGTTCTGTAATAGTCAGCCCTGTCAATATCATACATAGTGGTTCAACGGCACTTACATCCCACACAACGACGGTGCCTGGGCGCCAGCGAACCCGTGTTTGAATGTCTGCAGACAGCGCAATATGGTCGTATAGAAACTTCAGGAGGTATTCCGATTCCTCCTTCTTGTATCCGACAATGTAGCGAGTGACTGAACTTTTATTAGACGCTAGCCCTTATGATATAGATGGCGGCCATAACTTACACTGTGGGTTGACGAACAGCGCTTTTTCCCCAGTAACCTTGGCAGCATATTAACAGAAATCTTCTTCATCTCACCCCATCTCGAAATAGACTTACTGGATGAGTTCGAACGATTGGGTGCTCAGATATGATAGGGTCCCGTCGTGCAATGCCACCCTTGTTGAGGCTGTTGTTGACCTGTTCAATGCCGGAGTGAACTGCTTTCAACCCGTGCAGCCTCTTCCGGAATTCTGGTGAGAGGCGTCGGTAAGCCTGCGCCATATCCGCAAAAAGAGTGTCCCCTCCAGTTGACGGCCCGTCCAAGAGGTATAGGAATGTGGTGCCTGGGGGCTGCTTCTCGAACGTTACATCGGAATGCCAGGTAATCGAGTTGGTGTGCGTCGCCAGAAAGTCGGCGCCACTCGTATCGTCAGCTCCACGGTGAACGAGGTGAATTTCTGGAAAGCCCTTAGGGGCTCCAGATGTCTGATGAATGTGGTGTCGGCCGAAGTAGCCACCCCATTCGAGGGCTATGTCGATTGGAAGATGCGCAAAATCTTGATCACGGAAGGCTATAAAGAAATCCAGCATCAGCAGGAGGCCAGGCGGATTACCGTGCAACTAGACTCGTGACAATAACTTACCGACAACCTTTCGTTGCGCAACGAACCGAGCTAACTGGTCCTTGCCTTCCTTTGTCAACTGGCTCAGTTGGACACCACGAACTTCGCTGCCGATTGTGGGAGTGAGCTCGTCCACTTGGACCTTGTCCTTGGGAAGGAGATCAGGAAAAAAGAGATCCGCATCCTTGCCGTGATCATAATGCTCAAATGATTGCAGTGGGGGGTATCTGCGAGGATCAGTGGGTGATTTGAGGCGTGCAAGAGATTAGAGTTAACGCCGAACCTCTCTGTCTCGTTGTCCCAGACGGGGAGGTAGTTCGGAAACGATGCGGGCGGCTGCTTCTCTGTGCCTTTGATCTCTTTGTCATGCTTATAAATCTCTGCATATCCGATTGAGTTCTCCTTGTTGAAACCAGAATCGGTTTTCAGTTCCGACACGGGCTTTGCCCGGAGAGAAAGGGTTGCGGTTTCAGTGATAGATGGTGCCATGGTATTTGATTGAAATGGAATAATCTGGGTCAATGATTGCTCCTTCTTGAACTGACTCCAGGCTGATGAGGCGACCCTGTAAACTGTCATATATACTCATCATCCCTCGCACAAAGATCCGACCTGCTGTCACGCAATCTCTGCGGGGTATGCATGTCCAAGTGAAATCCGTCAGTTGCTGGTTCGCAAGGAGGGAGGTATCATCGAACCAGCAGTAGAGAATTAGATACAAGGTTTCGAACGATAACGACATATAGGCATCCGTGCTCGTCTCGAGGAGGAATGATGGACGTTGATAAGATTATCGTACAGGTGGCGTAATGGTCTATGGACGGAGTTTCCAATTTGGTGGTGATTTTCGTACAACAGCTCTTGGTAGACTTATTTTTCTTGAAAGTACACTCCAAGTAGCCGCCACTCTGGGGCAGGCGAGACCGCGTTCCGCATGGCTGATGCTGATTGAGGCGAACGTGGTTAGTGCAGCATGGCGTGATAGCGATGGCCCCTGGCGCAACTCGACCCCTCCAAAGCTCAAACAAGCTCAATTCCACCTGTTCCACCATCAGTGCTGGAGAAATCGCTCGTCTACGCTCGATCAAAGATTTGAATTAGAAGTATTCTGTTTCGCGACGGAATTATTTGCGATGTAGTCGCAGATAAGGTGGAGCGGAGTTCATCCGATGTTGCTGAGTGCATGTCAATTCAGTGACTTTACATTGATCTTAATCGGTCCGGGAGGAACTCACAGTATACAAAGAATATTCGCCCTAATGAGAATGGATGCAGATGTTGTCATATCGCAGGCGAAACATATCACCATCGACCAGTGTGATGATGAGATTGTAAGATTGTACGATTGTGCAAGTACGGGTATAGTGTAAAAGTAAAGAGCAGCCACCGCCTAACTAAGGAATTCCGGCTAAGTAGGCAGCTTCGGCCGTTTCCCGCAGCGGCGGAGATTTGAACTACCGTCTTGAACACTCGACGCTAATTAACTCCCGGACTTCATTCGCTCCTCCTGACTTGTTCCCATAACGTCACTTATGCTTCGTTTGCGTGATCACATATGTGAGACCAGAGGAGACCGCAAAGCACTGAAATCTTGTATCGATATCCACAGTCTGACGGCCCAAACCCCGCCGCCATGGCTACGCTTAACGTTAGTCTTGATACTATAACCCTCTCTACCACGGGCAATCTTACTCCATCGCCTATCGCCCGAGATATCTGGATTTTTCTGGCTCATTACGTTCAATTCATGATTGGCTACGTCAAACTCTACACAAAACTTCAACTAGCCATTAGACCATCTGCATACTTGCTTGCCGAGAGATTGCGTGATGGAGCTTCATGCTTGCCTGCTTCAAGATGAGTATCTAAATGAGCTCTCTCGGGCCTGCAATCATCCCTTAAAGGTTCTTCGATTGCCAGAAAAAGACGAGCAACTATAACTTGCCTCCCAGCGATCAAACTTCTTTATCGGCAAGATGGGCTCGGACAACGTTCACGACATTCTCGTGGACACAGCTCCCGTGGGGGACGACACCAAGAAAACGCTAGTCGCTGCAGTGGCATCGGGCTCATCAACATCCTCCCTCGAGCTTTCTGCTGTGCGGCGGGTAAAGTGCGACGCTGCATTCGACACTTCGGAGGACCCCCGGCTTTACAAGCCCATCCCAGAGTATGAGGGCATCCACCGATGGGATCCCTACTTTGAGTGGACAGAGGCCGAAGAAAAGGCTCTCATCAAGAAGGTACTTTTTGGTCAATGGACTGTGTTCTTATCCATGCATCGAGCTAATGGCATGCAGATTGACTGGCGAATTTGCACGTTTGCATGCGTGACCTTCTTCGCGCTCCAACTCGACAGAGGCAATGTCGTCCAAGCTAATTCAGACTCTATGCTAGAGGATTTGGGGATGAACACCAATGATTACAACAACGGACAGACGATCTTCCTCCTCACATTCTTGTTTGCCGAGCTACCGTCGCAATTGCTCTCCAAGAAGGTCGGACCAGACCGCTGGATTCCTTTTCAAATGGTTTCATGGAGTTTGGTCGCTGCATGCCAGGCATTTTTGAAGAACAGGACTGGATACTTCATTTGTCGAGCCCTTCTTGGATGTTTAGAGGGTGGATTGTGAGTTGAGCTTGGATTCTGAAGACGGATGGTTCGAGCTGATTTCTACTAGCATTGCGGATACTATCCTATTCCTGTCCTTTTTCTACAAGTCCAAGGAGTTGCCAGTGAGACTCAGTTACTTCTGGGTCTCCTACCAAGCCACTTCAATTGTTAGCGCTTTCCTGGCGGTTGGCTTTCTTCATATCCACAATTCTGACGGTAAAGGTGGCTGGCGGTACCTCTTCGCGTTTGAGGGTCTCATCACTGGAGTCATCGGAATCATCGCTGTTTTCTGGATGCCTGCTTCACCGACGCAGACCAAGGGAGGCTTCCGGGGCAAAGATGGCTGGTTCAATGAGCACGAAGAGAAGATTCTCGTCAATCGCGTGCTGCGTGACGATCCCAGCAAGGGGAGCATGCACAATCGTCAGGCTGTATCGCTCAAGATGCTTTGGACCGCTCTCTGCGACTACGATATGTGGCCGATATACTTGATTGGTCTTACATGGATGATTCCTAACACACCCGCAACGAGCTATATCACCCTCGAGCTCAAATCACTCGGCTTCGGTACCTTCCAAACGAACCTTCTTACCATTCCTGCCTATGTCATCTTCATCATCAACCTTCTCTTCTGGACTTGGGTCTCCGAGCGCTTCAACCAGCGGTTGCTGCTTGGTCTTGTGTATGAAGTATGGGCCCTGGTTTTGCTCATTGCACTAGTCGCCTTGCCGGACGAGGCTAGCACATGGGGACGATGGGTTATTCTTATCTTGTTGATCGGCGCACCCTATATTCATGCCGTCATTGTGGCCATGACGTCCAGAAATGCAGGCTCGGTCCGAACACGCACGGTGGCTAGCGCTGTGTACAATATGATGGTGCAAGTGTCTAACATTATTGGCAGTCAAGTAAGCGATCCCCATCCTCTTAGCTTGTGGTGAAAGTCAACTAACATTTCGCACAGATCTATCAAGAGAAAGACAAACCGTACTACCGTACCGGCAATAAGGTGCTGATCGCCATAGCGGTGTGGAGTATGCTCACATTCGTTGGAGCCAAGCTCTACTACATGTGGCGTAACATGTATGTGGTCCCAACGATGACTATTCTAGATTGCTGCTAACATCCTCACTCAGACGCAGGGCCGCCATATGGGACGCTATGTCCAGCACCGAGAGAGAGGCATATCTGGCCGATGTCGCCGACAAAGACCTTGGAAACAAACGGTTAGGCCCCTTGACTCTTCTCTTACATTTCATCTTCAATCTAACGAAACCGCAGTCTCGACTTCCGCTTCACCCACTGAACCGAACTCCTGTATATACCTAACGAACCATCTGCACATGCCGGTTGCCAGAGCGATCATGTGGCTCAATTGACTGCTAATGACCTTAAAAATAGATGATGAATAGATTAGCATCTTATACAGACCAGCATCTTTGATGACTCATGTCATATAGAGCTTATAATTCAATACCAGGTTAGATAAACAACCAAGGCAGACGTAGAAGTGTCGAGCTATAGCTAGAGCGCGAATTGCTTTTGATCGCGAGCGGATAAGCAAATAGGGCGTAGGGCGGAGGCGGAGATGACCGGATTGTCAATTCATCGGCCAGCCACCACAAGACTTCCCCGCATCATAACATCAGTACTCGAAAGCACCTCAATCAATGCCAGTTCAGAGACATACTGTACATACCTTATAGAACGAAACAATGTCGAAACCCACACCGATCCACTTCTTCGACATCAAGTCAATCCTTTCCGGTATATTGACCAAGCCCCTCCCAATCCAGAACACCAAAAAACATAGGTACGTATTAGGTAGCAACAAAACTAACGCCAACCACCAGGACCTGCGCGAGCCTGGTCGCCCAACACGATCAAAACGCGAATGGTGCTCAACTACAAGCAACTCCCCTACACGCAGACCTTCATCTCATACCCGGACATCGCGCCGTTGCTCTCGCACATGGGCGTAGCCCCGCAAGCCGAAGGCCGCACCTACACGCTGCCAGCCATCCACCACCCGGCCTCGCTCCCTCCCGCTGACAGCCCTTCCTCCGGCACGACGCTGATGGACTCGCTCGCCATCGCCACGCACCTCGACGCCGCCTTCCCCACCCCGTCCATATTCCCGTCGGGAGACGCCAGCTACGCCCTCGCGCTGGCCGTGAGCAAGCTCATGGGCGCCGTCTGGACCCACGCCGTCCCGCTGATCGTGCCCCGAGTCGCCGACTTCCTCGACCCCCGCGGCCGCGAGTACTTCATCAAGACGCGCTCCGCGCAGTTCGGCATGCCGCTCTCCGAGGTCCGGCCCCGCGATGACCGCGAGGTCGAGCGCCTGGTCGCTGCCATGAAACGCGAGATGACTGTCATCGTGATGATGTTGCGCGGCCGTCGGGGCACGAAAGAGCGGAGTGGCCCGTTCTTTGAAGGTGCGACGCCCGGTTATGCGGACTTTTTGGTCGTAGCGGTGTTGGCGTGGTTCGAGAGGGCCGATAGGTCGATCTGGGCGGAGATGCTGGGGCTGGGTGATGGGGAGGTTAAGGCGCTGTGGGAGGCTTGTTTGCCGTGGGTGGAGGGCCAGGGGGAGGAGATGAGTGACGAAGAGTGGGTGATTCCGAGGTGAATCTGCCTTTTTGAAGGTCTCTCGGAGTATAAGGGTCTGGGTGGCTGGGAGTGAGAGTTGTGTGAAGTGTAGAAAGCATTCCATTTCGCGCCTGGTCTGGGGGAAAATAGTACATAATAAGCAAATGAAAATATGAGTTACAATGAGAAATGGCTCTCTTCAGAGCAGTTGCCTTCCACCCGGGGTTATCAACACCATCGTACATTGTGAGTCGTCTGGACAATGGCCCGTCCAACGTAAATAGACCTCCCACAGAGAAATTCGCAGATCGCCCAAAAGACACACTCTAGGTTTACAACCCGCGCAGGAAGTTGGCCTCTCTGATACCCTTCCTCCGTGCGTCTCTCGCGCTCCGGGTGATCTCGGTCCGCTTCTCGAGACTCTCGGTGGCGACGGTCAATGTATCTTGAGCCTCGCCCTGGGCGCGGTTGTAGGGGGCAGGTGTGATGTCGGTGGCATGCTCGTGGATGGGGATCACGGGGGGAAGGGTCGCGGCGCGGGCAGCCATCTTCTTGTCGTAGCGCTTGCGCTGCTTCTTGTTCAAGGCTGTGGTACAGAAAAGAAAATTAGTTAGGCAAACGAGTCAAGCTGCAAGAAGTTTGCGCAAGATGGAGGGTGGGCTCTGCTTACTGCTTGGATCAACACCGCCCTGATCAGTCTTCCCCTTCTTGTTGTCGTCTAACAAGCCCCACAGCCAGTCGGGATATTCCGAGTCGTCCAGCGCGACCACATCAGGCTTGTTCTTGAAGTAGTTGAGCCCGTTCATTTTCGTGCCAGCGACGCAGATACTGGCGGGGCGTTTTACTTCGGCCTTTCGAGGCTTGCCGGGGTGGGCATTGCTGTGGACGCCCTCCGGAGTGCTCAATGGTTGCGACACCCCAGGGGTAGCGGACGAGATGGCGGACGCGACGGTGATATCGGCCACGCCAGGTTGTCGGGGCGAAGGTGGCGGCGGCGCGGCGGACACGGTGGGCTTGCCGTCACTGTAGTTGCGGAATTGAGACCGCTGGATGGGGAGAGGAAGCTGGCGTGCACCAGACAGGGCAGGCGACGTGACCGTGTGCTGCTGGAATCGAGACAGGATGCCGGTCCGGCATCGTTGGCAAATCATATTGGGCGTGTGTCTGGCGGGTTGTGACTGTCGTCGAGACGGGAAAAAGGTATGAAGGTGACTTGCTCTGCAGTATCAGGGATATGCCGTTCTCAGCCCAAATGAAAGCCGTGCACGCTGAATTGAATGCTGTGTAATGAGATGCTACTGGCCGACACGCAGTGCACTGTCAAGAAAACTGCGGCATGAATTTGATGCCAAGCCGGAGGTGAATATATCACGTGACTATCCATGCGCGAGGATCCAACAACATTGCGAAAATCTCTCAAGCTAGAGAGTCGAACCCCAACAGGTAGGTGTCTAGGAGGCTTTTTAAGAAGGATCTTGCTTAGTGACATATTCGGAGAGTGTTGAGTGTGCATTTTCTATTCGTATATGGGCAGCATCGAATCATATCAAAGTCATGTGATTTTCTTAACTGAGCCGAAGGTCCGAGCTTTCGATAAACCGATTTGGACATCCTGACGGCCCGATCGATATACTTCAATTCAGATCTTCCAACAAGATTCCTTTGACATCTTCCATCGCTTCTACTACCTTTGTAACACTAATCCTAGTTATAATCTTGCACCTATCTCTTCAACCGTCTTCTGTTCTCTCCGTTTGCCATCAACACCAGTTCACATATAAAATATGCCACGGACATCAACTGTGACACGAACTTCCTCAGCAACCTTTCGCCCGTCTTGAACTAAACCTTCTATGAATCACGAAGAGCTCATCATTGAGGCCACTCTTTTCTACCCCGGTCGAAGCAATCTCATGGGCTAAAGGATGGGAATATACTGTGACATCCGACGGATAACGTAGCTGCACATGTGCCGAACGGGTCCAAGGCAGTTTCGCATGCGGCATTTATGAATCTACAACCTTGTCGATAATTCCCGAGCGCTTGTTGATACACTACAAGGCTCCCACAGTGCAGATGTGTCATGTCTCGATCGTCTAATAAACCTGTTATGTGACAATTGCCCCCGCGCGGACAACTTCCGCACAGGATCCTCGCCTTCATCGACCGCAACGGAAATGTCAACGAACAATGCAGGAACCGTGTATCATGCCATCCCGTCCCTGGAGGGCTTTGTGCATTATCACTCACATCCCATGCATGTCGACTGCCGTGTATACCGTGGCGTCCAGCCAATGCCTGCAGGATGTCCAGCGCGAAGCACATTACTGGAAACAAAGGACAAAGCTAAGGCAGGCTACGCAATTTTCTCCAGAATCCTTCACATTGCTTGTCTGACAGTTGGAATTTCCATTGGTTCTAGACGTTCTCCCTGTGAGCACTAGTCTCTCATGTTCATCTCCGGGATGGTCGTCTGAGCGGTGTTATCTTGCTTCGAACGTCTGATAAGAACTGATGGCCCTTCCTGGAGTCCCTTCCTTGCTTAGATATGTCGGTTCTCAACATTTAAGAGCAAAGGTGCCCTGCACAGAGGGCATCTTCCTAAAGGAAACGAGGCTGACAGGCTGTCTGACTAATCAGTCACCCGAACATGTCTTCCTTCCCCTCTATGCTTTTTCTCGCTTATGTTTCCACCTCCCCTCTTCCCCCCTCCATCATAGCCAAGACCACCTACCTACCTGCCCTGCCTACTACTGTGACGAGAGTGCTTGCTGGTGGCTACAAGTAGCATGTCTAATCTGGTGAAGGCATTCGTCTTACCTACCTTATTGGACTTAGCTTATCTATAGGTAGCATGCTGATGGACTACAGCGTCCTTGACCACATATCGCATGGTCCTCAGCAAAAGCGGAAAACCATCGTTGATCCGGACTACTAGCACTACCCATTAAGGAATACGAAATGCTTCGTACTCAGCGAACAAACCACCAGTCTTGCGGAACGAAAGTCAGATGTACAGTGATTTCAAGTGCATACTGTGCTCTGGAATGAATGTACCGAATGCGTTCGTCTCTATCATGCAAAATAAGATGAGTTGCTTCAGGCTGTCGAATTATCTCCCAACACACGAGGAGGCTTAGCGAAGGATATATGAAAGGTGGTAACCAAGAGAAGATTATGACAGTCACGGGATGACAAACGAAAAGAAAACCATGGAAAGCGAAACACCAAACCAAGCGCCACATAGATGAAACAGGATGATTAAAACAAGATCCGAGGCCTACGAGGAGAGGCCACTGACATCTAGGAAATTACACAAGTTCACACACGCGTCTTTCAGCGTCTTCTCCGTTTTCCACTCAAGCTCGTTCTGGGATCTGGTCGCCACTGCGACGCACGAGCCCACATCGCCAGCACGACGTCCAGCCGCCTTGCGGGGAATGGGCTTGGAGGACACGCTCTCCATGGTCTTCACCACCTCCATCACCGAGTGGCCACGTCCCGTGCCCAGGTTGAAGGTACGGAAGTTCTCGACCAACTTGCCTTCGTTGGCGGCACTGAGGGCAGCGATGTGCCCTCGAGCAAGGTCGGTGACGTGGATGAAGTCGCGGACGGCAGTGCCGTCCTCGGTGTCCCAGTCCGTGCCGAACATTTGCAGTTCCGCATACTGGCCCGTCATAACCTTCACGACGACGGGGAGGAGATTGGTAGGTATTTGGCGAGGATCCTCGCCAAGGAGGCCTGACTCATCGCATCCGATGGGGTTGAAGTACCGAAGGGCCACGATGGTCCATTCGGGATCGGAGACCGCGAGGTCCGCTAGGATGGCCTCGCAGATCCATTTGGTGCGCCCGTAAGGGTTGGTAATGCCCGTGCATCCGGGTCTGATGAGTTGCTCGGTTCCGGTGTGGTCCTTGAAGGTCTCCTCCTTGTGGACGCAGAGTTCCTCCTTCAGCGGTAGGCCGGAGGTTGCCAGCGTGCCGTACACGGTGGCCGACGACGAGAAGATGAAGGTCTTAATGCCATAGTCACCCAAGGTGGTGGCGAAGTCGATGAGACCACTGACATTGTTGGCATAGTACTTCAGAGGGTTCCTGATACTCTCCTCAACTGCTTTGTAAGCAGCGAAGTGGATGACGCCAGCAATCTTGGACTTGGGGGACCCCCACCGCGAGGGCGCCTGGTATTGATCGAGCAGCTCGCGGAGAGCAGCCGTATCCCGGTAATCATGGGCATGCAACTGCAAGGAAGGCATGCATGTTCCTTGTTGCTCATGATGGTTGGACGCCAGCTGCTTGATGCGGTCGAAGACGCTCTGGAAGGCGTTGCTGAGATTGTCGATCACGATTACATTATAATTGGCTTTGAGTAGCTCCAATGTTGTGTGACTTCCGATGAACCCGAGACCCCCTGTAACGAGGATGTACTGATCGAGGGGAAAGTTGCGCAGCAACTCTTCGAGATTGCCATCAAACAAGACGGACGATTGCGTCGCTGGCGTATCCACGAAGCCCGGGGAGCAGAGCTCCACCGGAGAGCTTGCGTCGGACTGTCGAGGGCTCTCCATTATTGGCAATGAAGAAGGAGGGGGAAAGGGAGGGGAGGGGGTTTGGATGTAAGTGCCAGAAGAATAGGAAGTACAACTTGGTGGGTGAAGCAGATAAGAGAAGCCTTGGTCAGACAATGACAAGGAAACGAAAGACTTTTATTCGAGCGAGGGTAGATGATGGTGGGTGACTCCGGACAAGATCGGGACCAAGAGACAGGAGTTCACAAATCTTATATCCCTTTGGCAGAACGAGTGGCGGCCCTATGCTATGGGGTTCTCCGATGTAACCGGTGCTGGATCTGGCCAGCTAGGTTGGGCGATGATATCGTGATCGGTGACTTGCTTATTTACAACCAGGGAACATGGCCATGCGAAGCGAATGGATACCAGAGACAGGAAGCCAAAGACGAGGAGTAAGAGGAAGGGGTTGAAAGAGGAAGAAATAATTAATTAGAAAAAAAGAAAACAGAAGAAGACGATGAAGAAGGAGAAGGAGAAGAAGAAGAAGGAGAAAAAAAAAAGAATAAAATAAATTGAAGAGAGGAATTGGGTGAGAGCGAGCGTTGGAACCAGAGGATCTGGAAGAAGACGAAGACGAAAGAGAAAGAGGAAAAGAGAGAAAAAAAAAGCAAATATAAAGAGTCGACGATGTCAGCGAGAGATCTTATTGGGATGGGGAACAATCGGGGGTCTAGAAGGCTGACTGAATGAGTGCGCGATTGAGTGAGTGAGTAAGTAAGTGAGTGATTGATTCGACTTAGCCTTCAGGTTTGGGGTATCTCGCCTCCTTGGTGAATATTTTTATTTTTTTTATTATTTATTATAATTGTTGGATGACTTGGAGGACTGGACTCGATTTTCGATCGAACTCTAGACGCCTCCACCGAGACAGACTACTTGCAGCAAGAATTGCAAGAGAATCGGCAAGAGAGAAACCGTCAGGGAGCATCAGCAATCTCGAGTACATACCGTACCTACATCATCATTGATTGTTGATTATCCTATACGAAACGAGAGTACGGAGAAGACACAGGCAGAGAGAGAGGGAAAGTACAGTAAGTAGGTAAGTAGGGGCAAAATCAGAAACAGAAAAAGGAATTGCTCCAACAACAGGAGATGAAATGTTGCTGCTTGGTGCTGCTCTTGCTGCAACGTACTGCTACTACTAATTTGCTGGTACTTGCTGGTACTTGCTGCTGCTGCTGCTGCTTTTGCTAGTGCTTGGTTGCTGTTGCTGCATGGGCGAAACCCTGCCCCGCTCTATTTTGGGCTCGCGCGCGCCAATGTCTGCTTCTTTGCGCTTTACCTGCTGTTTTTCCCCCCCTTCCTTTACTCACACACTCTCACTTTTCCCACACTCACGACTCACCATCATCAATTAATTTAGTTACGTTTAGAAGGCTGACTAGACTACTACTTAATTCTAGTCCTCCAAGGCCCGGGTTCTGGCACCACTCCCCCACTATGGAGCCTGGAAGCCCTCCACCACCATCACCACCACCCCCAACCATTACTAGCCGAATCCACTTCGCAGTACTAATTTAGGTCGCCCGCAATTTGGTGCGCACGGTTTCAGTCTTTCATTATTCTACTCCTGGTTCATCACAATCAGCATCATCATCATCATGCTGGGGCAAGGAAAACACGTGAGAGACCGCCGTTGTCTCCAAAGCACTCGCTCACGAATTATCCTGGCCGTCTTTGTTATCATTGCCATTCTCGCCGTCGTCATTCCCCCAGCCGTTGTGGTCACTCTACACAAAAAGAACAGCATGGGTCCCAAAGCCTCGGTTTTCGTTCCGCTCTATGTGTATCCTGCTCCCGGTGCCTGGGATCCGCTAGAAAAAGTGTACGTTTTTTTTTTGGTCTGTCTGGTCTTCATGCTTTTATCAGCACCATATCGAATCAACCACCATCCACCACCCCTTCATACACCCCTCCCCTAGTCCCATCACCCCCCTCTGACCCCCCCCAGCCAACCATACATACTCTTTTTTTTTCGGTCCATGATCGCGCCAGATGTCAGCCACTGGAACCACCCCCGTGGCATGATACAGGTAACCTCATTGTATGGTGGACTCAGCTAAGCGCCACAGGGTCTCTGAACATCCCGATGTGAACTTCACGGTTGTCGTCAACCCCGGTAGCGGCCCTGGGCCCAATGCCTTACCTGATGCCAACTATACGCGAGAAGTTCCCAAGCTCGCCACCTATGACAATGTCCGTCTACTAGGTTATGTCGCTACCACGTACGCGAACCGCAACATCTCGTTGGTGCGCCACGACATCGAGACCTATGCGGCGTGGCCGACCAACAGTTCCAACCCGAAGCTCGCGGTTCGGGGCATATTCTTTGACGAAACGCCTCAGCAATACGATGCGAATACCTTGGCATATCTCCAAGAGCTGACTGAGGTGGTGAAAAGCCATCCGGGCCTTGGGCCGGATAATTATGTATGTGAGACGTTTTTTCCTTCTCCCCGTATTCTCATTACCAGACCAGCGGGTTGATCCCATCCCCCAACAACAATACATGGTTTTCATACATACCGTACCGACCACAATCTCGATTCCCGGTATTTTCGAAAATCGGCACCACCCCTTTCCGGATTTTCCTTGCTCTATTGTTATTTTTCTGGACGTTTTTCTTTTTCCTTTTCCATCTTTTCCTGGAAAAAAAAATATGTCGACAACGAACTGCTTCGATGTCGAATGAACTCCCCTTTTCTTATGTCCCGAACTTCCACTCGGTCCGGTTCGGATCGCCGTCTGGACTGTTCGCTGTCTTTGCCTCTATGAGGAAAGATTGAAACAGGCGGGAAGAGAGAAACTCGGCTAGTTTCCAGCGCTCTCGGCCCTTTCCCTCGAGCGCAGTCTAGCCAGCTGAGCTGAGCCCAAAGCTATCGTCCACTGAACATCGTCACTACGTACTAAATAAACTACTCAAACGAGGCTAACTTCGCTGGCTCGTTCGTGTCCTCAGGTCGTCCACAACCCCGGCGTGATCCCCGACTCTCGGTACCTGAACACCGCTGATTCGACCGTCGTCTTCGAGGCGACTTACCAGACCTTCCTGGACCGCCACGGGGCTAAGCTCTTCGAGGAGATCCCGAACAGCACGCGCCAGCAGCTCACGGCTGTCGTGCACTCGGTGCCCGCCAGCGTTGAGGGGTCGCACTTTCGCAGCCTGGTTAAGCAGGTGCGCAAGGTCGCGGATGAGGTCTTCATCACCCATCTCGATACGAACTACTATGCTAGCTTCGGCGGCCAATGGGAGCAGTTCGTCGATCTGATGGCGAAGTCCTGAGCTACTTTAATGACCATGACCACGACCCCTGGGGTGGGGGGGTTTGATGTGGCTGGCGGCGGGCCCAGTCTGATCTGCTATGTTTCTTATAGTTGTTTTATCAACGGGACGAAGAGAGTACAGTATATATTACGATTTCCTATTATGTTACTATTCATACAAATCAACCCCTTAACGACGGTTGCCCTTCGGGTGAGAGGATGAGAACTATAGTTTGTATATATATATATATAGCAAAGTATACTTCTATATATCATGATGCTTGGATCTCCGACGATGACGTCTATACGAAACGGTAGAAGTGTCAACAACAAAGAACTCGCAAACTCAATTCTGGAGCTTGCGATACGAGTAGCTAGTTTGTCAGCGACGTCCCTAACCAACCAACTAACTAACCTGACTTAACTACAAATGCAAAGGCAATCCGACTTAAGCCACATGAAGTATAGTCCATATAACGTCATATGAGCTGGAACTTTGCTCCTGACGGAACATATTTCTCGAACCCGACCAGAAAGAAAACAACAACTAGGTACTGCGTAGCAGACCCCAGTTCAGCCCCAGCCCAGCCCTGCAGGACCATCCTGTTCGTTCAGGCAGAAAACCAACATGCGAAAAAAGCAAAGCACCAACACGCACACATACAACAAAAAGAAAATCAAAAGTGATTCGATATGATCTCGATCATCTAATCTCCTATTGGCTGTGTCTGTTGTCTTAGGACCGGATGTCTCGTTTGCTTGTAAACCATAAACCTAAACATAAAATCTGTAACCATCACCCCTCCCTTCTAGTGTAAGAAGTTAGGGCAACGGCAGGTACGGATGCCGGGTGTTTCGTTTCGCTGTACTGTATGTATTTTACATGACGACATCTTATTTACTCGTCCCGCTTGGATCTTTACCGTGGACCCCCCACTCAGAGGTAGGATGTAAGGTGGGGTAATTTTCAGAGAGGAGTAAAATAAAAAACTCCACCTCAAAAATAAGAAACACAGATAAAAATGAGCTCGGGGCGCTTAGTTGATGCTAGCGCATCGACAGCCACTAGACTTTCTCCGGATTAGCGCAAACCGATCTCTGCATCTACCTGGTACCTATGAAGTCAGTGCTAGTGGTGGTGCTCTGCATCTTACTTATCCTGGAGGGGTTTAGTTAGAACAAAATGACTGGGAACAAAAGACAGACAACGAATCCATGTTGGCTAGGACGCATTGGGAATTGCACCGATCTTGGCCCCACGCTAGAGTGACGAGCGAGCAGGAAGGCGAAAGATGACGGAAGCCAGAGTAGAAAAGACTAAATGCATGGCATCCGGCTAAGGTGCGATTGACCTATGGACGCTGGAGAAAGGGGCCGTCTAGGGCTGTACGTCTATGAGGCTATGAGTTTAGATCAGACAGTAGTTCCTCATTTGCGAGGGAGTCAGTCAGTCTAGACTGCGCACTCAGCTGGCGCCGTGGGGGTGGTGTGGAAATGTAATGATAGAGAGATGTGCAAATCGCTCACGCGAGCCCCTCCGCTCGCCGAGCTCTGGAAATAGGTGCTGGCCAGAGACATGGATGTTTTTGGCGTGGGTGCCTTATGCGTATGGTCGAAAGAGGCTCAGAGTTGAGAATGGGTCCAATGGCGGCTTACTTTGGCCAGATACTCACGGTTTTTAGACGGATAAATTTTTAGTATATGGAGTACCTTGCATACAAATGATGTTGGAGGGACACTATGATTCCAATCATAATGTACTCACGGCTGCGAAATCAATGAACAAAGTTTGTGTTACCTCAGAGCGATTCAGCTGATTCCGCACGAAGTTGTGGTCGCTGGGGGGATGAACACTTGCCTGACATTGTTACATGATGATAGAGGAACTGGTGAGAACAGCCAGGTGGCGAATCTGCACCTAAACCATGCCCGCAACCAATTAAAGTGTAAGTTGAAGTCCGGCGATGGGGCAAGGCGCTATAGTCTACTGAGACTACAGCAGGGACTAAGGACGGCCGCGATCGTGGTTCCTAGTATGGGCCAGCGAACATGACCAAAATCGAACATGTAGCAAGAGTGGGTATGCGAGGTGTTCGTTCAACAAGAGAACATGTTAGTAGGGCTGGTTGGCTGGGTTTTTCCGCCAGCTGCGACCCTAGCAGAGATCATGCAGAAAGGACAAGAGTGGATGATAGAATGTTGTTGGTGTCTGTCACAACGAACGGGGAGCGCCAAGCCAGCCGGAGAGCTCAATACAGTTTCCCGCGTTAGGAGATTCACTGTCCTGCCAGTAGATGGAATGATTTGTTCCACAGTTGGCTCCTGCTGAGTTGGATGTATTGCCGGGGCAAGCTGAGGGAGTCGGGAATGACGGAGGTGAGAGGGTCAGTCAGATTGCGGAGGTAAGAAGTGATACGGGTGCGTTGAATTTGTATCCATCCATGGGTGAGGTGCAGGATGTACCCTGCAGGGTGGCTGGATGTACACCGTGGGCTTCCGAGCCGGTTGGAGGATCCAAGCACAAAAATGTCCGATGAGTGGCCTGGACGGGGTTCCTGGTCAGACATACATATCGAGCATGTACCCTCGACGTCTATCTACTGGGTGTGAGGTACAGGCCAAGACGACGCTGTTCTGTAGGGATGAAAGTAGGATTTTATTTATAGAGCCGTGGTCGCTGGGTTCGGGTGTCATCTAGCATATTCTCCGCGTCTTCCTCACATCCCGAGCCCGCCGATCCCTGATCATCGTATGTCGGGGGCGAGCAGCGTTTGAGCTTAGCTGGAGAGTGAATGCAAGCAACGGTACTGTATCGACCGCCTCATTGCGGTGAATGCGACAAGGAGGCCCGCGAACGAGAAAGTAAAGCACGAGTGAGTCTCGTGAGTCTCTCAGGCATGTCACATTCGGAGTTTCTCCTTGATGGTCTGGGTATCTCCTCGAGATCCGGGTGCCTGGGGGTACGTTACACCGACTCGCCTTGTCTTGACGCGAACGATGTCGTCCCGTGACGACAGAGCCTGACGCTGAATTGTCGCAGATGCTCTTGAAATGAGGTTACTCAACGAGAACTCTAGTTCGAAGGGGCTGCACGGAAATGAGACTCGAAGGTTTGGAAATCGCTCCGGCTTTCAGCTTGCCGAAGGGGAGTAAGCTAAGCTTGCTCCACCGCCGATCGCACGGGATTCGGAGAAGCGACATTAGATCTGTATCGGAACAGACCAAGCGGAACTGCGAGAGAGGTGTTCCGTTGGAGACTGAGAATCGGCGGTGGGACCTGGAGGGATGAGAGCAGCACGTCCGCGAGAAACTGGCGAGGAATGCCCGAGTGACCGACGATAAAGTTGGTTACAGCTCGAATTTTCCCTGTTGGTGTGACCATCCGGCGACCGAGTTCAGTTCGATGGTCTAGCGGACTGCTCCTTTCCGGGGCTAGACTGTGTCAAGTAGAGAGACTTGAAGCAAGAAGGAATTGATTTGAAGCAGGTTTGCATGCCAAGGAATTCATACTAAGGTAGTAACCTAGTAGTGCGTACCTGCCTAATATGGAAAGTCACACCTGGGCCGAGCTCAGGCACTAGTTGGTTCCTGAGGCACACCAGCTCGGTCTCCCGCAAGGAATCAAGGCAGAAACCTCGGGTTAAATTACCCAAGGGGCAACTAACTGTCATATATCAGATTTCAATTAAGCATAAGTGAACTATGACTTCTACACCCGCACCAAACAGAGAATGGAGCAGAATACTCAATCTGCAACAATGGCAGTCTCATCGAAGAATGGAAAGACAGGCTGCCAGTGCCGGTGTCAGTGTCAGTGTCAGTTGCCCGGCTTCCACCACTGTTTGGATCATGTCCACCAGCAGTTCTGCAGCCTGCCGTCTCTCTACCCCCCTCCTTCCCATCTACAGCCAAGACCATTACTACTGACTGACTAGACTAGAACTACATCCACTTCCAAAACACTCAATCCAACACCAGCGGATTCAAATCGATCTGCCAAGACCGGTCCCAAACCACAACGAAGAATATTCCCAATCGAACCTTCGCTTGGAGCCCTTTTCTTTTGCTTTTTCAGGTGTTCTTCCGCCTTTGCCTCTTGCCTCCCATCCGCTCATCCATTCCATCAGGCGAACAAGAACCAAGTAGGCATCATCTCCGATGCGAACCAGTGCAGGGGCGAGACTAAGAGGCTAGAAGACTAGCCTGGTTGCGTCAAAAACATGGACGGGAGAGGATGTGCCTGAAGGGGCCTGGGCAAGATCCACTCAGCCCAAAAGACTGACTTTCCCCCCGCTGGGCGATCATCTTCCCGATCTGGTCAGACCAGGAGGTGTTTTTCCTTTCCCCTTGGCCCATTCTCACAGAGTGGACACTAGACCGAAAAAAAGCCCAGAAGTTCGAAAAACTTGGGTCAGGAACAAGGCACACCAAACCTAATTCAGAAATTAGGTCGTCGATTCAGGAACAGCCGTCGATTCAAATGTGCGGGCAACCCACGTTTCTTGCTTTTGTTTTGGGCGGGATACTTGCTGGTTCGGATTGAAAGCAGGGAACAATTCGAGCATGAATGGTTTCGAACAGCAAGAAAGAGGGAGTAGCGAGAACCGAAGCGCCAGGAAGCGAAGGGGCCGTAAGATTTGCAAATGAGCCAAAATCCTTTAAAACTCTATCATATCTTGAGCCAGATCGCTGACCCCCCTCCCCCCCTCGCCCCGAGTCAACTAGACTTACCCTAGTTGCTGTATGCATGATGTTTACAGTAGGTACTCACCTACAGCCCAGGATTGCCAGCGCCACCGATCTAAACATTAGTTAGCACGCATCGAACTAGTCAATTGTCTCTCGGTGGAATCACGGGAACCGTTTGTCGATCGAGCCAGACTATCAGATCAAAGACCATGGTTCTCTTTTGATCGTGTGTATCAGATGTCTTCTTTTCCTGCTATCTTTAGGACCAGTACCGAGATCTGGTTCTTCAGGCTTGGATTGTGGAATCTTACCAGGCGGATGAAAATTACAAGCTGGAAATATACCCACCCCAGAGGGGCGGTAAAGAATACACGATTGAGACTGAACAATACATTGGGACTACTACCTAGTTTACTCGCCAAAAGCAACCAAGAGCGTCGGAGCGAGCCCGTTCTTAGTCTAAGCTGACTCTTCACTGATTCGTGCACGGCCTCCTCTTCGCGACTAAACTTCAAAGTTGCGACTTTTACCGAACCCAAAAGCGTTTAGTGACTTCGAAGGAACAGTCTCCAGCTCGTACCCGCAAGTCAGACGGAAAAAAGTCCACTTTGGCGCTAAGAAACAGGTCGAATCGCGCTTAGCGGCATCCAGATTTTCTTTAGGTCAATCTCGAAGTGATTTCCTTATTTTCTTCTTTTTTTTTTCTCTGCGAGAGTACGGAGTATAGTTGAAAGAGAAGCTGATGCGAACGGAAACACGCCGATCGGCCCTCCCCCGGCCATAACCCAGAAACAAACATCCCTAAGAGACTAAGTTTTACTAGTAGGCAGGTAAGATGGAAAACTTTTCAGACATTCATCTATCTGGACAACACTAGCGAAAAGACACGAAAAGGGCGGAGGAAAGGGAGAGGAACAAAGAAAACAAAAACACCACGTAAAGAGATCGATAAACTTATCTCACGGATAGGCTGATTGTTCCGGTGTTGGATGGATGATCACCCGAGTCATCATAACGTCACAGTCCCAAAACCTACCCAGTACCACGGTTCCGCGAAAACGCGCATGGCAATGGGCTCAGATAAGGTCGCCCGTGGTCGCGTAGATTTTCCCAAGAATAAACAAAGAATCTCATTCCTCCCCACTCCGCTCAACCGTGGATCGGGATAATAGCACATCAGGAATCTGGCAGCCTCGAAGCTTTTTAAATTTTTACCTCGGTTCGAGGCCGATAATGCTGCTGCTGCTGCTGCTCAACTAGGAAGGTTATAAATACTGGCACCGAAACAGATGAGGCGACACTGCGACAGAGAGGAACGGGGGAGGAGGAGGGGGGGGGGTAAAGGTGGCGATGATGAAGTGTTTACAAACAATCCCTCTCAAAGTCTTGTCATCTCATCATCATCACCATCATCACTGTTTGTTTTTTCCTTGGGGTTGACTCGTGTTGTACCTTATTGTGTATGCCCTATGTGATTCTGGGCCCCCTCCTCCCTCTTCGGGTGAGACATCCTGCAATGATGAGTTGGTATTTCCTCCACTTCTCCATCGACCCGAAGTATATCGGAAAGGCCAACCCGTAATGTAAAAGGTAGGCCACTAAGTTATTATTTGGTTACTTAGGCTGCTTATATTGTTCGCTAATGCCAAGCTGTGGCGCCATGGTTTGGCCGTGAGACATGGTCGACTATAGTGTGCGTGCGTGCGCGCGCGAGACCATTGATGGGAACAATCTCCGGGATCTAGAGGCCCAAAGGCCTCGAGGTACGATGTCCTTGTATGGAAACCATTGACATGCTTGACTCGGGCAGAGTTCGGGAATTGTTATTTTGTATGTCTACCTCTTGGTTCGTTTGAGCTCTGCTAGAGAATGACCCACCGTGAGACGGAGATGATGATGGTCGGATGAAATGGGTCCGTTCTCATGCCTCCCTGTCTTTTGCAATGGCGATATAGAGAGAGAGAAACTCGGATGCATGTCGGGGATTCGGATGGGCCACATGATGGTGCGGTGGTGCCATTGATGGTGGTCGGAGGGTGATCTATCAAATCTCTCGGGCGTCTTAATGAGACTGTTATGAGTCGAGATGCATGCTATGGTCATTCGGAGGGGATGATCTGTGATGGATAAAGTCTGTCTGAGACATGCTGTCTGAGGATGCCTCTCCATCGCAATTGACACTGCTTTGAATGGGGACCGTATGATAGGGAATAGAACTGAGGCATGCGCTTTGCTCTTGGTTGCGCTGCGAATTCTCCATCAAAAATCCAAATCCCTTGTGACCTGAAAGGAAGCAAGCATTCGCAGACTGGTCAACTCGGAACAGATGACCGTTGGTATCCAAACGTCAGATTACATGATTGGCTAGCTGTGCTATAGCAAGCGAAAAGAACTACAATACAAGATGTGTCCCGTGATTTATGCTGACAATGCGTTTTTCCAAACTCCCTGGCGCCCATGCTCAGTGCAAGATCAAAATACCATCGTTCATTCCCGAGACAACCGCAGCAACCTGTCTTTATCCTCCGAACCAGCCGATCTCGATCAGCAGGTCTGGATCCAGTTATCTAGATCCATGTTCTTGATGACGGTCGAGAAGTTGCCAGACCCGTTAAAATCGCAGGCATTGTTCTTCTGGCTGGCGGTGACATCGTTGTTGTTGTTGGTATCGTCTCCCTTGGGGTACTCGATGTGGAACACCGGCTTGCCCGCTTGAGTGAAGGCGGCATAGGTGTCGCACTCCTCATACTCGGCGCACTGCTCGTTGACGCTCCACTGCATGTTCTTGATGACGGACGGGATGATGGCTCCTGCGTTCTTCAACCCGATGGACATGTTCCGGGCATGCGCCTCGTTGGCCATCCAGTTGACGAAGTCGATTGAATCCGCTTCCGTCAAACCCAGGCCGTTCTTGTTGTCATAGCCATCGACATTGTCGGGGTCAACGCCATCGCAGCTCTTGGTCTGCGCCATGTCCAGGCGGGATTGCATGATCTTGCGCACATTGGGCGAACTGATGTTGAGCCACTTCTCCCCGGGCCAGCCATCGAGGTCCTTGCCCAGGTCTGCAGACTTGAACTTGTCCTTGTCCGGGCGCCAGTTCTCGTAGCTGCCGGCCGAGAAATAGCAGATGACCTTGCGGCCCGCATCGTGCAGTTCGTTGATGATGGATTGGTTGTTGTTGAAGAGATCAATGTCGTAAACTTCTACGTCGACGGAGGTGTCGTTGAGCGTGTACAGCAGCTCAATCTGCCAGCTCGTGCCCACGGCCGGCTGCCATTTGGCGGTCGTGTAGTTGCCTGTGGTGTTGGTTGGGGGTGAGGGCTCTTCTTCACCACCGCCGCCACCGCCGTTGTTCAACCCAACTCCGAGGCCCACACCCAGCGCAACAGCAATCACCACGATCGCACCGATGATCGAACCAACCACGATGAGCTTCTTCTTGGTAGTCCAGGCCTTCCAGCCTCGCGCGGAGTGGCCCTTAAGGGCGGTTTCCCCGGCAGAATCCATTGGGAGGAGTGAGGGAGCGATAGATAAGGGAAGGGGAAGTAGGGAGGTAGATTCAGGTTTATTCTCGGGTTAAGGATTGATTAAGGTCGGCTCAAGCAACGAGGGCGATCCGGGGAGATGGGGAATTAAAAGGGTGGAGAGAACGCCCGTGTCCAGCCTCTTCAGCCCGATCGCAATCAATCAAACTGGGTGAATCCAAGCGATGAGCGAATGAATGAGAAGGGAAATAGAGATGCCTAAGGATGAAGTCTATGAAAGCTTCATCAGGGTCACACAAGACCCAAATTCATGTTGCAGTAGTCGCGCTGAGGCAAAAGAGGCAAAAGAAGGCCTGGCCGATCAGGGGGGAGAAGTTTGATGGGTAGGAGATATTATTCTTAGGAGAGAAAAAGAGTGGGATCAGACGGTAGTTAAGATGGGATAAGAGCCAGTCCCAGTCTTAGTCTAAAGATGAAAGATTGAATAGCAGAGCGCTGGACCCTGAATGGAGGGAGGGGAAGCGCCGCCACGGCTGCTGTGGCCCTCAGGGCTGACTCTGCCACACACTCTCCAAAGGACTGGACCCTGTCAATCCCGCGGGCACTGCACTATTCACCACTTACCTTTCGTCTTCTGTTGTGTTGGATGTGCTGGAATCATTCTTCTAGCAGAGAAAAAAAGAACGAAACACACAAACATGGGACTCTCAATTCGGAAGCCTAGAACGCCCAGAACAGAACTATCACCGGGGATTGGGGCTCGCGTCGGCACTGAAGTCTGGGCAGGCTCCTCTTTCTGACTAATTCTGATTCACATCTTGTGCCCACCTCATGCTGAACAATCCAGAGGATTTATGAATCTGTTTGATGGTAATATTGTCCATGGAATGATTTTCTTTGATGGATGAATGGAGCAAGCCACTCCGAATCGGCTGGAAAAGAGTCCAGCCACCCCGTGACCTTCCCCTTCACAGCCACCCATGGCTGGTGATTGTTTGCCTTTCTGTTTGTTTGTTCCGGTGAGGACTGAGTGAGTATGAGGAGGACTCGGACCAGGTCTACCCTTGAAGCTATTCGTTTCGAGTTACGAAGAAGTCCGAAGGTAAAACATAAAGGAGTAACTAAGTTCCAGACCAATCTGGCTGGATGGGAGGAAACGAAGGGCCGGGTTTCCGGTCGCAAGCTGCCCAAAAACAAGACCAGCGATGGGACGATGACGACGGACGATGAAAGAACTCAAGTCAAGCACGCTATAGCCGAGTCGGTTTAAGGTTTCGAGCACCGAGTCCGTTGGTTCTCTGATCGCTGAAGAAAATTAATGAGTACGGAGTTGATAGATAGAGAAGGGGGGGCCGCGGTAAAACCCAAGCCACCATGATCTTGCTTCAGGGAATTTTTTTTTCCTGCCCTGCTCATTTTCTTGGCCTTTTCTCCCTCCATGGCTGCATTGTCCTTTTGTTCTCCCATCGGGCCGGAACCTTGCCAATCCTCCCCTCGCTGCCAATCGGATAGTCCCAGCAAGCCACCTTGTCGATAAAACTTCCACGGACACTAACCGTTCCTTCCGAGATCAGGTACGGTCAGACGGGTCAGACGGTCAGACTATGTACTGTAAATTACACAACGTCAAGAAATGGTAACAACGCTCGAGCCGTGCTCTCAGTGCGGTATATTGCAAAGCGACGGTAAAAACCATACCACTCTCGATCCTCCGGCTTGGCAATCACCCGCAGGCTCTGCCAAGATCTGCGTTGGAATTCCAAGACCTCCATGACACCCCAAGACCACCAAGACCACCAAGACAAACAACTCGGACAACTCCTGACCATTCTCTTCCACTTCCGCGAAAAGCCATCTCATCCCGCGAATTCACAACACCCCCACCCTTCTCAACCCTAAAATAGACTCGGACTTAAGACTCCCGAACAAGTTCTCGATCATTACCCACCAGAGAGCACCTTATGCAAAATGTGCACAACTCGCAACCGTCCGTCCGTCTTACGCGTTTACGTCTCGTATCCTCTCGTCTTGGCACGCAGGAGACTACCTGACTCGAGTGGTCTTGGCCCGCATGACATCTTCGCTGTTTCCCACGTTTCGGTGGCGGAGATTTTGGCATGTTGGTGATAGTACAAACAAGTAGTTAGTCAGCGGATGTGATTGCTCATCATCCTCCATCATCAGACACTGTTTTCGTGCCCAGATGCCTCGCTACTAGTGGCCATCTCGTCAGCCAGCTAGCGCATAATGAATGGAAGCGCGCCATCCTTCAAGCGTTACTTCTGGCATCTCCGACAACAAGAACAACAACACCACGCCAAATGATGCCTCCGACCTCCGATCCCCGTCCCTGCGTCCAGGTTCCAACCGGCCTGGCTGGTTGGGGTTGGCGTGGCATGGCATGGGGGGTAGAGGGCATTGCCTCCTTTTTCGACACCACCCGACTGGTCTAGCCGTCTGGACCCTACAGGGATATTCGCTGCAGCGGATCTGCTGACTTGAAGGAGAATCAGACTTTTCAGTTGCCCGTTACTGCCTTCCCCTCGACCCCTCGACGAGCGGAAGATTCTAGGATTAGTATGGTAGATGCAGGAGGCTCGAGGGGCCCCCAATCATTCATGCCTCGCCAGCCACCCACCGCCGTCCCTGACAGACCCTGGCAGGTGTCAACCTAAGCTTGACTTGCAGGAGTCAAGCAAGAATCTTCCTTTTTCTTTCCTCTCCCCTTTCACCCGGAGCAAGGTGCTCACGGTAACACGGTTGTCAGGTCTACATGTTGGGATGCGTAGCACAGAGACACACACACGCAAAATAAATAAACAGTGAAGGGGCTGGGCGAGCTGAAAGGGGCCGCCGGCGGTATACACTACAGTAAAGGGATGTCTGTCTGCAGTCAGTAGGTGGTACAGTACAGTACATACTGGCCATGCTGTTGGCTCGGTGAAGAGGATCACCGCAGGAAGTGGCATGCTGTTTGGGATTCTCGCTTCTACGAGCTTGGATGGCATCATGACTTTTCTTGTTGCCCCCCAACAAAAACCCTAACCCCGAATCCCCAATCCCCGCCCAACGGGGATCTCCGTAACTAGCCTTGTAGCCTAATCATAGCATTTTCTATTCCGGATGATATGAAAATCTCGCCATCTTGCTATAATCCGGCCCAGGGGGCGATGAATGCAATTGCCAACTCACTGCCTTTGATGAATACGAAGGATAATAATCTCCCCAAAGCAGAAGCTCGTTGCCCATTCATCCAGGAAGACAGTAGCAGCAGTTCGGCATGTCCGTTACATTCGTCTTCGCCTCCCCCGCCGAGGTCGGCGCCGATCAGCCTTGTAGCCTGGGCAAACAGGGAAGAAAAGTCTAGGTCGCAATTTTGCCATCGCCCAAGAGCGAGCCTTTAGGCTCGTGTACAGACCAGATCACGGACTCGACTTGCGCTTGCCAGCAGTCGTGAGGTAAGCAATCGATGATTTTAGTTAGACACAATATGAGCCAATCTCACACATCCATCACCCCATACACATTACCAGTTTTTGGATCCGAGTCTCTTCTCCAAAACCTCATGAGAAACAACATGCAACGAGAGTGGGGTCCAAAATGTATGATGCATCGAAATACGAGGCCACGCTAACAAAAGCTCCCGAAGAATTAAAATATGACAGGACCATTCGCGGGGAGCGAATGCTCCACCATCGGCTAACGGACTCAAAACTAGGGCAGCTGTCTGCAAGTCAGACAGGAGTTTTTTGTGGGGAAAACTTAACTAAACACCTACTAAGTAAGTATCTATCTATTCCTTGCGCTGTGTGTCTTCGTACTTAGTAGCCAGCTGCTAAGAGCTAGCCAGCTAGACTAGTCGGCTTTGGTCCGGCGATATAGCACACAGTCCAGACACACCGGAGGCATCAACTAGCTATGCATGGCCTTTTAGCAGCTTGTTAGCAGCTTTGCTGACCTGGAAGTCTGTTAGAGTTGTATAGCCTCGTCGTTGTCGTGGTCTTCCGGATCCGAATATCGCTTGACATTGCCTTTCTCTTCAGCATCTATCTATAATCTGGATTATCAATCAGAAGCCCAACTAAACTGACTAAATAATGCCCGGCTCTAGTTAATTAAGACCTCAAACATGGCCCCAACTCATTCCCTTCCCGTCCTCCCCACTTCCCAAGCTCAAGCCGTCACTCCCCATTCCCTTTCCCTTTTTCCTTCTCCCCCACAATTGAACCCGAATCCAAACTCAAGTGCCATATAGAGTACCCAAGCAAAGCAAGCCAACCCCTACGGTCCCTACAGTAGATACACCCTCCAAGAATTTGAAAACCAAACCCCGATTTTCAAACCGCTACTAAATCAGAAAACCACACGAATCAGATTTTTCTCCTCAGGCTAAAATTTAGTGCGTGCGCCAAGATCGACCGGCAGGATGCAGCAAGCAAAAACCAGATACGGTGTCCTATCGCTTGAAATTGACAGGAGCAAAATGATGAGGGGTTGAAAGTCAAAAGTAAAGGAAAAAAATAGATCTGGATCGTAGATGGGCAGACAGCGGGGAACGGATTTGACGGATATGACACCGGGTTCGAGGGGAGGTACTGTAGGTTTTACGCCCGGCGAAGATCGTAGCCCAGAGCATGGGGGAGCGGGATAGAGTTCTTTGCCTTTTGTTTTGTCTTTGTGTTGAAACTTGGGCTTCGCTTCATCCCGCTTGCTCCTGCAGGGTCTGGGGATTGATGAGGCGGATGGATGGATGTCTTTCCCCCCCGGGTTTTTTTTTTGGACACCCCGCGAAGTGGTTTTGAGGGAGGATGTGCTGGTGCGGTTTGGTTGGATAGGTTTTGGATGATCGCATGTTCGCTTCCTACCGACAGCGTCATGGATACGTAAGAGATGAGAGTCAACAAGGATTTCTGTTGTGGTCGTGGACGTTGGGTGCTGGATTCTACATGTACAGGTACAGGTCCCAGGTACGGTGGGTGGTGCTATGGTGGTGGTACTCTCAGGCGGGTATATAGGTAAAAACACTAGCGATCGTATTCGTACCGTATCTCATCCTAGTGATACTCAATATCGTATTGTAGCTATTCTACTAGTATATCCATGACCATTATAACATTACAGATTATGTCCAGAGGATCGGAATCCCGTCAAACAAACGAGCGAATGCTATCCCGCTCGCGCTTTTTACAGCGCCATCGGGGTGGAGAGAGTGAAGGTCACCGGCGAGCCCGAGAGCTTCACCCACACAGTCAGCGGGTCGCTGCCCAGCTGCTCCGTGGTGAATCCCTGCGTGCTGGTGGGCGCAACGGGGAAGGTGACGGGAATGGGCTCGCTGCACGTGTTGCCGGAGGCGGACACGGTCACGGCCGTGATCTTCTTGTTCGAGATCGCGTAACTCATAGAGTAGCCGCACTTGTCGCGGTTGTAACGAGCGAGGAAGCCAGCAGACATCTAGAGGAACTAGTTAGTCGTTGTACTAAAGTAACAATGGGGCAAGAGCTTGACTCACATCCTGGTGCTTCAGAGTAACAAGGGGCCAGTCGACCAAGCGCACGAATTCCTGCACCACGGTCTCAACCCAAGCCTGGAAGATGGAGTACTTCGCCGTCACGCCGTTGACAGTGATGGCGGTCACGTCCGCGTTGCGAAGGTTGGCCTGGTGAAACATGTAGGGGTCGTGGTAAAGACCGAACAGGTGACGCATGGTGTCCGCCTCCTCAACTGCCAGCAGAGTGTTGAAGTCGCCGCTACCAGCAGAGGTATCAATCCATTCCTGCACAGTGCAAGCCGGGGTGTCGCAGTTGTAGTAGATACGGGTAGCCCAGCGCGGGTTGACCTGCATACCGGCGAAGCCATTTGCGGCAATGGTGGTGAAGTACGGCCACATCGCGTTCTCAGTGTTGAGGAGCACCGGGCGGGTGTTGTCACCGACACAGTTGGTGATGCCGTTGTCCCACCAAGCCTGAAGAGCATCGCCGTTGTGCAGTCCGGTGATGGCTGGGGGGATGATACCGTTCGAGGTGAAGTGCTGGGCAGCATCAATGCCGACCTGCTTGAGCCAGGCCTGGTTGAAGGAGATCTCCTTGAAGACATCAGAGTAGGTCGAGTTGTTCTGCTCCTCGTGGGTGAAAGTGTGGGAGATGTGGCCCCAGGCATTCAAGTTGGCAGAAGTGGTCCACCAGTTCAAAAGGGAATCAAGCTTAGTGCAGGCGCTCGTCCAGTCATACTTGGTTGGGGTGGAGGGCCAGAGATCGGTACCGGTCCCCAGAGGCTTCTGAAACTCCAAGGGAGTGTCAGGGGGGGAGTCATATTCGATACCACCGCCTTTGCAGGCATCATAACCGGCATCACCAGTGTTGGCGGAAGCCTCGATGTTGCCATTGCCGTTGTGACCAACCTCGACATAGTAGTTGCTACCAGCGTTCATCTTGGCGTTGATCTGGGTCACCCAGCTGGTGATGCCCTCCAAGTCCGAGGCGGTAATACGGAAGGTGGTTCCATTGGGATAGTAGATGTCCGTCTCAAGGAACATGTCATCGATCTGAGTGTTCAAGTTGACACGACGGTATCCAGCATAGAGACCGCGTGTAAGCCAGGCAATCCAAGCGTGCTGCAAGTAGTTGGAGGTAGCACTCCAGGTCGTATCGAAGGAAATGAAGAATGCCATTTGTTCACGGCCAGAGAAGTTGTTGATCACTGCAGCAGTCGTGTCACTGGACACGACTGAGTTGGAGGCAAACGAGGCAATCTGCTTGGTCGTTTCGGTGTCGCTGATGGTGGCCGGGTAGTGCCAAAGACCACTGGTGCTGACACCAGCACCCGTCTTCAGGCCCGAAGTGGGAAAGTCGCTGATATCGGAAAACGAAACCAATTGTTCCACACCGGTGTCACAGCACCCGCCTCCAACGGCACTGGCACCATAGTTGGGCCCCGGGTAGACGTCGTACTGTACCATGCGCACACCATACGCCAACTGGTAGGCATACAGTTGGTTCCACTGGTCGGTAGTCAACGCACTCTGGAAGCCCGCGCTGCCATAGTCGTAGCTGACCTCGCTGGCAACGACAATACCTCCGAAGTTTCCTCCGGTGGTAGTGTTGAGTGCGGGCAGGCTGGTTCCCGACTGCGGAACCAGAAGGGTGGTGAAGGGAATGCCATAGGCGTTAAGTCCAGAGGACGCAACATTGGCCGAGGCAGTGTCTCGGGCGATAACCAGGATATTGGCTGCGACAGACCCCGCACTAACTGCCGCGATAGAGGCGGAGACGGAGGCCGAGGCAGACGGAGCCGCCACAATGCTCGAGCTGAGAGACATGGTGGTGGATGCGTCGACTGACACGACGGAGGAAGAAGAAGAAGAAGAAGAAGAAGAAGAGAAGGAGGAAAGAGAGGACGAGGGAAGCGAAGCAACGATTGTATCGGTCGAACTGAACGAAGTGACCAAAGTAGTGGGTGCAGCAGTGGTAGCAGACGAAGCGAGAGAAGCCGTGGTAGTAAACGAATGAACAATTGAAGTAGTGCCAGGAACAATCGTTCCTGAAACTCCAATGGCGGAAGTTGTCAAAGGAGCTGCAGTGGATGAAATGACCGTCGCACCCTGATCAGGCCAAACACCTGGGGGAGTATGGCAGGTTATAAATCCGAAAAAACAACCCACATCGACCAGCCAGGACGGAATCATGATTGCAATGTAGTCTGATCAACCGATCCTGCGCAAATACAAAAAGGAATGGCAGCCCGACGAAGGCGAATAATAGCGAGTGACTGGGTGGACCTGGACTTCAGGACCCCTGGTGAGTCGTCAGCTGTAGACTAAAGATCAGCGCGGTTTGTGTTCTGCGGGCACAATCACATCCTGCCTGTGTGTTTATATTAGCTGCCCGGGGTGCCTGCTCCCCAGAGCTCGTGAAAAAAGCTTGATAGCCTATCGTTTCACGCCTCTTTCAGAGCCATACCCCTTAAGTCCGAAGCCGATGGTTCCACGATTCACTCAGATATGGCACACTTTGGTCTCCGATGGGTACTTGCAGCCCCGCTTTCCACAGAGTTAGGTCCCTGGATGGGAGGGGTCCCGACTCGAGCCAGAGGCGATGAATCAATTCTGACTTGTGGGTTCATCGTATCTGGGTCACCAAGTTGGCCATGGCATGCGTGGTGGAAATTGCCCTGAAACTTTTTCCGAGATGGATGGGGGGTACCTGACCTTGCCAATACCATTCGCTTAGCAAGCTCCATCCAACACCAAGTCACAGAGCAACTGACGAAGAGAGACGAGGAAAAAATAGACGAGCCCACCCTGAAGAGTCATGGGCCTCATAGTGAAAGAGTCTGGCCGTCAAACAAGAGGCTCGGCGCCGGAGGTAGATTTCCCTATTTAGCCCATACTGAGGAACGCTAAAGCACCAGTTAGCATCAATTCGCCATCAGGCTCCCAAAATAGAGAGAATCTTCAGAGCCTGGAAGCTAAGGAAGGAAGAGGAGGGGGGGGGGTAGGAGGGGACCAAAGGAATGGAGACCATGAAGATTTGGGTTGCTGGTGTGGGGAAGATGATAAAGGACCTTTCCATGAGCCGACATACTATAGTAGTATGAGATCGACTAACCGAGAGTCGATGATGAGAAAGACTGTTCAGTGGGTGAGGGAGGGGGAAAGGAACAGCTGATACGAGAGGAGAGTCTCGTAATACGAGACTCTGTGACAGTGGAGTATTTTTGTAAAAGTATGCTGATGACAGTACCGTATTTGTGGTAGCATCCCAATACAAGGCTGTTATGTACGTTACTTATTGAAGGTACTGATACCGCACTAACCCTGTTCGAGTAGCCGCATCATCTCCCGATATTCTCCACCAAAATCATCCAGTCCTTTTCTTTTTTTTTTTTTTTTTTCCCGCCTTCTTTTCCACTTTTGCTTTTTTGGTTCATCCAGTATCTTTTCCCCCTTCAGTCTACTGTACAGTAGACAAACCGGCTGGTTGTCTCTGCAATACCCACCACTACTTCGAACGCAAGGAAGAACACTGGCTGGCAGACTTTGAAAATTTCTCAATGGACCAATGGAATATGCGACAAATCTCCACCGCACTGTCAGTACCGGCCCCCAGTGGTGCAACAATCGCCATGGCCATCATGGATGCATCAACAACGACCTCTGTGTGTGTGTGCTTGTGCTGCGCGTTCCCCTCCTTCCCCCCCCCCATCTCCCCACTCTGGTAGAAAGACAGAGAGAGTAGTCAATCTCTGCCATTGATGGTACCGTTCCATTTGCCTCTCGACTCTTCAATTTTGGTTTGGATCAGACGAAAGAGCTGATGGGTGCCACGCTATCGGGTAGACCCCATCGCCATCCCCATGGCATGGCATGGCAATCACTCCGAGACCATCTCGTCTCTTACTCGATACGGAGCTGTCGCTTTCACCCTCAAACAGACCTAATCTTTTAGCGCCGAACTAAATCAAGAGACTTTAAACACGCTTTGCTATTTCGGTCATCCTTGAGGCCGAAGCTGCGTTGGGCGCCACCGGTCCTGATTGCATCAGACCAAGGTGGCCCCCGATCAGATACCACCAACACAATCCTCTAATCAGACTAATTCGAGTAAAAATATCTGGAACTGACATCGTGCAGCGGCTGACCTAACATCCTGCCTCCTGCTCAGTCATCGAGTCAGACATACAGGAGAGGCTGGCTGTCGGCTGCTCGATCACGCTTCTCAGATCTTTTCCCGCCTCTATACCTGGGCTTTCATTTATTCTTATTTTTCCTGCTCGCATTTTCTCCTCGCATTTTGCTTTTTTAGCCTTTTGGCCACCGTTTGTTCGACTCTTTCAGACCTCTTTTCTTACTCATAAGTTCTTGCCATTCGTTTATATTTACAAAAGTAACCGTCTCTTATTCCTTCGCTTCTTCCCTGGTCGAGACTGGGTGCTCCCACGCCACAAACACAGAGACATTCAACCATGACTTAGTGCATGACGTTCTCCTCCGCCGAATATACGAATCTATATTCTTAATAGTAATCGCATCCGCTCGCTGCTCTACTCTGTTCATCATACATGTCCCTCGTTACCACGCACTTATTGCGGACGCCTTAATCTTTAATCGAGATGGCAGAGATCCTCAACGTCTCACCCGTCGGGTGGGCTGGGATGAAGAACCACTGGTGGCAGTTTGTATGTAAACTGTGTGCACCGGATTCTCGGTAAAGCTTGGGGATATTTCTCACTGATTTATCATAGGTCTTGATTGGCATCTTGCTGGCAAGTGTGACCTGTGGATGTCTCTATCTCACATACTCCGGCTCCAACAGATTCATCAAATGGTATAAGGTAGGACTGATTCGCAAGCTCGCATCATCCACGAAGAGCTCTGATCTAACACAGTCTCTAGTCGCGGCCCCGCAAAGAGGCGGTACCGGCCAATATAGCCCAGCAGCTGGACAAGCTTTCCAACCAACCGCTTACCCTGACCACTGCGCATCAAAGCAAACAGAAGCCGTCTTCTGTGGGCGTCTATCTGGGGTCTTTCCCCAGTCCGCTTACTAAGACTCACCGTCGAATGCTCGATCGCTGGGACCTTGCTATTGTGGACCCCTCGAAACCTGGTGTAATATCTGGAATCTCGCAGATGCAAGGCAAGCAGTTCATCGGTAGACTTGACCTCACGCTGCTGCTTAACCAAGAGACTACGTCAACTGCCATCGAAAAGATCGGTAATGTCTTGGCTTCAAGCTTTCACCAAACGGTTTTTAGTGGGATTCTGCTTGCGAACTGGGAAGACAAGTTCACGCCCACAGTACTAGTGAAATTGGCCGAGGCAATCAACAATCTTGGCCTGGCCGTATATCTGGAGACAGCCCCGCCAAAATTCCTCCAAGACCGTGATGTTCTGCAGACTGCTGCTATCTCAGGACTTGTCATCAAGAATGCGAGCATTCTTCCTGACGGCCAGAAGCGTGACTACTTCCAACTCGACAATCTACACCCAACTATCAAAGCATTCGTCTCCGAGGCTTGTATGCGTGATTTTTTGGTTATAGCTTGGGAGACCATTGACGACAATGCCATTCTCTCCAATGCCGTTATCCAAAGATCGATGCAGTGGTGCAACTTCTACAGTGCAATTCCGTGGATAGGCCGCACATCTGCGCTCGAGAACGCTGCTCTCAATGTCAAGATCTTGGAGCCTCTTTCCTCTTTTGGATGGTTGAAAGACGCTGAAATCATGAAGGCCCATGACCGCTGGCGCACAAATCTCCACATCGAGCGCGAATCTATTCCCAATAACTCCTGGGCTTCTTTAGTTTCGTTTTTCCCTACCTTGAAGAGACTTCTTGCATCGTCAGAATACCAGTCACAACTTAGCGCCAAGTCGGCACGCTCTCTCTGCGAACCTCCAGAGTGGGTTGCGCAAGTCAAGTCCCAAGGTAGCCCGTTGTCAATCTCCATGGCTGGCGCTGAGTTCAAGGAGCTAGGATGCTTTCCTCTAGGATCTGAGACCACACCCTTGGCTTTCGCTGAGATTCTGCAATCTCAGCAACGACTGAAGTCGCATAACCTGCTCCACCCCGTTCCTACAGCGAAACTTCAAAGCATGGGAGTTCTTCTTAGGCAGTTCCATGACAATTTGACCTCCTGTGACTGGAGCCCATCTGAACAGCTCGCAGCAGCGATCAAGCAACTTGCGACATTCGCCTCCACCGACCAATTGCGAGTGTATCTCGGATTAGACTCGGGTCTTCGCAAGAGTACCGAAGTCCGATTCTGGGGCGTGTATCAGATGGATGCGGATGGTATCGATATCTTCTTGTCCAAGAATGCTCATGGGCTAATGGGTACCGTCCTACACACGTTTCTATCGGCAAAAGGGTTTCCGCGCCATATCTGCTTCGAGGCAGAAACCGCTCTAGCAGAATGGTCAAAGGACCTGGTCGAGGGCGTCGGTCTACCCCGTCGCATCGTACAGGATATTGACGCCTTGAGTCCAGAAGAGCGTCTCCTTTTGTTGCAGCATCTGTCTCTGACTGACGCTGCGAGTAAGATGTCTGAAGAGATTTGCGCTTATATCCGCAGGCAACTCATCGACATGCCTTCCCTGACCCAACTCAAGGAGTTAAATACTACTGCTTACCTTGAGGGATCGGCTACTCCTGAAATGGTGGTCGATACCCGTCTCACCTGGTATAAAGAGCAGGGCTGTCGATTCCCCTCGGCTGCTCTCTGTCTCGAGTTGTTCAACGAGGCTGAATCTGTCTTCACTAACATTCTGCGAGAACGAAGAGAGCAAGATCTTGCTCAAATTTCCCAGGCACTGTGCCAGCTCGTTCAAGGCTCCTCTATTGATGCTCACACGGACATGATGGTTCTCTCTCTGTTCTGCGCAGCAAGGAAGGGTGCCTTGGATGAAATCTATACAGAAGTCACCGACCGAAACCCGCTCTTCAACAATCAGTCCGACCAAGCCGCTGCTTTCGCCGAATCCTTTGCCCTTGGATCTCGTTGCGAGGCCTACTTTGACCTGGTTCCCAGTGCTTTCGGAAAGCTGCTGTCAAATCGTTTCCGCAAGAGTTACACAAACGAGAAACTGCCCAGTTGGATCAATGGTGCTCCTGATATGGCTACGTCGTACGCTGGCGCACAAATCGATGTCAACCCAGCTCACAAGGTCAAGCCCATGCGTGGCTACCAGCGTTTCACGTTCCTCAGTGTCTTTGCTTTCCCTGCGCTGATTGATATCATCTTGCTCACTATCATCGGACGCGGGCTGTACCTCTCTGCTTTCATGACTTATGACGAGCAGCAGAGCGCTACCATCGCCTTGATGATCTCGCTTCTGCTGTCTGGTGCTATTGGAACTTGGATCGCTTGTGGAGGTCCCTATTATCTGATCTCAATGGCATTCGCTGCCGCTAACATGTTTGTTCTCATCCGACTGATTGCGGGAATCGCCTTCACAGTTGCCGGAGGTCTCATCGGGTTTATTGCCATCTCTGCCACGGAGAGCGCACGGGCGGGAATCATCTTTTACTTGTATTTGATTGCATTGACCATCTACTTTTCCTCCTTCGCTTCCCTCGCCAGCTTCAGCTATCCTGGGTCGACTTTCCTATCAGGCCGCAAAATCATCTTTGCGTGTGTTCCCATCCTGTTCATCTCGCCTATCGTTACAACTTTCACGGGTCACGATTCAGCCATCTACCTCGCAGTGATCTATGTCTTCATCATTGTCCTACTCTTTGGTCTACGATCCATTGCTTCCAAGTGGGTCACTTGGTACCAAAGCTTGAGAAGGACTGATGACACAGAAATTCGCAAATGGTACATTGCCACCTATGGCAATAACGATGAGAAGGTCTTCGGAAACCTCAGCGATCCCGCTGTTTTGAAGCTGTCCAGAGAGGCACTCCTAAGGGACGTCATGGCGGAAAAAAACCGCCGCTTCTATACCAAACCCACAACAGATAAACTGGTTCTTGAGCTAGCTAGGGACTGGGATGCCACCAACTTCCTCCTGGACTGGTACTGCAGATATGCGGATGTGCCCAGGCCGATTCCTTTCAGCTCTTCTTGGAACATTCAAACCAAAGTCGGTCTGGATGTGCTCAGAAACTCCCAGAAGGGAATTCGGTTGCACAATGCTTTCATCCAGTGGCGGCAATCTAGCAGAGAAATTGGCTGCGGTGTCCTCTATTTCATCGTGGCTCTCCTGGATAAGTGGGTGCAGCTTTTGTCTGGTGGCCACGGCGTCGGTTTGTTGTCCGCTGCCGTTACGGATTCCCAGAGAATGGCTGTAGGATTCGGCCTAGCATATTATCTTATTGGAGCTGTTCTCATTGACACCAAGGCTCAAGAGCTGCACGACCTCGTTGGTCAGCACTCAGCTGTAGCCGTCCATATGTCAAAGGATATCCGCGTGGCACAAAAACGGGACGTGCGCTTTAAGAGGAAGATCTATTGGAAAACCCTGTTCAAGTTCCTCATGTGGCATGTGTGGAGTCTTGCTCTTGCTACAGCTCTACTATGGACCTTCCAGTCTACCATCGAAGCTATGATCATGTTCTGTGCCTATGTTCTGGCTTACACTGGGTTGCTCTGGTACCAATATACCAAGATTTTCTCTGGTCCTCACGCCTTCAAGACCCTTCTCATCGGATGTGGTGTCGGCTTGACCGTTGGTATCGCCCTCAGGGTTCACTTGCCGGGTTTTCTCTACTCTCAGGTCATTGGGCTTGGCTCGGCCACTTGGATTGTCGCTTTCCTCTCCCTTTTCTCTGCCAAGATGGGCATGCCTAAGAAGGTCGACTCGCCTGTCGAACTCGGCAAGACGTTCCATGCGTACACGGCTCCATGGGCCGACCCCGAGTGGTCTCAGCAAGAATTGCAAACCTTCTACGAAAGAATCGCGCAAATACCTTCGGACGCACGCTTGAAGCTGGGTCCACAAAACCACCCTGGTGTCGAAGTCAAGGAAATTCTGCTTTCTCGCAGAAAGGAGGTCAGAATCGAGGAAGCTTTTCCTAGGGCAGAGGAGCTTATCAATCTGGCCCTCGGAGCGTGGGGAAAGGGAGACATTACTGTGGAGCTTGTCCCTTTGGGGTCACTTGGCCCTGGTATCCACGCACTCAGCTGCAGCACAACGACACACCTAAGTATTGCCATTGGTGTTGGACGTGGATTGGACCAGCGCATCGATGTCAGTGCCAATTGTCAGGTCATTGCCGAGACATTGCTCCACGCTGTCGCGGAGTCCATGCTGCACGTCCCCCACGAGTATGCTATCCTGTCCGAGTCTCTTGTCACGGCGGGTGTGACTGAAACCATGGCTCGCCAACTGCGAGCAGAACCTAACACCTCAGCTGTGATTCGCTGGGCTAAGAAGGAACTACTCAAACATTTGTGCCTCGGATTTGAATGTGATGCCCACTGGGAGAAGTTACCCAAAGATATCAGGAACTCTCTCTTGAACCGCTGCCTTGGTCAACCCGGGCAGCTGTCAAGTGAGGACCGGAAATGGCTCGAGGAACGCCTTTGTCGGTTCGACACGAACGATCTTGACGTTCACGTAGCGCGCTGCAATCTTGGGGCTGCTACAGCTGTCAGCATCCTCGATTATGCACACTACGGCACGGGTGAAGCCGTTGTATTCCAGGACCCAGAGACACCGGACTACATTCCTTATGTGTCCAAGAAGCTTCCCGCAATTGTTCATCTCTTTACAAAGACTTGGTACTCGTTTTATTACTCGCTAGCAGCCACTATCAAGTTCATCGTCGTTGCTCTTATCGCTGAACCTGAATTTCAACGGGAGTTCGATCATGTCATGAGTCATCGTCACGCTATCATCCGTGTGCCGGTCACCCTGGCATTGAGCTCGCTTTGGTCATATTCTAGGATCGTGCAGAACCTGGGTCTCTCGTTCTTCTTATTCTACGGCCGCAGCAATGTGAAGCAGCTCTGGAATGAAACCAAGGGAATGACTATCAGTATCAAGAAGAGCCGTTTTGTGATTCAGAGTCTGGATGGAACATTCTCTGCTTTCAAGCACGATGAAGCCGATGGGGGTTTCAAGATCTACTACTATGCGGGACAGCACAAGACAGAGCCGGAAGGAACGAAAAGTCTCAGCTATGTCTGCGTCTACTCCAAGGACATGTTGCTTATGGTGAGACAGGAGTTTAAGGGTGGAAAGGTGATCAACGAGTACCATTATGATTATCGTGCCCCATCCAAGAAGGGTTTCTCATTGTCTAAGCTTTCTTCCGCCAAAATTCCGATGGGCCGACGTTGTGTTCGCGGAGAAAATCACCTACAGAGCGTGCAGTATAACAAGAAGGGTCTCATCGAAGCAGGATCTTACATGAAGGATGGTAACCTCATTCGCTTCAAGTATCACTACCGCAAGAACCCTCGGTTTGGAGACGAGCTACTTCGAGCCGAGTTTGCTCTCTCGCACATCACATGCACTGTCTCTTGGTGCGCACCTCCTCTTCGTCATCCCCAGAAGGTCGATCGCTGGATACCCCATTCCAAGGTGACAGAAGCGTCTTTCGTTCAAGGCGCAGACGTCTATGAGTCTCGCTGGCTATACGATCACAAGTTCCATCCCACGATCTTCACCACTCTCAATGGACAAAAGATACAGACCCCGCCAATGATCGAGCACGATTACCTCGCTGTTCTTGCGAAGCCTCGCTACACGAGCTTTGTGCATGACAACCCTCTCTTGTATTGCGACAGCCTTAGCTCAAGTATCTTCACCCGGTTCTTCGGCTTGACAACAAAACGCTTCCCTGTGTCTACCTCTCGTGCACGTTCGTTGATCTGGAAGGCTTGGAAGGACCGTGTGGACTTCGATGGCATTATTGTCCGGTGGATGGACGAACGACTTCTGAGAAGAGACAAGACACTTACACCCTACTGGCGCAGTAGAGATCGCGGCAATCTTGCCGCGGCCAAGAAGTACCTGGATTTACGTGCCGATACCATCACGGCCAGTGCCGATCTGGATGACAACATTTCCAGCTGGACTCCACTAGCCGTCAAGATTAGTGACTTGTTCAATTTTGGGCCAGGTGGTGATGCTGTTGTCAACACAAGATCCAAGGACTTCGGCTCTGATACCGAGAAGTCACTGCACGTCATGGCTGCTGATACCGGTACCTGGCCAAACGAAGGAGGTGGTGTTTCTGCATGCCGCCGTGATATGATCAACTCTCTGCGAACCATCAAATGGCACATGATCTGTGAGGCTGCGAACGACTTCGGTGTTCCTAAGCATCAGACAGAGCAGAACATTCTGTCTCTCAAAGTGGTTCCTCTCTGGGGTCTCGATTTCCTCACACCCACGCATGGTCTATTCAAGAACAAGCTTGATTCCGAAGTAGAGAACGTTACTTCCGCCAGCGAGATGGATATCAAGATGAACTTCATCCCAATCCTGACAGCCTTGGTGAAAGGCGCCCGCGCTGTTCGCCTGTCCAAGGCTGATATCCAGCAGGCAACTAGAGCCTTGGTGAACCTCAACACCTACTTCCAGGACTCGCGCCATTGGACTCAGATCTGGAACAGTGAGATTGTCAAGGAAAGTTGGCGCGATCTCTGGCTTACTCAGGAGATGCCCAACGCTACCCCTTCGTCTGAATGGTACGAAACTGAGCTTCCCACCTTAGCGTCTCTTGACATAGCTCTGGAACTCTGGTATCGGTATCTGTTTATCTTCTCCATCCCGATTCCCGAGAAGATCCCCAACGTGTTCCAGGCATCACATCACAGCGTGAGTGCGTCCTACGGAGTCGTGTGCAAGATCAAGAGAAACTGTACATTGCAAATTTGGGATCATGCCATCAGCTGGCGTGAGACGAACCTCTGTCTCTCCTCTGCCCTCTGCAAGCTTTCACCTTTTGTTCGCAATTGTCTCTTGGGCTTGATGCGAGTCACGTCTGTTCTCACGCTGCACCATGCCGATATCATCCTGCCATGTGCCGACTTCTTCAACCCAGGCTGGGAAGTTGAGATTGGCACCTGTCAAGGCACCATTGAACACCGCAATGTCTTCCGTCGCAAGGTCGATCCCGTCGTCAATGGTATCACCGACATGCAGAAGTTCGCTCCTGTGAAGGAGATCAAATCGCAGCGCCCTACAGTCACCATGCTGTCGCACGTTTGGTATGCCAAGGACATCAAGACAGCGCTTCTTGCCGCCGATATCATCATCAACCAATGGAAATTCGATGACTACCATCTTGACATTTACGGAGCCATCGACAAGGCCCCAACATACTCCACAGAATGTCAAGAAATCATTGCTTCCAAGGGTCTCCGTGGCAGAGTCACTCTGCGTGGTAGTGCTGACCCAATGAAGGTGCTGGAAAACACTTGGCTCTTCCTGAACTCGTCTCTGTCTGAAGGTCTACCACTGGCGCTGGGAGAAGCTGCGCTTACTGGTGCGCCTGTTGTCTGTACCGATGTCGGAGCGTCCCTTCGTGTGTTGAGTGATCCTGATGACTTCTCCCGCTTCAGCGCTGTGGTTGCTCCCAACGATGCCTTGGCACTCGCTCGAGCGCAGATCACGATGCTTGGACTTCTTGGAGAATGGAGTCAGTATGCTGACGACACCGAGCCAGCTCCAGTCCTGACATCTTCGCCTACTCCCGAGGACGTTGCCAAGATCACGCGTCGCATGTATGAAAAGAGTGAGCACCGCCGCAAGTTGGGTATGATGACCCGCAAGATCGTGCAGAAGTCGTTCAGCGGTGATCGATACCTTCGCGAGCACGAGCAGATGCTCTGGATTGGAAAGTCTGCTAAGATCATGGCCAATCGCCCTAACGCCGCTCTCAGCGAGCCCGCCGATGTTGCCACCGCTCTACAGCAGACTATGACCATTGATGAAGAAGTGATCACCATCCCACGCAGTGCTGTCAACTCCTGGCGCTCCTCAGCCGCTTCGGGCGTGTCAAGCTTCTACAGCTCTGTTTCCAACTTCCCTATGCTCAATGCCAACCAGCGCCCTTCGTCAATCCGCTCCAGCTTCAGCAATGCTTCCACCGACGCCAGCTCGTTCCTTCCTCTCCCGAGCAATGCCTCTCTGCCTGTCTTTGCGCCCCGCCAAACCCTCTCTTTCTCCGGTCTCACGGGTAACAAGTCGTCCACCGGTCACCTTTCCCCGACCGGCCGGCGCTCCCCCGTGCTCAATCGGAGCGGGCATCGCTCTCGCTCGCACTCGCTTTCTACTGCTGGTCGGGAGCAGCTGCGGGGGCTTCAGCGCGAGGACCTACGGCAATACCGTAACTCGGACGTGAGTCTGGTGATGCGAGACGAGTTTCTCCAATCCAGCTACTTCCGAGGTCAAGACGGTGGCAACAATGTCTGATTGACTGCTACTTCCTCTTATTCCTTACCGCTGCCAAGTCGAGCCCATACCCCCTTTTCCCCTAGCTCGATGCACACTTCTCAACCTGTCCATACCTCTTGATTTTCCACATATATTGGGATATCCCTGTTGTCTGTACTGTACATATTCTCGCGCATTACTGTTTCATGTTTTGTGACTGCATAGCTTCCGTATCACCAACCCCATACACGTTTCTCGCTTTTTAAAAAAACACACATTGCGATTCAGCCATACATGCTTGCACCCCATACCTCATTGTATAAAAATCGCACCCGATGGGGTAACAATTGCTGGAACGTCACTGTCGTTGATAGACTAAATATATCACCATTTTGAGGATGACTTGTTTCCGATCGAATATATCATAGATAGTAGAACGGCAAAATCAATGGACTGGACTGTTTCATCTGGTTTTGGTTCTCTCTCGACTGTAGTAGTTGGTATGGCAAACAACACGTGATGACGCAACACGTCATATTCCCCGCCCCATTCAGAAGAAGTCGAAGAATCAACCCTCCCAGTACACAAGCTCCATCCGAATCAGAAAACCTCCTTCGAAGATCAGAGACAAGTATAGGGATTCAAGAAAATCGACTACGAAAATGGCCACTCCCGGATCCGAAACCGAAACCTACCCCATCGGCAGCCGCAAAGAATGCGAGCGCATGGTTCGGGACTGGGGATTCGGCCATGTGTTCACCTGGTCGGATGGGAGGTACGTCTAACTACCTTATGATAGAGCTATCTATATCTACAATATCTATACCCCTCTGTTCTCTCACCTTCGCAAAAGAAAATGCTCTGGATTCAACTGATTGGAGTCAACAGTCATGCGCACTACCCACCGCATTCGCATTCCGGGTTGACGACACATCTGATCCTTCAGGGCAGTCTGACCATCACATATCCCGAGGATAACGCTGGGATTCACGGCGGAGAGGTCAAGAAGGAGACGTTTGGCGTGGGCGCGAGGTTGGACGTTCCAGCCGGGAAACTGCATGAGGTGTGGGTTGGGGAGGAGGGGTGTGAGTATGTTATTGGTGAATAGAGTTGGGACAGAGAGGTCTTTTCTGTACCCTTTTTGTGATCAGTGATGAATGAGTGATGATGTTAATGATGATGATGGTGATGGCAATGTTCTTGTGGGAACAGAATTCTTTTGCGATCTGATCTGATCTGATCTGCGACCAACCGGCCGGAACCACTTCGTTTCTTCACCGCTACTTCACCTTCACCAGCGGTAGATTCTTGCTGGCATGATCGCTGCAGGAAATGTCGAAAAAAGAATCAGGAGAGAAGAAAAGAAGAAAAAATTCTTTCTTGTCGCTGCAGATAGACAGACAGTGTCTTGGGCAGTCAGTCCTCCGATGCGATGCCCCGCACTCACTCCCGTATTACTCTCTGGCCAGGCAGCCTTACAGCGCTCCAGATGCCTGATCGATCTCGAGTGTACTTCGTCTCGCTGTTGCTGCTGTAATGCTGCTGCTACTTGGAGAGACCAAGCGAGACATCACGATGATCAGTCATTCACCATACTCATAATCAGATCATTTACTAGGGGAAAACACAATCCGTGGTCTCACAAAGCCAAGTCAACAAAAGGTTGAAACAACAGGCCGTCCCCACGCGGAGTGGAGAAACAAAAAACTCACGCGAACAAGCCAAAAAGACAGCATCGGAACCTTCTTCCACCAGCCAGCTTTATTCCAGTCATCATCCCCTTCTGCTGGGTTTGTCTTCAATCGTCCATCCGTCACTTCTCCTGTACCTCCCCCGCATTTCACATACGGTGGGTTATTTTTGGTGCATTCCGATCGGAGCTGCTTACAGTAGATCCCCCACCCACCGTCAACCACGGCCCGCAAACTTCAAACCCAGTCGGTGTGGACCAGGCTACAATCTAAGCTGAGACGACGAAATCGCGAAACAGATATGGAGGAGGTCACGAGACAGACCAGCAATGTCACTTTGGACTCATCCAAGTGTGCTACCAAAGCGGGAACTTCCTCCAGCTTCTCACCCCCAGTTCTCACATACCTCGATAAGATCTACTCGTCGTTGACTTCGCTATCCCAGCCGGATTTCCTGAGGGATATTCAACATGAGGCTTTTGTTCAAGATGCGGCCGGCAAGGTGGGCAGCGCGAATCCGCTCACATCGCCAGCTGAGTTTTACGCCTACATGGCTAGTCCGGCAGCCTCTGCGATGAAGCCGGCCGGCTCGCCCGATCTCTCCGCCCCAATAACGGACTACTATATCTCCTCGAGTCATAATACGTACTTGACGGGGAACCAGCTCTATAGTGATTCGGATGCCAGTGCTTATACCAATGTAGGTTGCTTCTTGACTGCTGCCGTTTCTCTTAGGCATATGACGTAGGACAAAGTGGACTAATCAGGCGGCTGATCTATGCTAGGTATTGCTTCGCGGAGGAAGATGTGTCGAGATCGACATCTGGGACGGAAAAAGCAGCTCCGAAAGCTCGCAGGACGAGGAGACCAGTAGCAGTAGCAGCAGCAGCAGTAGCGACTCGAGCTCTGACGAAGAAGCCACTAGACCCCAGATGCCCCGCCGTCGCAAATCAAAGATGGAGAGGCTCAGGAAAGCGACCGAGAGCCACCCACGTCTCCATGCCATTTCCGAGGAGATGGGAAAATTGGAGGGTTACCTGGGTCACCGTCGATCGCTTTCTGGGAGTAAGCGCCCGGAGACCGTAAAGACACCCGAAGAAACACCCCAGGTCCCGGCGCGTCCAGAGCCCCGGGTGCTTCACGGTCATACCCTGACCAAAGAGGCCAGTTTCCGAGATGTGTGCTATGCAATCCGTGATAGCGCGTTCGTGACCAGCGACCTGCCGGTCATCGTGAGCCTCGAGGTGCATGCTTGTCACGAGCAGCAGCACACGATGGTGGAGATCATGGAGGAGGCGTGGAAAGGTATGCTGATCGAAGTAACGCCCGAGATCGAAGCGACCAGGATGCCGCCTCCCCTGGCGGACCTGAAGAGGAAGATCCTCATCAAGGTGAAATATGTCGCGCCAACGGGCGAGGACAAGAACGAAGATCCGGAGGAAGAGGAGAAGAAAGTGTATCTGAAACATGTCCAAACTTTGAAACAGAAAGGCGACCTGTCGACACCCGCAAGCACAGCTCATGAGACACCCGAAGTTCCTGCTCCAGCGCCTCATAAAACGTCCAAAATCGTTCATGCTCTGAGCAAGCTGGCCGTCTTCACCAAAGGGTTCCACTTCAAGGACTTCACGCAGCCAGGTATATCCAAGCTGATCACATTGGTTAGTTAGAGTCGATCACTGACTTGGACCACTACAGAGGCCAAGGTACCGAGCCATGTATTCTCGCTCTCGGAGAATGCAGTACGCGAGGCCCATGTGAAAGACCCGAATGCGTTATTCGAGCATAACCGCCACTACTTCATGCGTGTCTATCCGAAAGGCCTACGGCTGGGCTCCTCAAATATGGACCCTGGATTCTTCTGGCGGCGTGGCGCCCAAATGGTGGCCCTGAACTGGCAAAATCTCGACAAGGGAATGATGCTCAACTCGGGGATGTTTGCAGGCGAGCCTGGGTGGGTTCTCAAGCCTCCGGGCTATCGGAGCACCGATGCAGACTCCGTCATCGTCCAGCGCCGACAGCTCGACCTTTCTATTGAGTTCATTGCCGGCCAAGATCTGCCCCTGCCGCCAGGACAGACGAACGAGAAGAAATTCCATCCCTATGTGTCGTGTATCCTTCATCTCGACACCCCCGAAGACGACTCCGGGGATTCAGCGAGCGATGACGAATCCGACTCCGAGAAGGCCGGCTACAAGCGAGCCACCAAGAGTGCCACGGGGTCGAATCCAGATTTTGAGGGCCAGAAGATCGAGTTTCCCCCGATCCCAAACGTAGTTGAGGATCTTAGCTATGTCAGGTTTGTGCTCTTTGGATCTTATCTTTAAGAATGTAGGCACTGATTATGGATAGGTTCAAAATCAAGGATGACGAATTCTTCCGTGATTCGCTTGCCGGATGGGCGTGCATACGTTTGAACCGACTCCAAGAGGGCTACCGACTCATTCATATATACGATCGCTCAGGAGCGGATACTGGTGGTGTTCTGTTGGTTCGGATCACCAAGACCATGAGTTGAACTGTGGATATGCAGTTCAATTTGCGTCAGGTTCGGAGATTTGAACAGGAATTATCCCTAGGCTGTGGAGTAGAAAGCGGTGCACACGCAAGGGCCTGCAGGCCATGAATTAGCCATGAGACTATTGATTCATATATCTCCGGGCTATCGAAAAGAAAAAGATGGCTTCTTAATGAATTCTCATCGAGCTTAGTCCTCGCTCGCGTCTTGTCCTAGATTCTTAGTGCAGTATTGCATTTCGCCGGAATTCTCAGAGCTGCCAGTTGGGCTCCTGTGCTATTTACTTCCAAGACATGGCATCAATGGCACAAATTTCGAATGGAGATCATATCAAAATACATTGAATATAAATCAAACCATGAAAGGGTGCCTTAAACCACACACAACCATATGACGTGGTGACCGACCGAGCGAACGAGCGGCCCCCCCCGGGACTTAACCGAAAAGCTGGGGTAAAATGCCTCCCAAAATGGCAACTCGAAGCGCGCTCCTCTCCCCAAGATTTGTTTTTACCCCGCGCTTACGCCTACTGAATTCACCTCCCCATCTTATTGCTACCTTATTCTTTCTCTGTCTTCCTCTCTCCCAGATCGGTGGAACCTCACCACTACCGCCAGCCATCATACAAACTGATACCCTGCAAAGAACAAACCGAGTCCCTCACAGAACCCGCCTACATGGCCGATTCAACCAGAACGACGCCTAAATTTACGAGATGCAGGACAGGATGTTTACGCTGTCGCACCCGACGTCGGAAATGTGAGTTTCCTCCACCTCTCCCTTTGAATCCTTCCCCACGGTTACCACACCTATCCCAAACTATAAACTACCCTCTTAGCCTTTGCAAACCTGTCCAACAGAAGGGAAGGCTCAAACGATTTTTAACTGGCATCCTGCTCCTGGAAAACAGGCGATGAAGGCAAACCACGCTGCCAGAACTGCGTCGACAAGAACTTCGTCTGCAGCTATGGGATGCAAGTCACTTTCTTGTCGAAGAATACGTACACGGTGCCTGCGAAGGAGGTGCGCGCGCCGAGGTCGAAGAGGAGGTTTCAGAATCTGAGGGTGGGTTTGCCTTTGGAGTTTTCCGCCTCTGTCTTCCCTTCTTTCTTCTCTTTTACATTCTGGGTCTACATTTGTGTGCTGGGATGTCCTTTGATATGCGTGTCGCTGATTTGCGCTTGGGTGGGTTGCTATCTAGTTCATTGAAGAAGATCCATTGACTTTGAGTGGCACCGATGCCAATGTTGTGGAAGGGGAAGAGGATGGGGAAGCCGGACTAAAGTCGTCCTCGCCCATTATCCGGCTAGTTGATTCCGCTAAGGATCGAGCTGAGGATGAGGCGGGAGGCGAGGACCATTCCGTCACGGGTGGAAATGCCGGGTCTGAGAGCGCAGAGCTTGGAGATCATGATGGTTCTAGCCATGGCGGTCCAGATGGTTCCCTGAACGGAGGGGCCTCGCTCGATAGCCACGGGGCCTTCAGTGACCGCGACACCTCTGCCGTGCAGGGCCTTCTCGCGCTGGGGTCGGGCTTGATCACCCAAGACCTTCAGCACGCGCTTGCCCCGGACATCTCATGCCTCGAGACACCATCTGCTCCGATCGCAGACGCTTTGCCTTTGATGATGATCACTACGGCGGGGCCGGCAGATGATGGGAGGGCTCTGAGACGACAATCGAAGTTCTCGGGGGGTGTGGTTGGGGCGTCGCCGTTGTCTACTACCACCAGTGAGGAGCGAACATTGGACCTTCTGCGCCACTATCGGTACTTTGTCGCTCCCTGGGTAAGCCATCTACCTACTACTTCTCTCGATGACAACCAAAACAGTATCTGACCAACAATTTCTCTCAAATACCAGATGGATATATGCGACCTGAAACACCCCTTTGGGATCGTAGCTACGCAAATGGCAACACGCTCGGAGCAGATCTTGTCGGCTTTGTTAACACTATCGGAGGCTTGTATGATTCACCGCGATTATCCACAAGCACATGCGGTCACCCTGGATAAGGCCTTACCACAACGCCTACAGCTCGAATCCGGTCTTGCTTCGGATTTCAAGGAATTGACACTTCTGTCAGTTCTGGAGAGGCTACGATTCTTAGTGTCCGACCTTTCTCACGGTTGGAAAACCTTGCAGAACTACAACCTTGGCTCGTTGGAGCCTTTGATAGAACATGCGTTGCTTTTGGACATTGAGTCATCTGTTTATTGGATGTTTCTCAGACTAGGTAGGCCGACCGTGTTGCGTCCGGGGGAAATGCGGGTCTTTCCTAATTTCATACAGACTTGAGTGTAGCGCTCGCGAACGATACGGGTCTGCAGATCCCACTTCCCTCCGGTCCCGTGCCAAATCTGGAACTGCTCTCAAGGACCCACGACACGCATGAAAGAGTCTCACTTTATGCTCGTGTCCTTCTTTGGCTCTGTGGGAAGGCATTGATGGTATGCCATGAACAACCCAGCCCACGTCATTTCCCAGATTGCCATCAACTTCTGGACAGCTGGCTTCAAGTGTCTGATGAACTCGACCGATGGTACAAGTCGCGGCCCCAGGAGTTTCGGCCGTTGGTAGAGCTGGAGGGTATCAATGACCTCTCCAACCCAGGGAGCGGATTTCCTTTAGTAGTCTTTGCGAATGGGGTGGGCGCATACTGTAATCAGCTGTACCACACCGCTGTGCTCTTGTTGCTTCAATGCAAGCCACGTACTGCGCTTCTCAACTCACAGGCTCGATTTCTATCGCCTCTCTGGCATTCTCAGCGTATCTGTGGTATTGCACTGAACAATGACGGCCGCGATTGTTGGGATCCTTGTTTGGTCGCCTCCTTCCTCGTTTCCGCGCGGACTATGACGCACGAATCCCAGCAAAAGGCTATCCTGCAGGGCTTCGAGCGCATCCACTCCATCACTGGTTGGCATATAGGTCGATACTTGAGTCACCTTCAGCAGGATTGGGCTTTTCTTGACGGTGTTTGAGTTGCTCGCCTGGCAGTGTCCTCGGCGTGATGTACCACGAGCAGCTCGTCACAAAATGCTCATCGGTAACCCCAAGCGGTTTCCAGATCACGGATCCGCCAACACGTGCCCCAGCCAGTCTCCGTCTCGATACTACGTATCAGGTTGATGATCTCTCTGTGTTCTGATGTGTGACTGAAGAGCTGTCCCGCAATCCACAGCGGTTGGATTGAATTGTTCAGGCATCCTTGATGCGGGTTGGCCAGAGAAATACCGCAGATGCGACGTGCATGCCATAGTGGAAAAAGGGCCGGTGACCGCGGAAGCCGGACACCCTTCGGCAGGACCTTCAACAGCAATATACATGCCGTGTGGTACAACTGATTCGACGATATTGCGGCCCAGTGGACGAACAAAATGTGGGGGAATGGTCTACGATTGACGGTCTGGACCGGGAGCAATTCACTCGGCCGCTCCGACAGCCAGCACTGGAGTTCATCCCAGAGGAGCAACCAACGGGACTGGAATTCTTCTGTAGAACACCCATTCTCTTCACCCAGTTCGACGAACCTGGTGCGATCCGAAAGAAGGTGCGTTGCTTTCACACACAGATAGACTGCGTAGTTCGCGTGCATGTCTGGAGATGTGACATTCTGGAACAACCGATATGCATATTTCTCTTGACAGCCTGGCGGCAGCCATTTAGAAGGATGTAGAAGTGTAGTTTGTGTTCCGTCAGAGATAAGTGCACCACAAAGATCTAACCCAGGGTATTAGTATGCTGCCCAACAGAGGCCAGCGGATTCCTTTTGCGCGATTACAGCTGCGAGAGGCACAGGACTTACCCATTCTTGCATAACACCAAAACACCGCCTGTAAAACTCCCTGGCTGAAACCGTGGATACCAAACGCATCAAATAGCGCGGCACAGCCCTCCAAATGACGGCGCCAATCTTGCGCTCGAGCTGACATCATTTCCAAGCAGCAAAGGAGCACGCAAGCAGCGACAACCTTTGAATCCCTGACCTGAAGAAGTGGATCCAATCGTCGGATGGCCTCCTGGTACAATTCAAGACTATCGAACCAATTTCGGACGCCATTCTTACGCTCGAACTGCCTTGCCGAAAGTGCAAGTATGGCATAAAAAAGAGCCGGGAATTCCTGAGCGAGAGCAGGTATCTGATGGCGGAAGGTGCATTGTGAGTCAAACATGTCGAGCTGAAGATGAATAGAAGGCATCGTCAGCCTGTCTGACTCCTGAGCATAGTACGCTTTGTCAATATGGTCTCACATACCCACGGCGCCACTTCTGTGACATAATTTTTAAGGTACTGGATATGTTCGCCATCAGATAATGGGGAGCGCCATGAGTCCCCACCGTCATTCGTCAGGACTTTGAGCAGTTGATCCCCTCTTCCGGCCGTGTCCGGACTAGACGCGCGAGTCGGGACAGCGGAGTTTGCAAGGGAGAAAAGAAAACATCGCAACTCTTCCTGGGACGCTAGAAAGTCGGGATCCTGGGAGAAGCCATCTTGCGTCCAGCTCCCAGCCGCCGGTGACTGGAACGAGCCGCACTCGCCACTTGTATTCGGGGAACTGTGAAGATTGGTATCGTCTAGGTTGCATGTACTATAGAGACTGCGAGGATTCAAGGAGCCCGGGGTCTCTGCATCTGGGGGCTGGGGTTCCTTCTGTTGAGCCTCAAGTCGCTGCCGCTTCGGGGCAGGCTCGGCGAACGACATGACTCGCTTGTCCAAGCTTCCTTGATTTTTCTCTCATACAAATCACGCTAAACGATTTGATGATGGATGCAACAAGAGATCAGATGGCTTTCGGGCTGGGAGAGCTGCCATGCGACGTGGAAGAGGTTCTTTCCTTGGTAGACAATCGGTTTGGAAGGGCCTCGGCTGTAGCGCGCACGATCGACAGCGGGGCAGGAATTGTTGTCGCGACTCCTCGTTTTCCCCAGATCGTTAGATCCCCTTAATTGTCCCGTGTCTTTCGTCTGGGGACTGAGTCTCCGCGTGGTATCATGGGCAAGGATGACAGCCAAAGTGCAGATCCCCCATGGGTGTTGCGGGATGAGTTTAGTCCTATTGCGGGGTTGTTGCAGCACTCCGGGGTAACATTTGGCTCCCCTTCCCCGTTTGGGACATCCCGTGACTTGGCGCGGATGTTACCTTCTTTCCTCTTTCGTCTTCCCTGCTTTCTCGCGTCCAACTCTCCTGTGAATCAAGACGGGACATCAATGACGATATCAAGTTGTCGAGATAAGGTGGGATCGACAGGTCTTCCAGGTCGAGTGCCCGTCATGTTGCCAGATGACTGATAGAGAGCGCGTCTTCCAAGGGGGCTACATAATACTACCTGCTATCATGATTCAGACAGGCCAGAACACGATACCTTGCGCAGGACTGTCACACACACAACACACAATACTAGAACAACATGGTGAAACTCAACATGTTTGGGACAGGTTTTGCCCTTCAGGCTGCCATCTGGTCAGCTTGCGGGATGGCCTTCATTCTCTTCGGTACGCTCAGCTCGTGTTTTGCTACCGGAACGGATAGGATATTTAATCCCCCTTGTGCTTCTTCCAGGTTACGACCAGGGTGTCTTCTCCGGGATTGTGGAGAACGACGATTTCCTCGACACGATGAATCACCCTAATGACAGTCTCACCGGCATCATTGTCTCCATTTACAACCTGGGCTGCTTTACAGGGTGTATTATCAACTTCATGCTGGCAGACTGGCTGGGGAGACGCCGAGCAATGTGGTTTGCTATGGTCTGGGTCATCGTAAGTATTCACTTTTGAGCCATACGTGATCTTACTCGGCTAAACTTCCCCCCCCCAACAAAAAGATTGGCGCTATCTTGCAATGCTCTGCGTTCTCGGTCCCGCACCTCATGATCGGTCGCTTTGTCACAGGTATCGGCACGGGAATTGAGACGTCAACGGTGCCCATGTACCAAGCCGAGCTCTGTGAGGCAAGCAAGCGCGGAAGGCTTGTCTGTAGCGAGCCGCTTCTAGTGGGCGTTGGGATTGTCATTAGGTGAGCAGCTCTGGACCATGGCAGCGCTTTCCCATATTGACTACATCTAGTTACTTCTTCGACTATGGCATGGGTTTCGTGGGCGGGCATATCGCTTGGAGGCTGCCTATAGCATGCCAGATGATCTTTGCGTTTGTGAGTGATGAGATTACGTTCAAGGGTTTGATACCAGGGCTCACTCGCAACAGGTGGTTGTCGTTCTCGTTTTCGGGTTGCCCGAGTCTCCCAGATATTGCTACAAGGAAGGTCGTCATGAGGAAGGTCTGCAGATTCTCAGTGACGTCTACGGTCGTCCCAAAAATGACCCGAAAATCTTGGCCGAACAGGAGGACATCCTCGAAGCCATTGCCGTGGAGACACAGCACGGCGAATTTCAGTGGAGGTATTTTCTGTCTATGCCGCTCAAAGGAACGACCAGCCAGCTGAACATCACACAGAAACATATTCAAACATGATGGAGTCTCAACGGGCCATCGAGTGTAAGTCTAGTCTACTCCTTACTACGTTGCATTATCATTATACTTACCGATTGCAGTCTTCTTGCTTACGGAATGCAATTCATGAACCAAGTTGGCGGCATTAATCTCGTCGTGTATGGTCCGCACAGCCCGTACATCACTTCAGAACAACTCTGCTAACGAGGCCCAGCTACTTCATCCCCACGGTCCTCAACAGCAACGTCGGTCTCAGCAAGAACCTGTCCATGATTCTTGGAGGCTGCGTCCAGATAATGTTCGTCGTGGGCAGTATATTCCCAACATTCTTCGTTGACCGGGTCGGTCGCCGGGCGCCCATGATCTGGGGCTCCTTTGGCCTGGGACTCTGCATGATGATGGTGTCCATCCTGCTCAGTTTCAAGGGCCACGCCAACGAACACGCCACTTCCTCGGCCGCAGTGGCAATCTTCTTCCTCTACATGCTCATCTTTGGGGCCTCGGTTAATTGCATCCCATGGTGCTATGTCCCTGAGATCTTGCCTCTCCATGCGCGCGCGAAGGGGACGGCTATCGGCATTTCGTCCAACTGGATCTGGGTAGGTTTCATCTCCTGTCCAAGGCTGTTCCCATATGGTCTCCAAATAAATGCTAATTGATGCTGCTGCTGGTGCAAAGAACTTCTTCGTCGTCATGATCACGCCGATCATCATCAATCGCCTGCAGTGGAAGGCCTACCTCATCTTCATGTGTACGAATCTGGCGTTTGTCCCGCTGATCTACTTCTGCTATCCCGAGACGGCGAATCTTACACTCGAGGAGATTGACTATTTGTTCACCATCCCGGAAAAGAGTGCAGTGCAAGCATCTAAAGAGCTCGTGAAGCAGAGGAAGAGACACGGCGTCGTCCCATCCCAAGTCGTTGTCTCGCAGGTAAGCGAGGCTGTCCAGCCCAGCAAAGAGAAGGGCAAAGAAAGTATCACGTCCAGGATATCTGATGAGCATGCTGAAGATGCATGAGAAAGTGGAAGAAGAGGAGCGTCGAGGGCACACTATGCCAGGATTCTTGCATCCTTCATCAAGTGCAACAGCGCTACTCCCTACATCGGTGCTGCTTTACTAGCTATGTGCTTGCGACTAGGATCATCGCCCTTCAAGCCACTATCACTGGTAGAAACCGCAGATGCGGTGACATTGGGCTACGAAGAAATGTTCAGGGTGCATATACCGTATGGGTGCTGTAGATATGACTTTATCAGGCCCCTGCCAATTAGACTTTAGACATCCGCAGCCACTCCCAGAGGCGTTTCTTGCCCCGAGATGCACCGAGAAGTACCTTAGGAATAACACAATCACTGGACACACACGTCCAGTCATCGGACAAGCCACATGCTTAAGACTAGCCAATCACCTTTCTTTATAGGGGTCAAGCAGCTACTAGTAGGGTCTATGGTACGATATTCTAAGGAAAAATTCGATGTGCGAGGGCGCAAGTCGGCAGTACAGTACGTAGTGACCTGTAGCCCATCAACTCATCCACAGGAGAGAAAATACTACATGCAAGCCTATGTCCGAAGCGCCTGGTGCTTGATAACCAAAGAGCAAAGAAAAAACAAAGTGGCACCTATGTATCATGCATGCGATATCTTTTCTTCTCCCGCAGGACCGGGGGTGGATTGGGTATAATGTAAGTACTGAAGTAGTTAAATAGAAGACTCCTCATGATGTAAGTAAACATGCATGTAGGAAAGGAACGCCAAGCGCTCGCAGACATATGCAAGATGCGACGTCCATCCCGTTCTTCGATCTCACAAAGGAAGCCCACAAAGCCCCATCGCTTCCGGGGCTCAATTACGATTCGAAGGAATGAGGGAAGGATCAGGGGGGGAGGGGGGTTTGCAGGGGCGGCCACTCTTCAGAACCGTACGGGTATAGGCACCAAGGCACCAAAGTACAGCTGCGGTGTCCGGGTCTGTCTTTCATTGTTTAGAATTGCGGTGTGGCGCCCCTCTTCCGGTGTGGGTGCAGGCTCGGATTGGTTGCATCTATCTATCTCTTGTTGCTTCTGCGCTACTAAGTGCATACTGTTTCTATCGGGGATGAAATGATTGAGATTATTTGAGAATAGGCGGACGGATGGGATCTGAAAAGCCAGGGGCAGTTGGGTTCATTCCCCTCTCTTTCTGCGGATGAAATGGAAGAAGGGAGGGGCAGGATATTATGAAACTTTGCGTGCAAGATAGAATTACGAGGGAAGCGAAAGAGAAAAAAGAAAGAGGAGTTTGTGAGACCTCGACAAAGAAAATTGGTGAGGAGGGGTAAACCCGATTGTGGCAATAGTGGAGAGAGAGTTGTTGAGAAAAGCAAGCTGCTGTCAGTCTTTGACCGGAGAGGAAGGAGCGGGGAGGTGGGGAGAGGAAGCATAAAAGTGACAGGTCATATTTGACGAATATCAGAAATGCCGCTTCGGTGCTGGAATGTTGGCGGATTTGCCGACTTGGTGTGACAGACAATTCAGCTAGTCTCAATGCCGGCCAATTCGAGCAAATCACTCGCCCCCCGGAATTAAATCTTTGTCGCTTTTTGTGAACGGTCTTTCGGCCGTTCGCAATAAACCGGATTGAGGCACAAACAACCTCTCGATCGACGATCTCCTGTCATCCGATGGGGCACTCGGAGAGGATTGAACTTGGACCAAACAAACGAATAGTAGCGGCTCCACAGTTTATGTATCCGATTGCACCACAAGCACTGCCCCAGATAAGTGGTATCACCTGGGTTTCGTAGCACCGGTCGCGCTTCTTTTGTGATTGAGATCTGAGGGATAGACCGATGAAAACCCGCTGTGGGTGCAAGAAAGTTGCGATAAGGTTCACTTCCATATGTCAACGCTCCACCAGCGAAGCACAGTCGGTGGGGATGCAAGACATGGCATAGGATCGGTCTCCCTTTGGCTCCCTACTCATATGCCTCTTAAGAGTAGTTGCAGTTGAAGCCAGAATAGGACTGAAATCTCAGATGACAAGGAATGGAGAAAATAAATATTATCCCAGGTGGGGACGCCGAACAAAGGAAAGGATAGGCGAACGTTGAGACCGCAACAACAAAGGAGGGGCGCTCAGGTTCTACATTTGCAGTGCCCGGGGGCATCAAAATACAACAAGCAGTCTACTGTACAGTTGAGAAACACCAAGGGGATCTTCTTGACCCAACAGGTTGGTTGTCAAACTGCAGCTGATCCGTTTCGATCATTGGCCCATGTACCCGCGATCGTGTCGATTAGTTCTTTCTGGATGTAGTCACAAATCGCAGCGACTGGATGACGACAAAGACAATGAGTACGAAGTAGCAAACAGAGAATAGCTCGCTCTGCTAACGTCACTTGTCAATTGCGCTACCCATGATGGAGATAACTCAATCTGAAGCACCAAAGTTCATACCACTCGGCATTCTCTGGGTTTGGCGCAGTTAGCGAAGCTAGGCCCTCAATTGTGGGCCCGGCGTCGCAAACCCCAGTCTTACCTGACAGGCTCGATAATCCGACCCAGCTTGAAGAGGGTTTCAGGCCCCGACCTCTGGTTCTGCGCCAACTTTAGCACCGAGTCAAGATCATCTGGATTTGCGTAGCGAGAAAGTGTGGCCATTGCGGAGGGGCTGCGGCTTAATCAACCATTAAAGGAAGATGATATGCGTCCCGATTCGCTCTTGTTGTGTAGGACCGGATATGGAGTACAAAGCAGCTGCGCTGTCATGTTAGCGATGCATCGCAACCGGCGCCAAGTCTCTAGGCTAGAGACTTCGCTAGGACCGAACACCAAATTAGATGAAAGTGACCTATACACACTGTCAGTTATAGGCGGTCAAACTTAGGGCTCATTCTGAGTCGCAACACCCGGCGCCGCTTGAATCCGATAGCTATGTATAGATATTTTGGGATGGTTGTTAATGTATCTGCACCAGTCACATCTGTAAATCCGAGTGGAGCATACCGAATACCGAATTCCCACTTATCTGGTTGCATAAACGGTTCCCATTTCGCGTTTCACAGGTAGCGCATTGTCTTTTCCTTTCCCTGGAACCTTTTCGATTTGGCTTTTCTCTTTTGCCCGGCGCTTCCCATCATCACTAGTCACATTGAGGATAGCAGAACATGTATCTATCACATATCGCAATTTCTCAGCTGGAGTCGACCCCCGTATGAAAATTCTCATTGGCGGGGTTCAGCGATGCAAGACATGAACGGGAAGATCCGAGTAACCCGAATAATCGATGCAGCCGACATGACATGTTTGATAACCAGGGTCCATGTCGATTGGTACCTTGGATGCATAAATCAATCTAGTCGTGTCTCCAGTCGACGGGTCTGAGCTATGGTGACGATCTCCCGATGGATACACACAGTGTCTCCAGTCTAAGGAGTGTGTCGAGAGCCAACAAGCCCAGGTATATAAAGGACAAAGTATCTGGCATCGAATGTCAATTCCATCAACGGAAGACGGTGCAATTCTCGGCAAAGTCACACACTTCAAACACTCGACCAATTCCACCTTGCCCATTTTCGATTCCTTTCCCGAAGAACAACCCCCAAAGCAATTGAAAACCAACAAGCCCAGTGTCTTTTAATCGACCTCTGAGACCCCAAACACCTTCCACAAAATCAAACTTACCGACTCTTCACAATGCCCGTAAGTGTTTTCCCCTGCGAAAACCACTGGTGAACGAATCAACTCTCTAACAGCACTATCACTCAACAGATGCCAGGAGCGCGTTGCCCAACCTGCGCCGCGCAGGGAAAAGAAGTCTGGGTGATTCCCGGCAAGAACTGCCACATCTGCGGCACCGCTGTTGGCTGATACAACCAAGTGAGGACATCCCCCAAATCTTTTAGAACGAGTTCACCACTAATAGATGACCATTAGCGACTCTCAAGGAAAAAAAAACCCCATTGTGGTAACATTCCAGGAGGCAAAATAATTTCTTTTCGTTCTACCTTTCCGGGTCCGGGAATAATAGAGAGGAGAGAGAGAGCACCCACTTCCTGCGAGAAGGAAGAAATCACGGCGCATCGATCTAGGGGATTATCATCCCTCTCTCTCTTCTGGGTTCATTTTTCGTTATTGGAAATTGGGGAAGTGACAGGGCCTCATAGGTTGATCCAGATGGCATACGATATCGATTGAGGGCGACTGGGTGCTCTCTAGCAGTAAAGGTTCTCTGGCAGGCGACTGCAGAAGTATCGATGACGGGAGGGAGAAGGGGTTTCTTTCTCATTGTACGATAGTGAAGGCTAAAATCACAAAGAAATCAATTGCTTTGAAGGAAACGAAAATGAGAGAGAGAGAGAGAGAGAGAGAGAGAGAGTCGTAGCACGTAGACTGATGCTATGTCGTGATAGAAGGAAAGAGACTGGAGGGAGGAAGAGTTCGTCTTGCCTAGTTGATACTGCGCCATGCATTCTTTCCTATTACAGAATCTGGGAACAAGCCTGGCCTGAGGCAGTCACGTCACGGACACTCTCCAGACAGGGTCTTTCCAACAAGCGACTGACTGAAATCGGTCCCTGACCACGAACAGTCCCAAGATCCATCATTGTTCCCCGCCTCATCCTTGGATCCTTCGACTCTACGCCAAACCTCACGATAGGTTGGGATAATTCATCCGGGTGGATTGCAAATCTCGACATATAGAAAGATCGCGACTAGTTGACACCGACGCCAGTGACAATGGTCCCGGCAATGATAGGCGACATGCAGCGGCGCGCGAGGGTCCTTGCATGACGATTCCTCCAATCCCAGCGGTCAGGGCCAGCACTTTAATCCGACTATCGTGACTCAGGACGGGAGCGGGATCCCTGCTCTCGGTTTGGTGCTCTTGGAGGATCGTCACCTGTCACGCTTGGCATGCCTTTCGTCAACCTGTCGCGAGGCCCCGTCTCGTCCCGCTTGCTTTGCGGTGGGCGCGTGGCGGTAATCTCGCTAGAGCGCAGAAGGCCCGGCGCTGACGGTGGACTTGCTTCTTCTCTGCTTGATCAACGATGACGGATTCAACGAGAAGATCGAGATGAAGTCGAGAAGTGCATTGTAACAGAAGCTTGAATGAAAACCATATCCCAATAGGTATATACAAAAAGAAGCAACGAAAATTTAGGATATCTCCCATGAAGCGAACGCCCATCCAAACAGCGACATCGAAAATCTAGGTTAATGTGCCAAAATGGGCAACGAGCGCCTGACCCTTCCCCACATCGACTCATCCGGAACCGGATGGTCGATACGATGCCATTCGTCATTGAATGCATTGATGAGCCAGCTCGAAAGACCTAGTCGACGGGTTAGCCCTATCTCAGAGAACAAGACAACCAAGCTGCTGTGGCAGGTTAACTTACGCTCATAAACCATGGTATGCGCATTGTGGAACGCAATGTTGTGATCCGAATCCGGGTAGACATGCAGATCGTAGTTCTCAACACTGGCCAAGTCCAATTTATCCACCAGGACAAGGGTGTTCTGGAGGTGGACGTTGTCATCAGAGGAACCGTGCATAACTAGGAATCGCACAGTTTCCTGAAGTGCAGACATATCGGAGATCGAGGAGTTGTCATATCCTGTGGGGTTGTGTTCGGGGGTGTGCATGTAGCGTTCAGTGTATATAGAATCTAGTTGAAGCAGTCATTAGCGATAGGGTTTTTGCTAGTCTCCGCGAATGGAAAGCTTACCGTAGAACCGCCAATCAGTCACCGGTGCAACAGCCATGCCGTATTGGAATGTCTGTCCTGCGTCTTGCTCGAGCGTCTTCAAGGTCATAAATCCGCCGTAGCTCCAGCCCCAGATCGCCATTCGGGTTGCATCGACATAGGTTTTCTGAGCCCAGATTTTGGCCGTAGCAATCTGATCGTGAGCTTCGTAGTAGCCGATGTTGCCACGGACAATGCATCGTGCTTTGCGGCCAATGTAGCCCGTGCCTCGGCCATCAACAGTGACGACAATGTAGCCCAGACTCGAAGCAATGTATGCCTGGAAGTCGACGGTGAACTTGCGATCCACGGTCTGAGAGCCTGGTCCACCGTAGAGATAGAAGAGCACAGGATATTTCTTGGCCGGGTTGAAGTGAGGAGGGCGACGTTCGACGACCTGGAGGGTGAAGCCGTCAATGGTGACGTTCTGATAGATTTCTGTTGGGAGCGCATATGTTTCAGCCATGCGAGCGAGGCCAGCGTTGTCTTCAATGGTCTCTTCGAGGATAATCTTGTCTGTCTCGGTATTGACGATCGCTTGCCATGGGATGGACGGGCCCTTGTAGCTGAGAAGTGCGTACCCGGTACCTTGGGAGAAGGAAACATCGTAGTAGCCTGGTTTGGAAACATCTGTGAGAGCCTTGAGGTTGGATCCATCAAAGTTGACCTGGTAGAGATGGCGTTGGGTAGGGGCTTCTTTTGTGGCAATGAAGTAGACAACGCCTCGGTGGGGATCAACGGCGGCAGGAGCTTCGACCACCTCCCATTCGCCTGTGGTCAGCATCACTGGATCAGAGTTATCAAGGGGCGCGAAGTATGCGAGATGGTCGTAGCCATTGTAAATCACGGTATCGAGATAGCCATCGTGTGGCCGACCATTGCTTGGATCCGCAGGGATGAATCGGGTGTACTGGGATGGCTCAACCCAGCCGCCGTCAATACCAGCGACGTCTTCAGTTCGGACGAGTTTGCCCGTGCGAGCTCTCGTGTCAATCAGGAAGACCTTGAGAATATCACTTTCTCTGTTGGTTGTTCGCACAAGAACTTTTTCTGCGCCTGCCCACACCACCTCGATAATGATGCGATCGTCATCTTCGAAGTCGTCGGGAATATCCACCGTAAATACTTGTTGTCTCTCGACGTCGTAGAACTGCAAGTTAACGATTGGGTTGGGGGCGCCGGGCTTAGGATACTTGATCTCTCTGACCTCCGGGTAGTTTTCGAGTCCTGGGAGCGGTTGTTTCCCAGACGGCCTCGAGAGGTGGTACTGGACGGGGAATTCAGGCACTGAAGATTCGTTGGTGCGCAAGAAAGCAAGGAACTCGCCGCCACTGGACCACCAGGTTACACTATTGCCTGAGATAACTTCTTCTTCATAAACCCAGTCAGGGACACCGTAGAAAAGGTCCGCGCCGCCGTCCTTGGTGATTTGGACTACCTTATCCGACGACAAGTTCCGGAGATACAGGTTGTTCCCTCTCGCAAAGACAACAGCGTCAGAAGCAGGCGACCAGACCGCAAGCTGGACACGTCCGTCAGGCTCGCTCGGATCCAGCGCCTGCGCCGTTTGAGATTCCACGTCGAAGACCCAGTAGTTGCCTGTGTAGGAATGTCTCCAATTCTTCTCGCGGTCCGACAAGAGCAGCACCTTCTTGAGATTGGGACTGGGCCATGTCATGGTGGGGACGATTTGGCGCCCATCCACATGCACAGTGGGCTTTTCCATCAGCACCCTACTTTCCTGGCTTTGGGCATCCTTCTTGCGATTGCGGATATCCTCAACACGCAAATATGCCTTTCCCTCCCCCTCGCCACGCTCTACCAACAGACCATCTTCACCATTGGGTCCTGCGATCCAAGAGATGGCATGAGACATGGGCTGCCATTGTCCCCTGAGAACCTGCTCCAGCGTGACAGGCTTCCCCGAGCTTGTGCTATCGGAGAAGGGGCTGGAATCATGCGACTGCAGCGCTTCCGAGACAGCGAGGTCGCTGGAGTACTTCTGGGTCACGAACAGCGTTAGCGCCCCAAGCCAGCCTGCCACGCACAGTATAACCAACGCCCATATTATACGAGAGGTCCGGCGCCCAGAGGCGGTCGATTTCTTCTGCGACGAGGGTAGAAATGGCTCATCAGGCTGCGGATCCCCTTCCTCCACGTCTCGATATCTCGCATCGACGGCTGAATCCAGTCGCAAGGGATCGTTCGTGTGGGTGGTGTATTTGGATTCTTCTGGGAAGTTCGTGTCGACGGAGAGGCCGGAATCAGAGGATGACTGCGAGGCGGTCCGCGAGCGGCTCATGGGTGGGAATTCAGGGTTGCCATCATCTGCGTATGTCCCCATTATGGGAGAGACAAATGTAGGTTGCGAATTGGCGGGCTTGGGAGCGACACATGCGCTGGTGGGAGGCACGTAGGACAGGACAGATGGCTGGGGTAGCTAGGAGGCTGATAAGATCGGAGGCTCGCTATCGGCGGAGGAGGATCGGCATGCGTTGCGATCGAGAGGTGGGCGATTCTCGGCTGACTTTGACGAGTCCTGGGCTTGGGAATAATTTTATGAGATTTTGAGAACACAAAAAGGGACTGCAATGGAGAGATAAGAGTTCGGAAGGTGTTAGTGTGTGAGGGAGATTCGAAACAGGGGGGAAGTTGATCGTTCCAGCGGAGATGGGGAACGCCTTGGCAGCCCGAGGCATCAATTGATCTACTATTCACACGATCGGCCGCTACTTATTGACGGCCTATTCGGGACAATCGCCCCGGCCGCACTGGACAACAATACGTTGATTACTGGTTTGTATGTCGCTCGACATACAATCTTGCAGTTAAGAAAACCTCTGAGACTCATAATCCATGCGAATGCCTGGCACCTTTATTGACAAGAAAATCGTGTAGTTGCACGCAGTCCTATTGACTATCGCATAATCATATACAAGGGTTTATGACATGTATGTAGCAACACCACGGCGTGCTCAGAAAGCACTATCTTGAGGAAACCTGATTGAAGAATATCATAGTTGTCCGCTCACAAAAGCTCAAATCCATCCGCAGTAGATTGTTGTTCAAGCTTACTGATGGCAAGATGCGCTATGTTCCTTGCACAAGCTCAGCACATCCGAACTGTAGATGATCCATCGCACATCCATTGATCCCATTCCAATGCCATCTCTCACGCTCTCCGCTCCAACCGATGCAATATTCCCACCCTCCACTCCCTGAACTCTCTCGCCGACTCCGGCAACATGGCATTCCTCTCCTCCAACACATCCTTCAAAGCACCATACGTCTCAGCCGGCAAGCGCAGCTCCTCCAACGCCAGCGTAGTGGACGGCTTGCCGACCTCCGGGTGGAGCGTTTGCTCGACATCATCAAGCGTCTGGAAGAACACCTTCACAGCACGTCGAGCAGCGATGCTATGGTCGGCGCTGGAGTTGGAGTACCGCATATCTGGGTTGAAGACCCATATCTTTTGTGTGTTAGCATGCATACCTGGCAAACGCAGTAGAACGAGGGAATGAGAAAGAAAACACACCAGCAAGCCGGATTTGAGCCCACAATGAACGACGAATCGGCGGGCGCTTTCGCGTTCGACCAGCTCCAGAAGCTGTGCTGCGATGATGACCTCGACGTAGTGGGTTTCCCACTCTAATTGGTCGTTGTCGGGGGGAGCCGCCTGGGTAGTAGAAGCAGCAGCAGCAGCAGCAGGAATAGATGCAGAGAGGGCTGTCTTGAAAAGTCGCCAGCCGTTGGCGATGGGATCGGCTTGGCCGAGGAGTGCATTGCAGTTGCAACAGCGGATACCGTCCGATTCCGGGTCCTAGAGAGAATTATCCATCTATTAGCAAGTAATACTATGGTTGAATGTAAATTGCAAAAGAGAAGAAATGCTTCGAAATCAAAGCCGGCTCAGAATCAAGTTGCATATTCTATAGATCTAATTCTAACTGCATTATAGCACACCAGAGATGTACCTCGCCATGATCACGTCGACTCCCATCAAACTCGGGATCAAAAGACAACGAAGGAACTTTGTGCGAGGCGCCAGCCTTGAACCCAATGAAAAAGCAATCAGGGAAAGTTTCCAGCAACCGAGCAAACGACCGATGTCAAGAATAATGCTGTGAAATCCATCTCCCCTCAGGCGAGAAAAGAGGATGAGTACAACATCAGACATGCCACCAGTCATGCACAGCTATCAGATGCCTCCCGTCCCTGCTTCCTCTTGCACCATAAAAGAAAAAGGGATCAAGGCTCTATAAATGATATTGGGCAATTGTATCGGAGACCATACCATGGAGGTGAATGGCGGAACGAAGGTCTCCTTCTTGTTGCCCTCTTACAAGAATATCCCAAGCCAGGCCACTCATCCCTCAGAGAAAGCAGCCATCCCAAACAAAAAGCAAAGCAAGAAGAATAGAAATATCTTACCTTCTGAATCCTCAACCAATCGCCCTCCGCCACCAGAAAGGTCGCGACATCGACGAGGATCGTACCCAGGGTAGCCACAACCTGATTCGCAGCACCATACCCTTTGACCGTGGCGTTCGGATCCTCGAGTCGGCTCTTCGCACCTTGTTCCCCCTTCTCGCCATCTCCAGGACCATTGCCCTCCTCATCATCATTCCCATCCCCATCGTCATGACCATGTCGACCATCCACAGGATCCGGCTTATGACAATGCCAAAAGTCCATCATCTCAGCCCAATTCCCACTGGGCAGATCCTTCCACACCCACCCTTTTATCCCCTCACCTTCCTCCTCCCCCCTCTTCCCACTCCCAAGACCCCGATCAAAGCCCCCCGGCCGATCAAGAACCACAACCTCACAAAGCCGACACCTCACTCTCGTTCCCGCCCGCATATCCATAGCCCGCCAAGGCACGAACCCACCGACCAGCTCCTCATCCAGCAACGCAGCACCGGCAGAGCCACCATCATCATCATCAACGATCATCCGAAACGAGACCTCCCGCCTCCTCGAGGAACCAGTGGTGACCCGCCAGTTCAGCGACCGAAGCACTGACCTCGCGCTCTCGGTGACGCGCGCGGGGAGTTTCATCGTCTCTGTCGTCTCTACCCTTGTCCCATCCTGTGGCTCCGTCTCCGCGGGAGCAGAGCTACAATCCTGTAATAACGAGGCCGACACAGACACGGAAACCGCACGCCGGGACTCCGAAAGCGAGATTTCAACGGCCGGTTCCTGCACTCCCTCGTGCAAATGTAGCTCTATGCGATCAGGAACGGAGACATATAGCGTGATGTGTCGGATATGCGGGAGGAGTTCGGCGTGGAGGTAGATGGGGGGTTCGGGGGAGTTCGAGTCCTGGTTCGGGTCCTTGTCCTTGGGGAAGGATTGCATTTTTGTTGCTTCCGCCGCTGGCGGGATGAATAGCTTCTAATACGTATTGAGTAATATATGTAGCGTTAGTATATCTCAGCTTCAAGTTAGTAGGGTTTGATTTGAAGAGGCGGCGTTGCGTGTGTTGAAAAAGAAAATTGGTGAGTTGTTTTGGTTCTAAGTCAGGTCGGGCCTCCCTCGAAGCTGCAGTGTTGTGACGCGTGGGGATGGGCTTTTCTGCCACCGCCCGCCTGATTTCAACAGTTCCACTGACTGGATTGCATGGACTGGGACCTCTTATCTCCGCTTATTTCCGCGGTTCTTGTCGCGAGGTTCGTGGAATTCTGCCGCTGGAGGCGGTCTGTGAGTCCGGGTGCCAGTATTTGCTGGCTTCCCTATTTGGGAATGGTTGATGCCTGAGGTTGTTAACGAGCTAGAGATATCCAATTTCAAACTATAGGATAGAAGGCAGTTGAGGATATTCCCATCAAATACAATCTGTATCAGTATAACACCTTACAGTAACGAGCATATGGCATTCCCCCAGCAGATTAAACGCGCCTACCCAGACAAAAGAAGAAGAGAAAGACCACCACGATCATACCATGCAACAATGCAAACCAAGAATACGATAGATAAAGCTTTTACACCCCATTAACCTCCCTTAAAACTCCCAATCATCAAACTCCTCAGCAAACCGAACAGCCGCCCGAAGGTAATACTCCTCCGGATCACCCCACGTGTTCGCCGCCTCCCTCAACGCCCGGATAGCCTTGACGTAGTGCGCGTCCGTGGCATACTTCCCCTTGACAGCCATGTGCGCCGTCCACTTCCAGTCGCGGCCTTGGATATCATATCCCTTGATGCGCTTAAGATCGATTTCCGGCCGGAGCCCCGCAACGTAGACGCTCAGCGTCATGAGCCACCACTGCCGGACGAGGGGCAGCTGGAACTTACCTGGGATGAGGGGGAGAAGGATGCGGACGGCGTGACTGGTGGTGAGGATATGCACAAGGAAGAAGTTGTACTTCGGATGGGCGGGCGAGACGGTGGCGACCAGCAGCGCCGCGGCGGCTTCCTGGCTGTCGCGGAACTGGGCGACGGGGTCGTGGATGGTCCAGGCATTCCAGTGGTTGAGGAGGGCAGCCTCGTGGCTGCGGAAGAGGACGTTGATGTTCTCTTCGGCGGAGGTGGTGAAGAGGTCGTGGAATTGCTTGTCCGCGCGGACTTTGGCCAGGATGTCGAGGAGAGAGGTGGTGCGGTAGGAGGGCTCGATCTTGGAGTAGGAGGGATCGTCGAGGTATTTGTGGATGCTGCCGTAGCAGGTGGCCGTCATGCCCAGGGCCTCCATGGCTACCTCGCGACTGGACATCTCAAACGCATATGCGAGGTGGATAAGGGGGTGGCCGACTGCGTTGTCGAGTTAGTGAGGAGTGAAAATGGACCGGAATGATCTTGAAGATTGTCACGCACGATCGGCGACAAGAGAGCTGAATATGGGCTCTTTGCCTGAGAACATGTACTGGAAGACAACTGCCTTCCAGTCGTAACTATGGCGGACAAGTTCATCCTCGAAGAAGTCTACGAACGCACGTTGATACCTGAGGCCCCCGAGTCAGCTGGGACTGTTCACTGAACAGGCGGCATCCCACTTACTCTCGGCGCGAAAGATAGTCTCGCCAGTCATAGGTACTGATCTCACCGGGAGAGTCTTCCCAGGGATCCAGAGATTTGGACTCGTTCTCATAGATACGGTTCAAGTCATCCGCATCTGCGCCTTGCAGGAAGGCTGAACTAAGAATCTGTGCCAGTCAGTGAACCGCCTCAGAGCACCAGAATTTAAGCAAATGAAGACGAACATGAGGCGCATGATTATGGAATTTGCGTTCGTTCCACAAGAAAGCGTAGTTGGCGTGGTTCAGTTTGAGTAGATGCTTTAGAGCCCGGGCGGGCTTCTCTTGGGCGGTTTCGATCTCATGCACTTCAACTGGAGGGATATCGATAACTTTGGAGTCTTCCCATAGTCTCCATTGACCGAATGACGGGAGGAAAGAGAACATGTCCATTTTGGTTATATTGAATTACAGTAACAACAAAAAAGTAGTGAAATGACTGATAGGTTGATAAAGTCAAGGAAGCGGATCGGTTTGTTGGTGTCCGGTGGGTCTTCAACGTTGAGATCAGGCGATATGCTACTCGGTATGCGCCAAGGGGTTACATGTAAGTCCGCAACGACACTTCAAGCCCTGAAGCAATCTCAGTGCATAATAGATTCTGATCTGCAGCTAGAGTTCAGATAGTATCTGAAACAAAGCGCATATTTGGGAGAGCGGGGAAGAGGTATTCAACCGTCTACCAAATGATGCCGAATGATGCAAATGATGACATATTTCGTACCCCATTATGATCTCTTATGTAAGCAGGCAGAGCACAGTTACGCAGGCTAGTCCTAAAACAATATACACCGCTTCCCAACAATTAGAGTACATTGCTGTCAAAATCATCTCTTTAATGACATTCTGTGGCATGTTATCATATCAAATCGGTCCTCTGGCACCTGTGCTCGAAGGCCAACTTATAATTCATCTATAAATCTCATAGCTCATTTATCATGGGGGATGCCATGTTCCACGGCATAGTCAGCCGGCTCACCCCCAGCGGCAATCTGTCCAGAGATCACATCTACATCCATCCGGGGCCCGGAGAAATTCTTACGGCCGTCAACGAACCATTGGACGACCGACAGGATCGTAACCACTCCCACAACAACAATACAGTAGTCTAGATTGATTAGCAGTTGTTAACAAGTGGATACTTGGTCGCGGACTTACTCATGTTGCTACCAGTCACGGGACGGTCAGGAGGGAAGACAAAGAGGACAGTGGTCATCGAGATGTAGGTCAAAGAGACCTAGCATACAGTCAGTGCCGCGTCTCGTCTACTCGAAATCCATGGACATACCATGTTGGCAATCCAGCCAAACGTGCTAGGCAGGACAAAAGGCCTTTCGGGCAACATCTTCCGGCCCCGAGCGCAATTCACGGCGATCGGAATAGCATATGCAATGTCAAGCAGAATCACAGACGAAGACAGAATAGCGTTGAATGCACTGGTTATATGTTAGCGAGAAAGCCTCCCGCTTCGCTGATACTTGCTGCTTGCTTACCTAGAAGAGCCAAGGAAGATGCATCCGAAGACAACACAGAAGAAACTCGTCAGATACAAAGCGTTCAGAGGCAACTGTAGTCTCGGGTGGACTTTGCTGAAGAAAGGAGACGCAGGAATACCACCGTCTCTGCAACGCTCGTCAGCAAGAGAACCAGTATTTGGACGCAAATAAGACGACTATGTACCTTGCGAATGCATAGACCATGCGGCTGCTGGTTGTCGTAATAGTAACAGCGGCGAACAGGACACAGACCAAAGGGAAACTGCAACCTGGTCAGCATCGATGAAGGTTACCAGACCAGTACGGGATCACACACATCAAGAGACAGATAGACCCAGCATGACTCCTAGTTGCGTCATAGAAGATCTGAAGAAGGGGAGTCGCTGCCGAGCCGATCACGTTGTTGATGTCCCCAGCCACGAAGAGAAGCACAATCAAGAAAATTGTACCGGTAAAAGTTCCAATGGCAACACAGCCAATCATGATTTTGGGACCGACAACAGAAGGGTTCGGGATCTCTGTTTATGCTTAGTGTCTGGGTCTAATGCATTAGAGTCATCGCGATAGTACCTTCGATCATGTGCGCAACTCCATCCTGTGAGAGAATTAGTACCAAGAACTCCGTAAAATTGCTATGTAAGGGCAACACACAAATCCAGTGAGACCGAAACCTCCTTGAAGCAGCTGTTGATCGGTTAATGACAAGGGTTCCAAGCTGTGTCGGTCACAACATACCCCCAGAAGCCAAGCGAGACCATCAGGCCCTATGTTCCATTAGCATTGACCATGAGTCAAACGGATCAAGTCTCGACTTACAGCCCGTCTCATTGATGAAATCGCCAAAGACAAACCTGACTTGGTTAGTTAAAACAAGGTACGATGGAGATTGACATCCTTACTCTCCAGAGTTGTAGTTGGGCGATGAGCATGAAAGTACAGTGATGCAAATAACAGCGAAGCCCGTTAGTGACCAAATGACTGTAGAGGTTAGCTTTCTCTGAACCTCTCTTCCATAAAGAGTTTGAATATCCTCATACAGGCTCCCTTAGTCAAGCGCGGAAGGATAGAGTTCAAGAAAGCATTGATCAGGAATGCAACAAGGCAGAATCCAATGTAAACGAGGAACTGATGCCAACGTTTCGACTCATATGTCTTTAGAAGGTCAATTAGCTATGGAGAGACAAGAAAACGAATGAATGGAAGAACATACCGGGTGCATCAAGGATATCACACCCAGGACCAATTCACTGCCTAGAGATCCACCAGTAGCAGCCAAGGCGACCTAGACCAGTAAGCGTCAATCTATGAACAGACCAAGTCGCATGCTTACCCAGCCAGATACATTGGCCCAGCCGGTAATCCATGAGAGAATGGGCATGTATCTCTGCGGAGCAACTTTGTCCGTTTAGCAGCGCCCAAAATCGGCGGGCAAGCTGTACTTACTGACTGCAAGGAAAGAACAGTTAGTACCACGCAACTCATCATTCATAAGCGACAGAACAAATTTATCTTACCTGCAACCCAATGATATTGTCCACCCGCGCTATCATCCTCAATCAGTCCCCATCATCCTTCTTGACCAGGACGTTGTGTACTCACGTAGGATAAGCGGACAAGAACTCCGCCAGAGATGACGCCATGCAAAGGTTACAGATACCCGCCGTGACCAATCCTACAAAAGAGAGCAAAACAATCAGCAAACCACTTCACAAAACAAGGTACTACCAAGAAAAAGCCACATTCCTCCCACGGAGTTTATTTGAGCGGTACTCCGGGCGCGCGGGCCCCAACCTCCGGGAGAGTGAACTTACCCCAGACAACACTCACAGACCCGCCAGACGGCAGACTGATCGATAAACTTGCAGATAGAGCAGTCCATGACTAGAGAGTCGACGGTATTATTAGTTTCCGTGCAATCGTCGCAAATGAGTTTGCGTTCGGCGGCGTGGGAGCGTTGTTGAACGGCACGCGGGGATAGTGATGAGCGTCGAAGAAACGTACGTTCAGGATGGCAAAGGCTAAGCCTAACATTGATCTAGTCGAGTTGAAATCAAGGGCATTAACTTATTGGCCACGTGCAAGACAGTCATGAATGGGCGATCCGATCGGGGGAACGTACAGCATTGAAAAGTTCCGATTCAGTTCGGCTCTGTGGCCCAAGGCTGCGAGCTGCGCGTCATCATCTCCCCGGAGGTCTTTCATGATGGAGGGTTATCGAGTTGCGGACGGTTAGGACACAATTTTGGGGAGGCAGGTAGGAAGAGAACACAGGAAGCGGGTTGAGAGATAGAGGAAGCTTTAGGTAGATGTGAAGAAAATAGGGAGAGAAGGGTGAAGGAAGAAAACTGCTATGGGCAGAGAGGAAGAAGAAGGGAGAGAGGGGAGGGGGAAAAGCAAGCAAAGGGTTACAAGTGCCTGCTATCTAACTACTGAGTAAGATACGGAGCAACTACGACAGCCTCCACCATGAGACAATCTTCCTCCTGTCTTTTCCTGGGGAGCAGGCAAATCCACCATGAGGAAAGAGTCCGAACAGTTACATGATGGAACATCACCGAGTAGAGAGAGGGATAATTGCGGGGGGGGAAGAGTGGCGGATTGAACAATTTACCTAATGGATATGGGGTAACAGACGGTGCTAACCAGAACTTACATGTATATCAAGATAATCATTCATTATCAGTCCCGCAATAGATAAGAATGTCGTCCACCGTGTTGATTGGTCAGAATCACCGAGCAGAAAGGCACCGATAGCCAGTCAGAGCGTGACAATCAGCGGGTCTGGGGGGAATTGAAGCTTAATTTGAGGGTCGGTGAAAAACAGGGCCGAATCCTATAGAGATTGGCGCTTATTGTCTTAGAAGAGTGTGTGAGTGAGAGGACGGAAGAGGCCCGATAAGCATCCTTCCCGCCCCTAAACTGTGACCTTGAGTACAATGCTCCCTCCGTACTATACACTCCTCCGTCCCGCGGACCTTCTCCGAGATTCCGTCTTCCCTTCCGTCACATTGCATCAGCTTCAGCTCACTTACCCCCGGTAGACTAGCCCTATCGCCCCTGAGGCCTGCCTTCCATGCTTTTTTGCCCCCCTCCCTCCCCTCCCTCCCCTGATCATTAGAATATTCTATTGCTTCTTTGCATGTTTTCCCTTGTGCAATGGCTGAGACCACTATAAAGCATAGGAAACACTAGACGATCTAGATCAGATTAGTAGGACTGTCTGAGGCCCGAACACTTGTAAAAGGCGGCTATCCGCGGTCCCGCATCAGGCAATGCGCTTTCGTTGACAAAATAAACAATAAATGCTCATATGCAGTCATGGCAAGTCATATGTACACACACCAATCCAACCGCCAAGTCTCCTATTACCGCCGCTTTCTTTGGCCCGCCTCCCCCCCAAAAAACCGTCGAAGGGCTAAGAGATACCAATCAAGCCCCCGATCCACCCGTTGGAGTAAGATGGTCTGTCCGGACGATGTAGTCGTCTTCATCGCCACTGTAAGTGACCCCGTCTTCCACAGTGTCCTCTTCATCCTCTCCAAGATCATTGTATCCGCGCGGTCCTCCTCGATCCGTTCGCAGCCCGGATGTGGGACCGTCAAGGGAGGAATCGGAGTCGCCGTTCGGGATGCTGATAGCCTTATTCTTCGATTTCCCGCCGGGCCCCGCAGGACTCTTCCCCTTGCCCTTGCTACTGGTCGAGTGGCCACTCGCACTCCGCACCATAGACGGGACCTGCCTGCCTTTTCCTTTATTGCCCGCGGCGGATTGGGAGTCCCCGTTGGCAACAGGCCCGTCTATGCTAGATTCCAGGTCCCCACCAAGGTTCAGCGCATCCAACACATCCTGGATTGTTCGTGGTGGTCCGGATGCACCGTTCGCCGACTCCTGCTTTTGCTTGTCAACGGATTCGAATGTTTGTCGAATCCGTTCGAAATGTTCGAGCTCCTTGACGCTGTATGCTGTTAGTGATGGGAAAGATACCCGGCGGAGCGTCCATCGTAGCTTACCTAACACTGGGCACAAGCTCGTCCTGAGCCTCCCGGAAATCGTCTTCCGTCACCATCACCGCCACGTCTTCCGGTGTGGCGAGATGATCGAAGAAGTACGCTGTACTGACAGGTTCACCTGGAAGTTGCTGAATCTTCTCATCCACCGCTGTAGCCTTGCGCGTAATAGCCTTGAGCATTGAATCAGAGCACAAAGCGTACAAATCGGCACCCGTGTAGGTTAGAGGAAGCCGATCAGCAACCCGAGCAAGGGAAAGATCCGGGGAGAGGGCAAACTTCCGTGTTAGCGCCTCAAGAATGGTTCTCTGCTTTTCGTGTGTATCCGAGACACCAAGATAGAGCATCTTATCGAAGCGACCAGGACGTAGAAGCGCCGTATCCAGCAAATCAGGGCGGTTGGTCGCGCCGATAACAAAGACACCGCCACTGTTCTCTTCTCCGCCGTTCATTCCATCCAACTCAGCAAGGAGTTGACTGACGATTCGATCCATCACACCACCACTGTCACCTTGATTACCTCTCTTTGGAGCCACGGAATCCAATTCGTCAAAGAAAACAACGCAGGGACGGGCATCTCGGGCGCGCTGAAAAACGCGTCTTACATTGGCTTCGGACTCACCAATGTACATATTCAGCAGCTCGGGCCCCTTGACGGAGAAAAAGTTCAGTGAGAACTCCGTAGCAATGGCCTTAGCCAGGAGGGTCTTTCCGGTACCAGGGGGGCCGTAGAACAAGATACCGCTACGTTTCTTCATGCCTTTGGCAAACAGTTCAGGCCGTTCAAGCGGTAGCTGAATGGTCTCGACCAGCGCATCTTTAACATTGGACAGGCCACCCACATCCTCCCAGCTAACGTTAGGAATTTTGGGCGCGCCGATGGAGTCCGCAAAGTTCTTCCTTGCCGCGTCCACAGCAGCATCAAAATCGAGCTTTGTGACACCGCGAGCCGCGTCACCGCCCGAGATGAGAATATCGCGAATGCCAATCTTTTGGTTTGACTGCTTGCTCGATGTTTCTGCTAGCTTCTCCAGGCGCGCTGTTCTAGCAGACGACGCACGTTCAACCACGTCCACCAGATCACCAGCGACCAGGGCAGCGGTCTTGAGAGCCACTGATCCCAAATCCACGTCAGGTGAGAGTCGAATGCCACGTTCGGAGACAGCATTGTGAAGGATGCCTTCGCGCTCCTTTTCCTCCGGGGCAGACATCTCAAATTCATGAGTAAACATACTTCGAATGCCTTCAGGCATTTGCTCGACGTCCGTCGTAGTGGCGATCACAACCCGGGCCTCGGCCACAATTTCGGCCATAGCCGACACTATGCGGTCTGCAGTCAAAACCTCGATGTGTTTGATCAGAAGTGCAGTACAGTCGGACCCGCAATGGAAGGCACGTTCTGCTCGGGCTTTCAGGTATGCTTCAGTCTTCACGTCACCACCATTGGCGCCACCCTCTGTAAGGATATCATAAGCATCGATCGGAAATGTGTGAAGGCCGATGTCTGCACACGCGCGGGTCGCGACAGTAGCCTTGCCAATATGTCTTTGTTGAGATCTCAGGAGGATGACGACTGGCTTCATACCGAGCTGGATTGCACGGGGGCTGGTAGCGACAGAGATCAACTCCCGAAGGCGCTGCTGCAGAGGTGAGATGGACGAGTGTGGCACATCTGTTACCAGGCCATGGCTCGTCTGAGCTTCAGTGGCAACTCTCGGGACAGCTTTCACTCCAAGCCAATATTCCCAGCCGTTATCTGTCGTACCTGGAACCCTGCTCACATCACTGCCAGCCTGCACCATTCGAGTAGTTGCGGAGTCGATCACGGCCACTCCTCCCCACTGGTTGTCGCCCGCTTCATCTTGGTCCTCAGGCAGACTGGGGACGACCTGTCCGACCCGGAACCATGCGACTCCGACCTTTCTCGACACGGCATGATCGGGATAAGATACCTGGCCTAGTCTCGTGGTCAGATCGTCTTCTTGAACATTACTGTCGCCGGTGGCGTTTCCCTGAAATACGGCTCTACCGAGGCCCTCATCGATGCTAATTCCCACGAGGTCCCCGCCCTTCAAAAGTCGTCTCCGAGATTCAAAATACTGTTTGAGACCAGCAAACAGGGCAGGTTGAAGAACTCGGTCCATAGACAAAGGAGTCGATACCTTGAGCAGCGTAACCTCTTTGGCCAAAGGCGGGTTTCGGACGGAGCTGGACTTCACTTGGTGAAGTAGATTAGGCTTTGCGCCAGTTGAACTAGCGAAGGTCATCGGGGAGATGCGTAGGTATTTAGGATTGTCGAGGTTATTCAGGAGCAATGGTGAAACGAAAACAGAGGAGTTCATGCGCGCGGCAGGAAGTTGAGAGACACTGGAGCGCCGGTGTCCCGTCTGATTGATTGAGTATCGAGGTTTGGTAGACTGTAAGCCTGGCAAGCCATAGATTCTGACCGCACGCCAGTCGCCATTATCCTCTTCACGGTCATTGAAGCTATTAAGCCTGATCGAGGCGAAAGGGTTGTGCTGCGGCTCCTCGGTAGCCTCGATCCTAACCCAGTCGCCGGAGAAACAGCCAATTTTAGCGAGCGTTCCTATATCTACGAAGATGAAAGACTCCGGGTCATCGTCCTCTCGCGGGCGAGGATGCAAAAGATCGCCTGGCACCTGGCGCAGAAGGCCCTCAGTCTTGAGCACCTTGCCCCCGCCAACTCGACCTGGTCGCATCGTGGCAGAAGTAAAGTTCGATGCGACCGAGCCAGGAGTATGAGTGCCATCCGGCCGACGCCCTCCGGCACGGGGCGTAGCAGCGGTCATGGCAGACATCACACCGGATGCCGGCTGAGGGAGCTCCGGGGCTGTTAGCGAGATCATATCCTCCAGAGAATCGTCCGATGTGTCACTCGTGTTACCGCCCGATGCATCTGTTTCCGACTCGTCGGCAGTAGTGCTGCCTTCTATCTCGGTGCTGCTCTCAACGGGTTTATCCTCGGCCGCCGAATAGAACTGTTCATTGGATGTGTCATCGGCCTCGTCTTCCGCTACTTGTTTGAGAAGACCGGCGCCTGATCGAAGGCTTCTCTGCGTCCGATGACCGTTGGGACGCGCATGGATTAGGACCACTTTCGTGGCGGGCATGAGCAGACCTTGCGAGACCGGTTCACAAAGCGCAATTCGAGCAGGGGGGGATGGAGCATAGGTAATGGGATGCGGCGGTAATGGAAGCGGCAAGACATCGCCGGTGTGTAGGACCTTCACAGCTCCCAGAGCCTCGCGCACGGCAGCCGTGAGTCTCTCTTCATCCTCTGCTGCTGCCTTCTTTGTGTATTTCTTGCCGTCGGCGACTTTCGCGCCCTTTACCCAGCCACCATTGGATGAAATATTGTTGGAGCTAAAACCACCCCCAAATTTGTTTTGGACATCATCATGATTCCGGAGAAGGTTCCGCTCCACCGTCACATAGACTGTATCCAGAGGCAGAGGCACAGCATCCAACACCCGTATCTCGATTGCGCGCTGTGACTGAAGGGGATGGCGGGTGGGGTCCAACTTGCTCAGTCTCTCCAAAAATGGCTGTAAGGAAAGGGCGGAGTCGGGGAAGAGGACGGTGGAATGCGGAATTGGTGACTGATAAGAGCGATCCTTGGGCTGCGGTCGCACGGGAATGATGGTCCAAGACAGGTCCTCGACCGAGGTGCAACCCGGGAGATACGGCGAGATTGCGACATAGTAAATTCCTAGATCATCTTGATTGTCCTCTAGGATACACTTGTGAGATCTTCGCGGGTCGCAAGAGTCGTGATAAGTGTTGAGCGTAAGGGAAGAAGGCGGGGGGGGGCTCTTTTCGACTTACTGCTGAAGAGGTCGCCGACCAGGTCATCGGAGACAACGCCGATGTTCCCACGCAGCTGATGATCCAGAGAAAGACGAGCAGATATCGGGGCCCTATTGCGCATGCGCCGGCGCAGCATGTTCCGTCTTCGCCGCCTAGGCGGCTCTGGACTGGGATCGTGGTGGTCGTGATCCATGATGGAGGAGTAAGCAGGTGGGCTCGATTGGCGTTGTTGGAGCGGGGGAGCGATGGGGAGAGTGAGGGAAGGAATTGGAGTTCGTGACTCAATGATGAGAGAAGTCCGACTAACGAAGCATATTTTGTTCAATTCAGGAAGAACCGAGGGAAAACAATGCACTGGCGAGACCAACCAACCCCGGGACGTCGTAGTGCGTGGTGCGTGGTGCAACAAGCTGGAGAATAATCCGGGGGAGGAAGACGAGGAGAGAAGGCCGTCCAAAGCTCGGCACCGCCCGCTGAGTCTCGTTCTGCCCTTTCCCGATGCCGAGGTCCAACCCGTCACGAGGGAAAGTCCTCACTTTTGAGGACCAGAGTCTTATAATGCATCGAAGCAGTAACAAGTATCATAACGGTGAGCTTTAGACCTAGCTAAAGATGAAATGGAACAATCACGTCTATGTTTCGTTGATATGGAAAACTTCCGCCTGGGAAAAAGATCCAATCCCGGATATATAATCATTCTCTGCGCACTCATACTACTACTACTATTCTTGAAATCATCATCATCATCTTGATGTTACTCCGAGGAGACTTGTTATATTTTCTAGTCATAGCCCGCGTACTGTTAAGTGATTGATTTTACTCTTACTTTAATATCAAGAATATTCTTCCAAGTTCAAGGTCTTTTCATTCTTGTAGTAATAGATAGGATTTACTTGTTTATTTCCTCATGCTGAATGTCATAACCACCGTGCTTGGAGTCATTATCATTAGCTTGAGTCGAGAGCAAAAGAGGAGCCGTAGAGCAATGCTGTGATGACGGTGCTATCACTATGAACAGTACACCTGCACAAGACAGAGAGTCATCCATAATAAAGCATCCAGTACATCCCAGCCGACGTCCTCGGGGGCAGCGACCTCACATTTCAATTGTAGCCACCGCGTCCTTCCTTGGGAGTAAATTCATCACACTGGACACAGTTGTAGCCACCGCGACCTTCCTGGATAGTAGATTCAGCACACTGGACACAGTTGTAGCCGCCGCAACCCTCCTGGGGAGTAACTTCATCACACTGGACACAGTTGTAGCCACCGCGACCTTCCTGGATAGTAGCTTCAGCGCACTGGACACAGTTGTAGCCGCCGCGACCTTCCTGGGGAGTAACTTCATCACACTGGACACAGTTGTAGCCGCCGCGGCCCTCCTGAGGCGTAACTTTGTCACACTCGCAGTCATAACCAACAATACCGTCTTCAGAAGTGGAAAGAGTCTCGTTGCATAGCATCTCATAGCCAAGCTCTCCTCCGTTCACCTTAGCATTGACATCGCACATCACGTAGTGGCCATCGCCGCCTTTAGGAGAAGAAATGGCATTCTTGCACTTACAATTGTAGCTCAAGTCGGTTGTACCGGTTTTACCCTCGCCACCAGCGATCACGCCACAAGCCAGGCAAATAACCAACAAGAAGTTTAGGAAAAGCTTCATCTTTGCCAGGTGCAGTGAATGATCTTTTCAAGGTTGTCTGTTGTCTGTGATAGAGGGTCGCGAGTCCGTGGAAGTTGTCAAGTCGACGTTTGATGCTTGAGAGGCTTGGGAGGTACTAAGCCATCGTTGCAAGCATCGACGATAGCATTATATAGCTTCGTACAACGTTGCGATCGCCGACAGCTGAGAGGAAGAGCTCCAGCATGATCAAGAGAGCCTCCAGGAAAGCCTGGGAAGTCTCTGTCAAGTATGGGGGTTTCCTGTAGCAGGTGATGGTGAGTCGGAGGATGCCAGCATCGACCGTCACCATGAAGGCGATCTACTCCAGCTCGGTCGGAAAGACATCAAGGATACCCCCGGAGCATTATTCTGGAGAGTGCAGCAGATGCTGAATAGTCGGGGACTCCAGCGATCTTTCGTTGTTGGCCATCACCGTGAGTTTCAGAGCGAGGGAGTAACCGAGCCAATGCGGAGACATGTACAGTACATACCATAGGTTATCAGATCCACTGAGATAACGACCTCTAAATAACTTCAAGCCGGCCAGAATACAGTAACTGAGTTATATGAGACCGGAGGCTTTGATAAGATCTTCTCTGGTTGCAGTGCAAGCGCCAGTTGCACCAATCCAGTCACGATGAATTGTGGTGGCCTGGACGGTTTGCGCGGCGGTCCAAGCGAGTGCCGAACGTATGCGGGCCAACGTCATGCCAATGAGGCTCAAACATTAGAACAGGCTCCTGGGCTGGAGTGTCGCTCTACGTATGTGGCTTCTTATAATTGGGCCTGGATGTATGTATTGTTGGGGGGGCGATCGTGATGATCGTGGTGCTCCAAGGGGAAGACTGGTAAACAGAATCGAATTGAGTTCTAAGTACGGAGTACTCCGTAGTGAAACCCTGAAACAAAGTTGACGGTGGCCTGCATCGCAACAGATATAATCCAGGGCAATCACGCCTATCACCCGCTTTCTTTGATTCCGAGTCCAACGTGGTCGTGTCGACAGTCCACCGGATATGCAGACATGGCAGCGATGACATCCCCGACCGGAAGTGATAAGGCTGACGTGGAGACCGTACCAAAAGACTGATCGTCCTCGATGCTTGTCTGGTTCGCTCGGCCAACAGGCCAGAAATTTCTTCACATTTCCTGCAGTTGACTGATTGGAAGGGGACAAGTCTGTCCCGTACCAAAATAGAAATTATTGCCTTTTCCTGGTCGCCTAGGAAGTCCGTACCGTAATCATGGATGTGTTAACCAGGCGTTGGATGCTGGCTGCAACAGAGCCAGAACCCCCCAGTCAAACACCTCGGAGCCGCGCAACGGTCCCTCGACGATGCACATCCCCGGCGGCTCCAGGGGTCTGCACTCTCAGAGCGCCCAGGGGGTTAACTGCCTCCTCTTTGGGAGATGAGCAGGATGTGCTGACAGGACATCCGAAAGGATGATGATCTATTATCCCGTCATATGATGAGCACCTGATCCTCCCAAGAAGTGCAATTGAATGTTGATTGGATCATTTTATTTGGTTGCATAAGACAGGCACTGGCAGTGGTATGTCTCCCTTTTCGAGACAAGTGAGCCCCGACCGATCATTTGTTTATGCTGGGCAGCTGGACAGAAGAAGTTTAGAAAGAACTGCTGCCCCGTCCTCTTAGACTACTATGAACTAACGCAATAGAGTAAAATCCTGGCGCGGCTGGAGAAGCAGAAACGGTAAGGAGAAAGCCCAAAGGGGGCAAAGTGGAAGTTGACTCGAGGCCACTTCGAGTCTCGAGGATCCGCCAACTATTTTCGGAAAGGCCGGCATCCGCGGGAGCCCGCCATGAGGGAATAATTGGGCCCCCTGAATGGCTGAATGGCCAACGGGACAAACGGAGCAAACGGGCCTAATCCGCCCCGAAAACCCCGACTTCACTGGTATTTATCGTATGAGACTGGTAAGGGTTTACAGTCACATGCATAAGCACGCAACAAGAACGAGCCCAGGCTAGTATGCTCATTACAGTATCTCCGGCCGAAGTGTAATCTTTTTAACAACAAAACAGACCGTGGCTGTGGAGAAGATCCAAGCCCCTCTCCTTACACCCAATCACCATTGCACAGCGAAGGTCATCGATACACCTTACCTGTCTAGGTATAGTCTGGCTCGTCTATCAGGCAGACATCCAAAGACGCGGACTCAGCCCGGAAGGAACGAAGGAAGGAAGGAAGGAACGAAGGAAGGAACAGAACAGCCTCACCATTCATTATTGACTTACTCTTGTTGAACCCGTCTCTCTCTCCCCCCCCCCATCCCCCAATCTCTCCCTCCTTTCCCTCCCATCATCTCCGCTATTACTCTCATCAGTCCCCCGTCTGTCAGCCTATCTATTCTATCTCATTAGACTGTTACCTGAATCCATTGCCTGTCACCACAGTCGTCTCTTCTTCCATTCAATAGTCTCCTGTTGATTTGTTTGTACTGTTGATCCCCGTTTCGGTGAAACGGGTGGTGCTTGCGTGATCCCATTATCAGCCTGGGGCATTCCATCCTCCCCCTTCTCCCTTTTTATCGGGGCGCTTACGTGGGTTTGAGAAATTCTGTAGACCTGACAGACAGTTCTCGACAATCGTATGTGCTTGACGGTTATTCCTTTTCATGGGAATCGTATCAGCAACTAATATCTCTCTAGCAACGCCAGTCTAGTCTCCTTTTTGGTTCTATACGTCACTGCGATCACATCGCAGTCCCGACTCGCAACCATTCCCAGACCAACACACAGTGAGTCTGGATAGTGACTGGGCATGAGTGACGTGGTTTAACACCTCAGAAGCACCCATACCTCACATCACCATATTGATTCCCTTCTGTCTCCAACGACAATGTCGACCCCTCAAGCGACCGAAACCATGACGTCCCGACATCCCCGTCGCGGCCGGGTTCTCAACTCACCTCCATCTTTACTCGCTTCGGCAGATGCGCAGTCGGCTTCTCGACCCCGTCTTCGATTGAAGAAGGCAGAGACCTTCCACCACACCTCCTCTCCGCCTAAGAACGGTCTGCTTGACCTACCACTCTTGCCTCGCTCTCCAACCTGCCCCGGAGCCCTGCAGGCTATTGCGGCTGGTCAAGAGCGTATGTCCAAGATCCTGGGTCGCCTCGAACTCGGTTCCCGTACGCGGAGCCTGCTTGACGAGGATGATGAACTTCCCGTACCCAAGGGTCACCTGGAAGACCACCTGCAGCGGTTGAAGTTGAGCAAGGAAGATCTTGACCAGCGATTTGCCAAATCGAAACGCTCGTCTCCACGAGAACCCTCGTCGAAAACCCGCAGAGCGCACTGCCACGCTTCCGACAGTGGGCTGGGAAGCTCGATCAGCAGCCGTCAGTCCACGTCTTCGCAGCAAGGTTGGTTCTCATCGCCCAATATCTCTACCTGTCGGGTAGATCTGACCCATCCTGCAGACAAAGTCGGACAGTCGTCCTCCAAGACCCAGACACAGTCCGCAGTTACTAGCTCCACCGTGGCTACTGAACATGAAGCCACACCTAAGCACAAGCTCAGTGCGGCCTCTTGTCTGGAGATTGAGAACCGTATCTTGAAGCCTCTCCTGGGGTCGGAGCCATGCAAGCCCTTCCGTCACATCGTCGAGGGTGCTCGTAAGCAGATCGAGAGCGAAAAGATCGGGACTTTGCGTGACCTCGAGAAGGCGCTGCTCTACGTAGCCGCAGTAAGTCTCCTGCACCTTAATCTCTGGGCCCGCACTTACGTCTATGTCTTTGGATAGGATGTCGATGTGGAACTCAGCTTCTACTATCAGTTTTGCAACTCTACCATCTTGTGTCTTCACGAGACTTATACCACTATCAACCCTCGTGACCTGTGCATGCCGACCGACCTGCCTTATAGCAACTCTTATTTCCTTGATCTTACCGCCCAGGTTCACCGTTTCAAGGCCATGAGAGATGAGGCTCGCAAGCACAAGAAGGAGACGTGCGTATTCTTCCCTGTTCAGCAAGGTGATATATCACTAACTGAATCTAGACCAAAGCTTGTCGTGGAAGGCGGCATGGCTGCAACCGGACGTCCTCTCGAGCTCGTTGTCGAAAAGGATGGCGAGATGATCTCTTTAGAGACTGGAAAGCCCTACGATGCGCATTCCGTGAAGCGGACTTTGAGTCTGGGAGCCACCGATGAGGGCGCCAGGCGCTCTATGGCTCGACGCAAGAAGAACGCCCCACCCATGAACATCAACACCAAATGCTCTCACTGTGACAAGATTTTCCAGAGACCCTGTGACCTGACGTGAGTCCCGATCCTACATGGATGCAGGTTTCAATTACTGACTTCGTATCCAGCAAACACGAGAAGACCCACTCGCGACCTTTCAAGTGCCCGTTTGAGGGATGCAAGTACTATGAGCTCGGCTGGCCCACCGAGAAGGAGAACGAGCGCCACATCAACGACCGGCACTCCGTCACTCCTCGCATGTATGCATGCACCTTCAATGGATGCTCATACAAGTCTAAGCGAGAGAGTAACTGCAAGCAGCACATGGAGAAGGCCCACGGCTGGAACTATGTGCGCGCCAAGAACAATGGACGCAATGCAAAGCGCCGTACCTCCCCGGTGCAAGCCAGCCCTGCCCAGGAGAGTGTTGCCCAGCCGAGCCCGCAACAACCGAGCCCCGGTCAAGCGAGCTCTGTTCCTCTCGCACCGCCGCAGATGACTCCTCTGCAGATGAGCCCTGATCACATAAGTACACTTCCAATGATTCCAGACCACCTGGACCCTTTGCACATGAGCCCCGAGCACTACAGCCCGGAGAGCTACAACCCTGAGCATTACAGTCCGGAGCAGTACAGCCCCACCACTCAGATGCACTCTGCTCAATTGAGTCCTGCTCCGATAAGCTCCGGCCAACTCAGTCCTGCTCAAGTGAGTCACACCCAAGTGAGCACTCCTGCATCGGGCCCTATCCAGTCGCCAACTGGATTTATGAACAACTATGCGCAAAGCCAGATGTTTCAGCTGCAAGACCCTTTCACCCAGCTGAAGAATGAGGACTGTCTTTTGTACATGGACAATGACTTCGCCGCGTTCAACAACGGAACGTCTGGCTTTTTCGAGGATGCCTCCTTCGGCTACGCGGACCCAATGTACCAACCAGGCCCAGTCGATATGAGTGCAATCGAAGCCTTGTGCGATGATCCCTACATGAACAACATGTTCCTGGACACTTTTGGCACTGGGACCGGAACCGGTACCGATGAGAGCATGTTCCCTTCGTTCAACCAAGGAGGCATGCCTCCATTTTAGATTCTGCCTGGATTCTGGTTCCGCTTCTAAAACACGAACGAGCATTTCTTACTTTTCTACTTGATCATGCAAAACCAAATTCTCTTCAATCTAGCGCTTCTAGCCTGTCAAGTTTTGACTTATTGTATCATACATATGCGATTTATCACGTCTCCTGCGCTCTTTCCCCTCTCACACTAGTCATGGAAATAGTTGAGATCGAGGAATGCAATTTTGCAATCTAAATTTTACGATGAATGGGCTACTATTATCAGGTATTGTAATATTCTAGAACTGCACGAGCGTGGGCCAGTGGAGCGACGTACAGTAAGTACATTTATTGCGGTGACGTTGTCAACCTTTCCACCCACTGGGCCTCCCGATGGCATCAGTGTCCAGCTCCCGAAGCACACTTCACAGTTGGAGTAACATGAATCATCACATCCTGAGCGGAGAGGACGTACGCTTAGAATTGAAGAGTAAACTAAAGGGTTCCACAAGCACTACCAACGCCATCAACACGTGACCAAGCAAGCAAAGCACGCTGACCAGGAGACCCAAACGAACGCAACAGAATCCAGCCATCGATGGTTCGGTTAAAGCTGCCATTCCCATTTCCGAATCCAATCCCTCTTTGTGTGTGTCTGTCTGTTTGTATATGCTGCGCCCATCCCTTCATAAAAAAGAGGAAAAATCATGCAATCGAAGGAAGAAAAAAACTCAAAATTAAAAAGAAGTTAAAGTCAACTACGAACGAGGCAAAGTGCATTGCATAAATAACTAAATAAAACCGAACGCCGAAAATAGCTCCCCTCAACAGCAAACTCTTTCCCCTCGGATCAACGCCAGAGTTTTGTTAAACATTTGAAATGTTGATGGCACGTAGGATATCTTCCAGTGACCAGCCGGGACCGCCGGGGACGATCTCCGCCCAGACTTCTTCGGGGACTGCGTCTTCGGGGGCGAGGAGGCTCCAGTTAGGACTTGGTTCGGGTTTGATCCATTTGAAGTCTTCGACTTGGCTCCATCTGTCTTCGTCGTCGGGGCGGTCGTGGTTCAATGTCTGTTTGTTTGAGTGTGAGTGGTTAGTGGGGTGATTGAGGGTGTTTGATGTCGGAGGCTGGGTATATATAAATACTTACGTAGATGCGGGGGATGCGGCCGAAGCGGATGTTGGTGCAGTCTTCTATGATCGGGTTGCTGGAGGCACTTAGGTAGACGTCTACGTTGGAGCAGTTGTGCATGCGGAACTGGCGGCAGTCCACCACCACAATACTGTGTTCCACGCCCGTGATGTGGGCGGGTCCGTTGATCTGGCCGCACACCAGGAGGCTCTCTCTCGCGTTCTTGACTGTCAGGCTGGCGTACGGTTTGCCGTTGACGGTGGGAATTGACATGTCGACGACGCAATGGCGCAGCGAGGTGATCGATGCCGGGACGTTGGGTGTTGACCCTGATGAGGGCAGCATGATGTGGAGGTTATGGTGGTTGTTCACCGACACCGAGGTGAGAGCCGTCGCGGCGAAGCCATGATGAGGTGGTTCAGGCTTGAGGAGTTTGTCGCCCGCTCCTTCGTCGACTGGGATAGCTGGGATGGATGTGGGGGCAATCTCCGGTCGTTGCAGCATATGGAGTCGGTTGTCGGGCTCGTTGAGCGGAGTCGACGGATACATGGGGGTTTGGGCGGCGGACGATCCGACGGAGGACGATTCGGGCGAGGCGAAGCCGGGGATACTGCGAACCTGCGCAGCCATTTGGGCCGCATCAGACAGAGAGATGGCCGAGGCATTTTTCTTGGTCTTGAAGCTGAACTTGGGGCGCGGCTCTACGGCAGCCCGCGTTTCGATGAGTTTGTCCTGCAACGCTTTGATGGCCTGGACCACTCTGTTGATCAGAGCTGCACTCCCAGCAAGCATCGACCCGAGAGATGCAGACTTACCTCTGCGTAAATCCGCTGATCGTACGTCGGGATATAGCTAGCTGCATCCTTGACTTCATTGGACAAGCGCGCAATCCCGGCCAGACAGTGATCAGTTGCATCCGCCCGCTCCCCTCCTATTAGCGATGTGTCCGCCAATCGATCCATCTGTTCCTGAAGAGCTGCAGAGAGCACATGTGTCAGACTCTCTCCCCTTGCCACAAGGCTAGTTCGCAAGACATCAACTAGATTGGCCAAGCCATACCGGTGATTTCATGCTGGAAATAGCGAAAGAATCGCTCCTTCAACGGTATTTCGGACTTGAGGATGGTTTGATTCTCGGCCTGGGAAGGCCGACGAGAGGTGTCAAAGTCAGGCATAGACATGGTGAATATTGGTAGACAACTGATGACAGAGAAGGTGAAAGAGGGACGGACGGACGGACGGACGGAGGGACAAGGGGACCAAAGGTTGCAGTTGGATGGAGGGGAATCTCTGGTATGGAATGGAGACGGGAGAAAGAAGTGTATTGATGACGTCGTCTGATCTTCTGTTTCCCAAGCCGGTTTGGAGTATGGCGTTTCAAGAGCTGCTTTCCCAACACAGCTTCGTTAAATAAAGAGGATTTGTGAGATAGGTCCAATACCGAAGACAGAGTCTAAGATCAGGAGAGCACATTGTCAGTTTTGAGGGCTCACGCAGGTGGCAGGCAGCCAAGTCAGTCCACCACCTCGACCGGGCGTTTTCTCCTGGCCGGAGTCGATCACCCGCCGCGATCCACTAGCGGCAATCTGGGGGAGTCTAAGGAAAAGGGCAATGGGAAAACCCACCTGGCTCAGAATCAGGATATACACACCGCAGGGGAGCTTTCAGCGACTGCAGCGACTTGGTACAGCTGGAGCATTCAGCTTCGCCTTGCTCATTACGCGATGAGAGGAAGAAAGGTGGTGACGTCGCTTACCGTCGGGGCTCGGCGATTTCCTTCTCCGCTTTCTTTCTCCCCGCACTAATCCCCTTCAGGCCGGACGGCTGCCACTCGCGCCGGGCGCCCCGGTGGTGCCTGGGGCAAATCAGGCCATTCATGGAGCAACCGAACATTATTGTATTAATTTATATCTTATTTCTCGTCACACATAAATACATAGGGCAGCTGCAGCGCTAGTGATCGCATCAATGATAATGACACCATCTGAAGCACAGGCAGCGTGCATCGTCCTTCCCACCTTTGTTTAATGCGCTCTTATGTCGAAGACAGCTCAGGCAGGTCTGGTCGGGGAATCGAGGGTAGGCCATCGATCTCTGCCACCAGCTCGTGTGATAACAACGAATGCCGTCTGCGCTGTGTATGGAAGTCGGCAACAAGCGGTCTTTCCACTACCAGTCGATCGTAGTCGGGCCGCAGGTCATAGTCACTGACACTTTCGATGCCACCCTGCATTCGCACAGTCCTCAGCATCAACTTGCCTGTCTTCACCCAGAATGCGAGCATTTCGTATTCCTGGGGGAAAGCTAGCGCAAGTTGCCCGGGCCGAAATACTGCAGGATTCATCTTATACGAGGCCTTTTTCAACCGTGAGCGATTCAGACCCCCAGAAGCCTTCGCATCACATATATGGATATCGCACATGCCGTTCGCGATCACAAATCTCGAACCAGATGGCGACTGTGCTGCATGTACGATCCGTGTACTGAACGGATCGTTGGTGATTTTGTTGTCCGTCATGGAGAACGACAAGGGATATTCCTTGCCGAAAAATGCGGTCAACAGAACCGCATGATGAGAGCTATCGTAGTACACACCAGTCAGGTCCCCGTCATTCGTCGTCCACTAGCTTTCCGTTAGCATGGCCAGAGTAGCAGAGATCACACGTCTAGGGAGAACGCACGGGAGGAAGCTTGAAGGACTTTGAGCTATCGGGGACTATATTCCACTGTTGGAACGTGCAGTTCCAAACATCGACATAAGCGTAGTGGTCACCCAGGTGGGTGGCGATAACGAAATGTTTGCCATCGGCCGAGAATTGAAGCTTTCTTTCGATGACAGCCTCTTGTCGCTGAGCCTCAAACCCAGACTCCTTCGCGCCAGAAAAAGTACCCATCAAGGATCGGTTCCCCAAGTCTGACACTCGATCAATTCCATTTCCGAGAGAAACTCTCTGGATAGTCCTGGTGCAGATCTCATAGACACGAACTTGGTCTTTAAGTGTGAATGCTACATATCGATCGTTGCGTGACATGACCATACATGTGATTGGTATCGATTGGTGATCAGTTTCGATTGTCAAGTATGCCTCCGGAATGTCACTGTCATTCTCAAACACAAGAAGCTCGTAACGCTATGTACCTGTTAGCATTTCCCACACATTAGTGATGCAAGCTACTCACTTGTCCTACTGAGGCGATGACAGCACATCGTTGATCTCCCGCTGCAGCTTGTTGTACGCCCGGAATGTCATATTTGTGACTTTTTGGCTTTTTACCTTCACCCTGACCTAGTTCGAATCGCATAACCCAGTTGCTGCCCGCACCCCAGAAGAGCAGACAACTCCCAGTGGCCGAGAAACAAAACCGAGGCTGACGAGGCAACTGCTGCCCTTTCGAGGAGTTTCTCCGAAAAAGAGACGTTCCGCTGGAAAAAGGTATCTTCACATTCTTGAGATCGCGTGACAGAGTCTTGATTGCTTGCTTGTCAAATGACTGATCTGTTCGACTTCGCGAGAGAACCGGGTTAAAGATTTCTGATGCCGTAACACTGGGAGTTTTGCCATTCGCTTTCGAGGCGGACGCCGCAGGAGGAGTTGGTGATGTCGGACTTTTGACTATTTCTACCGAGTCGAGGCGGGAGGAGTGACTTGTAGAGTGGCTGAGCGAGCTTGAACAAGAAGTCGTCGCTCGAGATGCAGAGTCCGGTAGGGACGGCTGTCCTTCACCGTCCGAATCTGAGAAAAGGTGTAGGCCGTCGGAAACTTGCTCGAGAGGTTCTATCATACGAGCATGTTGGACGCGTGCTTTGCCCGGACAGAGAGGGCACGTGATATCCATTGCTAGAAATTCGGGACTTCCTTGAAATTGCTAACGAAGAATCAGGTTCTATGCCAGGTCCAGGTGCTTGAGGGATGGCGGCATTGCCTACCTCATAAGCCTTCCGATCATGGTTCCTCAACTGTTCTTCCAACATTGCACCCGGCACAGGATGCACCGCAGGACAGTTCACAACGTAAACTGCTGTGCTGGACCGGCCCTTTTTGATCGGTGCGGACGGATCGAAATCGGCGGGCGATGAGTTTTGCAACCATTGAGTCAAATGCTGTTGGTAATCGTGCGAAAACGCCTCCAGTTCACCATTACAATCCCACATCTGCACCCGCCGATTGATGAGCCAACGTACAAACTGGCCCAAGGCCCGCTCCCATGACTCTCGAATGCGACCAAGTTGCGACCAAGTGTCTCGAATTCTTCGCGTCTGTAACGGAGGGGACTCATCGGCTGTCTGGCTTAGGATGGTGGTAGCAAATATCTGAAGCGGTGCCGTATTGAATTCATCATCGTATGCCGCCAGGACCGTCCGAGTCAACTTCTTTTTAACCTCCTGGGCTTGCGTGAAGGCCTCGTCTACCTTCAGCGCTGCGGAGCTTGTATATCCCTGCTCTTGCGAAATACGACGGCGATCTATGTGGCACTGAATGAGGGCGGAGTCTACTGCCCAAAGTATATCAAGGAGGAGGTTGAAGGATACCAATTGGTCGGCATTACTTTTCATCAAACCTGTCAAGAGATCGGTGATAAGGGTTTCTGGAGCACCCGAAACTGGATACTACTGACATCGTGAGCCTCTACTTTGGAACCGACAAACTCACTTGGGCGCACTTACCAGCCCTGCAGCGAACGACGGCAGATAGGCTTTCCCACGATTGATTGTGAGAGTTTGAGTGGCTGTCAGCTCCGTTGAGCCGATAAAGTCGATTGCTTTGGGGAGAAGGTCACTAATAAGGAAGCGTTCAACGTTTGACAGGTCCGAGTGCCGCCATGCGGCTCGCATCGCCTTCTCGAACCGGAACTTCTTATCAGTTTGAATGGGCTCTCCGCGCAGCAGTAGGACCCGAATTCCAGCGAGTAAAGTATGTGCAATCAGATGCCGGTAGCCGGCGAGTTCTGGATCGGTCGATCTGTGACAAGGGAAAAGTTCCAGCTTCACCTTCAGTAAGTACATCAACGTCGAAAAGACTGTATCCGATGGCAGTAGGTAAGGTAGAAAGTAGGGGTGGCATTCGTGGACATTCGTCAATCCTTGAAGGTAGGTTCGCTGCGCATCAAATATGGTCTTGATCCAGAAAACAGAGCGGGCCAGTGGCTCAATGGATGCAGACTGGCCGTCCGGTTGGGATACGGCGATCTCCAGCACATGCTCGCCTATTATTTCACGAAGGATATTTGCTAGATCACGGCGCCCTAGCTGTTCCCACACGGCTGCCACCAGTGGATGTGACATGGAGGAAACAGGGATGGCAAGCCTCGGACATAAGAGCGAGCAAGTCCAGTCGAACTCGAAGGGAACAAATTCGCAGACGGCTGACGTTGGAGATAAAGGCGTTACTGAGGACTAGGATGGACGAACAGAGGCGGAGACCAGACCATCGAGGGCCAGGCGCAAGAGAGGCAGGGCGTCCGATCAGGTTTGGTGAAAGGTAAAAAAAAAAAACAGAGATGTGGGAGAGTGCGTGTGGGAGAAGGAAAGTGAGGAGCGCCGAGGGAACGCCAGACAGAGAGAGGGAAAGATACAGCGGCGGTTTCCTACTTTTGGCAGGTGACCGGGACCGATTAAGACGAATGGCGAGCCATGCTAGAGCCGAAAAAAGTGCCTTATGTGGGTGGTGCAGTTCCAATTCGCGGTAGTCAGGTTGAAGGGTGGTCTAGTAGGGGTTCCAGCTTATGAACATGCGAGGCTGCATGTCTGTCTTACATGTGGTTTGTCCGTTGCCTTCAGGCCCGCTATTGGCACGGGCTACAAGCGCCCCAGCCTCACGGGCTGGTGCTGGTGCTGGTGCTGGTTGTGTCGTTAGATTGTCGTCGGACTAGTACTTAATTGGTAGTAGTCTTGCTCCGGACAAGTCATCATCGTAACGAGCTCAGTTTGGGAGCTGCAAAATGGAATGGATGGGTAGTTACGATTTCGAAGACGGGTCGGTCCCTACTCTCTGCCTCCTCGTGGTGGTGGCCGCGGTGGTGGTGGTGATGGGTGGGTTGGGTGGATGCATGCAGACGAGAACTAGCGGGAAAATCATTTTCAATGAATTTGCAAGGAGACTGTAGGAGAAAGCGATGTTCGAGTGCCACTATGTTTGCGCTGATCGATTTATCAGCGGGAGAATGACTTTCAAGGAACCCCTTGACACTTACCGTGATGTCCCGTGCATCGCTTTTTGGTTGATTGAGGTGCGTGTGTGTGTGGCTAATGACAAGCTCACTAATTCAGTATCTGCAATTGTCATAGGTGGGAGGGAACCCCCTACTTCGAGTTCTGTAAGAGCCATGAATGATAAATAATGGGTGGTGGGGTTGTGAATTGGTGTAGTTAGTTAGTTATTGTAAGATGGGTCTGTTCCTGTCAGGCCAACAACTTGCTTGGTAGTCCGTGCCTGAGCCTGGCTTCCTTCCCCGGTCCGTGCCAAGTTACTTCCTCCTTTCTCTTCCCCTCACCTCACCATCTCCCCCAGGATATGCATCCTTTCATTTTCAGACCCGACCACAAGGGACACTTGCTTTCCTCGGATTCTCAGGGGTCTTCTCTCGCTTAATTAGACTAGACTTTGGGGTCGAAAGACCTGCATTAAGGTCACATTGGAACTAACTGGCATATCGGCAAAATCCAGAAAGAAAAGCAAAGAAGACACGGACTCGCCTACCCGGAGGAGAATCGGTCTACCCCGCCATCTTACACTTACTGTACTCGACTTGTCTCCGACCAGGCCTCTTATTCCCAATCTCTCAACCAAGCATATCACGCCGTTTCTTTTCTTTTTTGGACCCCACGGTCCGCTCGGCCGACCTGCGATTAGTGGCTCCTGCACTATCCAATGCCATTCACGCGTTGACGACCCGTCACTTGCTTACCGACCCGCTTAAGAATCGCCAGACCTCCTTCACTCTTTGACAGATGATAAAAGATACAATGCAACATGCAACTAGACAGTCCGACGAGCATCCAACACATCATTTCACATTGGCGAGAATTGGCCGAGAGAGGAGATTATTGTCTATAATGAACCATCAGGTACCACATGGGCTCTACCGGGCATTCAGAGAGAGTGGAACTGGGATGGATAGGGTTGACGGCCCCGTTCTAGGCCCCAGCACCGCGGCGGACGGATCACTTTCCGCTCGCAAGACTGACCCACTGCACTGCTCCACCTCCCGACTCCCGGTGGCTCCCGTGCAATTGAACACAGCCTGAATGTCTGTCTGCCTCCGCTATCATGATGGAGTCTCAGTTATGTCAGCCCTCAAACACAATGAATGCTGCTTACATTGAAGAATAATACAACATTAATTATTGGCTAGCTATTCATTTGTCTTGCTGACTGTCTTTTCCTCCATGTTCAAGTTCGCCAGCTGATCCAACTGACCTCCCGACTGAGGTGGACGGTCACGGTACACTATTTGTATTTGACTACCAGCGCGGCCTATGTATATGTGTCCATCGAGGTATCAGTTCCTACTCCAATGCTTAACAAGCATCTCCCGTACGGTAAGCGGCTGAATGTCGGGAAAGCGCTCATTCAACGAGCCTTGGGTCGTGGCACACGACGAGCCATCCAGGGTGTACAGCTCGAAAATTGACATAAACCACTGGAAGGCTCTCTTGGGAAGATGTTGGTACAAGGCTTGATGCCCGGGCAGCTCGGTTATCTCGAACCTCTTGAGTTTTTCCACGCTGTCATAGTGGACTTCGAAGTGACATCCTGCCTCTGGTTAGGATAGACGTAACGCGAAAGTGATAACCAGACTTACGGCATATCTCCTCTGCAAGCCTGACAAATACATTCCAGGTGACAGTATCGCCAATCACGCGGCTTTCTTCGGGCCAGTCTTCCACATCAAGCATGGCAACAACGTACAGGGCCAGATCGAAGGTATAGGTAAATGTGACCTTAGCCTCGCCGTCCCCGGGAATACCTGCTACCTTGTTCTTCCTGTCCATCACGAAGACATTCGGTTTCAGGTAGAACCTGAGAGTTGATGGACCGAAGTAGTCAAGGAAGATACCATTGAGAAAGACTGTCCACTGAAGGTCAGACTGCCTGAGAACCTCAATCGCCTTGAAGTAGTCTTCGAGTTGTGACAAAACCTGCACTGCACCAGAAATGATCAGCTGCTATAGCACGCCGTCCTTGAGCTATGGCAAGACCTACTTCTTGGGGTATGAGATTGCGAAGCCACTGGGCACGAAGCGCTGGGTGGCCTTTGATTTGATTGATTGCAGCTTGAATGAGGTTCAATTGCTATACGGCAAGAGAATCTCCTTCTACGGCAAAACAACAGATCACCGTGTGGATAGCGTGTGCTTCTAGCACGGAAACCAACTGCTCAGCGTCTGTGTAGTCGACCTGTATGGTTCTGCCGTCCTTGCTACCGGACTACGCAGCTCTATCAGTACGACGTGAGCCCAGTATCATATAGACAATGACCCATACCTTGCGGGATAGGACAAATGTCTTGTGATCGGAGGACTCTTGCAGCACCTCCAGAGTTGTGCGGCCAACACCGCCATGACCACCAGCAACAGCAACATAAACCATTGTGTGACTTGGAGAAGCTTGTGTGAAAGTGAATTGACTCCCAAAGGGAAAGATGAGAGGAAGAAGAACTTGAATTTCTACTGCAACAGCTTTTGTCCTCATAGTCCGTCCGTCTGATCAATGATCCACCGGATACAATAATCGCCTTTTTTAGATTAGTGCGATGATCTTCACATCCATCTGTTCCAGCATCTTGACGGGTACCTAGATGCAACTTTGGCATCTCAAGTCGGAAGGAGGATATTCGATCACTTTCTGCTACACAAATGTGCATCCACCCCGATGCTTATTCATGCGCTCCTTGCACTTTCGGCCCGACATCTGCAGCATCTGCACCCTGCTAGCGCTGAGCACCAGAAAGCATGCTGGCTCCATACGCAGACAGCAACGCGCTCGCTGCGGGAATCGCTTGCGCAAAGCTCAACAGAGATACACAATCTAGACCCTGTCTATGCCACAGCGCTGCTTGTGAACATGTTCTCCTTCACTCCGCACGATAACTCACCCCATAGGTCCTGGGTGTTTCACTCCACTATGGCGGCTAGAGTGAACTACCTTAGCTGGGGTCCGTACAATCTGGGTTAGGGCATTTATCAAGGTGATGGAACAAAACCCGCAGCACAGCTTCTAGCGCTTGAAAGTCGAGATGCCAAAGCGGCCCGGATCCGCCACCCTTTTCTCCAGCCGAAGCAATCTAGCCCTCTCTCAGACATTGCTTCATGCGCTTGAAGATCTATGCCATGGGACTACGATCGATCCAGAGAGTAACCCTTACTATATACCATTCAGTGTCATTGCTCCCTTTCTGCCGCGGAGCGCTCTGGAGGTCGGAGACACAAATTCCTTACTGTCGTTTGGACCCAAGGTATCCGCTGCTTACAGGGATCTTCTGCTGGGAAGAGATGAGCGAGCCATGCTGCTCCTTATGTTATGGCTGGAGCTTCTTCGCCATGCAGACATCTGGTGGATTACTAACCGCACAAGGCAGGAGTCTCCGGCTCTTCGGCGTGTGCTAAGCTGCAGTGCCGATGATCGTATTCAAACCATACTCGCCTTGCGGGAAGCAATTTAGAGCAACGCCCTCGTTATGACCTCTAGTCAAAGACTTTCGTGAATTATGAAGGAGCATTCTTGGGGATGCTCATGAACCTCTGAAGTATGTTGGGTCTGGCACGTGGTGCGAGGTCGTTTGATCATAATTCAATTACAATGGATTCTTTGGACTGAGGATCAGTGCCTTTGATAGAGGTTAAAGACCTTGGGCACGTCACCCCATCGCACCCTGGTCGCCAATAGCTCAGCTTCCGTGGGATCAGAAAGCTTCTTTGGATGTCTCGCGTGGAGATAGAGCCCACGAGAGTTGAGACAAAGATCCTTGCAATATTTAACTTCCTAACAACCTCAGGCAGACTTCTGATTTGGTTGCCTGAGGCCAATATAAGCTCCCAAGCAGGATTAGCGGGACTCTCCCCGCGTCGGGCGGCGAGCTCTGGGCCTTTCCAGAAGTGGGTCTCAATCAACCGGCCCGTCCCCATCCGGAAGCAATAAAGCTTCCAGGCAATCTCAATAGACTGCAAGGCACAACTGATTGGCCTCGTCATAACAAAACTGACCGAATCACTCTTCTTCAACCTATCTCAAATTCCCATCTCCAGTTCTCCGAGCTTCATGACTCTCCCACGAGTCTCATTCCTAGAGGTCGACACCACAGCTGGGACACAATGACAGCAGCGACCCAAGGAATCGACTAACTTCGGCCGATGAGAACTCTGGCATCATGTCTAGCCAGACGATGTATTGGCTGACCGACAGGGAATGAGTCTTATTGTCAAAACTTTCAGCAGATTGAACTTTCGGTGACGCCAATCAGATACTCTGTTTGTATTGACTATGCTGAAGAAACGACCGCTGCGGACTTCGGTTGAGGCTTGAGCTTATACCCAATCTGACGGGGAATAGCTCCCATCAGGCTCCACGCAGAAGGGAGCTTAGGCGTAATTGCCTTGCGGGGATAGGATGGACAAAAGACATTAGCCATCTATTCAATGGCTCAAAAGCCATGCGAGACCCGCATTCCGCATGAGCCACGTGCATGCAGTCCTTCGATCTAACCGTGCGCTCTCTATTACAGTTGCAATAATGCGACAGATCAGCTTGACAATTATCCTGGAAACTCTGTCCCTGCTTGCCTGTGGCTTAGATACACTCGCTATCCCTACAGGTCGGTATTCCGTCGTGGACCGTTTGCAAAATGTGCCGGATGGGTGGATGCGACAGTCCGGTCCTGCATCATCAGCTCCGATGAGATTCTGGCTGGCGATGCGCAAGCCGGACTTGTCCGGCTTTGAAGAGCAGGTGATAGCCTGGTCGACGCCTGGTCATCGTGACTATGGCCGCCATCTGACAAGGGAAGAGCTTCAGGCGTCTATGCGCCCTTCCGACGAGGCCATAGCCAAAGTTCGTTCATGGCTGGAATGGGAGCATGTACCAGCGGAGTCTATCGAAGATCGCGGTGACTGGCTCGCGTTCACCATTCCTTTATCGCAGGCAGAGTCGATGATGAAGACTCAATTCTACCACTTCTACCACCCAAAGACGCAGACAACAACGGTCCGGACGCTCACGTACTCAGTGCCAGAGGAGATTTGGCCGTTCGTCCAGCTCATTCAACCTACAACGCGGTTCGGCTCCCCACAAGCCCAGGACAGCCCAGAAACCATGGTGCCGGTCGCTCTCACTGCAGAGGACTTGGCGGGCAACTGCTCGATGATAGTGACCCCCACTTGTTTGCGGCAGCTCTATGGAATAAATGACACCGATATCACGCCCGATCAGCGCAACCGGCTGGGTATTTCGGGGTTTTTGGAGGAATATGCACGTTACGACGATCTGGAGCAGTTCCTTGCAACGTATGCGCCTGATCAAGCCGACGCCAACTTTTCGGTGGTCTCGATCAATGGCGGGCGTAACCTACAGTACTCGCTTAGTCCGTCTAGTGAGGCCTCCCTCGACATTCAATACGCGCTGTCACTGGCATACCATGCATCCGCTGTCTACTATACCACTGGTGGGCGTGGCCCGATGGTGCAAGATTCTGGGGCGTTGACCATCGATGACTCGACGAATGAGCCCTATCTGGAGCAACTGCACTATCTCCTTAGCCTGCCAGATAAAGACCTTCCAGCGGTCCTTAGTACCTCCTACGGCGAGGAAGAACCATTGGTACCAACGGCGTACGCAGAAGCCGTCTGCAACCTCTTTGCACAGCTGGGCGCACGGGGAGTATCTGTTATTTTCAGCAGTGGCGACTGGGGCCCCGGAGATACATGTATCACTCATGACGGTACACGTCGGACTCGGTTCCAGCCCGTCTTTCCAGCGTCCTGTCCCTTTGTGACGTCAGTGGGAGGCACGGAGGGGATTAGTCCAGAGTCGGCAATCTCATTCTCTGGTGGTGGCTTCTCGGAAATCTTTGCTCGGCCTTCCTACCAGGATTCCAGCGTCACAAGCTACCTGCAGGGCCTGGCAAGCAGCTTCGAAGGGTTGTACAACCCTCAGGGACGTGGCATTCCTGATGTTTCCACGCAGGCCAACAACTTTGTTCTTCGCGACAATGGTGAGTGGATGAAGACCGGGGGTACCAGGTGAGCGTTTCTGTTCAGTTTGACCAAGCCACAGAGTATTGACTCGAGATATAGTGCTGCGGCGCCTGTCTTTGCTGCCATCATCACCCGGCTGAATGCAGCGCGGCTGGTGCAGGGCAAGTCGACGCTGGGATTCTTAAACCCGTGGCTATACTCGCTCAAACAGAAGGGGTTCACTGACATTGTCGATGGAGGATCTGTTGGTTGTGACGAACCCACTGGAGCGCAAGTCCCGCATGCTGGATGGAACGCGACGCCAGGCTGGGACCCGGTGACGGGGCTGGGGACACCGTACTATGGGACACTGTTGGAGCTTGCGTTAGAAGCGTAGTTCTAGTATGATTCTTCAATATAACGGTTAAATCAACGACCGCTCAGTCAGACAGTCCGAGGTCCGTTACGGATCCATGATGGACGGGGTCCATGTAATCACCCCCAATCGGGAATAATGCTCAGAGCTCTCCACGTGACCGAGCACTCACCGCCCAGGCCAGCTCTTTCCGGCAGATCCAAGCATCAACGTCAACGTCCATCAGCCAGCCAGCCTAGCCTCATCCTTATACACCTCTCAATCGAACCTTGACCCTCTCCTTCATCCTCCATACTGCTCAACCCCGACATACCCTTCGAACCTCTTCTCTTCCCGACCCCGAAATCCGATACCACCACTTACTACCAACCCAAAATCAGCGCCAGCGTCCCCCAAAATGGCCACCGACCTCCGCACACTGCTCACAGAGCTCCACAACAGCCTGAACGCACATAACCTCGAAAAAGCCAGCGCGCTCCTCACAACCGCCAAACGGGCACTCCTACAGCACAACTCCCTGCTGCCAACAGCATCCACCCCACCCGACCTCATCCCCGTGGCCCGCGAGATCCTCGAGCTGGGCGCCCTCGCCTCGATCCGCCAAACCGACGCCCCGGGCTTCACGCGCTACTACCAACAGCTCCAGCCGTTCTACGATCTAGAGCGCCAAACGAACCCCGCCTCCGATGAGAAGAGCAGCACCAGCAGGGGTGGCGGCAGCAATAGCCAACGCAGCAAGATCACAGGGTTGTATTTGCTGTTGCTGCTGAGTATGGGCGATAGCACGAGCTTCCATACCGTGTTGGAAGGGTTGGTGGAAGAAGCGAGCTTGCAGGGTCGCAGCGTCGAGGATGATCCGTTTATTAAGTATCCTGTGGAGCTGGAACGGAACCTTATGGAGGGGAGCTATGATAAGGTGTGGCGGGAGACGAATTCTGAGAGGGTTCCTGGGGAGGACTTTGAGTTGTTTTCGAGTGTATGTTTCCTTTCTACCATTACCCCTGTTCGCGAGGATTGGTGTTGAGGTGGGATGGGGTGGATGGGGATGTAGGGCTGAGGTTTGGGACTATGACTGGTGTTTGATGATGTTGCCGATGGCTATGCTGGGTTGATAACTAACATGATATGCTATGAATCTAGGTCCTCGTCGGCACTATCCGCAGCGAAATCGCAGACTGCTCCGAAAAAGCCTACCCATCGTTGCCGATCTCCAACGCCAAGAACCTGCTTTTCATGGACTCGGAGGGCGCCGTGATCGAGTTCGCCCAGCAGCGGGGCTGGGTGCTGCGCGATGGCCGCATCTATTTCCCTGTTGAGCCTGAGGCGGCGGCGCGCTCGGAGAAGGATATCCTGGTGGCTAGTGGGACGATTATTGAGAATGCCATCGGGTATGCGCGGGAGTTGGAGACGATTGTTTGAGGGGTTTCTGGTGTGGCGGTGGTGGTGTATCTAGAGAGAATAAGAATCAAGACGGTTTGTCTGTTATACTTGCATTATAATGAGGATTTCTTTGGGAAATGATGATCGTGGGTTAATTCTTGTCTTTCTAAGGCTGATTGGGGATGATTGGTATCTATTGCGGATAGAGTATACATTATTTATTTACTTCTATGGCGATTGCCCGTGATGTCTATCTATACCCGAACCCGCCACAGACACACTCGCCGATCGTAGAAACTACTCGACAAGCAGAGAACCTCCTGCTGCTCGTCGCTGCTATGGATCGGTAACTCATAGCCCCCGGCAGGCCTCCACACATCCGTCGCATAGTTCATGCTCTCATGCTCCGTGAACTCAGCCAGCACCTCCAACTCCCACTCTGACCCTCCGGAACAACGCACCCGCACCACTCGCGTGCCCCCGTGCATGCAGCTCGCCAAGACCAGCCCCGTCCATTCTTCCTCCGCTTCGGCCGACGACGATGCTGACAGCAGCTGCAGCCGCCACACGCCCCCGCCCAGCCCTATCTCCGCGAGGACCTCCCCCCGTCTGGTCGCGTGATACACGCGGAGGGACTCGTCGTAGCTCCCCGTTAGAATCACGGGACTGTCGTCTTTGAGCGGGAGGGGTAAGGGTAAGATGGAGGTTACGCCTGCGGTGTGGTGGCGGGCGCGGTCGTGGTGGTCCAGCAGAACGGACAGGTGATTGGTCTCGGATGTGATGGTGTAACGGCGGGTGTGGAGGGCGCCGAAGTCGTTGCCTGTGAAGATGTAGGGGATCTCCTGCTTGGAAGTAGACTCGGGGAAGGTCGCGAGAGCGGCAAACCAGACTTCGATGGCTTGGGAGGCGGGGAAGGTGTCTAGTTCGGTGATCTTCGGAGGTGCATGAGCGGAGGGCCCGGGGGTGTATTGGAAGATCGTGGTGCGGCTGTCGGAAAATGTGACGGCGAATGCGTCGAGAGGGGTTGTCGTCGTGGTGCCATTCGGGGTTGGCGATGGCCAGGTTGAGGGCGTCCAGGCGAGGAAGAGCGCGGGGATCGAGGGGTCCTCGTGGACGGATTGTGTAAGGAGTGGGGTTAGGGTGGGAGTCCGGTTGTGCTCGTCAGGCGTGAGACGGAAGAAGGCGACTGAGCCTGCGCTCGTTGCGATGGAAAGGAGCGAGGCATCGCGAGGGTGGAAATGTAGGTCGAAGACGGCGTATGGCAAAGGGTGTTTCCAGAGGAAGGTGCTGGGTAGAAGTCAGTTAGTTCGTCTCGCGGCTGGGGACAGAAAAGGGAGATTTACAGTTGTTTAGTGGAGGGGTCTATGCGCCAGAGCTGTAGAGAGCCTGTTTTTGTTTGTTTGATGTTCGAGTCGTTCGATTCATCCTTCTGTTCGGACAGCAAGTAGGTGCCGATGATGCAGCAGTCGGGAATTGCGGGGCAGAATTGCAGGCAGCTCGGGGGTTGGTCGAGGAAGACAGTTGTGTCGGAGGCAGGATGCTGCAAAGGAGGAGATGTAGCCATGTTGCAGAGTTGTGTCCGGACTCAATGGCTGGAAAGAGCTGTGTGGAGGGAGTGGAGTTGAAGATATTTTGTGAGACCGGAAATAGTATGGAGACAATGCGGAGGAGAAATCAATCTATGGACAAGAAGTGGAACATGGCGAATGATGAATTAACTCAGACCACTGTGGATGTCACAAGAGGTCAGAGAATTTGTCTGTACATCCTAGCAATGTAATGCAATCTGACACAATCAACAATCGTGGACGTTGAGCGTATAACTTGTCGGTGATGATCTGATCTCGAATTGGCATGGGCTGATTGATTGATTGATTGATTGATTAACGCACGAGCTCCCTCGTATCTTCTTCACACCTCAGCATCATCTCTCCTCCTTCTCCTCTCTGCTTCTTTCTCTCCCCCCTTCCATATTTGAATCTGATTAACTCCACCATTTCTCAAACCTAATTTTATCTTGACACACGTTCCATCTCGAAACCTCAATTGCAGCAGTCGAGACCTTCCTCGTCCGCATGTCGTCATACTCGCAGTCGTCCAGCAGTTCCTCATCCCCTCGACCTCCCGACCAGCGCCAACAACAACAGCCACGAACTCAACAACCTCAACCTCAAAACCAACAGCGGCGATCCTCCTCGCTACAACAATCCGCAGCCTCCTACTTCTCCTACCCAGTAACCCACGTCGTCTCAGGGCTCTACCGCCGCTTCACCGACCCGCAATCCACGAAGAACCAAGACAACAACAGCAGCAGCAGCAGCAGCACAATGCGTCGCCCATTCCAAAGCACGAGCAGCATCAGCAGCACGACAACAACAACCAACCCAGCAACAAACACAAGCACACTATTCACGCCCATCCGCACGGCCTCACCCTTCCAACCCCCACCTCTCACGCCCCTCACCCTAACCGACCCAGAGAACCACAGCCAGCACAGCGCCCAAACGCAAGACTACCTCCTCACGCGCTCGCTAGCCGAAGAAATCCGACTCCTGGTGCCAGCGCGCCTGCAGCTATGCGACACATGGCGGCTAGCATACAGCCTAGAGCGGGACGGCGCCTCACTGAGCACACTATACGAGAACTGCCGAGCGATCTCGCAGCGCAGCCCGCGGGCGGGCTACGTGCTGATCATCCGGGACGCCTCGCCGTCGACCGGCTCCTCGTCGTCGTACTCCGCCACCGGCGGCTCCTCTTCCTTCTCCAACACGAATAATGGCCCCGGCGGCGCTGTCTTCGGCGCCTACATGACCGATCCCCCGCACCCGGACTCGCACTACTTCGGCACAGGCGAGTGTTTCCTCTGGCGCGCCTCGGTCGTGCAGCCGCCTTCGGCTGATCGGCTCCTGCAGTTGACGGCGGCGGCGGCGGCAGGTCACCACACCCAGGACCCTGGGATGCAAACTGGGGCCGGGCCGGGAACTGAAAATGATGTACAGCAGACGTTGGCGGCGCTCGAACGCGCAGGCTTACCGTTGCCGCCCAGCGCGGATACCACGCACGCCGGCCGGTCGACCACCCTGCGCAGTTGGAGTCCCCTGCCCCGGGGTCCGGGTCCGGCCTCCACCAGTAACAGTGGCACGGCCACGCCGGAGCAGATCCGCTTCAAGGCGTTCCCGTACAGCGGAGTGAACGATTATATGATGTTCTGTGAGACCGGGTTTCTGAGCTTGGGTGGCGGGTGAGTATCTCCCCTTTAAATCAATGTAAACTGCTTGGGCGTGACTGGTTCGCTAATCGGTTTTAACACTACAGGGATGGACATTACGGTCTCTGGGTAGACTCGAGTCTGGAGAAAGGTGTCAGTGCCGCTTCTCAGACCTTTGGTAATGAGCCGCTTTCGGATGAGGGCATTAAGTTTGATATCCTCGGGGTCGAGGTTTGGTATGTTGGCTCTTAAATGGATGGAGCGAACGAATTGGATCGTCCCTTTTTGGTGATACGTACGTCATCTGCAAAACTTTGAGCAATCCGAGCAAAAAAAGATTGATTGGTACTGGAGGGGAAGGCGGATCATGATCTGCGGGCAGAATGGTCCATAATATATTCGAAAGTTGACCCGGCAAGGTGGTATAATTGAAGGATGATGTTGGTGTGCGATGCCCGACTGAGGGCAGTATAGGGCAGCGCCCATCTACGTGTACTGAAAGCTGTACTCGGATAATCCATCGTCATCTCATGAATCGTATGCTTTGATTACCACTACATAAATTCCGCGACCATCAGGGATCCCAGCGAGACATTACAACCCGTCATGTAAAGCAGGAAGATCAACACACAGTGTGAAGGGGATAGACTCGAAAATAAATAACACAGAGGGGTATGCAGTGCAAAAAACCGAAAAAGAAAACCACCAAGTCAGCAGCCGTATCAGTAGGGTGAGTTGACAATGTCATCCCTTCCCAGCCGACTTCCCCACTGTGTACGGCGTCTAGGCGTCATAGGCAAGGGACCAGCAATACTCTCACGCGTAGGCTTCAACAGACTCTTCTTGGCCACCATATTAACCTCATTGGGCAAAGCCACAATAACGTTCTTATCAGAGCCGAACCGGAAGTTATCTGCCATGACCTCTTCTCCATAGCGCTTGATGGTGTACGGATCCTTGCGGCCGGCAATGACCTTCTTCAAGTTCCAGGTGATGATGAAGGGACCGGTGGCCGTGACAATTGACGTCTCGTGTGCATCAACGCCCGTGTTGAAGCGAGCCTGAGTGAAGGCGATTGGTTTCTTGGTTTCATGTTGGAACTGAGCGACATGAGCGGGCTGCAGACCCAAACGACGCGGCTGCGGTTTTGAGTCTTTAGCAAAGGAGCGCTCAAAGCCCAGCTTGCCTTCGTTCTTTCCGTCCTTCTGTAGGGCGTCAATGAGCAAGAGGTAGGTGCGGCACGTGGCCAAAACCCAGCGACCATCGGCAGATACATCCAGACCGATGATGGGCTCACCCAAAGCAGGGATATGCGTCTTGGCATTGATACCGAGTCGGTCAAACATGCGGATGTCACCCTTGTTGGATGCTACGGCAATGTATCCCTTCTCAGTAGTGGCCACCGACGAGAAGTCGTTCTTGCTGGCATACTGCTTCAGTTCAGACTCTACCAGCTTGTTTCCGGCTACACGGGGATCAACGCGGAACAGAGCGTTCTTCGAAGCACCGATGAAAGATTGAGCGGAAGTCATTTGGGAGAATTTCTGAGGGAAGAGTCAGCGATCTATGCGTCATGAAGTGCATGCGGGAATCAACTTACACTTTCAGGGGCAAAGGTATGCACGGGAATATCATCATGCACCTTCCACTCGTCCACAATCTTACCATACTCCAGGTCCATACGGTAGAGGGAGTTGGGGTCGTCGCTATTTTGTAGAATCATGTTCGAATCTTCGGCGTGTAGCATGACCTTCTTTGGGCTGAAAAGCTTGCCCTTGGGGGTTTCAACCTTGGAGATGTTGGTTGAGAACTCGAGGTTGTTGTTGGGGGTGTGCTTGAAAACGCCGATCTTAGAGCCACGAACGACGAACGAACGATCGTGCTTATAACCGACGGCCAATTGGGAGTTGACATTGCCGTCGTTATCACGGGTTATCACATCGTCTTCCTCCTCATCCGAATCGTAGTGCTCGCTGCGCTGGCCGTCATCCTGATCCTCTTCTTCCGACTCTTCCTCCTCCTCGGCCTCAGCCTCAGCTTCGCGCTCCTCCGAGTCCTCCATGGTCAGATCCTGGAAAGCATCCAACACATACTCCTTCTCATTCTCCTTGACCTTAGCCCATTTCATTTCATTCAGCTGTTCCCAAAGTGCCTGCATGAGACCCTCTTGAAATCTCTCCTCCGTCTCTTGATCGTGGAAGCGAAGGAGCCAAGAGAAGGCCGAGCCATCCTGACTGTAGGCGTTAAAGATGAAGGACAGGTACTCAAAGTTGAAGACGGGGTTGATGTCAGCAACGACTGCCTGGCCTAGCCATTCCTTGTCCTCTCCGCTGATCTGAAGCCAGTATTGCCAATCCCCGACTTCTGACACAGTCGCAGTAACGTTGGCATCTTGCTGAACAAAGGTCCCGGTGGGAAAATCGAAGAGGTGTAGCTCCGCCTTCTCCTGAGTGAGAATTTCACGAGCCTCGGGTTGTGCAGCGGATGGTGGTGCAACAGTAGACTCGCTCTCAGAAACGGCAGGCTTGATGTGTCCCTTGGACTTTGAATATACCACGTCCTTCGCCATGGCGGTTGTTGCGTCGGGCGAATCGAGGGAGTGATCACGAGATTTCGTGGGTGAGGAAATCGGACTTGCCGACGGAATAGGTTTCTCCTCCTGAAACGAGAATTCTTGCAGCTCCGCACGAGTGACACCCTGCGCGCTGCGTCGATACGTCCGCTCGTACTGACACTGGAGGGCGGCCAACTCAAAGGTCGAGACCTTGTCCGATGCTACGGATGGGTCACAGACGAACTCGAAGAGATCACCTACGTCGCCACTGAGGTCTCTCCAGGCCAAGATCTTCGCGCCGCCTTCACGGACTTCGGAACGAAAGTGAAGGGCTTGGTCAAGCAGGAAAACCTTCTCGTCCTTGTCCAGGCTGTCGCTCGCCTGCTCGTCTTCGTCTTCGGCAAGCTCTTCCTCGCCTTCTTCGTAGGCACGTTGGATGACTAGCTGATATTGGAAGTCCTGGCCAGTCCGTCGGATGGAGGCAGCGGCGTCCTTGAAGATGAGCTCCGAGTATCCTTTGGGTGATAGAGGTCGAACAAGGTAGAGTTGTCCCTGGGGGATTTCGATGATGGATTCTTTGGAAGTGTCTCCAAAGAGGTACTTGCTCACTGTTGGTGAAGAAAATGAAAGATCAGGTAATTAGCATGTGATGAGGGGATGAGGTCAAGATGAAAGTGGACGGAAGGAGGGAAAGAGGGGCTGATGGTGGGGTAAAGTGAATAGTGAACAGGGACAGTGACTGAAAGGGAAAAGACAAAGTGAACTCAGGCTTACCGTTGCGGAGCATGAACATGGCTGCAGTTGGCCGGGCGTCGCAGCAACACCGACTGGTTGTTTGTTCGGCTGATGAGGAGGGGAGATCCTGTTGCTGGGGGAGCAGGGATGCTGATCAAACGCAGATGCAAACGATAAGAGAAGTGGAAGGTAGTCGATATTGCAGAGGGGAAAAGACGTCCTAGCAGTGGCAGAGACTAGTCGATGAAAGGCTGTCTCAGGCCGACTGCGAGACTGACTGTGGAACGCACGAGAAGTCTTGGAGTGAAGTCGAAAATAAAATGTTTTGATTCCGATGTTGTTGTTGTTTTTCTGCCGTCATCGAGTGGCAACCGCTGTGGCGTCGAAACTGCAGTGGCGCGGGTGGCGGTGCATTCCAATCATGTGAAAATCATCATATCTACAATTCATTCAATGTACTCAGTACGAGTACTGGACTAGTGCTGAACAGGGATCTAATTACTCTTTTCTGGGTTGCCTTCGGCTGCATCTTTGGGTTCCTCCTGTTCCTGCTCTTGCGCAGCAGCATTCGCACTCGCAATAGCCTCTTCCTCTGCAGCCTCTTCCTCCCCTTCGTCACCATCCTCCCCTTGCTCTGCCTCTGCATCCTGCTCCCCCGACTCACTGGCCGCTTCCCTCAACATGCCGCCCTTGCGCTGAGGGATGACCTCCATGAAAGCCTTACCCCAATCGCCGACCTCCAGCCACTTGAGCATAATTTCCACGACATGGTTCGTAGCCAACACCTGGCGCGAAGCCATCTGGATGTAGTCGCCAATGGGCAGCTTAGCAGTCTTGATGCCCCGCTCCACGGCCTGTTTGTAGCAGATGCCCTTGTGGCGATTCTTGTCGACCAAACCGCCGATAATGTAGGTACTGAACGGCTTCAGCTCGGTGAGGGTATGCGGACTATCGCTGCTCAAGTAGACGATCTCGCCATCCTCAGGCTTCGCATCCGTCTTGTCGGCGAAGACGCCCTCGAAGCGACCTCCCTCAGGCACAACCATCCACTCCTTAGCCTTCTCCGCGGCCTGGACAAAGTCCTCCTCGAGGAACCGGATGCCCTTCCAGTTCTCGTAGGTCTTAGCCAGCACGGTATCGAAGCGCTGCTTGAGCAGCTTGTTGAACGAGGAGACGACCAGGTGCGACCGGAACGGCGAGCGGCTGTTGTCCGAGTACGACCGGGTCAACTGCGAGCCGAGCGAGATGCGCTCCTTCTCGATCATCAGCTCGTCAAACCCGCAGTCAAGGATCAACGTCAGCGGCAACAGCGTGCCCTTCCGGAACCGTGCGGGCGTGCGCTCGTGCTCGCGCCGGAATTCTGCCTCCCGGCCCTCTTGCTTCGCGACCTCCAACTCTGCCCGCCGCCGCTCCTTGCGCGCTTGGATCCGCTCCTTCCGCTTGACTTTGCGCTGCTCGCGCCCGTCTTCCCATTGCTCGCGGCGGCGCTGGCGCTTCATGGCGCGCTTCGATAGGGCGGGGGCATCGGCGGCGGTCTCGTCGGTCGCTTCGTCGTTGTTGGGGGCGCCAGTTTTCTCCGTTGCGGACGTCACGGTATCGTCGCGGGGCTCCTCCGCAGGAGCAGCCGAGTCGTGGGGGGATGGTTGAACTGGCTCGGCCATCGTAGTTGTAGGAGCTGAATCGTCGTGATCAAGCTTGACCAATTTCCTGGGACGACCTTCTTCCTCCATTTTTTTCGCTCAAAAACCACAGTCAATTCAAGACAAACACTCCCAGATAGATTCCTCAAGAACACCCCTCAAGGAGTAGAAGTAGTGGTAATCGTCGCAGCACACCTCAGGGTAAGCAACAAAATCCACCCGGCGCAGCAATCAATCAACCCAGAATTCGGACCCCCAGAGGGTGTGGTTCAGCCAATCACAGCGCACCCAGCCCGCATGACCACAGCGATATTCCGCACGTGACCGAGCCCGGGAACTTCAGCCAAACGGCATCATATCTCCAAATCGAAGCCCGGCCCGGCCGTCAAGGTACTACGATTCAGCGTCAATTCCTCTTTTACACCGGTCAAAATGCCTCAGGACATGCCCCCCGCAGGGGGCTACCACCAGGTGCAATACAAGGTGGGAAGGCCCTTCTCCAGCCCCAATCCAGCAGAACCAGCGCAATCCGAATGCGAATGAACCTATCCTACACCTCAGCACAGTGCAATCGAATCAATGACCACAATCAACCCACCACCTCCCCAGTCACTGCACACAGTACGCAGAATTTGAATCAAGCTAACACGAACAAAAAGCGCAACATCCCCGTCCGCGGCTTCAGACCCATCGTCTACGTCGCCGGCATGGTCGGCTGCGTAGCCTACGGTCTCTACAAGCAATACTACGCCGCGCGCGAGCAGTAGTACGTGCCACCTCGCCCCTTACAATCCCCAGCTCCAGCTCCAGCTCCAGTTCTAGCTCGAACAACCACAAAGTTAACCACAAATACCCCATTGCAGTGAAATCGGCCGCGAAAAGATGTGGGCTCGCCTGCACATCCTCCCCCTCCTCCAGGCGGAAGAAGATCGGGATCAGGTCCGTCGGTACTACGCCGACAAGGCCCGTGAGCAGTCGCTCCTGGGAGCGGAAATCAAGGTCTATAACTCTGATCGGTACGTTTTCCACCTTCCTGGCTGTGAATTGCTCCAGATTGGAGGACATGACATAACTAATTCGGATACTCTAGCTTCGTCCGCCCTACTTTCGCCTATACCCCTGCCAAGGTTACTGAATAAATCTTCTCCAATTGAATTGAAAGTTTGAAAGTTTTCCGTAAATCGATATAGCTTTTTGCTTTTCTGTGATCTTCGCGCTTAGTTTCTCTGCTCTTGTATTGTGCGTGTGTACTTTTATCTCGTTAAATGTTTGCCATTTTCTTCAAGCTTTTACCTCAAGAAGGAAGTTCTCATTCATTTCATCGAGTTCATTGGTGGTGGTATTCGAAATAATATGACCCGAGTCTCGGTCAATTATCGTATGGTGTGCAATCGCCTTCTGGCTGGGATGACCGGGGGGAACGCGTGAGTTGCGGCATCCTTCACCGGGATATGAGAATCAACTCAGCACCGAGCTGCCATGGGATTGTATATTGAGGCGATAGTCTATGGGCAGTAATACTACATGATTTCAGGGTCATTCGTCTGTGTAAGTCATGCCTCGATCTTTGATCAAATTTTCCCTTTAAATTTTTAGGGAACATCGATGCCCTGTCTATATTCTTGAGTGATAATTATGCAAATCAAGAGAGAGGTCGTCGTGACACGAACGGCTGTGGAGCACCACCATACTATACACAGGAGTAGGCCGTGAAGCGACCACCGCTCCGGAAATCTATAAAGTGCTGTTGCTAACCAAACAAGTCCGCTACTCCGGCCAAATCCGGTCCGTCGTTGATATCGACTTTCTGGTTTTGCTGGCCTTCCATTTCGCTCGTCATGTACCTTTCCTGCAGGGCACTCCGGGCTTTCCGGCGTTCCTCGCGCGACCCCAAGATCTTGCCTTGCTCGGCTATGCTCACACCTCTCAGGCTCTCCAAGAGATCCAAGATGAGGGCTCTTTGCTGTCTTGCAGCAGTTGATCTGACCAAAGCGGCCTCTGCATTAGCAACACGCTGCTCGGTCATACCAGGAAGGCTCATGATCACTGCGCGGGGGGTGGGACTGCTCGAGCCGTAGAGAACCCAGATGGATGCAATGAGTTGAGCAAGGTCTTTCTGCATGTCAACAAAATAGGGCTCATGCACGGACGTGATGCAGGCCTTCAGAACTTCAGAAGAGATAAACTCGCGGATAGTGATCGTGGTAGGCGTGTTGTTAGGAGGGGCAAAGTCTTGCAGGATGGAACGGATGACTCGGGTGATGATACTGCAGCAACGGGTATCCCGCATACGAAGAGCATGTGTGCAGAAAAGCATGACTGGCTCAAAGATTTCGGGCGAGGAGAGAATAAAGTGTCGGATCGAGTCGGAGAGTGCTGGTGCGGGCTGCAGTGCGCTCGGATCTGCTAGCTCCTCGTCAGGATCTAGGTTTCAAGATTAGCATGTTCCAGACTTCCTAGCCAACCCTCCATAACTTACCACCACGTTGGGGATCAAGCAGACTTGCTACCATGATCACCGCAGAGTATGTCAACTGCCGCAGGATACTTTCCGACTTCATCTCGTCAGTTAGATCCTCGGACTCGGCAAGTCCCTCTTTTCTCTGTTCAATCAGCTCCCATTCCGAAGTGACCTTCTTGTCGATGCTGGTGAAGAGAGCAGCCAGCATCGGAGGCAAGAAACTGCTTCGGAAGCGAACCGGACAGTCGTCGATCAAGCACCTTGAGATGTTTAGGAGAACAGAGAACTGATGCGAGGATAGGTGCACAGAGTCCTTGAAGAGAGCCTGTGAGAGCGGACCTGGAAGTTCCGTAAAACCATAGAAGACCTCCCGTAGCCGGCTCATGCTGAACAGCATCGAGTAGCACGCTTCACGCACAGCTCGAATCTTGCCTCTCACAGACGAGGCAAAGCCCTCAAGTGAGCCCCGTGAGGCAGTGATTTTAGCGTAAAATTCGTCACGGCTGCCGGTGGAAATCCCCGCTTGCCAGAATCTATCAGTCAAGATGCGCTCCACAACCACCCCCATGTCCGCGGGCAAGCCGTTCCAATTACCAGGGTTGTGGAATGCATGAGCATTACTGACTAAATGGAGCAGTGTCGGCAGTATGATGGGAATAAGGTCGTGCCAAACATTGTAAGCAAGCTCATATGCTGGTTCCGACCTTTTCAGCTTGTCTGTGGAAACGGCCAGCATTGTCTTGGTACCTCTCAGAGGTAGTAGCTGGAATTTCTTAGTCATCTCTTCCTGGATGAGTTTGCCCTCGTTATCCAGAGGGACAGATGACCAGTCTTCAAGCTTTTGAGCCTGTCGGGATTGCATATATGCCCCCACGTTCTGCATTCCGAGCATAGCACAGAAGCCCTCGAATGTTGAGCTCACAGTTCGGAATTCTTCTTCCTGCCATGCTTGTTTGATCGGCTCCACGAAAGACAGAAGACGAGATTGGCGAAGGTACGGCTCGACATTGTTCGCACGTTGCATTATAATGAGCAGTATGGAAGTAAGCTCCATATGAAGCTTATCATCCACGCGGTTAGCCATGGAAATCTCCTTGATCTTGGGCTCCAGTATGTCGTAGAATGTAGAGAAGTAATCCGCGTAGCGCATGGCCAACCGCCGGAGCTCATGGCTGGCAAGACCGTGGAGCTCCTTGACCGACTCCGAATATACTGGAAACTCGGACTGATCAGGTAAGCGGGTCATCAAGATGTACTCTAGTGCCTTAAGTGCAAAGCTCGGGGTCTTATCAAGCGCTCTAGCAGAAATATCGACGACGAGCTTGATGACTCTTTGTTTCAAAATCGGATCCTCAAAATTGCGCTGCATTAGTTTGAAAGCCCATGCCTCCAATATCTGCTCTAGTTCGCTGCGTTTCTGTTCATCCTGCTGCGGCATTTTTCCGTGAGCCGATACCCACTTGTTGTATCCCTTCAGCGTCGCTTCAACGACTGCAAACTGCGTGTCGGCTCGCATAAGGGGGACGGAGGATTTGGAAAATGATTTGATGGTAAAAGGCTCCACGCCGCTGTACAGGTTGTCCAGATTGGCGTCGACCCCTGCAAGAATATGAGGGATCGCCTCCTGAGGCCGTTTTTGGACGATGGTCTCGATGATGGAGGAACAGTATCGCCGATAATTTCCAACGAAGGCATGTCTCTCGGGGACTGTGTCAATATCCTCGTTGAGGAACAACACTGTAGAATTTTCGGAGTCTGTGGGGAGCGACTCCCAGCGAATGAGCCGCTCAGTACAAATGCTCAGCAGCGAAGGGATCAGACCGGTGACCAGGTCTGTGTTCCCAATCCTCTCGGAAGCTATCAATTTAGACCACACATGAAGAACAGGGATCGAGATAGTGAGACTTTGATTTTGAATGACAGTAATGGTAAGATGGAAGAAGAAAGGAAGGTCCATGCCCTGTGTGCTTTCCAGTGAGAAGGCCTTCTCTTCAAGGAACCCAGCGATGTATGATATCATCTCAGAGAGCTTTTTGCAAATAGTATACTTGGTGTCGTCCACATCGTCCGGCCCCACGACAGACCATTCGTACAGCTTCTGGAGCACACTGAGGGCCTGGGTCTCGTACATAAGGTGAACCAAGGGCTGGAATCCGTCAATATCGACATGAGACCTGCTGTACAACGCATGCAGAGCTTCAACAGCAGCCAGGAGCACCAGCTCATCATTGCAGGTGAAGGCACTGGCAATACAGGGGACGCAGTTGGAAGAGAGAACAGCTTTGGGAATGGCCCAAGTCAAAACAGATTTGAGAAGGGCCAAGGCTTTCAGCGCAGAATCCCGTGCCTGTTTTGAGTTTTGAATGTTTCCAATACATTCATGCAGAAATGCACAGATCCGGGACATCCACCCCTCCGGCCCGCAACGCAATTCAACATACTCCTTCTTGGGATGAATCTCCTCGAAGACTGTCAGCGGCGTACAGATTTCGACTAGGGCCCGGTTGAGATCTGTGCCACGCAAGGATGAAACCGTATCTTCGCGATAGAAGATGTCTTCCGACAGGGTCTCAAGAATTGCAAGGACCAACTCTTTATGCACGAGGCTTGCATTCCAGAATTGGAGTAGGGTCTCGTCCATCGTATTCCAGTCCAGACCCCAGCTCCTCTTCGCAACTTCGGCCCACAGTTGCGGGATCTTGTTGCGAATGTAAGCTGGATCTTCAGGTCGAATCGACTCCGCCAACTTCAGAACGAGGTCCCGGATAGCCAGGATCTGGTCCTGGGCCTCAAAAGAAGTGTGGCGCAACACATGATCCAATAAACCCAAACCGAAATAGCGGACCAGCGGGTTGGTCTGTTCGGGCGAAGCAAGTAAGAAACCATTATGAGCAGCCGACTTGCTCTCCTTCTGAGCTTCCACAAAGGTCAAAGCTTCTCTGCGGAGTTCATTGGTAGAGGATGGGTTGTGGATAAGCTCCAGGGCGCGAATGATGTCGGCCATACGACCCTCCGATAGATCTCCTTCGGCCGCCATGGGTGATTTGAAATGAGAGGTATAGCTCCCTCCCTGCTCCGAACGAATAGATGTGCAAAGGAAAAATAAAAAGTTATGGTTACCTTGATGAAGTGACAAGCAGTGATAGCTGTATTTTCATGGTCTTCAATCGCTTGCAGATGCCTCTCCAGGCTTGTGCTATCTTCTTCTTCTCTGGGTTCCTCAATCTTCCGTGGTGGAAGCGGGATGAGTTGGGCAACGTTCTTTTTTTTTTTGGGACCACAGGGGAAAGAACTAAGGGGAAGGTAATAATAGAAGAATCCGACCCGCCTTAACTTTCAGCCACGGTCCAAAAGGTGGGCAACACACGCAGAACACGCAAAGTACTCACGGCAACCGCCGTCCGGGGGGAATGGGGGGGAGGAAAGCAGTTGCGGCTCGGTGAATGGTTCCTGGTGAGGCTCCCGATCTTCTGCCTAAAACTGAAGTGGAGTGCTTGCTTATACTTGGTGTTGGGGTGTTTTTGCTTTGTTTTCTTTGCCTGCTTTCTTTGTGATGATTTGTAAGTTGGTTAAAGGGGTTTAAGGGGGAGTGAGAGAAGTAGATGCAAAGAATTAGAAAGAGGGACAATCTACCACACTGATGCTTGTTGAAGAAGTTCGGAGAAAGAGGAGAAGAAGGAAGTACGGAAGAGGGAAAGAGAAAGCAAGCAGCAGCAACAACGGCGAGAAATGATAGATAATCATCACTGAATCAGGCCCGCCTTCCCAGGAGAATTTTCCACGCGCTCCCGCTCCAATCACCACCCCCGCTACCCGGTCTTCACCGCTTCCTGGGGGTTTGAGGTTCTTATCGATAAGAGATCATTGAGTATTTATCCATGATTGTACGAGGATAAGTATTTCCCCTCACGGGTATTCAAATGATCTTAATATTCACTTACTTTATAATCAAGACATGAAACCATCATGAACACGCATCTCATCATTAGAGAAAAGAAAAAGAAATTGAAGTCACCCAGAACACGCTTGCATACAAAAGATAGGGTCCAAGAACCCGTGGCAGATGGGCATCATCTCATCACATCATACTGCACCCGCTACTCTGACATTGCTCCAGGTACGACAACTCATCACTCGACGAGGTGACAGACTCACCTGGCTTACGCTTGACCCCTTGGATTTTAATATCCTGATTCCCCACTGGATGCCACCAACGCAACCTTTGGACCTTGACCGAGTTGATCTCATTTGAGTCAAGGGTCCATTCTCCGCTACTGACAGAAACCACGGTGTGCCCTGCGGGGAAATGAAACTCAGGGATGTAGATCTCGGTCGCAGTCTCCTCACCCAGTGTTCTTTCGTTTCCGATCAACGACAACGTGAATGTGCAGTTTCGAAGGTCGAACATATATTTCGAAACCAACCCATTGGTATAGATTGGACTCGGTCGAACGAAGGCTTCCGCCGCACGGAACCCGAGCTTGTCCTCGTTGGACTGACTAAACTCCGAACTGATAGAGGGAGCCGACAGTGCACTCTTCAGATTGTCGGGGCCTATCGACTGATGTTGAAGATTGCCTTGACTTTCGGAATAGGCCGGTGAGTGAGGGTCGGTTTCCACCTGAGAGTCAGTCTCCAGGTCAGAGTATTTGCCACTTGGTAGCTCAAAATCATCGATCGAAAAGATCGATAGGTCCTCCCCATTCCAATTGTCGCCCCACTCATGATTGTTCTGCGTTACTTCTAGTCAGAAATAGATTCAGCTATCTTGGTGGCAGTATTGCTCGCTTACCGTGGTGGTATAAAGCCACAACGTGAAACCGTTCGCCGTGCTGCCCTCCAGCGCGAAGTGGTTCGCGTCCATAGCACTGACTTGGCTGCTGTAGTCACCAGTCTTGTACGCATGTTTGTCGTCCATGTCGTAAGGGATGCCAATTTCCGTGAAGATCATGGGATGGTTGCCCATGTATTTCAAACTCTCATCTCTCAAGAACTTCAGCTGATCACGCAAACAGTTGCGGATGGCCGTTTCTCCGATCTTGATCGCAAAGGCGGGTGTGAGATATTTGCCACGAAGGACCCCAATCACGTCCACATTATACAGTCGATTCCTATAGGGGTCAGCGGCGTTTAGAGACTGAGGCCAGATCACTTACCAGTGTTTCGTCAGCAACGTGAGACCATCGTAGTAGTGAGCCGCATGGATCATGTTGGGGTCATCGTCCACCGTCCCCTTCAAGTCAGGCGGGACCTCCATGACAGGAGGTTGGCAGAACAGGATTGCGCCGGGCCAAACGCTCCTGAGAGCGTCCCTATAAGCCCGATAGTGTTCCATAAAGTATGTATTGGTAAATACGTCGTAGTTCAAGGGTTCGCCCGTGCGGGGGTGTTTGGCGAAATAGTCCTTCTGCAGTAGTTGGTCGGATGACGGATCCCAGACGCCATGCTGAGCCCAAAGACATTCTCCTAGCTTCCAACCCGGGTCTCTTTTCCAGCCATACTTCTCATCATCGTAGTCTTCCGGCAGCCAAGCAGACTCACCCTCCGGGTCTACCAGTTCTCTGCCGGTCTGATGAGGGCCAAAGCCGCCAAAAGCCCAAGTTGTCTCCTCACAAGCCCGTCCCGACCCGGTGAGCATAGCCTGGAAAGCGGTAGGTGATGTGCCCAGTTGCAGTTGTTGATCGGGTGGGATCACGGAAATATCCTGGAACCCGATAAGACCTCGATGAGGTTCGTTCATGCTCTCCCACCCGATGACTACTTCGTTTTCGATATCCCCGGCCTCATGAATCTTCTGAGCAAAGTACCTGCATGCCGCGATGAAGTGACCCTGAAGATAATCCTGAATGTTCATACCATCTATGATTGCTTTGGGGGCGAAGTCTCGACCACCCCAGAACAATGTAAACATGGTTTGGCAGACCAGACGCGTATAGTTCGTGCTCCATATCATCTTCGGGAATTCAGCTGGGTCGTCATATGTGTTCTGCACCAGAGCTGCCTCTGTCTTCTTAAAAGATCGGGGATTGAACCCCGCCGCATAGAGAGTCCAGGCGGGCGCACCAGATCCTCCCGATAGTCTGGACCACTTCAAGCTATCAGCCACGACGACCCTGGTAGCCCGAAAGGGTCATAGAAACCTACCACATCCTGATGCGGGTCAAGGAAGATGAAGAAGTTGTATTGCTTCGCAACGCGGAGCACCTCGATGGTAAATGCAATCCATTCATCATCATACTTCCCGGGCCCTTCATGCTCAATCGCTTCCCATGTGTATATATATCTTATCGTGTTGTAGCCCCACTTGCGTAGTCTGGCGAAGTGGGTGTGTGCTTCGTCAATAGAAAAGGGCCGACCAACGAATGAGACATTATCGGCGTCGAAGAAGCTATCGGAGACGTAGGAAGGTGTGTCCGGATTCTTCGGGTATTTCGACTCTCCGGCGACGTTGATTCCTCTCAGGGTTATCTCCCGATTGTTCGCATCTTTCAGGGTTTGGCCATCGATTCGAAGCCGAAGAGGACCCATTTGCTCTCAGCTCCAAAACACAATTCCTGGCAAGGAAACGGAAGTAGATAGCTAGGTGATTGCGGACGTCCGCAAGGGCAGAACAAGGCGTAATAAGGGAGCGTCAAGATGGTGAAACTGGGAGAATGAGGGTTGCGAACCGAACCAAGCAGTACCCAAACAACTTGAATGACTAGGAGGCAAATATCAGTATCGACAGCAGACACAGCTGGACCAAGTGAGGTATCGATCACATCCGCGCTAACCTTGCAGGAACAGCTGGTTAATGGCTGGCGGCGGCGCCAGTTAAGAGCAAACGGCACTGGACTTGGCGTCTGAGGGGTCAAGTGAATAGAGAAGTCCCTCCTTATCCTGGTTCGTAGAATTCCGCACCACGCTGGATCTATTTGTTTTGCTCTAAATGAAACACGCAAACAGGCAGCGACAGCGACAACATCGAAACATCACTATGAAGTACGGAGGCAGCTGGCACTAGAGCGATAACGAAAGCCGGCCGGAAGCTCTGACGTACCTTTTCCCGCTTGGGTTTCCCCACACAAGCCCGCCCGGCCTTTTCTCAACCTGCTCCAATCTGCTGTTCACACCTCATCCTAGCAAATTGCCTGAGTCCGGCAAGGCCATGAAGCGATTGCCTCAGAATGGCAAGCAAATCGGCTCTTAAAGCAGTGCGCGCAGCGCTGGACTCGAAGGATTTCGAGCTTGCAGCCGAAAAAGCCCAAGAGATTGTGAAGAAAGACCCTCAAATCTACCATGCGTGCGAATTACCTCATCCCCTCACTCCGGCAGCTGCGCCTTCTAACCTCATGTGCTGGATAGAAACGTTTTCTTGGGCCTCGCGCTCGACAAACTCAATAAAAATGGTGAAGCAGAGGCAGCCTATCTTTCAGCCATCCGTGTGAAGGACAATGACAAGACAGCCTGGCAAGGTCTCATCAACCTGTACGAAAAACAAGGCGCGCATAAGCTTGATCAATATCGCGAGGCGGTGATAAAGCTTGGCTTGCTATTCGCTGAAGTGTACGTGTACAAATTTGCCCTTTGCCGGGCTTGTTTTTGGAGCTAGTTGCTGATTGAATTTAGTGACGACAAACATCGCTGTCAAGACCTTCTAGACAAGTATGTCGGTTTCGCGAAGAAGAACGGCTCCCGATCGCAATACAAGAAAGCTCTTGAACTACACCTCCCCTCATCCCCGCTCTACGATTACCTCCAAGGAAGAATCCCTCACCCTTCCCATACCTACCTCCGTTTGATCGAGATCACCGAAGCGGAAGAGAAGGAGTTCATAAACCGGGAAATAGGCGAGAGACGTACTCGTCTCGGCGCGAAAATCGACCAGGTTACATTAGAGGTCAAGAGGGAGGCGTTCAAGCGTAGCGAGCTCGAACAGCTCTATCGTGGGATTGTAGACTGGTCTCACGACGACCAGGTCCGACGCACCTACGAGGAGAAGTCTCTACAGCGCGCATATGACTTCCTTGCAGTTCTTCCAGCAAATGAAAAGGATGCCAAGCGAGTGGAGGTCGTACAGGCTGCTCGTGACATGGTTATCATCAAACATCCTTTCGAATTAGCCTGGAAGATCGTGCTCGAGTGGCATGACATTCAGGATTTCCGGGAATGGGATCGTAACTTTCTCGACGACTTCATTGAGTTCTTTCCCGAAGATGGGCTCTCTAAAGTTCTCAAGGGATTCCTTGCTAGCGATATCTCGCCATTTCCAAAGGAAACCAAGGAAGAAGAAGAAGAAGAGTCTAAGCAAGCCAAGGGTAGCAAAGATCCCAAAGCGGAAGAACACGAGTCCGACGACAACAATGGCGAGGCCAATGAACTGGCTGTACAAGATCATCTCCTTTTGATGGTCGAAGGTCTTGAGACATCATCCACATCCATCGTGGCCCATCGGATCGTGGGGGAGCTCTATCTCGCGCTTGAAGAGTACGAAAGCGCCGCAGATATCTGCCGCAAGGGTCTCCGAAATGTGCAGGATGTAATCAAACGGGCGGGACTTGATCTCGTAAACACCACCGATGCGATCAATATCATGCTTGCCAATTCCCTCATCTATTATCAGTCCCCGCGTCATCACCCGGAGGCGAAAGCCATCTTTGAAGGGATCTTGAAACGGAAACCGACCTCGACGAGCTGTCTGCTTGGCATCGGCCTCATTCTCGAGGTTGATGAGGATTACCCAGAGGCTGTGAACTTTCTGGAACGTGCACTGGCGCGGGATCCATCAAATATCAAGGTTCGCGGAGAGCTTTCCTGGTGCAGGGCGCTCAACGGTGACCTTGAATCTGGTCTCGAGGGTCTCCGGGAGGTGCTCTCAGATCTCCAGGAGGCGCAATCGGAAAACCGAGACTTTAAGGCCGAGATCTACTATCGGATAGGATACTGTCAGTGGGAGATCGATCCCTCGCCGGCGGCCCGCAAGGATCGCGACGGTGCTTATGCCAGTTTCCTTGCTTCGATCAAGACTAACATGAACTTCGCTCCTGCCTATACCAGCCTTGGATTGTACTTTGCAGATTACAAGAAAGACAGGACGCGAGCCAAGAGATGTTTCCACAAAGCCTTTGAACTGTCTCCGTCAGAGATCGAAGCCGCAGAGAGGCTGGCACGCACTTTTGCCAACCAGCGGGATTGGGATCTCGTCGAAGCCGTTGCTCAGCGCGTGGTGGATTCAGGCAAAGCCAAACCAGCTCCGGGCTCGAAGCGGAAAGGCTACAGTTGGCCCTACGCAGCTTTGGGCACTGTTCAGATCAACAAACAACAATATCCCAAGAGCATCGTGTCGTTCCAGGCAGCGTTGAGAATCTCGCCTAATGATTACCATTCGTGGGTCGGCTTGGGCGAGAGCTACCATCACTCTGGACGGTATATCGCTGCGACCAAAGCATTCGAGCACGCACAGGCTTTGGAGGAGACGCTCTCGAACTCTGACAAAGAGCAGATCTGGTTTGCGAGGTACATGCTTGCAAACGTCAAACGGGAGCTGGGTGAGTATGAGGACGCCATTGCTAGGTACGAGGATGTGTTGAAAGTCAGGCCAACCGAGATCGGAGTTTTGATTGCCTTGCTTCAGACGCTTACCGAAAGTTCCTGGAAGAGTCTGGAACTGGGACGGTACAATGACTGCATCGAACTTGCACGGCAAGGGGTTATGATAGCAAAGTCACTCGCTATGGAGAGAGTCGACATATTCAACCTCTGGAAGGGCATTGGAGACGCATGCAGCCTGTTCTCATACGTGAAATCAAAGGCAGACAGACTACCGATCGACGAGCTGCAGAATCTACTCACAGCCCAACTGGAGCCATCGGCCCTGGACATCATGACTGATGTTGACCAAGTGGGTGCGGAGTCCCTTGTGTCGCTAACAGCCGAGGATGAAAGCACTAGCCCGTCAAATAAATGCCTATATGCCGCAATCCTAGCCTACAAGCGTGCCATCCAGGTCTCACTCCGCGATACTCATGCTCAGGCCGTTGCTTGGTACAACCTAGGTTGGGCGGAATACAGAGCCTACAGGAGTTTGATGCTCAGCTCGACCTCCGAGAACAAGAAACAAACTCGCAAATTCGCCAAGGCGGCCATGCGTTGCTTCAAGCGTGCCATTGAACTGGAAGCCGGAAACTCCGAATTCTGGAATGCACTTGGTGTGGTGACGACAAACATGAGTCCCAAGGTTGCTCAGCATGCGTTTGTACGAAGTCTGCACCTGAACGACCGCAGTGCTCAGGTTTGGACGAACCTCGGAACGCTATATCTCCTTCATAATGATATTCAGCTAGCCAACGAGGCCTTCACCCGGGCGCAGTCTACCGATCCTGATTACGCTCCGGCCTGGGTTGGCCAGGGCTTGCTTGCTCTTTTGTTCGGCGATAGGCGGGAAGCAAGAGGTTTATTCGAGCACGCCTTCGACATTTCCAGCTCGTCATCCCGTTTGCCCAAGAAGCATTATACAATGAGCTTGTTCGACCATCTACTGTCCGATTCTTCTATTTCCAACGAGATCTCGCAACTTATCCAGCCATTCTTCGCCCTCCACCAGCTCTCCAGCCAAGAGCCTTCCGATCTGCCTTTCGTCCACCTTTCTTCCCTTCTGGCGGAGCGAATTGGCGAGTTTTCTGATGCTGAAGTGAGCTTGCGGACTGTGTGTGCAGGCATGGAGGCCGAATATGAAGTTTCGGAGTCAGCGGCATCCCTCTCTCGATATGCGCAGGCCAACGCAGATATCGCTCGTGTCCTTCTCGCTCGTCACGAGTACGAAGAAGCTGCCGAGAAGGCAGAAACAGCACTGATGCTTTCTGGTGAAGAAGATGCAGAGAAGTTTGATCCCGAGACAAACAAGAGACTGCGCCTGTCCGCTCATTTGACGGCTGGATTGGCACACTACTACTTGAAGTCCATGGATAATGCTATCGATATGTTCCGCGATGCGCTTGGAGAGGCGGACAACGCTCCCGAGGTGGTTTGTCTCCTGGCGCAAGTACTGTGGGCCAAGGGCGGAGAAGAGGAACGAGGCGTCGCTCGCCAGCAGCTGTTTGCCTGTGTTGAAGAGTACCCTGACCACATCGGCGCCGTCACCCTTCTCGGAGCTATTGCGCTACTGGACGATGATAAGGATGCTGTCGAAGCTGTCGAATCCGATCTCCGCAATATGATCACTCGTGATGATATCGAGATCCACGAGCGGGGTAGGCTGATCAAGCTCCTCACTGCGGTGTCTACTCTGGGATACGCGGAAAACGCAGATATTCCGGAAGATATCAGGCGGATTGGAGAGGCCACAGCGGCAGTGATGAGATCGCCCGCCGAACCACAAGGCTGGGTAGAGTTGTCATCGGCTACACATGAGCTGTACCCGGCTGAGATGGCCGTCAAGAGGGCCTTGCGGAGCATCCCTCCGCACAGCAACCTGGAAGCTGTGGATCTCGCTGCTGCATACGCACAGACCGGAAAAGCGAGCGACGCATTGCGGGCCATTATGGTCGCACCGTGGCAACAAGGCGGATGGGAAGAGCTGGATCATGCAGTGTCGACGATCGAGTAGTAGCTGCTGCGTTTACTCCACATACAAGCTGTGATTAGATGAAGACCTGGCTCAAGCGTATTAGATAGAAACGAATGATGAGACAAAAAAAGACACGACAGAGAGTAAAGAAGAAGCATACCACAATGCAACAATTCCGCCCGAAACAGCGGCATTTCACCCTGTCTGACCCTCACCTTGCATCTCCGTAATCCTCGCCAACAACCTAGCTTTCCGTCCCTCTTTCCACGCCAGGTCCATCCCCTCAATCTTCCCGCCGAGCAGCTTCACACAGTCCGGCGAGAGGAGGATCATCCCTCTAGCCACGGTGGCATTACGTATGACCATCTTCGCCCCAATCGCCAGCTTAGCCACAGATATCCCCTGCACGCGCTTTAACTCAATCCCCACGGCCCTTGTCCCAGCCGCATCCTGAACAATCAACCGATGCGGCCCATGGCTCTCATTCTCGGATGCAGGGCCAGCAGCATCATTCGCCGGGCCACCACCGCCCCCTCCGTCCTCATTATCGTCGTCGCCAACATTCACCGCGCGCACAATCTCCCGGCCGCGGACCGCTTCCCCGCGCTCCACGCGCTCCATCGCCTCAACCTGGCCCCAGAGACTCGTACCGATGTCCTCGATATCCAGCACCTGGACAGGGATGGGGCCCTGCAGCCGTCTTTCCTGCACGGTGGGGTCGAAGATATCGGTTGGGAGCAGCGTCGAGGGGTTCGTGGTCTGGAGCGAGTCGCGGAAGTCGGAAGCCAGGACGCGGAAGAGCGCGGTTTGGATCAAGGCTGAGACGGGGACGTTGCGCTGCAGCGCTGTCGAGGAGGAGGACATGAAGCTGTGCAGCCAGGTTGGGGAGACCGGGAGGGCCTTGGTGGTTTGGAGCTGCGCGGCGATTTGGGTTTGCGCGTCGGCCATTTTCACGGTGTGACAAGGAATGGTTGTATAAGGTAGTGGGGAGGCGGTTTAGGTAGAGGCGAGGAGCATGGCTGGCTTGGAATTGTGTGTTTGTGCTGAGTGAGGGGAAGAAACAGGGGAGGGGAAGTAAATTTGGAGAAAATTGGTTGGTTTGCGGTGATGCGGAGGGGGAATCCGGGGAGATTGACCGCCTGGACGTACGGCGGCGGGCGGGACTCTCAACCTTAACTTCTCCTTATCGACAATTCAATAAGAACAACAACTACTACTACTATAGCCTTGGAACTCTCTTGCCTTTCCCTTGTCGATTCCGTATCTCCTTTTTTTTCTGATAGCGGGTTTGTGAGCTTCAAGTATTCTCATTGCTCGCATAGCGTCACGACTGTACAGTTCTACTACCATACGCCCACCCACCATGTCGACCCTCTCCTCCCCCCGGCCATCAATTGCATCCTCGCGGGCACACTCTCCCACCCCGACCTCCTCCCACCGTCCCTCCCTAGATACACTGAACACCAACCTCGGCAACGGGGGCCTCAGCGCCTCATCAACCCCATCCACAGCCCGAGCCGTCTCGCCCTCACTCCACCTGCGCCGCAACCGCGCCGCCCTCCGCGACTATTACAATCTCCGGCCCTCCGATGCCGCCGGCGCCGCCGGCGCGGGGCGCCGTTCACGCAGTATTCCACGTCAGAGCGAAGGCGGCGATGCGCCTGCGGCGCACAACCCCTCCGTCGTGGCGACGGGCACGGAGCTCGACAGCCCGGACTTCGACCCCCAGCGCTACGTCAACCAACTCCTGGCGACCTCGTCGCTGTCCACCGTCCTCAAAGCCGAGAACACTCTCGTGGGCGACATCCGCACTCTTGATAGTGAGCGGAAGGCCCTCGTGTACGATAACTACTCCAAGTTGATCCGGGCGGTGGAGACCATCGGCAAGATGCGGCGCAGCATGGATGAGCGCGGGGCGCCGTTGACCATGACCAAGACTCTGGGGCCGGCGATTGCGTTCGTGGCGGAGACGGCCGGCGGGTTGATTCAGGAGGGCGAGGAGCAGCAGCGTCGGATCCGGGAGGCCAAGGCGGAGGATGGCACTGAGCGGAGGAAGGTTGAGAGGATGACGGTGCAGTGGGTGTTGGGGGCGCCGGAGAGGTTGGAGAAGCTGGTTGCTGAGGGGAAGACGGCGGAGGCGGAGAAGGATTGGGAGGAAGTGCGGGCGTTGTTGGCCAAGTGGGAGGGTGTCAAAGGTGTGGCTCAGGTGAGGGAGGCTTGCGAAAAGGTGATGGAGAGGGAAGAGTCGTCTTGAGATGGACGTCAGTACGAGATGCGCTAGAAGCTTGATTGCCCGCCCCTGTGGCTCAACTTTGAGGAGCCAAAGGCGCGGGCAGCGTGTCGGCCCTCAGGCTTGCGAGGAGACGAATGACAAGCTGGCCTACATTGTTCGGAACTGAGCCGGATTGTTTATCGGCTTCGTGAATCGGTCACCGGATTATACTACGGAATTAGGACATATCCTTACAACCTGCTGTCAGCCCCCGGCCCAAGCTATGGTCCAATGCTTCCATAACTATCGTGAAACAACCCACTCATGTACACGTTCTGTACCAACAACTCAAACATACAGCATCGCAACACAGACTCACATCTCATCTCGCGTCTCGCAACACATCCCGACTCGAAAATCGACTTGCTTTCAATCCCCAGGGATTGTTCGCCATAATCTCTAGATGGGTGAACGCATCGATTTTGTAATATATGGGGCTTTCTTCCCTTTTCACCAGCCCCAACTCCACCATCTGTCTGAGCACGCGCGCCACATCCTCCCGATCTTCATGATCGTGGGTGTAAATGGCGACCAGCCGCGCCCTTCCCTGTCCATCATCCGTGGCGACCTTGGCCCCAAAGCCCAACTCTCCACGAGCAGTTGCCTCAGCCACCACAGCCCAGACCTCATCCACCCGGTCTGCCGTGATGAACAGCATCCACTTCCCCGACACGACACCCGTCAGCCTCGCCAGGGCAAAAAGCTCTCTCTCCAGTTCCTGCCGTCGAAGGAGCAACGCCCGCGTTGCCGCTTGCTTCGAACCCGTCGCGGCCCTGTCTCGCTGCAACTGCAACGCCGCTTTGTCGTTCTCGAATCTGTGTAACGCTCTTGTCCCGTCAGTCACCAGCCTGGCAGTATCAGCCTGGCGGAGCCTTTGTCCGGGTGCAGAGACGTAAATCCACGGTCCCACCGCATCAGCGGGGGTATTTGAAGGTGTCAACCCAGTCGCCGTTTGGGAGGATGTGCGTTTCGCATTGCACTCCGAGGAGATATCCATCATGTTTGTGTCTTCGTCCTCCGCTTTCACCGAGTCGTTGGTATGCGAAGGAATTCTGCCCCGTGGTGGATAGCTGTAACACCTTGGAGCGGCGTCGCCCGCCTCCTCTTCTTGCTTAATCATAGTAGACATCTCAACTTCTTGCACACTTGTATCCGTCATTTTTTTCTTCTCTTCTTCTTCTTCTCTTTTCTTTACATTCAACGCCTTCCGGCGAATAGTGTTCAGCGAATACGGATAGATAAGTTCCCAGTACTCATAAGGGTTGTATCGCGCGACGAGATCTTCAAGCCGGCCGACTTCGTCGTCGCTGTCATCACCTATTCTAAATATCAGTATCAAGACTTCTTCCCTCCGAAACCGACTCCCAAAGAAACCGACCAACCCGACGGGCAAAAGAATAGGCACCAACATACCGTAAAAACTCGACTCATCCGACAACTCAGCAACCGCCACGTCCCCATCCATAGCGGGCGGACCTCTCGTATCTAAACCGTCCTTCTTTGTTGATGGTTCACAGCGACGCAAAACACGACTGTGGCTGTGTTTCTGTGGGGGGGGTCCGCTGTAATCCAGACAAGGAAATGGGTTGAAGAATGAAAATAGAGAAGAGAAGACAGACAGACTTACAAGAAGATACTAAGTAAAAAGTGGGACTTGGCTAGTCACAAACATGACGCAATCTTAATTTGCGGCTCATATTCCTCTACGTACTGTCCAATTCTATGGGATGTTTAGTCGTTTGCCGGTTGGATGTTTGGTGATATGATACTTAGACTCGTCGACTTTCAGGGGTTCCCCACTTCACGCTACGCTTGCGATACATACATGCATCTGCGCACGCCGGCGTTTGCGCTCTGGTGCTTCTTCGTCGCACATGGTGTATATGGTATTCTTAGATTTAGGGATTGGAACGAGTACAGGTAGTCAGGGTGGTACAATTTGCTGTTTGTTTGTTTGTTTGTTTGTTTATGTGCGTATTCCTGCTTTTGCTCTCTTGCACTCTTGGTGACTGTCTGTTGGGATTTGGGTTAGCGTCTTTGTTGCTTGTACTGTATTTCTCTAGGTAAACGGAAATCTAGGTTCGTTGTAGTTAGAAGTATTGGATCACTGGAGACCTGGCAAGGCGATGGTAAGAGTCATGTGGAAAAAATAATTTATATTCTGGTTAGAAGTATAACATTGGATGGCTGGATAGGAGCATGGTTCAATATGGGACAGATAATAACAGCTATGCATATTGTACTAGAGAGATAATGTTATATGCGGACAACCGAACAATAGCACACTGTCAGTGAGCAAAGTAACTAGGAAAGACATTTTGTCGTGTATATATAATGGTAGGCGATGTCTCTGGGCTTGAATGCAGACTTCTGCTTCCTAACTTGCAAATAACTGCGTATTATATCTACTAATCGATAGTAAGAACATCATTGGTGTAAATCAACCAGATCCAAGATTCCAGCCGGAGATATAACCTAATTCAACTTGGATTAGGAATGAAGAGCTCGGACGATCCGCTGTAGTCCCTCGTCGAGCTGCTCGCGGTGCTGAGAAAACGTGATGCGGAACCATCCAGGCTGCTCACCACCGAAATCATCGCCGTTCCCAAGATGCAGCTTATATGAGTTCAACTTCTGCATCAGTTCGCCAGAGGCCTCTCTTGTCGTAACGTCGCTGGTTTCGGGTGAATAACCAGGTTGAATCCTCAGATACGGCGTCAACAGATCACACCAGACGTCAAAGGCGGCATTCGACCCTCGAGCGAAAGGGATCCCATGGGCGTCGAGGAATGTAACCACATAAGCATAAGATTCAGCCAATCTTTGGCCATTCTCTCTGGTATAGCCGTCCATAAACTCTTCATCCTCGAGGACCATCGCTACGAGAGAGTCAGTCAACCCCGAAATCGAGCTATATTGGCCGACGTCCCGTACCGATTCAAGCAAGTCTGGATTGCCCGGGGAAATGACCACCTCAAGCCGCAATCCGTTCGACCCGAACTCTTTGCTGACGCACCACAATACTTGAACCAGACTCGGGTCGATAATGCCGTCAGTTTCGATGGAGAGAACCGAGGTGGTCTCATCCTGGCCGTGTCGCCAAACAGACAAGGCGTAAATCTCGTCACTGATCAAATGAACTCCATATCCCTGACAGTGCTTTATAGCTCGATCAGATAGGACCGAGAGTAGCACCGGCCCAGCGGGTTGTGTGAGTTGCAGAGCATGATAGCGCGGATAGGGCAGCCCTGCCCCCCGGAGCGTACGATAGTGTCTTCGTATCGGGACACTGCGGGGACGCTGAGAGGGTCACCGCCTTCGAAGCTGACGGGGACGAGCTTGGCCGCTGGCCGGAGGGAAACGTCTTTGCCGAATGCTCGGTAGTATGGGCGACCAGGATGCCCTCGCCCGGGTCACAGATCGCCCACGAGCAATGCTCGATTGCTGAGGTCACTCCATTGGTGGTGATAAGTTGCGAGGGCTGGAGATGCTTTGCAGGGTGGAAATAGTGGTTGAAGAACCGTGCGATTGCAGTCTTCAATCGGACAGGTCCGGTGATGGTATCGCCCAACGAGAGGCACCGCACTGTAGCATCGGCATTGGTGTTCATGCGCTGTAGGAGCTGCTCCTGCATCAGAGAGTTGTCGGCAAGTCCGAGCGAGACATAACCGTGTGGGCTCGTCTTAGGATGCCAGAGATCATTGAAGGTGTCCCACAGAGCATTGCTGGTGTTTTTTCAGCGACGTTGTTGCCCTCTGCGATAGACGAGACGCAGGGTGGTGTGACATGTCGTAGTCTAATGGGGGCGATGTGTGATGCACGATGCTGGTCTAATGGAGTATAGAATGCATTGAACGAAGCAGCGAATAGTGCAGATGGACGAACCCATCTCTTATATGCCGGTTGAATCCATCCTGGAGGTCGCTATAGAATATACTTCGTATCTGGATCAAACCTAAAGCCCGCGGGCTCGGGGGTCACTCCCCTTTGCGGCTAGCTGATTACCTAGACGAGTATAGTATCGTACAGTAGTAATGAAGTGGTAAAATCAAGTAAAGTGGATTGCATCGCCGTGCGCCTTCCAACAACATGCTCATCTCTACATCCCTCCAGCACATTGAACAGAGATGTCGCCCAAAAATTCTTGTTTTCCTTTTGCTGGTTCATGAGGCTCGAATGAACCTCACCTTGTCTAAATATAGATCTGCAGTGCAGGTACCACCTCAGGCTCAATCTACTGCTAACTGAATTAGGAAGTTGTAACAGGTGGGTCTACATGGCCGGACCAAGAAGCTATACCATATGGGTCCCAGGATTGCTTAAAATGACAGGCGGCCGAAGCATCGGACTTACTAGCCCGTTTGGGCCTAACCAAGGGTTCAGGTAAAGTTTCCGTTTTCATCAATACAGTAAAATACCCAGCGCGGTAGGGCTGGCTAGAGAACAGCTCCAGGGAAGAATATCTGGCTTCTACGCCTTCGATCAGTCCTCAATTGTGCCTATATCTATCATTAAACACACAGTCAAGACTATCGACTCTATCTACCACGGACTCAGCCCCAGAAATGGTCAATGGCCTCACAACTTTCGGTTCAGCCGGAGACATCTCATCTACTATGCCACAAAATACCTCGACCTAGGGTTAGAGTCAACCGCTGAGGGCATGATGCACCGTCTGTCCATGGAGGAAGATGCACCGTCCAGGCCGGTCTCCAAGAGCCGGGCATTCTTCATCATCACCTGCATTACCTGCATCACGGGCAATGGCAAACTTCTATCCGGGCTCCTCACCGTGGTCATCCCTGTGATCGCGCGCGACCTACTCATCCCCGCAGACAAGCAGCTCTGGCCAACGTCAGCCCTCTCCCTCGCATGCGGCTGCACTCTAATCCCCTTCGGAGCGGCGGTAGAAATCCTCGGCTACCGGCGCGCGAGTCTCTTTGGCGGATTCCTCCAAGCAGCAAGCGTGCTGGGCACCGGGCTCGGGGCTCGCCACGAGCTCGACGAGCTCATCGCCCTCTGCGCCATGGCCGGCTTAGCCGCATCGTTCTGCCTCCCCAGCACCGTCGGCGTCGCTGGTCTAGTCTTCCCCGCCAACAGCGACCTGCGCCAGCGCAGCATCGCGTTCGCCTCCATGGGCGGCGGCCAGTGCATCGGCTTGGGGCTGGGGCTGGTGCTAGGGGGCGTGTTCACCGGCGCCACCAGCTGGCGCTGGGCCTTCTACATGACAGCGATCCTCAACGGGGCGGTGATCGCGCTGGGCCTATGGGCACTCCCACGCGACATCGATACGCCCCTCAGCCGGTCGTCCTTGGCGCGCCTCGCCCGCACCATCGACTGGGTCGGCGCGCTCCTCATCAGCGCCTCCCTCTCGCTCCTCTCCTTCATCCTAGCCGTCGCCTCCGGGCCCTCTGCGACCATCACCCTCCTAGCCCTGGGTGCCGCCCTCCTCCCCGCCTTCGCCCTCTGGGTGCACCGACAAACCCGCCTCAACCGTCCCGCCCTGATCCCGAACCACATGTGGCGCAATCCAGCGTTCACAAGCATCTGCCTAACGGTATTCCTAGTCTGAGGCTCCCTGAACGCCAGCGAGCAGCCCGCCGCGCTACTTCCACGACGTTCGCGGCCTGTCGACCCTAACCTCCGCATTCTACTTTCTGCCCGCCCCCGTCGCCGGTCTGCTCATGAGCATCGCCATCGGTGTCTTCCTCCCCTACCTCCGGCCCGCCTGGCTCGTCCCAGCCGCGTGCTCCATCAGCGGCCTCGCCCCGCTGCTCCTGGCCTGCCTCTGCCGCGTCAACGGCCCCGGGTACTGGCACGGCGTCTTCCAGGCTATGGCTCTGAACCCCGTCGGCGCAGACCTCATCTACACTATCGCTAACCTCGTCACCACCGCCGCGTTCCCGGCGAATATGGAGGCTTTGGCCGGGGGTGTCTTTAATACTCTTGCGCAGATCGGGAAGAGTGTCTGGATTGCATCGTCGGCTGTGCTGGCGCAGCGGATTACGCAGGGTGCGGGTGGTGGGAGAGTGCAGACACCCATTATCAGGCGCTGTTGATGGGGTATCGCGCGGGTTGGTGGTATAATTGTGCCCTGGGCTTTGCTTCTATTGCTGTGAACTTCGTTGGGTTGAGGAAGATTGGGAGGCTTGAGGTTAAGAGGGATTGATTGATTGGAAAATTGGAATAAACAGTAAATGAAAGGAGAAGAGGGAGGTTGTTGCAGAAGGACTTCTTGATCAAGGATATTTGCATAGATCTCTGATTTTCTCGGTGGTTGGATAACGTATCATTTTTAGACATATAAATGTTCCGCACGCGTAGCCAGCAGCGGGTCGCGGGTAAGTGCAGGATACATTGAAGAAGCATGGATTTCGATCCACTCTTAGAGCTTCATCAACCTTATGCAGATTGAACATATTACCTCATTCTTCAAAATTCCAGCCCTCGATTGTCTTCTCAAGCGAAACCGTCTACTTACCCAATTGGCTGGGAGAGCTCACCACCTTGGCTTTGCGGTCCGGCACCGTCTACACCTATAAATGCCACCTTGGCTTTGCTTCTTCTTTAGTAATGGACCAAATTCTGTCTACTGATGACAGGGCTACTGTAGAAGCCAGACAGAGTAACGCAGCTTCCTACACCGGAATCTTCACCCTGAAGACCAACGCCTGATTATCAAGGTTATAGCCCGAGTCGTCCGCGTACCTGAAGCGCCCGAAATTCATGCGGCCTGTTATCACTAATTAGCAATTTGATTATTTGACCCCAATAAAATGAGAAAAATTTACTTACCATCCTGCGTGATAAAATCATTATCACTCAAGCTAAACAGAAAGTACTCCTTCTCCCGGACCGTAGCCGCGGCCGCCTGCTGTCCGGGCTCTACAGGCACGAGCGCCAGACTCTCCCACTTCTCATTCAGCAGCCGATCATCCTGATCCCCACCGTTATGCAACCCGAACTTAGCCAGCTGCTCATTGACATTGAAATCCAAGAAGGAACAGTATTCGGCAGGCGTGATCCCGGCATCCAACACGCCCTTAGCCGAGGCAATGGACCCATTAACCGCATCCGCGCCGCGCCAGCGCTTAAGGTCAGTGGTATTACTCGTGATGCGCACGATATCCGCATGCCGATACACAGACAACGACTTGTCCTGGCCGTGCCCGAACCCAGAGTCACGCGCCAGAACCAAGAATGTCTTGTCTTGCGTCTTCCCCGACTGCGGGAGAAGGTGGATCTCGGACTGCGCGGCCACGACGTCGTGGCCCTTGCTGGGATTGTAGTACGTGGGTAACATGACGACATACTCGTGCTCGTAGACCGGCGTTCCGGACGGGGAGGACAGGTCGTACTGCAGGAGCCGCGCGGGACGGCGGGTTTTCTTGCTCCCGCCGCCCTCTTGGTCCAGCGCGGACTGGATCATCGTGTAGAGTGTCTTCCCGTCTGGGGAGAGCGTCAATGCCTCGAAGCCTTGGTTGTTGGCGCGGCCGGTGACCGGGTCTTTCGGGATCGCGGTCAGCTTGGGATCGTAGATCGGGGCGCTGTCGGCGCTGAAGCTGATGGTTTGGTTGCGGTGCGGGATATAGGCGGGTGGTGGTGCGATGGCGGTCTTCATTCGGCCGGTGCGGCGGTCGAATCGGTAGACGTAGGGCCCGTATTCGTCCGAAATCCAGAAGCTGTCTGCCGTGAGGGCTAGGCCTTCGGCATCTAGGGAGACGCGGTGCCCTCCGCCGCTGGTGCTGTTGCTGTCGAAGCCATTGCCTCTGTAGATCGCTGCGGGCAGAGGCGGAAAGCCTGGGAATTTGAGGGTGTCGTTGAAATCGGCCGAGGCGTCGAGGCCGGTGAGAGGGTTACCGGTGGGATCCGTTAGCAGAAGGGTGTCAAGGTATGTCAGCTGTAGATTTGGCGGGGATGGATGCTGAGCGGAGATATTGTCGGGGGCCAAGTGAAGGGTGACGTTGAGTGTGTGAACACGGGCTTGGTAGTTGAGCGTGCCATTCGTATTCCTGTCCCCGTAGTCAGCGATTGAAGTTTAGAAGAAGAACCCATGGCACAAGAAAACATACCAACCGCGGTCGGGAATACAGTATAGGATCCCCGTGTAGGTCTCAGGCCCAATGCGCCGCCAGGAATCTAAGTCAAAGGCGGCCGAGCTGCCAAAGCCCCCTAATGTGTCGCCGTATTTGTCGGTGGCGTTGGAAGGAATGAAGCCATATCCAGCCAGACCGGTGTAGGCGTAAGTATGGCTGCCGCAGCTGGTCTGATTCACAATATCACCGCCGGCTGCAGCTGCAGTCCAGGGCAGAGTCGTGAGAGTATACAACCAAGAATGTACGCGTCGCATGGAGGGTGATTTGCAATTGGTGGAGTAATACTAGAAGATCACATCCATTGCAGAGTCAGAGTAAGAGGACGAGAGAGGGAAGTACCGAGACTAAATAAAGCTGAGTGGGTGAAGTGTAGTGTAGTCAGTTAATTAGTTAACTAGTGGACTGACTGGAGATGAGTAAGGATCATCCAAGAGAAGGAAGAGAACGTGGGCACTTTCAGCCCTGCAATTCGTTGGAGAGCGGAAACCACTAAGATAGAGCATAGCCAAGAAACATCATAATTATCATTCATAGGTTATTTTCATTCGACAGCAGCAGCTGCGATCTCCACAGACTTTCATCGTCGTCATCATCTATCGTTCCGCGTCATCGCCGCTCATATCATACACAATACGCTTTTGCCTTTTCATTGCAGTCACACACATCCTCTACTGACTCTCCCAGGTTGTCGGAACGGCAGGATAGTTTTTCGCATCGAGTCCCAGATCCTCATAGATCGTGTCGTCGCCTAGTGATTGTCAGCTTCGCGCATTGAGGACATCCTTAAGACACTCACCTCGCAGGGCTTCTACCCGTTCCTCGTTTTCCTGTTCAAGATGTTCGAGTTCTTCTCCAGGCTGCACTTCATCAGCCTTCTTGCCATCTTCCTCCGCAGTTGCAGCCTTTCCAAGCTCGTCCACAGCCTCCCCAACCACGAGGAACTGCGCATTGGGATAATCGATGAACTCGGGTTCCACAGGCTTCCAGCGGTAATCGCCAAACTTGGCAAGCACACTGTCGTAATCAGTCAGCGAATACAGGTCATCTGCGTGGAGAAGCTTTCCAGAGAACCCTTACCTGTCGGGATATTCAGGACCTTTGGGAAGTTGAGCGTACGAAGGCCCAGGGTGTTTGGGGTTCTTCGACTGCACAACCCAGCTGCCGCGGGCCCGGAGACCAAAGTCTTCCTGAAGAGTTCCGATATGATCAGGAATGGTAAGAACATAAGCTAAGTGGGAAGTTCGCTTCGTAGACGTGATTGCGTAAACACCTTCCGCGTACGGTCGGGCCTCAGGAACGGTGCGTTCGCCCTGAGTGGCAGTATCGTAATGATCTCCAGCGATGAAGCTTTCCTGCAGTGCTTTCATGGATTGCCCAGATTTTTCGACGAATCCCATTACCCGCTCCCGCCCAGATGTTGGGAACCTTTTCTTGGGAAGAGCCATCAGGCGACACTTGGCGCCAGTGTCAACTGAGCCCTGATTCGCATCCAACGTAGCTCCCAAGGGGGTCGGTCGCAACACTATGAAAGTACGCGCAACATCATCGACGCTCTGCGGGTCAGTCACGTTGACTCGGGATCGGTAAAAGAAGTAGATGATGCCTTTTTCCAGGATGTTTGACGGAACCTTCTCCTCTCTCGCTTGTGACGTTTCCACACCAGCTTCAGTGCCCTTGGCTGAAGCCGTGTCGGCATCCTTGTTTTCTGTCTGAACATCTTCCGGCTTCTTCTCGTCATCCAGCTCCATTTTCTCTTCAGGCTTGCCTTCAGTCTGATCTTCTTCCGCTTTCTCTGCCGCTCCATTTTCGGATTTGGTATCTGGCTTTGCCTCTGACTGCTCGTCCCGCTTGCCCTCTGCCTTGTCTTCTACCTTGTCCTCTGCCTTATCCTCTGCCTTGCTTTCTGGCTCCTCCTGAGGCTTCTCCACCGGCTCTTCCTCAGGCTTCTCGCTAGGCTGCTCGGGCTTCGCTTCAGGTTTGTCGAGCTGCTCGGGATGATCTGTATGGAGTCAGCCAGCAGTCAGACTGATTGGCCAGGAAGACTCTACCTTTAGGTGCTTGCGCATCAGTTCCAATTGCGGGCCGTTGGGCATCGTCCAGCTTCTTATCGGCTTCTTTTTTGCCACGCTTAGAGTCTACGCCTTTGTCGGCACTTCCCTTGCGCTTAGTGCCAGCAGCGCTTCGGCTTTTCACGTCAGGAGCCGCCGCAATGGCTTCTTTCGCCTTCTGAGCGGCTTGGCGCGTGGAGGTTCGGGTTGCCATTGTAACTATGCGCGATGGGGCCTCGCAAGCGATTCCGTAGTCCAATTGAGACGCAAAAACGAGGACGAAATTCGATATATCGAAACGTATGATAAGAATCAGAAGGAGACGGTAGGAAGTAAGCTGTTGGCCAGAAGCCACGACGAGAGCAGTGTTAAGTGACGACGATGAGAATCTCGTGACGTCATCGAAGGGTCCAGCCCTTTCCGGCATAGCGCGGCCGCACTACGTCACGTGTCACATGCTGTGATGCGCGAGAGCCAGCAAGCAATAAGCGAGCTGTATAGCTTAGATAGACGATCCCTGGGAGCTATTGTTACGCGCTCTCAGTCGATGTCCATCTGATCTGTGGGGGTGGGCTCATGAGGACGGGGACTACTGAAGTCGGTGGAAGGCGATCGAGAGTCGCAATCGCCTGATGATCCGGTCTCACTGCCGTCCCCATGCCAGAATACATCAGTGAATAAGCCCAACTGATTCCTTGAATGCTGGCTTCGCCTACGTTGTCGTTTAGCACGTCCACTGGGTACTGTTTCTGAAGTGACTGTTGCGTTGTTGGTGGAAAGCGGCCGAATCGGACGGTTCGATGCGATTGGCGCACTCGACGGCTTCCGCTTCATTCCCCGTTTGGCGGCGAAACTTGACCGGCGGCTGGTAGGGTCGGAATCACAGTAAAGGCCCTCAATTGAATCCGCCAGATCACCTTGCTCATTGTCCAAACCTCCGACAAGAAGTAAAGCCGATCTGGGTCGTTCACTTGAATTTTCCCAGCCGTCGGTAGGCTCATCATCGGGTTCTTCAATCGCGTATGGCAGTATCACTTTCGTCTGATCATCGACGTGGCTGGTGGTTGAAGGCGTGTCGTGCGCAACAGATTGCTGTGAGGCCGAGACGGCTGCGGGAATGTCTCGATCAAAGCGTACCTGCTCATCCCAGGGCGGAGAAAAAGGAGGGATCGAGTCGTTTCCAATGTTGATCATGGTGTTTCAACCCGAGTCGCGAAGCAGTTGTCTAGACGGAACGGTGTTGTCGTCATGGAGTGTATATGCTTGCTCTGGAAATCGTTTTTAAGGCCGGTATGCACATAAAAGACCTTTGAGGTGCTGACTATGTAGACGAATTCGTCGTAATAGTGTATTTTCACTCCGTAGATCTGGAGGTGGAGGAAGAAGATTTCCAAGAAGAAAAAGGCAGACAGAGCTCAATAGACCCAGTCGGAGAGAGGCGTAATGGGGCTGGGGAAGATGTCGCATTGGGTTGCAGTATTGTTTCCCCAAGCCATGGGATCCCACCGCTCCGACGACGACGAGAGATCAATCAACCCATGATACTTGTTTCTGAGATCTCACCAATACAACTTCCATAAAAGAAAAGATTGTATTAGGCCTGAGAAATGGAAGTGTTGTTAGCTTGTTTGAAGCCATTTCCCCTGGCAGCTGCTCACCGCCGGGGCCCATCATTGGCCCGCGGGACTCGCTTATTGGCTGCCGACACAATAAGTCCACGTTTACCGCCATCGAGACGGACCAGACTGGAGTCGAGACACTCCCGCTTCATTGCTATTGCTGCTGTTGCTTGCTTCCCCACGACTACACCTCCTTCCCCCTCCTCCCCCTCCTCCGAATCAGTGGATGTGGTGGTCATTCCTCTGATCCTTTCTTCAATACTCAAGTGCGGAGCTTGCTTCTATATGGTGCGGCTCCGGCCAACCCTCCTTCAAGATGCAGTCCTCCCCAAACATGCTCACCAAGGTCCGCCGTCCCCTCCATACTCAATGCACCCACCCCCCTTAACCGGGACGGAGTGGCCCTTCAAGATCCATAACTGACAACACATCCAACCTTTAGTTTGAGTCCAAATCTTCCCGCGCTAAAGGAATTGCCTTTCACCCCAAGCGGTTCGTCGTTATCTGTCGTCTGTACAACGCGTCGCAAACGCTGACCCCCGGAATAGGCCATGGATCTTAGTCTCCCTTCACTCCTCCACCATCCAGCTATGGGACTACCGCATGGGAACACTGATCGATCGCTTTGAAGAGCACGATGGTCCCGTTCGTGGCATTGACTTTCATCCTACACAGCCTATGTTTGTTTCCGGAGGTGATGACTACAAGATCAAGGTCTGGAACTACCAGACCCGCCGGTGCATGTTCACCCTCAATGGCCACTTGGATTACGTGCGGACGGTCTTCTTCCACCATGAATTGCCCTGGATTCTCTCTGCCTCCGACGATCAGACGATCAGAATCTGGAACTGGCAGAACCGGTCCCTGAGTGAGTTGGATTCTGGCCACCTGTCCGGAGGGAAGCTGACAATAGATCTGTAGTCTGCACCATGACCGGCCACAACCACTACGTTATGTGCGCACAATTCCACCCCACCGAGGACCTGATCGCATCTGCCTCGTTGGATCAGTCGGTCCGCATCTGGGATATCTCCGGCTTGCGCAAGAAGCACTCCGCCCCGACGACAATCTCCTTCGAAGATCAGATGGCCCGAGCCAACCCCAGTCAGGCAGATATGTTTGGCAACACAGACGCAGTGGTGAAATTTGTCCTCGAGGGTCACGATCGCGGAGTCAATTGGGTCTCCTTCCACCCAACCCTTCCCTTGATCGTCTCCGCCGGCGATGATCGTCTCATCAAGCTGTGGAGGATGAGTGGTATGTTGACATAACTGCCCGGGAACGTAATGGTGGTAGTGGCTGACATGAGTCTATAGACACGAAAGCTTGGGAGGTCGACACCTGCCGCGGGCATTTCCAGAACGCTTCTGCCTGTTTGTTCCACCCTCACCAGGACCTGATCCTTTCCGTCGGCGAAGACAAGACTATCAGATGTTGGGATTTGAACAAGAGGACGTCCGTGCAATCGTTCAAGCGTGACTTGGACCGCTTCTGGGTCATTGCTGCCCACCCCGAGATTAACCTGTTTGCTGCCGGCCATGATACCGGTGTCATGGTCTTCAAGCTGGAGAGAGAGCGACCTGCATCAGCGGTGTACCAGAACCAACTCTTCTACATCACCAAGGAGAAGCATGTGAAGTCTTATGACTTCGGTAAGAATGCTGAATCGCCTCCCATGCTCTCATTGCGCAAACTTGGATCACCCTGGGTGCCCCCTCGTACTCTCTCATACAATCCTGCCGAACGTGCCATCCTGGTTACGTCCCCGACCGATGGTGGCGTATACGAACTGATCCACCTCCCGCGGGATGCGACGGGAGCTGTGGAGCCTACCGATGTGAAGCGTGGTCAGGGGTCGTCCGCGGTCTTCGTTGCGCGCAATCGCTTCGCCGTCTTCAGCCAAGGCAACCAGCAGGTCGACATCAAAGACCTCAGCAATGCGACAACCAAGTCGATCAAGCCTCCGGCTGGTACCACGGATATCTACTTCGGTGGAACGGGCTGTCTCCTCTTCATTACTCCTACCTCGGTCGTTCTCTTCGACATTCAACAGAAGAAGCAATTGGCGGAGCTCGCTGTTAGCGGCGTCAAGTACGTTGTCTGGTCCAACGATGGTCTCTACGCCGCTTTGCTCAGCAAACACAACGTTACCATTGTGACCAAGACTCTGGAGCAGGTGAGCAGTTTGCATGAGACGATTCGTATCAAGAGTGCAGCCTGGGATGACGCTGGCGTCCTTCTCTACTCTACCCTGAACCACGTCAAATATTCTCTTCTGAATGGGTATGTTTGTTGTACCTCGCGCCCTGAACATTCTAACATCATCTTTCTGACATGGACAGTGATAACGGTATCATCCGCACTCTCGACCAAACCGTCTACCTCGTCAAGGTCAAGGGCAGGAGCGTCTACTGCCTAGATCGTAGTGCTAAGCCCCGTGTTCTGGATATCGACCCTACTGAATACCGATTCAAGCTTGCGCTTGTGAAGAGGAATTATGATGAGATGCTGCAGATCATCAAGACTTCCAGCTTGGTGGGCCAGAGCATCATCTCGTACCTGCAGAAGAAGGGCTATCCCGAGATTGCGCTGCAGTTCGTGCAGGACCCCCAGACCCGCTTCGAGCTTGCTCTCGAGTGCGGCAACCTTGAGGTGGCTATTGAGATGGCTCGGGAGCTGGATCGGCCAAACTTGTGGAACAGACTTGGGGCGGAAGCCCTCGCTCATGGTAACCACCAGACCGTCGAGATGGCTTACCAGAAGCAGAGAAACTTCGATAAGCTGTCCTTCTTGTACCTGTCGACCGGTGATCAGGAGAAGTTGTCTCGCATGGCTAAGATCGCTGAGCACCGAGGTGACTTCACGTCGCGCTTCCAGAACGCGATCTACCGTGGTGATGTGGAAGACAGAATCCAGATGTTCAAGGAAGTCGACCTTTGTAAGTCACCTGTTCATGCCGCCAATAAGTCGTTATGTCTAACCTGGTGCAGATCCCCTCGCCTACCTCACTGCCAAGTCCCACGGGCTGACCGACGAGGCCGAATCGATCCTCGAAGCCTGCGGCCTCACGGAGGACCAGATCACTCTTCCCACGATTGACGAACCCCTGCGGGTGCCCCAGCCTATTGTCCCTACCTTCAAGGCCAACTGGCCCGTCAAGGCCGCTGCCCATTCTTCTTTCGAAAAGGCTCTGCTCGGAGAGGTTGGTGCGGGCGATGATGAGCCGGCTGCGATTGAGTTCGAGCCCGAGGAAGAGGACGAGGCTGTTGCCGGACGCGATACTTTCGAGGATGAGGAGGAGGATGTTGCGGGATGGGACATGGGAGACGAGATCAACGTTGAAGAGGATGCAGAGTTCGTTAATGTCGAGAGTGCGGAGGCTGGCGCCGGTAGCACGGAAGCCGACCTTTGGGCTCGCAACTCGCCTCTGGCAGCAGATCACGTTGCCGCCGGCTCCTTCGAGACGGCCATGCAGCTTCTGAACCGGCAAGTTGGTGCCGTCAATTTCGCCCCTCTCAAGCCGCGATTCTTGGAGATCTACAAGGGCTCTAAGACTTACCTCCCGGCAAGTGCTAGTCTCCCCCCATTGGTGAACTATGTGCGCCGCACCGTTGAAGAGACGGACAGCCGCAAGGTCTTGCCTGTCATCCCCAGAGACCTGGAAACGATCGCCAATGTTGACCTCCAAGAGGGTTATGCCGCTATGAGAGCGAACAAGCTGGAGGAAGGTGTTCAGATCTTTAAGGGTATCCTGCACTCAATCCTGCTTAACACTGTCTCATCCGAGGCCGAAGTCGAGCAAGCGAAGAAAATCATCGCCACCGCGCGGGAGTACATCCTCGCCATGTCGATTGAGTTGGAACGTCGTTCTCTGTCCACCGATACGCCAGAGGGTCTCAAGAGAAGTCTTGAGCTCTCGGCTTACTTCACTATTCCCAAGTTGGAAGTGGCCCACCGCCAGCTAGCGCTGATGGCAGCCATGAAGTTCGCCTTTGCCAACAAGAACTACTCTTCCGCCCTCAGCTTCGCCAACCGCATGCTGGCCAACGGTGGCTCGCCCAAGCTTCTGGAGCAGGTAAGACGCTTTCTAACCTTTTAAACAAGGACCATAAAGACTAACCCACCATGATAGGCTCGTAAGATCAAGCTGCAGAGCGAGCGCAGTCCGCAAGACAAGGTCGACATCGAGTTCGACCAGTTCGCCGAGTTCGATATCTGCGCTGCATCGTACACTCCCATCTACGGCGGCTCGCCGAGTGTGTCGGACCCCTTCACGGGTGCCAAGTACCACGAACAGTACAAGGGCACGGTGTGTCGGGTTTCGGAGGTGACGGAGATCGGAGCCCCCGCCAGCGGACTCCGGTTGTTTGTTCCCGGCCAGTATTGAGGATGATGATGACGAGCTCTTCTTTTTTTTTATACTGTAATTCCCCGTCTCTTGATGTGCAGATTTGATAGAAAAACATTTTTTCTTCTTACTGGTACGGCCGGAGGTAAAGACCAACCCTTTGGTGAATTGGTTGGTGCTTGCCACACTCGATGTATGGATGGAACCCTGTTCTGTTTCTCATAAGTTTGTCCAGCGACGTTAGGTTTTATCGCCATACTTTTCTTTTCTGAGTTATATGTTCCATATTTTCCAACTATGGTAAAAAGAGATGAACAAGCAGAAGGAACGAGGAGAGATGGTATCTATATAAATCCTCCTGGCAATAACTTCATCAAAAAAAAAGAAAAAAAAAAGAGTAGAGACTTCGGCGAATGGAAAAGCCATGCTATGCACGATCAGCCCACAAGAGAGTATACAAGGACAGTCCAGTCCAACCACCATAACCACACACCTCACATAATGTACTGTACATACAAACCAAGTCAACTTCCAAGGAATCGAGATCCAAAAGCTCAATCACAACGTCCATCCTTCCAACCCGTCCGCCACCGCTCCTCCCAAAGCCGACAATCGAACTCCTTCTTCCCCAGCTTCCGGTTCACCTCGTTATGGGCCTGACACATCCAGTCCCCGAACTCCTGGCGCGTGGCCAGCCGCGGCTCATTCTGGGGCGTGCCCATCCACGCCCGGAAGTCGCCCGCGCACACCCAGCACGGGTACAGCCGCGAGAAGAGGCCCAGAAACGTGCGCATCTCCGTCTGCTGTGCCGCTGTCGCTTGCGCCGGGTACGCTGCCGTCAGCGAGTGCAGTAATGTCCATGTTGAGCGGCCGAGTTCTTCCACGTCTGGTGGGCATTCGGGTTTTTGTGCGGGAGTGTTCGTGGGGGCTTGTTTCATGGTGGTGTTCGGCGCTTGGGTTTGACTTTGGGCTTTGGCTTTTTGGGTTATGGCGCGCCAGGAGGCGGCGGAGGTGCAGAGGCGGCATCTTTTTTTTTTTTGGTTTCGGGTGTTAGTTTTGGGTTTTGGGGGGTATATATGTAGGGGACTATGCTGCTGCTGCTGCTGCTTGGTGTTTGGGAATTAGGATAAGATTGGGGGCGAACGTACGGTTTCCCTTCTCTGTCGAGAATCACGCCGTTTGGCAGCTTGGTGTATCCTGGTGGGATGTGTTCGCCGGTTGTGCTCTTTTCATTTACTGGCACTTTGGGCGATTGCGTGGAGCTGGATGCTGTTGCTGGTGCTGCTGGGGTTTGAAACTGGTGCGCGAAGAGCTTCTTTTGCGCTGTGTCTGTTGCGTCTGGGTGGCTGTCCGTCATGATTATGGTTGTAACAGGTGATTGAGTGGTGAGGAAGGAGTGGATTGTAAGATTATTGTACAAGATGCGGAAGAACGCCGAGAGATTAACAGAAAGAATGAATCTATACAGGTGAAAAAGAATGTATAGTTGAGTCCCAGGTGGGATAATAATCGCTGATTGGTAATGAAACACATCGATCTCCGAGTTTATCGACAGTTCAACCCCCGATAAGCGCTTTGTCAGCGGGTGGTCGCGGTGCACCTGCAACCAACCACGAAACTCTCCGACCGAAGCCAACCGAGCCCCGACCCGGCAGCTTGCCTAGTTACTATTCCAATTGCTCTGTACTACTATTCCCAGGGCAGGGGTTGAAGCAAGCTCAAGATTAGCAAAGGCTTGGTGGCTGTGCACAAGCATCGGCTAACAAATCACAAGCGTGATACAATTCATCGATATCATCATCCATCGCAAGCTTGCTTTCCCGTTATCATCAGTCGCGCCCCGTTTGGCGCGGCGTTATTCGAACCCCCCACGCGACCTCCCACCGGACCGTTGCCTAATCGTATCGGACATTTGTCTCGGAGCGATCACGTCAACAAGCCTTGCACAATGGCGCCGAAATATGCGCTCTCGGAGTCCGAGTCTGAGTCCGAATCGACGTCTGCCCGTGCGGCCGTCCCGTCGGACGCGCTGGAACAAGCTTTACGCGACACCGTCGCCAAGATCTACAAATCGGGCAAATTGGAGGAATTGACCGTCAAACGTGTCCGTCTCGCTGCTGAGAACGCGCTAAAGCTAGAGGAGGGATTTTTCAAGTCCCAGGGAGATTGGAAAGCTAGAAGTGAGGAGGTCATTCGCGATCAAGTGGTTTGTCTCTTCCCGTCGTGTCCCATGGATTATGACGTCTTCATGCCTTGTTTCTACAACTGCGCTCTAACATTTTATCATTCGATATAGGAAATTGAAGAGAGAGCCGCCGAACGGTCAGCCCCAGAGAAGGTTGAAAGTGAATCGGAAAGTGAATTGTCCTCGGAAGACGCGAAGCCCGCGAAAAGAACAAAATCGAATAATACCGCTGCATCGCGTAAACGCCAGAAGACCAGTCCGTCGGACGCTGAGGAAGACGAAAGTTCGAACGCATTGGAGAAAGATGATGGGGACGAAGTAAAGCCTTCCGCCAAGAGGCAAACAAAGGCCACCGCCAAAAAGCAGACCAAGTCCAGTGAAGAGCCCTCTCTCAGCGATTCTCCTGACACTACCAAGGGGAAAGAAGCCAAGTCGGAAGATAAAGTCGATTCTGAGAGTGAAATGTCGGTGGTCCTTGATGAAGAGCCGAAACCCGTGCGCAAGCGACAGAAGAGCGCCGAGACGTCCTCACGGAAAGGGAAAAAGGCGACTGCGGCCAAGGGCAAAGATGCGGATCAGGATCCCAACCAAGCTGAGATTAAGCGACTGCAGGGCTGGCTGATCAAGTGCGGGATTCGCAAGATGTGGGCGAGGGAGCTGGCTCCTTTTGACACCCCCAAGGCCAAAATCAAACACCTCAAGGACATGTTGAAGGATGCCGGCATGGAAGGGCGCTACTCCGTGGAAAAAGCCAACTGCATCCGCGAGGAGCGTGAGCTCAAAGCGGACCTTGAGCTGGTGCAGGAAGGCGCCAAGCGATGGGGCAAGGATGGTGGCAGTGACGACAGTGAGGACAGCCGGCCTAAACGGAGGTTGAATCGCGGGCGTCGAGGCCTAGCCTTCTTGGAAGATGAGGGTGGTGACGAGACGGACTGATGGTCATGGATTGATGTCGCTGATTTGTGTAAACTCTCCCCAGAGCAGGCTCCGGGTGATCCAGTTGTTCAGAAGTATGAGATATATGAGATACCACTAGCATTTCCTCATTTGCCCGATTTTGTCCCGCCCATGCGTTGAGCCACCAAGCTGAAGACAGCGACCGAGGAGATAAAGAGGACTAGATTGTAGAACTGTGTAGAGATGTTATGAGTTTGGATTCCTCCATGGGCTCCAATGACGGAGGCAGCATACCGCAGTCCTGGAGTGCTCGTTCTCTTCGGCCTCGGTGCGGGCCTCGACGAACAAGCGTCGGAGATTGGGGAGGTTTGCCTGGTGGAAAGAGGTAAGTCATGCTGTCATGATGGTTACATATTGGTTGCGGAGGTGATAATAGCCTACCATTAGTCTATGCTTTGAGAGAGCTAGCGAAAGGAAAGTGAGGGAAAAGATAGCGCAGTCCAGAAGCACTTTACAGTTATTGAATAGGAAGAAAGGAAGGTTGACAGTCCAGACCGCTGGGGAGAGACTTAGCAGGCTTAGTAGTCTTAGTCGTTGGGCGCCGCATTGTCCACGGTGCGGATTGGCTGCAGTTGATGATGATGGGGACACTCCGTCCCTCCACTCTCTCTCTCTCTCCCTCTCCCTCCTGATCATCAACTACTGCTTCTTCTCCCTTCGTCTTCTCCCTTCACCCCATTCTCTTCTTTTCTTTTGCATTGCTTCTATTGGCTTATTTCTTCTAGTTTCCTTTCGGACTTTACTATCGGGAAAAGAGCCCCTCGCTGATCGGCTCAATCCCTCCGTCTGCGGCTCACCCTGAAGCTGTCGCCATTCCCCGCAGTCCCCTGCATTCACTCCTCCGACTTCAGTTTCCCCCAGCGACGGCGCGATCCGGTCGTCGCTAGAGCTTTCTTGGCACAATGGCGATGAGTAGGATTCGGGGGGCCTTTGCGGTCCCCAGAAAGGGAGAGACTTTTGAGTTGCGATCTGGTCTTGTGTATGAGATCTATCTGTCCTGTCTAAGCTGCTGAACGATCACTAACACTCACCATCCGTTAGGTCCCAATATGCATATGAACGGTATGTCCTGCACAAACCTGCTCATCGGAGAATAGCAACATATCCTGGTTTGGCGCAAGGAATCTAATACACCATTAGCAAGGAATCGATCCAGAAGACTATCATGGCCATGACGCTGGGCAAGGATGTCTCCTCGCTATTCCCGGACGTTCTCAAGAACATTGCGACTAGCGATCTCGAACAGAAGAAGCTGGTCTATCTTTACCTCATGTGAGTGCCCCTGCTTTGCCTGGCTAAACGAGCTTCACGCTGATTGCTTCCCCGCCTCACAGGAACTACGCCAAGTCCCACCCCGACCTCTGTATTCTCGCCGTCAACACCTTTGTTCAAGATTCCGAAGATCCTAATCCTCTGATCAGAGCGCTGGCCATCCGCACAATGGGATGCATCCGGGTGGACAAGATGGTGGATTACATGGAGGAGCCGCTGCGGAAGACTCTCCGGGACGAGTCGCCGTATGTGCGCAAGACGGCGGCTATCTGTGTCGCAAAGCTTTTCGATTTGAACCCTGCCATGTGTCTGGAGAATGGATTCTTGGAGATGCTACAGGACATGATTGGTGACCCTAACCCCATGGTCGTCGCCAATTCGGTAACTGCGCTGTCGGAAATCTACCATGCTGCTCCCGAAACACAAGCCTTGAAAGTTACCACCAATACACTGCGGAAGCTTCTCATGGCGCTAAATGAGTGTACGGAGTGGGGTCGTGTTACCATCCTTACGACCCTTGCGGAATACAAAACGACCGAAGTGACCGAGTCGGAGCACATCTGTGAACGTGTTGCGCCCCAATTCCAGCATGCCAACCCCAGTGTCGTATTGGCCGCCGTCAAGGTCGTTTTCCTTCACATGAAGAACGTCAAGCCTGAGCTGGCTAGTAACTACTTGAAGAAAATGGCTCCCCCTCTAGGTAAGAATGTGCCTGCATTGCGTGGTATGCTCTCAACTTAGCTGACAATCATAAGTGACTCTTGTGTCCTCTGCGCCTGAGGTGCAGTATGTGGCCTTGAGAAACATTGATCTTCTATTACAAAAACAGCCTGAAATTCTGAACAAAGAGCTGCGCGTCTTCTTCTGCAAATACAACGATCCCCCATACGTCAAATTCCAGAAACTAGAGATCATGGTGCGAATAGCCAATGACCGGAACGTCGACCAGCTTTTGGCCGAGCTGAAGGAGTACGCACTGGAGGTGGATATGGACTTCGTGCGTCGTGCTGTCCGGGCAATCGGTCAGGTTGCGATCAAGATCGAGAGCGCTAGCGAGAAGTGTGTTAACACGTTGCTGGATCTCATCAATACCAAGGTGAACTATGTGGTGCAAGAAGCTATTGTGGTCATCAAGGACATTTTCCGGAAATACCCTGGCTATGAGGGTATCATTCCTACCTTGTGCAAGTGCATCGATGAGCTGGACGAACCAAACGCCCGTGCGGCTCTCATCTGGATCGTGGGTCAGTACGCGGAGAAGATCAGTAATGCGGGCGACATTCTGGCTGGCTTTGTGGAAGGATTCAATGAAGAATTCTCTCAGGTATGGCTCTTTCTGTTTACCGGCGATACAATGTTTACTGATCACCACACCACAACCTCTGTAGACCCAGCTACAAATTTTGACGGCTGTTGTTAAGCTTTTCTTGAAGCGGCCTGAAAAGGCCCAAGGGCTCGTCCAGAAAGTGCTGCAGGCAGCCACCGCAGAGAACGATAACCCAGACGTGCGCGATCGAGCCTATGTCTACTGGCGCTTGCTATCCAATACCAGTGATCCCAATGCTACCAAGGATATCGTTCTGTCCGAGAAGCCGCCCATCGTGACCACTATCCATTCCCTCCCCCCTGCTCTTCTGGAGCAGCTGCTCACTGAGCTGTCGACTCTCGCCTCGGTCTACCACAAGCCCCCAGAGCAATTTGTCGGCCAAGGAAGGTTCGGCGCCGATGCCGTCCAGCGAGCTGCCATTGAGTATGTTTGAACCCAGTTCCTTCAATTTTTAAACTCTGCGACTAACTATCTTCCTAGGGAACAAATTCAAAATGCACGCGAAAACCCACTGGCCGCCGCTGCAGCTGCAGCTGCAGTCACTGGCAGCGCGCCTCCCCCCCAAAGCCAGAACAATGTCGAAAATCTGTTGGATATCGATTTCGACGGGACAGCTCCAGCCTCTGCTCAGAAAGAGCCCAGTGGTGGTATGTCCGGCCTCGAAGGTCTGGCTGGGACACCGGTGCGAGTGGAATCGCCCGCTGCAGGTGCTCCTGCTGGAAGCAACAACTTGGACGACCTCTTGGGGGTCTTCGGCGATGGGGGAGGCGCAACGGCCCCGTCCAGCAGCAGCGGTGGTGCGGGGGCAGACTTGATGAACGGTTTTGCTGGCCTGGATTTGTCGGGCAATGGCACGACATCACCGCCTCCGGGAGGCAGTCAGCCAAAGAAGACCAACGAGGATATTATGTCATTATTCTAGGAAAGGAGAGAAGGCTATGGCTGCATGATGGCGAACGACGTTGTAGGACTGGGAGCGAAAGAAACCAAGGAGGCGAGCGCTTAACAAAAGCACACATAATTTAGTCCATGCATTTTCAAATAGATTATTCTGCCTCGTTATACCGGCGTGATCAAGCTGGATTTGATTCTTATTCTTATCTTCACATTTCGTGGTTGTTGTCTCTTTCTGTGTTGATTTATGTCCCCAATTGTCTGTATATCCCCCTACTTGAACCTTGGGGCACGGTTGCGTCTTTGTAAATTAACTGACCTTTCTCTCTTCGTTCCTCTGGTCTCTTGACTGGGTAATGTACTATACCATTCTGCTGCTTCGTCACACAAGGATGTCACATGTTGCAAGGAATCTGGCAATTAAGCAATGCTCGGGGGGAAACAACCCGTGAGCCTAGCAACACCACGACCACAGTCCGAATTACAAAGGGATGAGAGCTCACTCATGAAAAGTTTGTTCGTAACCGGAGAGCCGGAGTAATTTGAAATTCCCGAAGGCACCGATGGCTGGAATTGGAATGGGATTAATTGCAGACCAGCTTGCCACTAGTTCGTTCAGCTATTGTGCTGACTGCGTGAGTCACAGCACAAATTGCATAAAGTCCCGATGTCTACACAACCCCTCCCCTTTTTTTCTCTTTTTCACTTGATGACTTTTGATTTTTGTTTTTAATTCATCTTAATATTCATGTTCTAATTGACTCCGTGCTAACAAAATGGATCATCTCAAAAGAACATTCGCTCAATGCCAACAAGAGGGCCGCCCAGCCCTAGTGACATATGTCACTGCTGGCTTTCCGACAGCGCAAGAAACCCCGGACATCATGCTGGCCATGCAAGCCGGAGGTGCCGGTACTTCACCCTCCCAACACAAGCCAATCGATGCGGATGGACTGACAATGCTGTCTTAGATGTCATTGAGCTAGGCCTTCCCTTCACAGACCCCATCGCCGATGGCCCTACCATCCAAAAATCCAATCTGAAAGCACTCAAGAACGGGGTCACGATTACCTCCATGCTACAGATGGTGAAGGATGCACGCCAACAGGGACTACGCATTCCTGTCCTCTTCATGGGATACTATAACCCGGTTCTGCGCTTCGGTGAAACCGCCCTACTCGCTGAATGCAGAGCAGCCGGTGTGAATGGGTTCATCATTGTCGACTTGCCGCCGGAGGAGGCTGTACGATTCCGCGATCAATGTCGGCATGCTGGGTATGTTTGTCTTCTGTTATGTCCGCCGTCAGGATTGGGGTCAGGTTGGCTAATGCTTGCTGCGCGGATGACAGCCTCTCATATGTTCCTCTGATTGCTCCGTCCACTACTGAAGACCGCATGAAGACGCTGTGTGGGATTGCTGACACCTGGATCTATCTGGTTTCCCGGATGGGTGTCACTGGAGCCACAGGTACTCTGAATAATCAGCTTCCCGACTTGATGAAGCGCGTCAAGGATCTCTCTGGTGGAGTCCCGGTGGCTGTCGGCTTTGGCATCAGCACTCGAGAACATTTTCTTGGTGTTACCTCGATTGCGGACGGCGCTGTGATCGGGAGCGAAATCATTAATCAGCTGGCTAATGCCCCTGCTGGACAGGGGGCCCGCACGATTGAAGAGTTTTGCTCTCAGATCACGGGACGGAAAGTCTCGCGCACGGCAGTTGAGCCATCCTCTATCTCGTCGGAGGAAGTCACGTCTGCTACGAAGGAGAAGCCTGCGCAGTCCTCGACCGTGACCACGAATGGTTCAGCATCTCAACGTGGCCGCTTCGGTGATTTTGGCGGACAGTATGTTCCTGAGGCGCTGACCACTTGCCTCAACGAATTGGAGGCGGGGTTCCAGGCTGCGCTGGACGACCCGGCCTTTTGGGAAGAGTATCGCTCCTATTATCCGTACATGGGTCGGCCGTCGACACTCCACCGAGCTACGCGGTTGACTGAGTCGGCGGGCGGCGCGAACATTTGGCTCAAACGTGAGGACCTGAATCATACGGGTTCTCACAAGATCAACAATGCCCTGGGTCAGATCCTGATCGCCCGCCGGCTGGGTAAGACCGAGATTATCGCGGAGACCGGGGCAGGCCAACACGGCGTAGCCACTGCAACAGTCTGTGCGAAGTTCGGGATGAAGTGCACCGTCTATATGGGCGCCGAGGATGTCCGACGTCAAGCATTGAACGTCTTCCGGATGCGCCTTCTCGGGGCCACCGTCGTACCCGTAGAGGCAGGCTCGCGCACACTCCGGGATGCGGTCAACGAGGCCTTCCGGGCATGGATCACTCGGCTGGACTCGACGCATTATATCATTGGGTCGGCCATCGGGCCGCATCCCTTCCCAACCATCGTGCGCACGTTCCAATCCGTGATCGGCACCGAGACCAAGGCGCAGCTGCAACAGCAGATCGGGAAGTTGCCTGACGCCGTGGTGGCCTGTGTGGGCGGTGGATCAAATGCCGTGGGCATGTTCCACCCCTTCGTCGAGGATCCGTCGGTGCAACTGGTGGGCGTAGAAGCGGGCGGTGATGGCCAGACGAAGCACTCGGCTACGCTCGGCGGCGGCAGCGTCGGGGTCCTGCACGGTGTACGGACATATGTGCTTCAGGACCGCCATGGTCAGATCAGTGACACCCATTCTGTCTCCGCGGGCCTGGATTACCCGGGCGTCGGGCCGGAGCTGGCCTCTTGGAAGGATAGCAATCGAGCGACCTTCATTGCGGCCACCGATGCGCAGGCGCTCGAGGGGTTCCAGCTGCTCAGTCAACTGGAGGGCATCATCCCGGCGCTGGAGTCGTCGCATGCGGTCTGGGGGGTGATGCAAGTGGCTCGCGAGCTGGGCCCAGGGAAGGATGTCGTGCTTTGCTTGAGTGGTCGTGGTGATAAGGATGTGCAGACGGTGATGGACGAGCTGCCGCAGTATGGTGGACAGAACTGATGGGTATACTGGTCTATGCTTGTGAGTAACAGATAGAAGTTAAATGGCATTAAACAAGATTTAATCCTACTACCATTCTCTTTCCCTTGCTGTAGTCAATGAGTATCTGATCGGGTGTGCCGACCAGTTAACTGGTTGGCGATAAGAGCATTTTCCTATCTGCTTTCCCGCGTATCTACCACTTTTTCTCTACTTCCCTACTTTTCGTTCTCTCGGTCTGCCGCAGTGGATCCGGCGATTCTGCTTGACTAATGATTATGGAGCACCTTACCTTCAATTCACGATTTGGAGAAACCGCAAGTTGGAGTCCTCAGACGCCATTGAGTGATTCCCTTGCGCCAAAAACCGTGTCGAATCCCGCGATGGAAACAAACATCGGACGATTTCTTTCATTCAATCCCCAAATCCCCATGAAGCTATTCGTAAAGATAACCATGCCATGAAGGTCTTTCAGGGAAACTCTCCTTCGAATTGACAGCGCATTTCTAAGCATCTAGAATCGCAAAGGGAAAAGACTCCGCTGGGAAAGATGATTGCCCCATACGGGCATGATGGCCCATCAGGACCCATAACTTTGGCTCCGTCTTCTCTCCATGCTTCTGCCTTCTTCTTGGCTTTTCCGTCCCTGTGGATCACCCGGATTTGAATCGGCTTCAAGAGAAAAAGGCGCCCAACTCGGAAATTTGTCTCGAAAAGTGGATCAGGAGGGATGGGACCCGCGAGAGGGCCGTTGTCGGCTTGTATGGATATAAGTTGGAGTTGACATCCCAGGAATTTTTGGGGTCCTGTAGTCTACAACTCGCTACGGAGGGACAGGCTCTTTCATTGCCAAGAATATCAAGCATCATGACTGACTACAAGTTCGAAGGATGGATGGGCCTCGACAGAGACTCGGTCGATGGCAAGATGGTTTGGCAGGAGTTTGAGCCCAAGCCTTGGGAAGAGACCGACGTTGACATTAAGGTCTCGCACTGCGGTATCTGTGGTTCGGATTTGCACACTCTGCACAGTGGCTGGGTAAGTTTGCTTTCTTGCTTCTTTTTGTTTTCGGGTCTAGCTTTGTAGTTGGCTGGCTGGCTGGCTGGCTGGCTGTCATCGAGTCGGTGTCCATATACTGATCCACTCCCAACAGAAACCAACCCTCTACCCCTGCTGCGTCGGGCACGAGATAGTCGGTACCGTCGTCCGCGTCGGCTCCCAGGTCCGCGACATCAAGCTCGGCGACCGCGTCGGAGTCGGCGCCCAGAGCGATTCCTGCCAGGGCCGCCTCGGCGACTGCGCCGAGTGCGCCATGGGCTGGGAGCAGTACTGCCCGCATAAGTTCGTGGGCACCTACAACAGCGTCCACCTGAACGGCGGCAAGTCCTACGGCGGCTATGCGCTGTACAACCGTGTGCCCGCCCACTTCGCCATCAAGATCCCCGACGGTATCCCCTCCGCCGAGGCCGCCCCGATGCTGTGCGGCGGTGTCACCCTCTACAGCCCGCTGAAGCACAACGGCTGCGGCCCCGGCAAGCGCGTCGGGATCATTGGAGTCGGTGGTCTGGGCCACTTCGGCGTTATGTTCGCCAAGGCGATGGGCGCGGAGAAGGTCGTCGCTATCTCGCGCAAGGGCAGCAAAGCGGAGGATGCGCTGAAGATGGGCGCGGATCTGTACATCGCTACGGACGATGAGCCGGATTGGGCGACCAAGTATGCTAAGTCGTTGGATTTGATTGTCTCGACGGTTTCTTCGACCAAGGTATGTTTTCTTTTCTGCTGCTTTCCCTGCCGCGATCAAGTGAGATTTGTGGGGACGGCTTGCTGATATTTCGCTGTAGATGCCCTTGGAACAGTATGTCGGTCTGCTGGCCGTCGATGGTACTCTGTGCCAGGTTGGATTGCCGGAGGATGGCACCCTCGTGGCGCCTGTGAAGCCTCTGATTCGTCGCCTGAAGGTCACCAGCTCGTTGGTCGGTAGCCCAGAAGAAATCCGCGAGATGTTCCAGCTTGTCCTGAACAAGGGCGTCAAGCCTTGGATTGAGGAGATCCCCATGAAGGACGCTAACGAGGCGATTGTTAACATGCACGCTGGTAAGGCCAGGTACCGCTACGTGTTGGTGAACGAGGCGCACTAGGAGGGCTTGGCGATGATTTATGATGACTGTATAGACTGTATAATATTACTGAGATAGATGATAAATTAGACAAGATTCTCTAGCACCTGGACCTTCTCGAAAGGATATCCGATATGCGTGCTATCAACATATATTTCCATACTATTATACTTATCTTCTCGTATTGTACGGAGGTGTATTGTTGTCTATCGTAAGCTTATTTGTACTGTACTGTACTGTACATTCGGAGACATGTGGCAATCACGTGGCAGACTCCGCCATCGGAGGCACTAAGCCCAAAGCAGCAAAACCCCTCCCAGGAACTTCTTTGGGAGAGTGAATCATCGCCTCTTGTCTTCGCCCCCTCATTTTGTCTCTCTCCATATCTGTCGTTTTGTCGGTGTCATCTTCGTCAGAAAGGGTTCCGGTCTTCGATTGATCGTCCTCGCTGTGTTTTCCTTCGTTATCCTTCACTCTAGAGTCAATCACAATGTCGCATACTTTGTCGCAAAAGTATCTGAGCACGCGGGGTGCCTCCTACGGAGTATGGCATTAAATTTCCTCAAACAGTCTTTCGTCAATCCAATGGCTAATATGGCTACTCTCTCGTCTAGCTCTCCTTCGAGGAGGTTGTCCTGAAAGGTCTGGCATCCGATGGTGGTCTCTTCATTCCCGAGGAGATCCCCTCCCTCCCCGCTAATTGGGAGTCCGAATGGCGCGATCTGAGCTTCGAGGACATTGCCTTCCGTATTATGTCTCTCTACATCTCCGAGTCTGAAATCCCCCGCGACGACCTCAAAGACATCATCCGCCGCTCCTACGCTACCTTCCGTCACCCCGAACGCACTCCCACCATCGAGCTGGACGGCAAGCAGAACCTCCATCTGCTCGAACTCTTCCACGGCCCCACCTTCGCTTTCAAGGATGTCGCGCTTCAGTTCCTCGGTAACCTGTTCGAGTACTTCCTCGTGCGCAAGAACCAGGGCAAGGAGGGCAAGGACCGTCACCACCTGACCGTCGTCGGAGCCACCAGCGGTGACACCGGCTCAGCCGCCATCTACGGTCTGCGCGGCAAGAAGGACGTTTCCATCTTCATTATGTTCCCCAAGGGCAAGGTATCCCCGATCCAGCAGGCCCAGATGACGACCGTGCTCGACGCGAACGTGCACAACCTTACCGTTGAGGGCTCCTTCGATGACTGCCAGGACTTCGTCAAGGCCCTGTTCGCCGACCCCGAGCTCAACTCCACCCACAACCTGGCGGCCGTCAACTCCATCAACTTCGCCCGCATCCTCGCCCAGATCTCCTACTACTTCTACTCCTACCTTTCGCTCACCAAGTCGCCCTCATTTAACAAGGACTCCAAGCTGCGCTTCGTCGTCCCCTCGGGCAACTTCGGTGACATCCTCGCGGGCTGGTTCGCCAAGCGCATGGGGCTCCCCGCGGAGCGGCTGGTGATCGCGACGAACGAGAACGACATCCTGGACCGGTTCTTCCGCAGCGGCGGCGCGTACACCAAGAACGACGCCAACGGCACGGGCGTCAAGGAGACGCACAGCCCGGCCATGGACATCCTGGTCAGCAGCAACTTCGAGCGCCTCCTCTGGTTCCTGGCCTACCAGAGCAGCAGCGACGCGGGCGAGTCGGCCGACGCGCGCCGCAAGCAGGCTTGCGACAGCGTCAGCGGTTGGCTGCAGCAACTCAAGACGGAGGGCGGGTTCAAGGTGTCCCCGGCCGTGTTCGAGGGCGCGCAGGCCGAGTTCGAGTCCGAGCGCGTCAGCAACGACGAGACCATCGCCCAGATCCGTGAAACCTACCGCACCTCCTTCCCCGCCAACCTGGGTCCTGGTAGCGCCAAGAGCTCCAAGACCGGCGGCTACATCCTCGACCCGCACTCCGCCATCGGCGTCGCCGCCGCCCTGCGCTCCATCCACCGCAACCCGGGCACCGCCCACATCGCCCTGTCCACCGCCCACCCGGCCAAGTTCGCCAGCGCCGTCGACCTCGCCCTGCGCGCCGAGGACGGCTACGACTTCACCGAGGTCCTGCCCCAGGAGTTCATCGGCCTGGAACAGCGCGAGAGCCGCGTCACCCCCGTCGGCCCCGGCGCCGGGTGGCAGCAGGTCCGCGAGATCGTCAAGGCCGAGGTCGAGCAGGAGCTGGAGGGTAAGCGGTAGACAGATACTCGATCTCCCAACCCCGGGCGCTTTTTCCCACTTTCGCATTATACACTAGATATACATAACAACCAACCCCCTCTTCCCCATTTCCTTTACTGTTCATATTTCTTCTTGTTCTGTTCTACTCTGTGATATCAAAAGCCACGTCGATAGACATGACGACTGCGTCCAATCCTACCGAACTTAGTATTGTATCTTTCCATTCCCCATTCCCATCTCCCTTTGTATAAGTTAGGTACAGTTTGGAGAAGAAGGAGTACAAGGTAGTGGCAGCAGACTCAACCCATCAATACTTATATAGAGCCCCGCGCAGCCTGATCGGCCCTAGTACCACGACGTATTTGAAAAACTGCTGCACGTGAATCTGATGAGCGGATGGTATGTACCTCACGCACCGTCGACATCTGAGCCGTAGCTGTAGCGTGGGAAAGATGACTGGTTATGACTAAGGATGTCGTCAGAGCGTTACATACAGTCAACGTGTGCCATGGTAGTAGAAGCCTGCTTGACTCACTTGCTGATCGTTGCCTGTTGAGGGATTGCTGGCTTGCGTGATCACTTAGTATGTACTGTACTTTATCATTGGGTTGCATTCATCCACTACTCCTTGTGACTTATAACTAGTGAGGGGTCTTAGTCAGTACATCCTCTGGCAGGACTTTCCGTTTGCGGAATATTTGATTGTGAATGTCTTTCGGCCAGGCGGCAGTTGTTCTCCCGTGAAGAGGATAGGTAGCTGGATCGAATATGAGAAAGAAGGGAAGAAGTTCCAAG